GGGCCTTCCTGTCAGCGCATTCTTATTACCCAATGACAAGGAAGCCAAAAACCCCCCGCCCTGCCCATTCATTCTCTTACCCTGCGCACCACAGATGCCATGCTCATCAGCATCGTGCATATCCCAGATGTTCCTGTTCCTGTGCCCGTTCGAAACAAGACCCCCCGCCTCCGTAAGGTACGCTAGAGTCGGTGGCCGTTTTCCGTTCGTTTCTTTGACCCCTGGACGTCATGCGCTAGCAGAGCAAGGTTTCTGTCGACTCCCTGATTTCTGACGACTCCCTTTACCTTTGCTGCCTGGAAGTGCGTTTTACTAGGTGTCGTAACCCACATATTTGGGCCGTCCTCGGTGCCAACATCGCTGAGCTCGGGCTCGGTAAGAGTCTCTCCCGGCCGGCCGGCGCACTTGTGTTGCGACAGACACCTGTTGCACCGTTCCGAGTCACAAGCTTTCTCCAGCAACCGGCGAAGCCGTCCAGAGCTTTTCTTTTTCCTTTTCTTTTCCATTAGTTTTCCCTTCTTTTTTGTCTTTTCTTCTTCTTCTTCTTTTTTTTCTTTTCTTTCTCTCTCTCCTGCCTCCTTGCTTCGCATTTGGGGATTATCACCACCCCTCATCGCAGATAGCTCACTTCACCGGCCCTCCAGCATCCGTCAGCTCGCTCCCGTGCCCGTCTGTGTGGAGGCTGCCAGCGAAAAGTAATTGATGGCACCGGGCACACCAATCTCTACCCTCGGGGTCGAAACCCAAGCTTTGGGACCCGAGCGACTGTCCGTCGTTGTTGCACTCCCGACGTAAAAAAAAAAAAAAAAAAAAAAAAAAGGCCAAGGTGGCAAAGTTGACGACGAACTGTTCCCTAAAACAGACAAATCGTATAGTCAGTTGGCTGCTGGGCAGATATGTCTGCGCGCAAAATGAGGGTATTTTTGGATTTCACTTTTGCTGGCTCGCAACATTGTAGTAATCTATCCCATCCAATCGCGTCGTGCTCCACGCATTCGCGCACGCGGCCGGTGCACATCAAATGGACCCTGACCCTGGAGCCAACAGAACGTCATCAGGTGTGGTTTGGCCTGGAAAGCAACGGCTAGAGGGAGGGAGAGAGCAGTTGGCGCTTCACAGACATGTGTTGTACGTACGCACTCTCTCTTGCTTACAAGCGCGAGGGACGGGATGGCTTCAGTTACAGTGCAATACAGTGCAGAGCATAGCAGCAGACAGCACCCAGCCCAGCAAAGCGCATTCCAATCGCCGTCGGAGCGCGCCGTTGCAGAGGTACCTCGACCTGACCCAACCGCGAGAAGCCAAGTACGGAGTACTTCTTAGGTACGCTCATTCTAGGCCTATCTATAGGTACCAAACTACCTGACATCCGTCAAGCCAAAGACGCTGGTTGACAAGTCCATCCTCAAACGTGCACAGCCTTGTGGGAACCGCCCAGGCTGGTCCGCTCAAGTGGGTCTATATGGGCCAATCATAGAGTCCATCAGCTGTTTCTCCTTCCGCTCCTTACTATGTAGCCCTCACCTTCATCATCCCTCTTCCGCTCCTCGCTCTCCTCCCCATCCACCCATCCACCCTCTCACCCCCCCCCCCTTTCCCCTTCTTACCCCCCAGCTGCGACCCGACCACAGAGTCACAGACCCCAATTCCACACCCTGGTGCCGGGTCTGTCTGTCCGGTCCACGTCCCTCCAGTGTGTTCTCCGCCCGCCGACCAAGTCCTCGCTTCCTCATCTCAACTCCTCTTTCGCACACTATAGCATATTACCACTCAGTCTCGCTCTGCCGCACTCTCTCCTCGTCCTTGTTGTCGTCGTCGTCGTCCTCCTCCTCCTCCTCCTCGCCCTTACTCAGTCGCCCTTCTCTGAGCCCGATTACACTTACGTAGACCTACTAGCGACAGCGAATAACAGCTCGTCGCACTCGACTCCTCCCCCCGCCATCTCCAGTTGGGTGCAGTCAGCTCGCGCGTCAGCACAGCCCCAGGGCGGTGCGGTGCCTGAAGGCTGACTTGTGAACTGCCTCGCCCCGATTCTAAAGACAGCAACGCAACACTACATTGCACACACTTACTCACACACGCGTTGTCGCGCACACGACATACATCCGTTCCGACTGCCGGCATCCGTTTACATCATGGATCACCAGGGCCAGCGCGGTCGCTCACCGTCTGCGGGGCATCAACAGCCTCATATAAGACACCCGTCGCATTCTCCATCTCCGAATCCGTTCCAGCCCAACACCGAAGCAGCTTCAATTGGTCTCGGTCTCGGCTTGGATCAGTCTGCTACCCAAGCCTTCAACGGAGCCTCCTCCGCCGCCTTCTCTAGCTTTAATAACAATCCCAACTTCCTCAACGGTCAGCAGCCCGGCCAGCAGCAATCGTATAATCAACCCGGCGCAACCTTCACCGGCCAGGGCCAGCCCAACTTCCTTGACCCCAACTTCCCTTCGGGCGACTTCGCCTTGTTTCCCAACGCCGGCCAGGGTGATTCGCAGTTCAGTACTGGAGTCTTCGAACAGAGCCTCAACTCTGAAATGAACACCATGGCCATGCCTCAGAGCCACCACTCTTCCACTCCCCCGCACCTCCTGAACCCGGATCCCCACCAGACGCCAGCTGCGCGTCAGTCTCCCGCCTTCGCCCAGCACCAGTTTTCCTCCCCGCCATCGGGTCATTCTAGGCATGCCTCACTTGGTCCCGAGGCAGCGCTCCTGCCGAACCAGCTGAATGAATGGAGCCAGCCCCAGTTCCAACGCCATAGGAGATCCCCTTCCGAGTACTCGGACGTTTCGTCGGCTGCCCCGTCACCGAACCTCGTCAGCGCCGATAGCTTCGACGGCCTCGACCAACACCATTCCCCGATGCAGCGGCCTACGGACTCTGGCCTCTACCAGCAGATTGGCTTTGACAACTTCACCATCTCGGACCCCGCGCTCAACAGCCCCAACCTGCAAGGCCGGAGCCCCTCGCATAGTCCGGCCATCTCCCCGCGCATTCTCCCCCAGTCGGTGCCTGAGCTGAATCAGCAGCAAAACTTTGGTATCGGAAATCAAAATGCCGGCTTCGTCGGCGGTAATGGCTACACCGGGCAGGAAGCATTCCCGACGCTGCAACAACCGGAGATGCCCCAGGTGGCGCCGGCCATCAACATTGAGTTCGCGCCTACAGCAAGACAGAACAGCTTTGAGCCTCCCAAGAACCAGATGGATCAGGATTCTCTGACCCCTCCCGAGCGAGGTGAGTAACGCGCACTCCTGGTCGTAGACGATGAAGCTGACAAAACATGACAGGCCGTCCTCGGTCCCGGCCACGCGCAGTGACGGACCCCTTCAACACTTCCGCTGGAGGCATGGCGCGCCAGACCTCAGTGGGTGGCTTGTCGCCCCATCTGGGGTCTGACCTCTCTGGCCGCGACTCATCCCGATCCCTCTCACCGCTCGACCGAGGAGCCACAAGTCCCAATCGCAGACGACAGTCGACCTCGGCCGTGCCGAATAACGTGATCGCGCTTAGGCTGGCGGACCCCGAGTATCAGAACTCCCAGGACAACGGCAACGCGAAACGTGTACAGAAGCATCCGGCTACGTTCCAGTGCACTCTTTGCCCGAAACGCTTTACTAGAGCCTACAACCTACGATCCCATTTGCGAACCCACACCGACGAGCGGCCCTTCGTTTGCACAGTGTGCGGTAAGGCATTCGCTCGTCAACACGACCGAAAGAGGCACGAGGGTTTGCACTCGGGCGAGAAGAAGTTTGTGTGCAAGGGAGACCTCAAGGCGGGCGGCCAATGGGGTTGCGGCCGGAGGTTCGCCCGTGCCGATGCGCTTGGCCGACATTTCCGGTCGGAGGCGGGGCGCATCTGCATCAAGCCCCTATTGGACGAAGAAATGCTCGACAGGCAACGTGCCTGGCAGGAGCAGCGGATGCAACAACAAAACATGCAAAACATGGCGGCCCAGGGCGCTATGGGCATGGAACCAGGCTACCCCATGGACGCCAGCGGACAGTACATGTTGCCGGCTGCTCTGCTTGCTCAATACCCGGCACTGGCTCAGATGAACTGGTCGGCGCAAGACCCGAGCAGCGGTCTCGACGACGAAATATCAGGCCGGTCGTCTTTCGATGCCAGTGACTACGAAGGCGATGACGGTGGTTATGTCAGTGGACCTGGTACAGGATTTGGCGAAGGGGGCATGGGCCAAAACTTTGGCGAAGTTGGTTATGCCAGTGACTACGGTGGCCGTTGACGAAGGACGTGATTCTAACTTACCCCCCCCCCCCCCCGCCTTTATTTTCTCAGACTTTTTTATGTCTTCTTTGTGCGGTCAATCCCTTATGATACGTACTTTACACTATTCAATTTTGTTTCTGGGGTTTGGCGCTTCATGAATAAGCGCCGGCTGTAAGGGAACACTGCGACCAACGCCCACAGAGGGCGCTGAGCTGGTGGTCTGGTCACACGGTTTAGAACGCGTTGCTATAGATACCATCATGACGATATTTAAAATTATCATTTCTCATTAATTAGCATCATGGGCTTGGGGTGAAATTGTGATTGTGAAAGACCACATGGGGGGTAAACATGCAGTGTTAGGACTAGGACGTGCTTCTTTCTCCAGATTCGAATGATGCTTCCGGTGCTTATCGGCAGCTCCAGTGCCTGTCGGCGATAAGGTTGTGGTTACATCATTTGGCAGTGGCCGCGGGGTCGATCATGCGGCCCCTCGCTTGTCACTTGAGACGAGAGCAGGTTGTGTCTCTCATGATGTGATTGTTGTTGATGGCCTATCAATTAATAATCTCCCAGGCTGATTAATGTGGTAGTCTCGGAGCCGAGCTCGATCCAAAAGCCACGCCTCAATCTAGGGATGTGAGACAGCAGATGCCGCCCCAGTAAGTAGGAACCTTGCCGGACCCCCAGAGCCAAAAAGAGACTTGTCGGCCTCCGTAAGCTCTCGGGGCAACATACCCTTTTCCACGTGTTACTCGGCCGCTTTTGTTCAGGAGAGGAGGGGGGCATATAACAGGGGTAGCGCGGAGGTGTCTCACCAGGAACGGTGTATGATCGGCCGCGTTGCTTTATCGTGCGGGGCGATGGGCACTTTGAAAAGAGTATCTATGATGTGGAAATTCATGGGAGACGTGCTGTTGGTATGCAACTAGTAGTGTGGATGGCTACATCGCGGGCCCTGGACCGCGATAGAACACCACCACTCGCAAGCATTTGTAAGCTGAGGGCGGGGCCATGGCGATGGATGGGATGAGGGGAACTGTTGCAATGGCGATGTGGGCTGTACATAAGGGAGGGGGCCTCGGATGCCAGACTAGAGGCTACTTCAACGCTCACAATTGATCCGAGTTTCGAACCCAAAGCTACTTTATACCTCTCCTCCCCTGTGCCTGCACTGCTTCCGCACCTGATCCACGAAACGCCGTACGAACTTACACCGCTCATCCTCTACCAAGGAAAGCAAGCATGGCACAGAACCAAGCAGTCAAGACTGTCGCCGTGGGCGTCGCAAAGGTCGTCGACGTGCCCGTCCCCGCCCTCCCGGCCGACGACTACATCCTGGTCAAGACGACGGCCGTTGCCATCAACCCGACGGACTGGAAGCATGTCGACCTCGCCGACAAGGCGGGGTGCGTCGGCATCTGGGTCGGCTGCGACTACGCGGGCGTCGTCGAGGAGGTCGGCAAGGGCGTGACCAAGGACTTCAAGAAGGGGGACCGCATCTGCGGCCCTGTCAATGGATCGTGAGTGGCCGTGTTGTCCATGCCATCTTCCGCTCGCTGTCGGGGCGGCAAGGCGGGAAGGAAGCCTACAAGCTTACTGACGAGGGATGGACCAGGAACGGGCTGAGGGAGGTCGACGGCGCCTTCGCAAAGTACATCGTCGTCAAGGGTGACCTGCAGATCAAGACGCCGGACAACCTTTCCGACGAGGAGGCCGCAACGCTCGGCATCGCTGTCACGACGGTCGTATGCAGCCCCTCCCCTCCCAATCATCCCCTTTCTTACTTGCACACACATGCACACACATGCACACACACACACTCTCTCTCTATTTCTCTCTCCCGCTGCGCGACAAGACTAACACGAAGTGCAATCGCAGGGCCAAGGCCTCTACCAGACCCTCAACCTTCCCCTCCCCACCGCCCCGACAACCGACCCTTCGGCCACGATCCTCATCTACGGCGGCAGCACCGCCATGGGCATCTCGGGCATCCAGTATGCCCGGCTTTCCGGGTACAAGGTCATCGCGACCGCGTCGCCGCACAACTTCGAGTACGTCAAGTCCCTGGGCGCGAGCGAGGTGTTCGACTACAAGTCGCCCACGGTCTCGGAGGACATCCGCCGGCACACCGGCGACGGGCTCACGCTGGCGTGGGACTGCCATTCGACCAACGAGTCGGCCACCCTCGTCGCCAAGGCGCTCTCGAGCTCCAAGGGCGGTCTCATCGGCACACTCCTGCCCGTCGACGAGAAGGTCGTGCAGGAGGCCAACCCCAAAGTCGAGGTCAAGATGTCCCTATACTACAGCGTCTTTGGCGAGGAGTATGGCTACTTTGGTAAGCATCGCCGCCTTCCCCCTTCCCCTGTCCCTACTCGTGATGCAATCCCCCAATGTTTACTTCTTTACCTCTGACCGTTAACCCCGTTAGCAGGCAAGAGGGACGCCGTCCCCGAAAATTACGAGTTCGGCAAGAAGTTCTGGGAGATCAGCCGCGACCTGCTGGCCGACGGCAAGCTCAAGCCCATCCGCGTCATCAAGAACCAGGGCGGCAGCGGCCTCGAAGGCGTCGTCGTCGGCCTCAAGGAGCTGAAAGAGGGCAAGGTCAGCGGCGGGAAGCTGGTCTACACCATCTGAGGGCGGCGGTTGTCAATGGGCCAAGACGAAAAAGACAGAAAGGAAGCAAGCGTGACGTGGAACATTGATATTGGGTTATATCTGGGCCCTTTGGCCCACAGCAAGGAAACATGACAGTACCGCTGAAACAAATAACAAGAAAAACAAAACGGTGGTATCTAGAAGCATCCCGGGACGATGGGAGAGGGGGGGAAAAAAGACTAAAACGCTTGTGATCCTGCATGTGCATGTGCGTGTGTGCGCCGAACGAAGCCGCCTACGTCTTGGCCCGGCCGACCCTTTGCGCAGCCTCGTCGAGCATCTTGTGCACCTTGTTGCGATGGGCGGTCTCCATCTGCCCCTTGACGAGGGGCATCAGCATCCGGCTCGTCTCGACCCGTGTCGTCTCGACGAGGTCGTAGTCCCCCTCAACGTAGCCACCGAGCTTCCCGGCGCTGTGCTCGCCGGGCCACCGCTCCTCGGGCCGCGGCACGACGAGCCACTCGGACCAGACGCGGACGCCGGCGGGGGCCTTGGCCCGGGAGCGCAGCCCGTTGGGGATGTTCTGCAGCACCGCGGGGAAGTTGATCTCCTTCTTGACGCCGGGGGCGACGGTGACCTTCTCGTAGACCTTGTACGAGGTGATCTTGAAGCCCGTCTCGAGGAACCACTCGTCGTCGACGACGCTCTTGAGCGGGACGGGCACCTTTTCGTACCGCGTCACCAGCGGCCGATGGCGGATGACGGGTGATTGGGACTGCAGCATTTGGATGACGGCTTCCGCGGGGAGCATGCTGGGTAGCGGGATGCGGATCGTGAGGTTGTGGTGGGCGGGCATTGTGACAGAATCCGTTTCCCCCACCGGACGTCGGGGAGAGGCTTTCAACGTCGTCGACTTTTGTACAGCAGTAGCACGAGCGGCACGATGTGAAGAATTCGAACCGTGAGAGAGAGAAAAAAGACAGAAAAAAATTACGTTGTTAGTAGTGGCGCGGAGAGCTGGGAGAAAAAATGGGATGCGCCCAAGGGACACGATCAAGTCACAGCTTGGTTCCCTGCCGGTTCAGGATCAGCGGGGATCCGGGGATCCTCATGTCTGGAAGGCGTATGGGAAAAGCAGAGCACCTTGTCCTGAGTGTACCTACTGCGGTTTCCCATGGAATAGGCACATTAGTCGAATCTTTTGTTTCGTCTGATGGTCTGTTCTCCATATGCAGGGGAAGACGGGGGGAATCCTGACGCTGAGTCGGCGTCGCATGGGCCTTGTACAGAGCAAACGTCAGGCCAAGCTGGCAACCAACGAACAAGTCAACGTCACTCGGAGGGTTTTGGCGCCGCGAGGTTGGCGCATACGAAGGACAGCTTTGCAAGGGCCCAGCAAACAGTGTGAAGAACATGGCGTGGCTTGATCTGCCCTTGTGTTGGCTAAGAATCCTCGTGAGGTTTTGGCACATTTTAGAACTGGACACTCGACGTTGAGAACAATACGGAGATGAAACAAGCTATGATACTATTATTAACCCCTGGCGAAGGCGTCAGTGCCTTGGAGCAGTAGTAAGGGCACCGGGTGAGCTCCATTCGAGGCGCTACCACGGGATAACAAAGAAGCCGAGATCTTGAACCCCGGGCGAGAGCCGCTGTGGCTGATGCTGACAGGCTCACCGGGGCACCAGGGAGCCGAGCACGGGTAGATATCTGCCATCATCGCATTTGACCTTGGGATGCAGGGTCGTCTTTCTCAGCGGCAGCATGCGATCCAGCCGGAAGCGGGACGGTCCATGAAAATCCGAACATGAGCCTTGGGGTTCGTCCTAGGTCGAGCGAGCCCCGGCTTTTGCGCTCTGCAGCCTCCAGACTTGTTTCCCCTTAGACGACCAGCCATATTGTTTTTTGGTATGTACGTGAAGCAACGCCAACCAACTTCAAACAGGACGGCAAAAGAAGCATGTGGTTTCTGGTTGATCGTAGATGCAGAGTTTCATCCACAGTACCACCAGTGGTATTCTCCGACAAAGCCAATCAATGCAAGCGGCTATTGTTCTACAAGTCACCTATGGACGGCAGGTTGTTGATCCAATGCGTTATGCCCCGCAGTCCCTAAATCACGGGTATCTTTGGCCAAGCTGATTCTATGCTCGTCATTCTACTGACCAGCCCCCGGCGGCTTGGACTCCAGACAGCGGTTCGAGATGGGTCGATATAAATCCAAGGCTGTTCGAGTGGACTCTGTACCTAACCAAGTTGGTCAGTCATTCAGTCAGTCATTCTGCATCGTACTGCGTTGTCCTCCCTCCCCATCGACCCATAATTTCAACCCGACTGAACATCGTAGGCCTACACTAGTGGACAACTGCTGACACTTCAGGTCTGACCGCCAAAAGACACCGCGAGATGTTGAAGTCGACCGAGGAGACTCCACTGACCGACATCTCTATCGTGTGCATCAACCTGACGCATGCCCTTGGCGGGTCTAGTCTTCGAAAACGGCATGAACCCATCGTGTGTTTTCCCCCCCCCGCCCTTCTTTCTTTTCGTCTCTGCCTGCGTCATGCAGGGAAATCCCAGAATGACATGCTCCATGTTTAGTGAGCGCATCATCTAGCCTGCGTTTCTCTTCTCCACTGACAACGAAGAGCTTCAAGAAAAATACATGCGGCATCCTCCAGACACGATACTTCAGCGTGGCTGGTTGGTGCGAATTGGCCCAGATGTTGTTTGAGGAGTTGAAGCGGTGAAGAGACGCCATACCAATCTGGGCCATGCTCGTGGGATAAGTGGGGTGAGATGCACCATGCGCTGCTGGAAGGTGGGACATGCAGACGAGACGATCCAGTCGAGGCATGCAGCTGCATCTCTCAGACAGGGCCAGACTTGGGATGTGCATGAAGGCCATGTAAGTTCCCGATGCGCGGCCTGGCAGCCCCGCTAGCAGCCTGCGAGCACACCCATCGCGAGGCGGGCTGCTGGCAGTCGGTGATGTATCGATACCTCATTCCTGGCTTGGTGTGTCGGTACGCCGGTACATGGATGCCAACAAGCCGGCGGAGCCGTCGTCCGCATGGCAACGACTCCATGACCTGAGGGCGATTATTCGTACTTCATCGCGAGCAATGAGCCTGGGCGACGAGTATGGTATCGTCGCTTCTGCTCCTCTCCCGCCGACGGTTTGCATTTGCATTTCACAATAATGTGCCTGTACACCACCCCGCAGGACATATTCCGGAGGCAATCCGATGCTTGGCGTGGTTGGTGTTATGTAACAAATGAATATACTATTATTATAGGGGCGAGTAAGTAGTGGCTGGATTGGAGTCAAGGTTGGGTGTGGACGACAGCAGAGCGTCATGATGAACAACATGGAAGACGGCTGTGCGAGAATGGCAACGTGTGTATCCGTACAGCAAGAGCGAAAATTGCAAGGACTTGGTTAGCTACGTTGTGTATGGTGAGTTCTGAGAGCAGGGAAGAGGGGTGATGGAGGAGGAGGAGGCCCATAGGGTCTTTGCTGTTTACTTGGGTACCTATCTACCTAGGCAGGTAGGTAGTTTAGGAACTGGAGCCCAGCAACATAGGTAACAAACTGGCAGTTCTTTTTCTTTGTTTTCTTTGTGTTGCCTATGCAAGGTGCGGATACGTGCTTTCCCGGAACCATCCAAAGTACACTACCTACTTACTTGCTGTCTACCTAGGTAGGTAGGTAGGTAGGTAGGTAGGTAGGTAGGTACCTAGGCATGTAATGAAGGTAGCTTCCACACGTAGGTAGCATGAAAGAGGCAAACACCCGTGTAGTAGGTAGGCCCGGAAAACGAAGGCGGTACGGAAGGGTAGGGTGGTGGCGGCAAGGGCGTTTTACGTGTCGGATTGCCGAGTTTAACCTTTAACCCCCCATCTCCAAATTGTTTTTCTTTATTTTTCTGGTTTTTTTTTCTTTTCATTCTCACTTGGATATCATGGCATACCTACCTTTACACTAGGTAGTGTACATGCTGCAAGCGAGTTATGGCCTCGCGAGACAATCTACTTTCCAGTCATGTTCATCGCGTGGAAACTTGTATAGCCGGCTCTCGAGCATTCACCCTCTCCTGGTCGCCTCTTCTAGGCCCCTCCCGTTTCCGCATCGTGCGCCCATGTGCTGCTGCCCGCATGTCCACCCATAGCAGACGGGATCCTGGAGAAATGGCATCACCTGCGCGGCAGGCTGAAAAGGAGAGGGGTGTCATGGTGGTGTGCACCAAGTCAAAAGACAACACTTGCAGGGATTCGCATGGTCCATATCACAACAGCTCGGCCAATGGCCCGCCGAGACGGCCCCTCATCACTGGCCAAGTTGCCAGGGGTCATGACATGGCCACCCACTGGCGGGACAAGGAGCAATGCATGCTGCGCTTTTGCCGACCGTGTCACCACCACCTCTCCAGTCTCCTCCCATCGTCAATCATGGGCCGCCATGCTGCTCTAGATCTATTACTGTTGATAGGCACGGAGAGGTGGTATATTGCACGCATGCCTACATGCAGCGGAGTCGGCGACGGAGGAGCAACGACTGGAAGACCCAGACCTTTGGACTGGGCCTGATAGACCAGGTAGACAAGGGTGGTATCCGTACCTCATCCAGCATCAATCAACATCCCTTATGATTGTTCCTCCGGCCTGTCTCGCCTCATCTTCAACCTGCCGTGCTCCATCTGTAACATACTTGCCTCGACACACACATTCGCCTGGTTGACTCATTCTTGTGTACGTTCATTTTGTATCCGAGACGCCGTTCTGACTGGTTTTTTGCTGTACGTTTTTTTTTTGTCGTGTTGCATGACGAGGCAGAACTATTGAAGAAACAAGACGATACGATACGATACAGTACAATACAGCACAATACGGTACGGTACGATCCGATCCATTTCCGCACTGCAAGGTGAAGAAAGAACGCCGGTTGGCCGTCGATGAGAGGAAGTCTTCTACAGAGACAGGTCCAATTCTCCCTGAATCTCGACCTCGGCTAATTGCCTTTCAACCTGGCCGGCCCGAGCCTGAGCTTACACACCGGTAGGTAGATGGGAACGACGATACGACCGACGTAAGGACGCGCCGCAACTCGGATCACGTCCCTGACCGGTACCGAACATCGAGAGGCTATTCGCCCAACCCGTCGGTGGATGAACCAAGCAGAGCCCGACGTCGATAGAGCGAATTGACTTGCCAACTGCAGGTGGTTGTTGCCTACCTTTGACTCCTGCGGGATATTTGGCGGTCTGCAACACCACCATCCACCAACTCGCCTCGCCGCGACGATCCAGCGACGACGCGCCGGGTCATTGGCTCCCTATGCAGAAAGTGGCTTGTAAGAATCTTTTCCCCCTCCCCCTCCTCCTTTTATCTACCCTACCTGGGTTGTCCCCAGCGTTCCGATTGCTCAGTTCTTCGCCTGTCTGGTTCAACCTCGCCTCAGTCAGGGAGGCCCAGTCGCATTCCAAAAAAGGGGGTCAGAGACGGCTTGCATCTCCGGAACGAGTACAAAGGTTGGAGGGCTGATTGACTTTCCTTTGGGGACCAGGTCGCCGGCCATCAGAATTTAGTGAGCCGGACAGCATCAGACGGACGGCGGCACCAGAAGCTGCATCCCTGTCCATTGCTTCCACTTGGCCCGCTATCGTCCAGTTCTCCCGCAATTCCGAACAGGGGACCAGGAACATAGTTGATCGAGGGAAGAGGGAGGCAACTCTACTTTCGCCGCCCTGTCCTGCCCTGCCGTTCCATATCTTATCCGTCATTCTATGACTTCTCCCCTGCCACAATCCGTTCACCTCACCTTACCCTGAAGGTCCGCCTCCCCTTCCCCCTCCCCCAGGTCCCTTGCGCTGCTTAGCGCCAAGTGGTTCCCGTCCCTTTCATCCCACCTCTACCTCCCAGCCTGCGCAATTACGTCTTTCACTCTACGCGCAAAGTCCCTATCTTTTTTTCTTTCCTTTTATTTTTTATCTTTTACTGACTGACACCAGCTGTGTCCCAGCTAGCCTGCGTAGTACGAATCGAATTCACGGGACGCGCTTTATATTGTCCTGTCTCCCAGGCGCAATCAAAACGTTTTTTGCTTTGTCCACTTCCTTCTCTGGTCCAACGGCCTCGCGTGGGCGCGAACTTACTTCCTCTTCCGATACCCTTTGCATGAGGACGAACTGGACGACAAACGCAACGACCGTGAACGCGACGACAATTACGAAAGCTGCCATATACTTAAAATCCCACCTCCGGTCGTTTCTCTTACCCACTCGGCTTAAGTCCTATGATTTTCACGCCCAGTTGTTGTAACATCAGTTCTACTTCCCAACATGGCTGCGGCCGCGGTATCGACGTTCTCCCTATTAGGGCAGGCAGAAGGTGCATATGGATGGAAAACAACGACCCAACGTGCAAGGATTGAGTGGGAGGAGGCTGATGTGTGCATTCGCTTGCGCATGATCGCGCGTGCCTGGGAATCTGCTTCACACCACCTTCAGGTATGACCCGAGGTTTTTTCGTCTGCCGTCATCCTTTCCTCCAATTTCTCCTCTTTGGAATTTTGTGCGCGCCCGTGTCGCTCCAGCCTTGACGCGGCGGCCGGCTCGTCACAGGTCTAACGGCTTTCGTTTGGTGCGGAGGCTGGTCAGGAAAATCTCCTAGGTGGAATCGGAGGAAGTGAGGCGCATGACGCCCCGACACCCCCCCATTCCACCACTAACACTGCCTTCAGATGAACGTCGGAGCTAAGCTGATCCGCTGACATCCCTAGATTTCATCCCATCGCCGACCCCTCAAAACCACATGTGGCATCTCAAGTCCACTGAAAGCACCGGAATGTGGCCCGCGATGGTTGCGACGCTTTAACCCGCCATCTGGACCTTCAGAGTCCTTTGAGCAAGTTATGGATCCTAACAACACTGGCGGTTTTGCTAGTCGGCGACCCCCGGACTTCTCCTTCCTCACCCAGCCTCAGACTTCAAGCACGAATAAACGAGAAGGACTTACCGGCGAAACCATTTTTCACGACCCCACGCACAACTTCCTCATTGACTTTGGCTCCGAGGAAGGCTTCACGCAAGCTGCGAAAAAAAAGAAGAAAGCGCCAGCTAAGGCCCCAACCGCTAACAACAACGGTAACGACGACGATGGTGCCAAGAAGGATGACGAAGGTGCCGGCGACGGAGGCGACAAGAGCGGCGATGCAAGCAATAATGACGGTGCTGCGGGCGACGGGGATAAGGGCGACAAGGAGACGCCACCACCGGCCGACGATCCACCTCCGGATGACGACTGGGGATTCGCAACGACGAAAAGCAAGAAGAAGGGTAAGAAGGACGACGGCCCACCGACTATCCCGGCGCCCGATATGGATTCCTTCGACGAGATCAAATTAGACGATGCAGGCGGAGGCGGCAACGGCACGCTTGATATCAACTCTGGAGCAACAGAAACCAAGAAGTCAGGGTTTAGCGCCTGGGGTGCAAGTTGGGCATCGGGGACGGGATTAGGGGGCACGTGGGATTGGTCCGGTGCTAACAAGAATGCAGCCGGGAACACGCCAACAGAGGCGAAGGAAGAGGTCGATTCGAATCCATGGGGCCTCAGCGCTGCAAAGCCGAAGAAGAAGACAACGACGCTTGGATTCAGCTTCGGGGAGGACGCAGCCGCCGACCCGGAACCGGCCCCCGAGCTACCAAAGGAGGAGGAAAAGAAGGATGACGCCTGGGGGTTCGCTACCGCATTATCGAAGAAAGATAAGAAAAAGAAGAAAATTGGCGTTTGGGGCGAACCTGCGGAAGAGAAGGAAGAGCCACCCAAGGTAGAAACTCCCGCTGACGACCCATGGGGTTCGTGGTGCACCACAACTAAGAAAACGGGCAAAAAGGACCCTGAACCCGAACCGCCCAAAGAGGAGACGAAACAGGACGACATCTGGGACACCTGGGGCCTGGGTAAGAAGAAAAAGAAAGAAGAGCCGGAGGTGGTCCCAGAACCTGAACCGCAGCCTGAGCCCGCGCCCGACCCACCAGCTGCCGAAGCGGATCCTTGGAGTTGGGGAACATCAACGAGTAAGAAGGACAAGAAGAAGAAAAAGGCCCTCCTTGACATTGAACCACCTAAGGCGCCGGAACCCGAACCCGAACCCGAACCACAGCCGGAGCCGGAGCCGGAGCCTGAGCCGGAGCCGGAGCCGCCAAAAGCTGATCCCTTTGCAGGTCTGTCCAAATCGCAAAAGAAGGCGAAGATGAAGGAGATAGCTGCCGCTGAAGCCGCTGCTGCTAAAGCCGCTGCCGCCGAAGCTGAGGCCGCTGAGGCCGCTGCCGCCGAAGCTGCCGCTGCCGAAGCCGCCGCTGCCGAAGCTGCCGCTGCCGAAGCTGCTGCTGCCGAAGCTGCGGCTGCCGCTGAAGCCGAGGCCGCCGAGAAGGCTCGGCTCGAGGAGGAACAGGCCGCTAAGATGGCCAAGATCGCCGATGAGGAGAAACAATTCGCTGCCTTAGAGGCCAAGAAGGCCAAGAAGGGCAGATTGACGAAGAAAGACCAGACCGTCTACGACCAACTAAAGCAGTCTATCGACCAACGTGCCGCAGATCAAGTTGCTGCAGATGCTGCAGATGCTGAAGCTGCTGCCGCCGCTGATGCCGATGCTGCCGCTGAAGCGGCAGAGGCCGCTCGCATCGAGGAAGAGGAGCGGCTCGCCAAGGAAGCCGAAGAACAAGCAGCAAAGGAAGCAGCCGAGGCGGCAAAAGCAGCAGAAGCGGCCAATACAGCTGCGGCAGTAGACGACTTCGGATGGGGTGTGACGACGAAGAGCAAGAAGAAGAAGAAGGGCAAAGCCGAACCCGAGCCCGAACTGGTCCCTCCACCGCCGCCACCCGCCCCTGAGCCCGAGCCTGAGCCCGAGCCGGAAAAGAAGGACGACCCCTGGGGCTTCACCACAATGTCGAAGAAGGACAAAAAGAAGAAGAAGGAACTTCTGGCCGATCCTGAACCCCCTAAGGAACCAGAACCAGAACCCGAGCCGGAACCGGAGCCGGAGCCAGTATCAGAACCAGCGCCGGAGCCCGAGAAACCTGCGGAAGATGACCTATGGACCAGCCTAATATCTTCCAAGAAGGACAAAAAGAAGAAAAAGAGCAAGACTACTGAGCCTGAGCCTGAGCCCGAGCCTGAGCCCGAGCCGATTCCCGAACCTGCTCCAGATCCTCCCGCGGCTGAGCCGGAGCCGGAACTGGAGCCAGAGAAGAAAGAGGAGGACGACTTCTGGGGCGTTGCTTCTTCTAAGAAGGACAAGAAAAAGAAGAAAGAGGCGGAAGCCGAAAAGCCTAAGGAGGACTCTTGGGGCATCTGGGGCCTATCTTCCAAGAAAGATAAGGATAAGGACAAGGACAAAGAGAAGGAGAAGAAGAAGAAAAGCAAAGAGGCGCCGTCTGCAGAAGAACCAAAGGCAGAAACAGCCGCAGACGATGACTTGGCTCTGAGCAAGTCAGAAAAGAAGAAGAAGAAGAAGGACGCCATGGCCCTGGTTGAGTTCGGCGGAGAAGAAGAGGAGACCACTCCTGCCGAGGAAGCCCCTCCCGCTGTGCCCGATATTTCCGACCCCCTGGATGGCGACGATTTCTTCAGCTCCTGGAACATCGGCAAAAAGGACAAGAAGAAGAAGGGATCCGACGCCGAGGCTGCCTCAGTGAGACCTGATGCAATTGAGGAGCCGGCAGACGACATCTGGGGAACATCGTCATCCAAGAAGAAGAAGGACAAATCCAAAAACGAACCTGTGGAAGTCATGGACGAAGAGCCCAATGTGGATTCCGTACAGCCAGACTCGGTCGAGGAGACCAAAGATAAAGGCGAAGATGACGATTGGGCCGCCTGGGGATCCTCGAAAAAGAAGTCTAAGAATCGTAAGGACATACTCGCCGACCCTCCACCGCCAGCTCCTACCCCTCCCACCTTGGACATGACTGAGCCTGAAGCAGAACCAGAACCTGAGAAAGACAAATCCAGCTTTTGGGGCGACATGACCTCTTCCAAGTCAAAGTCCAAGGACAAGGATAAAGACAAGGAGAAGGAGAAGTCTAAAAAGGAACCTAAGCTGAGCGAGAAGGAGCTCAAAAAGCTCGAGAAGGAGAAGAAGAAGGCAGAGAAAGAAGAAGCTGCGCGCAAGGCTAAAGAAGAGGAAGAGGCTGCAGCCGCTGCGGCCGAAGAAGCAGCCAAGGAAGAGGAGGAGCGTCTTGCTCGAGAAGCGGAAGAGGCCGCCGCCGCCGCCGACGCCGAGGCTGCCGAGAAGGCTCGCCTCGAGGAGGAACAAGCCGCCAAAATCGCCGAGGAAGACGAGCAGTTCGCTGCCTTGGAGGCCAAGAAGCTCAAGAAGGGCAAATTGCCGAAGAAAGACCAAGCCATCTACGACCAGCTGAAGGAGTCTATCGATCAGCGCGCCGCAGATCAAGCTGCTGCAGATGCAGAAGCTGCCGCAGCCGCCGAAGCAGAAGAGGCCGCTCGCATTGAGGAAGAGGAGCGGCTCGCCAAGGAAGCCGAAGAGCAAGCGGCGAAGGAGGCTGAGGAACAGGCTGCGCGTGAACGAGAAGAGGCCGAGGCCGCGGAGAAGAAGTCAAAGAAGACTTCCAAGGCAGAGAAGGAGTCCAAGTCCAAGTCCAAGTCCAAGGAGAAAGAAAAGGAGAAAGAAAAGGAGAAGGAGAAGGAGAAGAAAGACAAGAAAGATAAGAAGGACAAGAAGAGCAAGGATAAGGACAAGGGCGAGGACCCCGAGCCGGCTCCGGAGATCGGTAACGACGATGACCTGGGCGACATTGAACTTACTGAAGAGCAAGTAGCGGAGCTCCTGGCCGACCCCGAGCCCGCAGAGCCAGACCCACCCCCACCTCCCTCTGCGCCGGAACCCAAGCCGTCCAACGACGCCTTCAGCTTCTGGGGCGTGAACACCAAGAAGTCTAAGAAAGGTATGTGGCCTTAGGCATGGCCCCCAGTTTCCCTGCCCACCACTGCACCTACCAAAGTCTCACCGGTATCATTGAAATGAGACGTCTCGTCGCCTCGAATGTCTATCAAGATTACAGCTGACTTATCTTTGTCCTAGCTCAAGAAGGTGCGGATTTCGGCTGGAATGATACAACTACCTCATCCGCCATAAACAACGATGCCCCGGCCTGGATGCAACCATCTACGGCTCGTAAGGCCAAAGGAACGAAGATTGCTGACAAGTTAAAAGCATTTGAACCAACGCCGCCTCCAGACGACGAACCAGCCCCTACTGTTGAGGAACCTGCCCCTGAGGAAGCGCCACCAGAGGATCCGGCCCCAGAGGAGGAACCTGTTCCCGAGGATCCCGTTCCGCCGCCTCCGGATCCACCGAAAGCCTTAACAAAAGAAGAGAGGAAACGACTCAAAAGGGAGAAGAAGCGTGCTGAAGCCGAGCCTGCACCGCCGCCGCCGCCGCCGACACCCCCCCTGTTGAAGAGCCACCTTTGGTTGATTATGAGGAGCCAGCTGACCAGAACAAGTCATCAGAACCCCCAGGAGCTTTCCCGGCTGATGAAGATGAGAATGAAATCATCGAGGTGATTGAGATGCCAGTGGAGAAGAAGAAGAAGAAGAAGAGCAAGAAGAACAGAGAAAGGGATCTTCTTGCCGAAGACGTCCCTCCCCCGCCAGCTCCACCACCGCCCCCTGCCGTACCTGAGGCCCCAGAGCCAGAAGAACCCGATGCCGAGGAAGAGTCGTTGACACCTCCCCCGGAGGTGAACTTGAACAAAAAGGACCGGGCCAAGATCAGCCGCGAAGGTTCATCGTGGGGCATGTGGTCGGCCTCTGCACCTCGCGACAAGGACAGGGAGCGAGACCGCGACCGCCGTCACCGTGACCGGGAGAGAAGTTCCAAGCATAAGTCTGAAAGGCATGAGAGGAAACAGGCAGCTGGTGAGAAAAGGGAGGGCAAAAGCTCGTCCAAGGGTTCGAGCTCCGGAAAGGGCGATCGTGCCGAGAAAGAAATGGAGACGCCAGCGCCAACGCGCCCGAAGCTCATGTCCGTGTTCAGCACCCCTCCAATTTCACGCACCGCTTCAACCCGGGATCGGCGTTACGGATCTACTGGCCGTCCGTCACGTCGTCACTCTGTCGACGTTACCGGCTTGGTATCACCACCTCCAGAAGATGCGCCTCCAGTGTCTTCCAAAGCTGCCAAAGTCCTAGGCGTCGACAAGTCAAGCAGACGCCGCAGGCGTGCTCCTGCAGAGGATGATGACATCGTAATGGTCGGGGCAAATGGTGACGGAGAGGATGCCAGCCCCCCAAAGTCCTCTCGCCGGCGATCCAGACAACCCAAAGACGACGACATCGTCATGGTGGACGCAGACGGCCCTTCCGAGCCACCGCCCATGAAACGGTCCAGCTCGAGCGCCAAGAAAGGACTTGGTGGACTGTTCAGCGGCCTCCGAACCCCCAAGACAGAACGCCCAGACCCGTTGCGAAGGCGCCACACATACGCGACTGACGATGAGACTAGACGCGAGCGCCGAAAGGGTTCTTCTGGTGATGCCGAAGAGGCAGATCCGGCGGCAATGACTGACATGGACCAGGAGGCCCGCCGTGCTGCTCGTCGTGCTCGCCGTGCTGCAAGGGATGCCGAGGTCGAGGTCGTGGATCCGTATGGCGATGAGGCACGTCGTGCCGCCAAGGAAGAGGCTAGGCGTGAACGTCGACGCCGGAGGGAAGAAGAAGACGCTCAGGCGCGAAAGCAAGAGGAAAAGGAGGCGAGGCGCGCAGAACGACGCGCCGCCCGCCAACGTGAGGAAGAAGAGCGAAGGGCAGCCGACGACCGAGAGGCTGAGCGAGCCGAGCGGCGGCGACGCCGCAAGGAACGTGAAGCCGCCGCCGCCGCCGCCGCCGCCGCCGAAGCAGATATGGAGGCTAGACGAGCGGCACGTGAGGAACGCCGTCGAGCCCGTGATGCTGGTGGAGCAGAAGACGAAGAGGCCCGGAGGGTCAGGCGAGAGGCTCGACGCGCCGCTCGTGCGGCCGGGGAAGCAACGGACGCAGAAGAATTCCGCCATCGCAGCAGCCGAAGACGGTCCACCTATACATCGGGTGATGAAGCCATGCATTCATCGCGTCACCGCTACCGGCGCGACGAGGAGGTAAGGCCGGCATGGCCCCATTCCGGCACCTCATCGTGGGTCAAGGAGCACTCCGATGCGGGTCCGCCCCCGGAAGACGGCGGACAGACAGAAGCGGTGCCGCAGACGGAGGACGAAGCGCGGCGCGAGCGGCGCGAGCGTCGGCGCAGGGCCAAGTACGAATACGGCACGGCGGACGAGGCGGACGACCGCCGCCGCAGGGCTCGCCGCGAGGAGCGCGAGCGCAGATACGGGGGCGGCAGCGGGGGCGTCGGCGCCGGCGGTTCGGAGGGCAGCGACGAGCGGCGCCGGCAGGCCATGTTTTCAGACGCGACGGCGACACCGCGGGGGAGCTGGTGGAGGAAGCTGACTGGCTGATGTTTTGCTGCGCCACGACATGTACGAATGGAACCAGCCAGCGAGCGCCGGGATATTTCTGGAGCATGTATTTACTGTTTTGCTTCTTGTTTGAGACGCCGCGAGAAGCCATACCGACCCGCTCACGACATAGCCGGCGTATATATACCCACCATACAACCGGAATTCGACTTGTCATTTCTGTTAAATACATGAATGTTTGGTTCCAACACGCGTGTGCCCTTCCTCCTCCGCCAGTTTCGGGCCTTGAACAACACACGGATACGATGATGCGCAGACATGCACGCACCTGGGGAAGGTTGCTCCTTTCCATGTCGAAGGAGTCAAGGTCGAGTCACAAGGCCAAATACTTGCTTGTCATCTGTGTATCTGTGTAGAAGAAAAAAAGAAAATCTACGGGTCGATAAGCAGCTGGTGGGAAGTGGAACCTGTATCTGATCCACCTCGGACCGAAGCAATCGTGGTGCCGATTCCCTTGGCGGGTCTCGCCCGCTCCTGTCCCTAGCCACTAATCACCATCAGGAAGATAAACTAAGCATTAACTGTATTTGGTACTACACTGCCAAAGTAGGCAAGATTTAGATATATCGCAACGCCGCCCAATGGCGGGGTATGTGTCCTTCTCCTGGGACAACAAGATTGGGTAGAGTACTACTGCTCCCCCGACGCCTCGTCTTAGTGAGTTAAGGCAATGCTTCTCAACAGACCCAGGATCGAGTAAACAAGATTGCAAAATAACCGAGTGACGCTTTATCGCAGACCGGTCAGCTTGAGCAGATCGTGCTGGTGGAAATAAGCGCGGACGCGCTTGCCGTAAATGTCTGGACGACGCGTCAGTCCTGCCATACCTAGTCACATACAATCGGGTGCGAAACTTACACATCGGAATGCTCGAAGCGCAGATTGCCACCTGAATACTTGCAATGGCTATCATGGTGGGCTTGATTCCACCCGCAACGATCCAATCGTATGCGCTGTACGTCAACCCGAAGCTCAAGATGTTCTTAAAGATAATCATGATGGTGAAGCCCTCGACAGCGATTTCGCGGTACGCGTCGACAATGTACAGGGAGCTGGCTACTGCGCCAATGACCATACCGGCGACCTCGAAACCGAAAAAGACGAGCGGGATGCTGTAGTGGTACTCCTGGCTGGCGAGACCGGCAGAGGTGATGGCGAAGCCGTACAGGCCCACGCCGCCGATAATAAACATGGGAAGCACCATGACAATGCGGAACTCTGGCTCGTAGATGCCGCCGTTGCGACGAGTCATAAATGTGGCACTCCAGTCGGAGAAGACACCGGCGATGACGAACCCAACGAGGGCTCCTACGAAAGCGCCCACGTAGGCGTACCCGGCGTTGACCTCGTTCCAGAAGTAAGGTGGTCCCAGGAAGATGGCGGCAACAATAACACCAATGAAGACGGTCCAACCGATCATGGCGCCCTGAATCAAGCACCCCCATAGGAAGGCGGGCTGGATAAACAGCGGAAATGGGCGCAGAAGAAGCTTCCAGTAGCTCTCATCCGTCTTGCGGCCGTCGAACAAGGCAAGCGACTGTACGAATGTCTTTTTGGGAGTGTGAGCTCCTCGGCTGGCTTCCAGCCCCGGTGCGTCCGTCGAAGAGCCGGCGGTCAACTTCTCGCGGTCGTCACTAGGCGGGCCGGTTGGACCGTCCCCGAAGGAGTCGCTGGGCTTGTTGGCAAGTTCGATGGACTCGGCGCCAATGTCGGTGTTGAGCGCGGCGTCCCGGCGGTAGGCAGTCTCCGGGCATAAGAAGAAGACGGCGGGGAGCATAATGGCGCAGAAGATGGCCTCGAGGTAGAAAGTCCACCACCAGCCGATAGTGTGGGTGATTTTGCCGACGACGATAGGGGTGAAGAAGGCGCCGCCAAACACAGCCAGGTTCGTGAAGGCCATGCGCGAGCCGCGCTGGTGGACAAAGTATAAATCACCGACGGCAGCATTAACGAGGCTCTCAAAGGGCGTGCAGCCGATGCCCTGGACGAGCCGGGCGCCCAAAAGAGAGTTGTAGCTCGTTCCGACGGCGCCGGCCCAGGCGGAGGATGCGATGAGGATGCATATTCCCAAGATGAAGAGGTGGCGCTTACCCCAGACACGCGCAGAAGGAACAAAGAAGATGGCGGCGGCACCAGCACCAAGGAGAAAGTATCCGGTCAGGAGAGCGACGTGGGTGAAGTTGCTGCGGAAGAGCAGAGTGATGGTGACGGTGTTGGCGGCGAGGATGGGCCCTAGGGCGGTCGCAAAGATGGCTGAGAGGGAGAGGATGAGGGTGATGAGGTCTCGCTTCCACAAGGGCCAGTTGAGGGGGTCGTTCGGGTCGTCGGAGGGTTGGGGAATCTATTGAGGAGACGCTGTCAGCCATGGTGGACAGGTCGCGACGGGGGCTCTGTCGGCTCACGAGTATGACAGGCACGTCGCCGCTCGAATCGACTTTCAATCCGTGGTGGGCATCGGTCGCGGTCTGTGGACGGCTGGGATCGTCGAAGTAGCGCGTCGTACCTGAAGTTTTGACATTGAGCGTGAGCAATGGGATGACAGTAGGCCAATGCGGGCACTAGGAGAGAAGAGCGCGCACGCATGGGACGACTTACCTGGCACATTGTTCAAGGTCTTGGACTCGAGCACGCCGAGACCCATGGCTACAGGTGGTCGGTTTTGTAGAGGTGCTGGAATGTTAGCAGTCAGTGTGACAGGCGAGGAATCATGACATGATAAGAACGAAAAGAGATAGACGGCCGTCACCAGGCATTTTCATTGAGAGAAGAGGGACCTGGGGAGGGAAAAGAGCAAGGGAAACAGGGAGGGGAGAAGGACCCGGAGCGTCGGATTAGCCTTTTTTTCCCCATATTACCAAGTAGGACCGACCCAAACTAAAGTCGGCCATAGTGGAGCTGACGGGCTCGTTCGTGCAGTACAAATACTTGTACAACAGTCTAATTAGATCTGTGCCGCAGCGCCTGCAAGCCGTTATTCGAGAACGAGGTGCCTATATACCATACCGATAGGTAAGCAATCCGCTTTTATCAATCGGCTATAATCTTTCCATAATGATTTATCGATTTCGTCGCTCTTTTCGTGGTTGGAGTCATAGGGTGAATATGGAGGCAGAGACGGCAGTAGGTACGCGGTAAGTAGGTACCTAAGTACGGTACGGTACCTGGGTATATTTACTTGGACCGCTAGGGGCTATTGGCATGTGGGGTCGGTCGCCCATCAATGCTATTATTGTCTTGAATTTCGTGGCTCATTAAACCTTAAAAGGTGATAAAGAAATGAAAAGAAAAGACGAAACCCGAGCATCCCAGCTGGCCGGCCAACTGAGATTTCCCAGCAAAGCCTGTCTTGGCCGGGTTCTCCAACCTACCTCTTTGGAAACCATGCTTCAAACCCCCCGGGGCCCCAGCGAACTCAAGGAGACGGGCGGCCGCTAACCACCTCCCGGTACAAATACACCCGGTTCGGGGAAAATCAGCGATTAGGAGGCAAATGTTTGGTTGTCTACATCGTACGTACGATGGTACCAGGCCGAAGTTATTTACCCCTTTAGGTACCGTATCCTCTCAGCAGATGTGAAATCCGCACGGGCCACACGCTAGTCCCATTATAACAGGCGGTCAACCTACCTACACACACACCCACCCATATAACCCTAACCCTTGCCACCTACCTGCTGCTGACGTAAATGAATTCCTGTATTTGCCACATCTAGATCCCTGTTTCTGCCAGCCCGCTTACCCCTTTCCAGCAGCCCGTGGCCCGTGCGGATTTCACATTTGCTGAGAGGATACGGTAACTAATGTTCACCTCCCCGCTACGGGACTTCACTTTTGGTGGATATTCCCCCTCTATCCTGATGTCAGCTATGGGGGGTAACACCATAGGGGTAATTAACTTACCCTACTACCCTGTAGTTAACTAGGTAGGTGCTGCATAGGGGCCACCAACCATCTCCATCATATTGGCCGGAGCTTCCCGTTTTTCTCTACCTCATCCGAAAGCCCCGAACTCAACGTCTGAGCACACCTACGGAGTACTCGGCAAGCGGGTGCCAAATTAAGCCGCACTCAGTGAAGTTGACTTAAGGTGGCCTGTGCTTTGGGGATCCACAATATGGTAGGGAGGTAGATGCTGAAATAATACCCATATACCCTATATTTTAGCGCATAGGCACTCGAATCAACCACTGTAATTTGTGAGTGCGGCTTTTTTTGTCACCCGCCTGCTCGGATACTGACGATGCCAAAATGGTACCGGTGGTGACGAACTCTCTACAATCTCAAACGAACCTTGGGATCCATTCTGTCATACGGACCTTCTTCCGCCCGCCTTGCTGTTTGTTAAGCCTTGGGGCGCATATTTTGTACAGCTCTCCATCTTTTATAGCGCTATAGAAAAGCTTATGCTTAAAAACCAAAACAAAATACTTGGTAAACAGCGATGCTACTTTGTTGCGACAAATGATGTCGTTATCATCGACTCGAGGTTTTGATGTTGATTTATATGGGAGAATTGTCCGTCTGGTCCGTCATGCGGGGGTGTACGAAAGGAGGGCGCTTAGATTTATCTCGATTCTGTGCTTTCGTCTATTTCTAACGCATAGCTGCCGGACTCGAGTTCGCCGAGTCCGCGCAGCCTCGGGTGTGTCCAGGGTAGGCAAGGTAGCTCGTGGGCTTGACTAACGCCCATGAAATTCGATGAGGCCACTCTGAGTTTGGCTATGACCTAACTAGGTGGTAAGTAGTCCAGTAAGGTTAGGTAGGCAGTCAGATAGATATCTAAAGTGGATTCAACTCTTTATTGATAAAATACTATAGACCAAGAGGGATTTCTGTGTCCAAAGAGGTTTTGCAGCAAGACTTGTACTTCCTGTCTAATAGACGATCCGTTACGCCCATGTCAACAGCGGACCATCTTGATTGCATCTTGACCTTCAATCCATCAGGTTCGGAAATAATTCCATCTCAAATATCAAGCTATACAGACGGTAAGAGAGTCTTAAACACACTTTGACCAGAAACTATGGGCTATAATTCAAACTCATTGAAGATCCTTTGAGCGCCCATAAATCCAAACATGACAGTTCTCCGGTATGATTTGACCTATGGAGAGCAGATTCATCGCTTGCCCCGAAAAGCTCCTTCTATTTTCAAGCGACGTGACTCTATATGCTGAATGAACAACAGTTGGGCAAGAAAAAAAAAACCCCCCGACCTGGCTGCGGTCGATAACCTACATTGTACACGGTAAATTGACTGGCCACTGGGTGTTTTTCTTTTTTCTTTCTTTTTTCTTCTTCTTAACATCGTCAGAAAAGGCAGCGAACACGGCCCACAAAAAAAAGTGACAGAAATTCAACCATGCGGGACCCGATCCAGCATCTTTAGGCCTAGCGTATTCGACTTTGTGGAGTCCACTAGCAGGCGGAGCGGAAACAACATGGGTACCCGCGTTGTTACCCGATATGGCAATCCGCAAGCGCGTGGAAAGACGAGTAGGAAGGGCATACTTAGAACAACACTGACCTGCATCAAAGACAGCAGTTCTTCCAATTCAGCCCGCATCCATGTACTTGAAACCAAAGCGCAACCAAAGTTTCATTGTCACAAAACCCGAGGACGTGGTTGGATAGTCGGTTAGTCTGCCTCTCCCATCGCCTTTGGAAGCGGGAAGAACGGTCAATATATGTCACAATATATAAGCTACTATTACTTCCCACGTAACTAACGGTACCGTTTTGTTACGTGACAGTTATAAGCCTAGCTCCTACCTGCTATATGCCATAACGGTATATGTGTTAATCTAAGTGCAGTAACTGGCTATAGATCTTAAGCACCATGGGTTCGATTCCCATTAGGGTCAGTCCCCTGGTCAAAAATCCTACCAAAGTCTATATGGATCTTCACCACCTATGATTAGCGAGATGTACCCAACTAGGTTTTCATCAAAAGTGTGTTCAGATCTGACTTTCTAGGTCAAATCTGGGGGGTGGGTCACGATATATAAGCTACTATTACTGCCCACGTAACTAACGGTATTGTTTTGTTACGTGACAATATATTTCTTCCTGGCCGTCTACAAAATTTCGTCAGGCTAGGTAGATGCGGTGGAGTTTTCCTGCTTGCGCCTCCTCTGCCTCATGAAAATACATCTCTTCTTATTTGGGTCTCCTCATGTGGTTGTGCAGTTTGTATGGAAAACGTCTTTGTTCAAGCCTTGTATTTTGGAACCATGCTGCTTTGACGAGCTTTCTTCCCCCTCTTTGACTAGGGCTGGGGCCAAGTATGTTATATGCAAAAACGCTGACTGAAGACCGGGTTCTGAGTTGTAGGAAACTATTGCCTAGCAGGACGTCAATCAAGGTCGCGAACCCGTCGAAGCGGATGGCCTCTTTAGGCCTTGAGACCTAGGTAGAACCTCCAGGCAATGCCAACTAGGAGACACTATATACACAATGCTATATGGAGGGACAGACTAGTCGAATTGCCGTTCACGGCCGGCCGCTATAGTCCTCGTAACGACTAGGTTTGGCGGCTACAAAAAATTTCTAAAACAAAGGCTCGGGTAATAGGCGCCGCACAAGACGCCGCGGACGGAACTCCTGCCGTACAGAAAGTTTGAATCCTGCACCTTTGGTAACTTTCAGAGGCGCATACTGGAGCCGGCAATTCCAGATGTGTACTGAGCCGACTGATATCCGACTATGTTTGCCGCGAGACCGCGTCTTTACGGATTTGGCACACCGACTTAACCCGCAAACATTTAGGCCGTTGTGACGACAGGCTTGAAAGGGCCGTAAGTTGCAGAAAACATCGCTGTTTAACGACGTCAAACGCACAAAAAAAAAAAACGATATTGGCTGGAACTTTGTCTGGAAAACACAGAAGTTGGTTGAAAACAGAGAGCATGGCTCGATTTGAACACAGCGATGGAGATTGGCAGCGTTTCAGGCAATGCGTGCTAGATACGGTACGGACATGCCAAAATGCAACGTGGACTATTAATCAGAATGTCACAGACCCATCTCCAAGATCAAAAGAATGAGTGGTCTCCGAGCCCGAGGTGTCCCCCGCTGAAAAAAAAATCCATCGTCTCTAGCGACAGAGCGCCGTCAAACTCAGGGGCCAGTGTGTCTCCCGTAAAAGAGGAGGGGGTTTGACCGTGCTGCTGACCTGGGGTGCCCTGTTGCGGTTGCTGCGTCGTCTGAGACCAAGTGGGAGCCGTTACCATGCCCGGTGGTTGTATTCCACCCCCCCAATGATGACCCACGGCAACGGCGGGACCTGGCACGGCTCCATCGGCTGACGAGCGGGCCTCGATTCGTGAAGAGACCTTCCTCAGAGCCCGTTCGAGCCCGAATTGTATCGCCGACGGCGCACTGTTACCCGTGACGCCATTATGCTTCTGTGCAGCGCGGAGCAGTGCCAACACCTCGTCGTCCGCGTCGGACGGCAAGCCCCCGGCCGCCGCCGCCGCCGCCGCCGGCTTCTGCTCGTGCTTTGAGATGATAAGCATCGCGTACGCCACGCACAGCCGATGGAACTCGGGCAACTCCTCGGCGCGAGGGGCCGGCATGTCGACGAACGCCCGGACGACATCCGTCGCGAAGGTGCTGACGCGGGATTGCGCCATGTCGGGGGGTCCTTGTGACCCCGGCTGGTCGTGAGCCCCGTCGTTCGCCGCAGCGTCAACCGGGTGAGGTCTCGGCGAGCTCGACAAGGAGTCTTGGTCTGGCGCGGCCTGGTCGTGTTCGAGCGAGCGCCGGGCGAGGATCAGCCACGCGATGGGGTAGCTTATTCTCAACGTCGATGAGGCAGAAAGTTCTGTCCAATCAAACGCGTCAGTTTTGTACATTTCTTTTCCTTTCTTCGCCAAGTCGTCCACATCGTGTCCACAAAGTGGCTTATGTGCGCCACATTGTATTAGGAGCCATGCTCATCCAGAGTGGCCGTTTCACGCTCTGAACTCACCAAACAAGGAGTTCCACCTGGTTCTCCACGCGGAAAGCTCCGCGCATGTGCCATCACTGCCCAGGTATAGCCCCTGCGAGAACTTGTCCTGCAGGACTAGGTAAAGCATTATTTCGGCATATACCATGGCGTCCCTAATCGTCACCTCCTCAAAGTCGAGAAGGAGTTTGCACTGCCGGAGATATGCGGGCGGGACAGTCGCCGGCCGGCCAGTTGTCGCCGCCCAGCTGGAAGGTGGCTCGTCAGCATCATGTCTTCGGAAGTTGCTCGCAAATTGTTTGCGATGATTTCACGCATTAAAGTCCACTCCTCGACTTTCTTCTCCTCATTCCTAAAGGGGGGCCTGTTCGAGGGAAGTTCGGGGACAGGGACTTACTGCAAATTTACCAAGCAGGTGTTGGCCCAAAGCCTCATAACCCTCTGATCTCCCTCCGTCGACGTCCCAGACTTTGTCCTCGATAGAATTTCCGAGAAATTGATGCTCAGCATCGCTTGCTGTGCGCAGTGTCCGCTTACTAACCAACTATCGATATATTCGGGTCCCTGATGTCGTCGTATTGTTAGCACCGTCTGCACTTATAATGCCAATGTTCCCATTTCTCCCGCGTTGCAACTCAACTTTGTCTCTGTGCCGAGCTGAGCGCACTCACGTACCGACGGTGCCGAAGCCCACAGGCTCATGATCAGAATCCCCATCAACTCCTCCAGGGGCAACGGGCTCGCGATCATCAGCTGGCCCATCTGCAGCCGAACGTGCTCAAAAATGCGCCGGTGCAGCACCGACGAGCTGTGCTCCGAAAACCGCATTGCGTGCAGACAGCAGACGTCGTGCAGAAAGGGTGATGCGTGCCGGAGGTCCATGTTCCTGGAGGCAAGGTCGGCCTCGCTGTTGATTAGAAGAGTGTGCCGTCGTCGGCGTACAAATCTGCATAGTGCTTAGTTTATGTGAGAACTGCCCTCTACAGCCCGTCCAAAATACAGAGAAGGAGGTATCTTTCCTCGTATCCATATTCTCCCCCCTTCCTTCCGACATATATATATGTGTGTGTGTGTGTGTGTGTGTGATTTTGGGACCATATGAAGTCAGCCGGGGACAAAACTCACTCGGCAAGTAGATCTCGGGCTGTTTTCTCATCCAAAATGCCCTGCGATACAACGTCGGTCTGAACGTCGAATGTCCTTCGATGCCCCCCGCTCAGCTGTCTCCCAACTTTCCGTATGACTTCCGCCGGGGACAGATAGACGTCCCGATCCGCCGGCTCCACATCTTCGTCATTCGACTCTTTGGCAGCATTGGCGTCTCTGTTACCGTTCTTGTCAACAGATGTACGATTCGGCTGCGCCTGCGGTCGCAGTTGCTGTTGCTGTTCCTGATGGCCTGTCGCCAGAGCCCGCCCCACGTCTGGCCGACTCCCAGAGGCGAGCGCCTGCACCGTCGCCCTGAGTTCAACAATCCAAGCCTCTAGACTTCGAAACCTATGATAGACGAATGTTGAGCATATGTACTATGTGCAGCCGTCGGCTTTAAGGAGTGTATGTCGGAGGGAACGGAAACAAATCCAGTTTACCTTCCTTCGATATCAGGCTTAACTGGTGCTTCACGGGAAGAAACCGAGTGCGTATCGCCGCTGTCGTTCCACGTGCAATTGATCCTGTCGTAATCAGCATTTTGCCGCTATCCTTATCTCAACTGCCTGGTCCGGCTCATTTGGATCGTTTGCCCTCCAAGTGACTGCCGCAACCCATGTCCGCTGGCCAGCCGACGTACCTCAGCGAGCGGCACCGCGCACAAACATCCGACTCCTCGTCAAGCTCGCATCGGCACTTCTGCCTGCGGCACGTATCACATGAGAGAATGCGCCTCTTCCTTTTCCGGCCCGAGTCCTCTCTCCCCGCCTCATCCCGTCGGCTTCCATCGCTCAGCCTGCGGCGGCGAAAGCTAGGCGAGTTCTCCTCATTCTGCATCTCTCCCTCTCGAAGGCACTCCGAGACCGCTAGCTTATGAAACTGCTTGCGGGAAGCTGTGTGACAAACGAGTTCGATGGGTGTAGATAGGTGTCTCGTAGAGGATTGTGGTGGTTGGCTTGTGGTCTCGGACGAAACAGGAGATACACGGAGATCTCAGCGAGCCTATCGATTGGCCGAGAGAACCCCGCAACCTCATGTCATATTGCGCACGGGTGGGGAAGGAGTTAACCGGAAATCGACGGACCGCCCGCCAGAAAGCGTTCTAGGGAGGAATGCATGTAGGGACTCGAGAAAACGTGATTCTGTTGGTAGTTTAAGCTTCTGAGAAACACACACACACACTCTCTCTCTATATATTATATATACCCAACGATCACCGATGTGGATGGGCCTGTCTGTGCATCCGAAAGACGACGTATTAATATCCGTACCAGATCACATCCCGCTTGAGTCCAGAAATGGCTACCATGACAGAAACACAGAGGGTGCCGATTGGCAAGAAGCGGATCTTCTTGAATAGCTACGATGGCCCGACGTACAGATTAGTGTCCGCTAACCCGCCGCGCGATTGCACGCCTGATGAGATCCCTATCATCGATCTGGAAGGGATGAATGGAGACCTTGATGCCCGCAAGAGCGTCGCTCGTGCGATCTTATATGCGGCGGAAACGAGCGGGTTCTTCTACATAAAGAACCACGGTATTCCGGAGCACGTCACAGATGCCGCTCATAAGAAGGGCATAGAGTAGGTCTCACCAGTAACCAGGAACCGGGCCCGCGTTGTTAGACCGAGACCCGCCTCCGGCGTTCCGAGGATCGTCAAGCTCACTGGATCACGACAGGTTCTTTAAACTGCCAGAGGAGCAAAAGCGAAGGCTGGAGTCAAGTACCTCGGCCTACGGGTATTGTGGCTTCCGGGAACGGCAGGCCAACCCGGCCGAGACCAAGGACAGGAAAGAGGCCTTCATGTGCCACTACGAGCCCGAGTTTGACCCCCTCCACGAGGGCGTCCTCGATCAAGTGCCCGCGCACGTCAGGCAGCATCTCCCCAAGGAAGACTTTGACTGGGTCGACGAGGGGAGCTCTGCTGTGCTCCCGGGATTCAAGTCATCAGTGCTAGCCCACTGGCGTGCGTGCCTGGCGCTTTCGCGCCGTCTGATACGCATCATCGCCCTGGCCCTCGACCTCCCCGAGGACCACTTCGATCCCTTGACAACTTACCCCGGCGGCGATTTCGCGATAAACTTTTACCCGGGCCACGGCGACCAGCCGGTCCAAGACCCGGACGAGGTTGGGGTCGGCGCGCATACGGACCTGCAAATCCTGACCCTTCTGTGGCAGGACGGGCATAGGGGCCTGCAGGTGCTCAATGGGGCGGGGGAATGGGTGTGGGCACCGCCCATCAGCGGCACGTTTGTCGTCAACATTGGCGACTTCTTCATGCGAATGACCAACGACAGGCTGAGCTCCACAGTCCATCGGGTAATCCAGCATGGCAGAGAAGATAGGATCTCGATGCCCTTCTTCTTCGGTATGGGCCACCTTTTTCAGCGTCCCGGGGACGAGGCCCATACCTCGCTCGCCGTTCTTCTTATTTCGTCCATCTGTGGGGATGTTTTCTTCTTTTGGCTGACCCGACTATTTTATCTTATACAGGATTCAATTTCGACCAGAAACTTGGCGTTCTGCCAACTTGCGTTGACGAGAATACCCCAGCCAAGTACAAACCTGTAACATGCGGTGAGGTTAGTCTGTGAATCTTGTTTTCCTCAAGGCGATCACCGGAGCGGCAGGGATTTTCTGACGTGGAACGGACAGCTTATTGCGAAGCGCTTGGCCCTGGCGGAAACCACTGCCTAGCGAGACTGCTTGGGCATTCGCCTCGTGGAGTTGGGCCGCAGGAACACGCGTTGGAGAATCCGAATCAGGTCATCTCGATTGTAGTGGGCTGGCTGCTCTCAAAAGTAAAGGTAAGGCATACCGGTATCTGGAAGAAGGTAATCAACCAACTGACTGTAGCAAAGTCCGTCTTTCGGGTTTCTCGGGTCGACGCGCATACCATTGGTGAATGGAAAGTCAGCAGGATCCCGATTGTCGCGGTATTTACTATGTACTCTGTACCAGGTGGACGGCGGTGGACGGCGGTGGACGGTGGTGGACGGTGGTGGACGGTGGTGGACGGCGGTGGACAAGAGCCCCACCCAGACGCTCGGCCCTCTCCCAAGAAGGAGAGACCGTTCAATGTCAGCGATTACTATACATAGTCACGAATCAGGAGCCCTGGGAAACTGTGGATTGCAACTCTACTTCTACAGGCATAGCCCTTCAACTACATCTCGAGGCGACGTGATGTGATGTCTCTCACACGACAGTGTGCCGGCGCCATGAAAAGGGGAGATCGGGTTCAGTACAGAAGTCAACAAGCCCGTTGATCCATATCCGATCCGGAGTCGACTCCGGGGGGGGGGGGTTTCCAGGTGCCCCAAAGGCCCGTCGCCGAAACATTGAACATGTTGTGTCCCTCGGTAGGCTGGGCCAAGGGCAAGCGCGTGAGCCCACACGTGTGCTGCAGAACTGAGGTGCGATGGGCCAAAAATAATACCACGATGCCGATGAGGGCGTTAGGTGTCATAGGCTGTTGGAAGACGAAACCGTCAAAAGTCTAGACACTTTTATTGGGTGAGTTTCTCTGCGGCTCTTGCAGATGACTCGGGTATTCACTGACGCACATAACAGTATCCATGCGACGGAGAGAAGCCCAGCCGAGTCGAAGCGCAATATCGGATGAACAATCGTCTTCTGGGAATTTTGGAAGGTCTCGCGATCCCTCAAGGGACGATTTGCGGCATCCCTGGCGCGGCCTGAACGTTAGCTGAGAGCTTCTATCGTACGATATTCAGAGTCAAGCTATGCGAAGCCACTGGAAGCGGAGAGCCTCGGGTTTCATCGAGTTATTTGAAGCGCTCATCATTGCGGCTGCTTGTTGAGGATTGGCGTTGGATTGATTCAATAGTCGGCGACAATCCCAATCTCAATGAGGGCTTTTGTCAAACATATTCAAGCGAGCTGCTTCGGAGAAGCTTTTTTTGCGATGCAATGAGCTTCCATATCTTGGGTTCGTGAGACCAGGGTCATGGAGGGGCTGGAGGGGCTGGTTGGAGGGAGGGCTTCGTTGTTAGTATAAGAAGGTGTAATTCCATCAAGCCAAACGCAGGGGGGGCTTGGCCACTCCTCGGTCTTGGGCTACTGAGCTACAGCCTACCAGGGTGGGTCGGGGATGCACCGACTCTCCGGGACCTAACATGGACCAGTCGGAAGGCGTGGTCTTGCAGGGCAGGGAGAAAAAAAACCCAATCCCCGATCAAGCCGCGTATTCATTGTCCGAGGTGGCGCCTGCAACCAACGACAGGAGAAAGAGGGAGTACATGCCAGCTCCCAACCAGTTGACCAGGTACATATAGCAAACATGTTTCATCTGCGGCTAACACGCCGCTGTGTTGTAGAAGCTGGGCGATTTTTAACCAGAATGCCACTGGCGATCTGTAGAGGGTTGCGTACCTGTGCGACCTTACAAGGGTCCGCCTTGTAACGGTACCTCGGTATCTGTAGAGGCGACGACACTGAGCCAAGCCTCCGCTGCAGCACTGTATGAACCAATACCGAATTCCAATTGTGGGGGCTCGCCGGTTCCGATACCCGAGCTGAAGACATGGTGCGTCTACATAGGAGGTACCTAGGTACTGTAGGTAGGTAGTCGGCCATAGCATGCACCATCGGCAGAAGTTTAACCCCAGAGTCTCTTTGGAGGCACCGCTGCGCTCTCCAACGGTGGTGTACAGTGGTTGATGCGAGAGCTCCGAGCAAGCAAGACAAGGAAACTACGTACGTACGAAGTACATGGCAGGTGGCGGATGGTACATCGTATGTAACGATACCTCATATGTCAACTAGGATCTCCACTGTCAGAAAGTGGGGGAGATCTGACTTCTGACAAGCGCCAATCGCCAATGGCGCCTCGGGTCTTTCCAACTGGGCCCACTAGAGACGCCCGCCCTACGACCGAAAAACAGAGGGCGAACAGACTGGAATGGGTTACCTAGTTAGGTTGCCTTGTCAAGTTGCTTTTGAGTGAGCTAAGATGAAGCGAACTGACCTGGGGGCTGTTGCCCCTGACAATGGTACGTTGGAACGGCGGATACTCCACGGCCGCATGACATCTAGGCCTGCCGCCTGCCCAAGATTGTTTGATGGAAAGGTTAGGTGATGTCGGCAATTGGGAAGAAGACCACCAGCGCTTAAACGAGGCGACCTCTTGGCCTTGCGAACAGGGCTGTCTTGCCGACATGACATGACATGAGACAACAAAGCGACGCAGAGAGTTGATGTAGTGTATGGGAGCAAGGGAATCGTACCCTACACTGGTAGGGAGGCACACAGGTACCGGTAGGTAGTCTAGGTAGAAAGAATGTGCTGAGATACGGCCCCGCATACCTCGAGTCGGTCGGGAAAACAATGAAACGGAGGGAAGAACGTCCTACTGAGTGTGTATAGGTACCTAGGTAGTCTGGCTTCGAGGGGAAGGGCGCACGGACCGTCTGGCCGGGAGCACTCTGGTACCTTTATTCCTAAACGAAGCCTAACAACAGGATGGGTGATTGTTGTAGTGAGTACCTACCTACAGATACGGATAGGCATCTCAACAGGTCTGCATAGCAAGTCTAATACACTCGTCAGTTATTTCCCGTGATTCCGCGATTACATCGGTATCCGGTACGTCGAATCCATTGTGCACGTCGAGCACCTTTCTGGCCATTCAGACTCTCTGTTTATGTTGGGGGACCATGCCTACTGCTTTGTAGGGAGGTTATGCTTACCCGTACCACAATACCAACTACGGTCCGGAAGAGTCCTGGACCAACCTAATAGTCGTAAAGGTTGACGCTACATCCTGATTAGATGCGCACCAAGAAGGAAGGAGATCTGGATCGGTTCTGCACTACATGTAGTCTACAGAGTACATTTTACACTACCTAATCCAGGCGGGATAGTCGCCGCGATGGGAGCCCCCACTTATTCCATTTCCACCAGTCATCCTGCCCGGAGGTCCCGTTCCGGGCCCTCCCCTCCTGCTGACATGCAGCACTAGCGAGGAGTGCGAGCGTCACGTGCTATCGGGAATAAGACAGGTTGAGGAACTCGACCGGCCCGAAAACTCACTCCAGTGTCTGCCTAGGCAGATATTGTCATGCCGAGCGACTTTAGCGCGCAGCAATCTGCAATGCCCACCTCGGCAGTCACTAAGCATGGTATGCTGCATATCGTGAGTGAGCGAGGACGTGACAAAAGGAACGTTAACCTTGTAAGTACTGCCTGCCTAAGTAGGTAGGTAACACAAGGGGGTTCTGGTGGAAAAGGAGACGAATTAACATACATGGTAGGCAGCACGAGCTCTGACTCTTCCCTAAAGAAGGGCGGGGAGGGTCCTTCGGGAATGTGTGTACACACTACTAGTACAGCATCTGTCTAACTATACGTCTATCTACTTACTGGTACTACATGCATAGTAGGTATGGACATAGCTGGGTGCGTGTCCCACATGACGACGTCAGCGCCCAAGGATACGCGACCGGCGAACTTGGCCCAGAGACGCATCGTGCCTCCTGCATCGAGGACGGCTGAGGCCTCTCTCCCCCTCCCCTCTACGGCCACGACTTACACCGTACGGTGCATCATACTCCTCCTCATCGTCCATCCGCTTTCTCCTCCTTCTCCTATCACATGCCCTTTTCCGAAAAGCCTTCTCAGTACGTACCTTGTGTTCGTACACCACCATTGTGAGTAAGGAGGAGGTAGCTACATACCTACCTACCTAGGTACCTGCCTAGGTACCTAGTTACCTTCAGCCCAGGTCTGGCATCACATCAGTTTACTGGGTAGGTGCAGAAAAAAATGACCCGCCAATGGACAGAGCTCGTTCGGCATATTTCCTGCTGGTAGAAAGGAAGAGAAAGGGCAACGCAGACTCATTGAGCGACCGTCTTGGCTAGGTATCCCGAGTCCAAAAGGCGCCTAGTCCCCAAGAGACCGACAGAGTCACGAGTGGCGTTGAGACCAAGCGGTTGAAGCTAACGTCACGTCTCCGTCATCCCCCTCCCCCGAAAACTCGAGGCTGCCACGCTTTGTTTATCAGGACCCTGCAGCAGCAGGCTGAGCCTACGGTGTCGTTTTAGACGGTCAGTTGCCGATCCCTACCTAATCTCCATCCGATCAGGCGTTCCCTGCCCTGTCTTCGCCTTTGGTGAGATTCAGGGACCACCCCCAAGATGCCAACAGCCGTCTTGGACCAACAGGAGAGCATCTTCATCTCGCCACATCTCGCCAATGCCACCATGAGTAGCATTCATCAGAAAACCACCAGCCTGAAGCCTGGAAGCATGGTACAATCTGGTAGTTCGGGCCCAACGAAGGAAGAAGGGGCTGGTAGCAGGGGGGAAAGGGAGGGGAACCACCCCTCCCCCCACAAGCAGGGGATATCTCCTCAGGCCCTTCACCGTATCCGTGTATCCGTAGCCAAGACATTAGCCCCATTTCACTCACACTTTCTTTCTTTTTTCTTTCTTTTTTAACTTCAGTATCGTTTAATCTAATTTCATATTGTTGGCCCTGGGGCGTGTCTTCTTCGAGTTCAATGCACTGACGCCAACCTCTCGTACAGGTGTTGCATCCCGGACCACATCACAACAGAGAACACCCGCCCGCATCATAGTAGCGTCCAAGGAAATATGATTGTTGTTGTTTCGTCCAATGTAGCCTGCCAGTATCATGCTCTAGGGAGCTCGACGTTGAGACCAATCCATCTCGCTCGAGCCACAGTCGCAATCGCAATCGCAATCGCAAACCACCTTACGGACGCTTCCTACTCCGTTTCAACCCCCATAGAAACGACTGAATGGTCGACTAGCCGGCTGTGAAGGATCCGACACGTATCTAGCACCCCGTCTGCTGTGAAGCAGCCATCCTGTTTTTGTTGCAGAGCACAGCACGGCATCGGCTCCGCGATCAAATATCTATTGATCCTCCGGGCTGGTAGGTGGATTATATGCAGAGGACCGCGGCAGGAGGTGACAGGCGACCCCGGAGAAGATTTCACTATGCAGCAAGGCGGTGACTTAAGGAGATCTGATAGCAATTCCGACTCGGCCAGGCCAGGCCAGGCCAGACCAGGCGCGGCAAGCAGAGAATGCTCCGTCTTTTTGTATCCTACTCAAGATCGAAAAAGATACAGTCAGCCGCAACAACACCCCCTCCCCACTCGGAAAATATTGCATACGCACAACACACACCTGCCTGTACCAGTACACAACTACCTACCTACACACATCCACATTCGCTACGAGAATGCAGTGGCGGGGGAGGGGCGTCGCCTGGAGCGAAGGCGCGGAGTATCGGCCGACGCACACCGATATCTATGCCAAGAGCCCTATCAGCTTTGGTCTGGTGTCATAATTTGGAAGTGGTAGAGATCATCCAAGGCGAGGGACGCTAGGGTAAGGCGAGGAAGGTAATGGTGTGGGTGTGTCGTGAGTATTCTAGAATCCGAGGCGCGACACATCGCATCACATCACAGCCAAATGAGCTGTACCATCTGCTAAACGGAGTTGCCAGTGCTACTGCTGCCACAACTGTGGCGGTAGGGATGCCGACCCTGCGTTCTGACCACAACCTCGTCCCGACGAAGCAAGGGTGGGTAAGGGAAAGTACCTAGGTAAATACTCGGGCCAAGGTGTCTATTGATCGGTGTCTATCGACATACTCCATCGCGGCTACGCTACGATGCGCAAGACGCCGTCGGACTATGGCTTGCCATCCATCTCGCATGTAACAGCGGCAACTACACCACCTCATTACTACCGCTTGACAACACGGGTCCACCGCAGCAAAACTCTTGTACTATTCCGATCGAACCGCGTGAACATCACTGCTTTGACCTGCCCGGTCCTGCTTTACCTGTCGTCTGAAGCTGCCTTCAACGGGCAAATCAATCTGGTTCGGACGAATCTTCGAAGTCGTCCATCAGAGTTCTTGTTCTATGCGTTTTATCTGGTTATCCCTTCCCGTCCACTCATCCGCTCGCTGCTGGTGCGTTTTCTGTTTCTACAAGCATTGCCGGGGAGTCGGAGCTCGCTCCGGCCCCTATAAATCAATTTCCCACCTCTTCGGTGTACATTTCTTGTTTCCTTTTACGATTCCAGGGGAAAGGGGAAAAAAAAAACAGAAAACAAACACCACACACTACGCTCGGTCGTTGACGAGTGAGGCCCCAAAACCGACCGGCGATAAAAAAAAATATCGACCGCCCCGCCTCCTGGTGTGCTTTCCAAGCCCGCTCGCGACATCGTTAGAACAGCTCGACCTCTTCCTGACACAAGCTAGGCATATCATACGCCACGGAATGCGCGCCGGCTAGGGAGGGCCCGTCCCGCACCGTAAACCGCACTTTACGCTCCTGTTTTGCACGGTAGGACGGGGTCAGGTCCCGCGTCTCCTCCATTTCCTACGTCTCGTGTGGCGCAGAGACTGCTCCATCTTCTACATCGGGCCGCTGGCAGGAAAGAAAACCACAGGCTGGTGGTTCACCTCACTGCAAGGACGCCCGCATGTTTCTCGACTAAACTTCATAACCCCCAACGTCCAGCATCGAGCCACCTTTCTCGCAGCGAAACGCGAATGCCCCTCCGTTCAGTGCCACCTGTCAGTCGCAGCCGCTGCTCTAGTCGCTCCTGCCACTAGAGTTTTCTGCGGTCTGGACCGCCTGGACTACCTCCCCGGGCTGGGTCTGTTGTCCTGGTGTGGACCACACGCATGCTCCTTATTGTCCCGCCTAGCCTAGCATGCAACCCCTTCATCTCAACATCAACTGCAGAGTCTTGCTGAATGACCCGAATCCACCCGGCTTCGATCGCTCTTTCGGTTCCTTCGCTACTAGGTGAAGCATGAACACCGAACCTTCGTCTGTAGCTTCGAGCTGGGCGGGATCGGCTGCAGGCATGTCAGCCCATCGAAAGGAGCGCGGCCATATCGCACAACGGGTAAGTCTGATTGTGTGTCTTGTCTCTCGTCGAGTGTCGTCGGGGAGTTTGTGCGGTAACCCTGCTTTTCGTTCGGTTGCTGTATCGAATCCGAGGGGGTGGGCGCGATGACAAATTGCCTGTCCAGACGCTTGTCAGAGTCCCCAGCCCTGCTTTGATTACCTCCTCCCCGACTGTCAAGAGACGCATGGTTCACCTTGGATACAAATCTGATACAACGTCTCGATAGGCTTGCGAGGTCTGCCGCCGCAGGAAGCAGAAGTGTGACGAAGAGAAGCCGACATGCGGATATTGCTCCAAGGCCCAGCTGGAGTGCGATTACGGAAGCCCAAAGCCGACCAAGTAAGTGAACTCCCTCTCTTCCTCTGTCCCTCGCTTGCACATTTGACTCATCTGTCCCATCCGTGCCATTACATCCCACACTGCCTGTATTGGAGCGGCAAGCGATGGGGCTAAGGGTGCTCCGTCACCGTAACGTCAAGTGGCTAATTTCTTGGTGCAGGAAAGACAAGACATTGGTTGAGTTACTTGACCTTGTAACCAACATCAATCAGCATACCAGTCACATCCCAGAAATCTCTGCCCAGCTTCTGAGATTGAGAGATAACATTCCGACACTTTTGCCTACCGAAAGTAGTGCCGGCAGTGACGTCGCCTCCTCAACAGCCACCGTGCAGCCTTCGACTCAAACGGGCCTGAGTCTGGCGCCACGACACCAAGCTGCGCGCCGTTATGTTTCCACCCTGGACAGAATCTTGTCCTGGCCTGCAGTCCGGCAGACACTCGAAACCGTCCGGCCAAAGATACCCGGTATCCAAGCAATCTTCGAGGGCCCAGAATCGTCATCCGTGCTATTCGACCAGCGAAGGGATACCCGGTGTCTCTTCCGGGGCGGCTTGGAGTCCATGGGTGCACAAGATCGCATTGCTTTGGGAATAGCTCCCGACGACCCCAGACCGCTTCAGATGACGAGCATAAGCCCACACATTCTTGCGGAGCGCATTAGAATATACTTCAACACCTTTAATCGGATTCACCCTGTCTTAGACCGTCAATACTTCATGGAAGTGGTGTTCCCTGGAGTTGTCCACAACCGTTTCTGCGAGAATGCGGCATCTACCTTGCTGTGTCTAGTGATGGCGCTTGCCGAGGTAGCCGTTGCAGACGTACCAGGCAGAGGGTTTTCGGCTTTTCAAGGCCACCAAGATGGCGAGCCAAGCAATACTGCTGAGTATATCGAATACCGCCCACCCGGTATCGAGTTCTTCAACGAGGCGAGGCGGCGCTTGGGCTTTTCTGTCGGCGAGTGCAGTTTGGAGAACGTACAAATGTTCATTCTGACGGGGTATGTTATTCCCGAGTGTCACATTCTTTGGAACCTGTTCCGGACCTGGTTCCGATCTGGACATATTGCTAATCAGGGTCTGGTCCTATAACAGATTATATTACGAGTCTTGTTCTCGACATATGGTATCTACAAACAGGACAGGTTTCTATGGAAGGCTTGACTAACTCAAGTTGGACAGGAGTTCTGGAATATGATCATATCAGCATCCCTGGCTTGCCAAGCACTGATTGCCAGGTACGAGTCTCCCTCAAGGCCCGTTGTGAGCCAGGGTCTAGTTGACCGGCCATCTTATGGGCTGATGAGCTGATCAGGAGCTGCAGTAACTCGGCCGAAATGTATGCTGCCCACGCTGATCAGATCTGTCGGGCGTTTTGGTATTGCTCCATTATGGAAACGTACGTGAAAAGCTATCTCGTTTAACCAGCCCAAACCGTCACTGCCCATCCTACGCTCTCACTGTATTCATAACGACGTTCTCCTCCCATCTCGTTTCCATTCCTGGCTGACTGATGTATTGGAATGGGCGAGTAAAACGCAACTGCTTCAGATCATGGCCCTTGCCACTGATTCTGAGATCTTATTAAAACTAACAAGTGCTTCTTGAATAGAGGTATCCAACGGGACTTAGAATTGCCCTTGACAGGCCTCGACAAGCTTCAGTCGCGCATTCAGCTGCCCCAGTTTCCCGACTATGTCACCACGACCGACGAACTTCTTCGTGTGCACATGTACAACGACAGGATGTCCCATTACGGCGAGATATTTGTCTATCAGATTTCTCTCCGGAACCTGGCTGTCAAAATTCGCAACGGTCTGATGCAAGGTGAGTTCCATGCCCACCCACGTTCAGGCAGTTGCAAAATATCTATTCCTCCTCGCAACCTGGGCTAGTGTAGGACAACTGTTCGTAAGATGCCTATGCTCGTCGTCCAGTCGTGCTGTATCGCTTGAAGCCCGGGGTCGACGCCTGCGCATCAGGCCGTATCTTACCATGCTTCGCACTGCATGGCGGTTTCGATTATTGTTATTATTATTGTTGTTGTTTTTTCTTTTCATTTTCTTTTTGTATACCACGACTGATGACTTGTATCTCTAGTTGCTGAAGCACCCATCGCAAACCTGGGTCAGACGATGCCCGGACCAGACGATCTTTTACGAACCACGGTTGATAAATTGGGTAGGGAGCTCGAACAGTGGCACGGTTCTTTGCCGGATCACTTGAGCTGGGACAGAAACCTTCCTTCCGCTATGTATTCGGCTCCCGATCTTCAACCCTCCAGCCCATCGTTTTACGCCCATAGCATGTATGCGGCCGATGCTATGGATGCGTTGCATTCGGCTCCAATGAACAATTTCATCGGGGCCGACATCACTAACCCCAATGCGAACATCGGCTTTCCGAACTCGGACGGCGTTCTGCTTGCGATCATGCGCTCAAATTATTACCACGTCGAATCCATGCTCTACAGGCCCTTCGCTTATAAAGCCCTTCACGAACATCCGGACAACCTAACCGAAACGGACCTTTCGGCAACGACGAGGTTCCTCCATTCCTGCGTTCTCTGGCCTATAATGGTCCCGCCAGCCTCTCAGCATAAACGCATGATCCCCTGCCTTTATTCCTGGTCGCAGAATATCCTAGGCGCACTCATCGTTCTGCACCTGTCCCTCATAAACCCCACGCTCTCCAAGATCAGACAAAGCCATTGCCGCCAGGGGTTCGAACAAGAAGCCGAGTTGACAATTGAGTGGGGGACCGCATGGATTCGAGATCTGAAAGACGCTGATAGAACTGCACAGCGCTGTTGGATGATCCTCAAAGGCTTGTATCGACTCGATGGCTGAGCGGAAAACGGAAAGCATCAGGGGCGCAAACCGAAAGAGATGATTGACTTGGCAAGGACGCATGATTCCAGTTCTGTAACTGTTGGGGGCTTTGCGGTATAGAGATGGCGGGACGAGACCATAAGGGGCAGGGTGTTCTCGGGCATTTGGGGCAGCCTCATATTTTTCGTATCATATATGGACGACCAAGTAGAGCGGGAAATAATGAATTTCACGAAAGCCGACAATTAAGAAAACGGCAAGATCGTGGACTTGTCGCATGTTCCCGCGTGCCTGCTCCGGCATCAGGCCTTTCCTCTATCCAATATCGTATTCTACAACCTGGATAACTGCAGAAATCGTTTACATGATGTACGCCCAATCAAGAGTAGGCCTCCTGATCCGGGACTCGATTTCTATGCGGCCAAGTGACGGTGGCCAGAAGCGGGTTAACGATGGTCGATGGTCTTTCTTGCCATATGGCAACTTCGTTCACGGGAGACAAACTCACGGGACCACCTGTTCGAGGGAAGGTGGCATCGATACCGTAGGAGATTGGCACAGGAGGTTCAACAACAAAAACAAACCCGGCTCAAAGCTACGTCAGCTCCCCCTTCGATCAATCGACCGGCCATACTTTCGTCAACCCAATACCAGCATCAAGAATCTTTATAGACAAGGCTTCCAGTATATCCACTATTAACACCAACCCACGACTTGTGAGTTTCAGACAAGATCAACAAAGTCCAGATTTGCTAACCTACAGTCACCGACATATGTAGGACTCGTATCGCTCTTTGCACCATTCCCAAACGCCGCAACGATGGCTACCCACCACGACTATCTTTCATATAAGCGAGACACAAGATGCCTACTCTATTGGGTGATCCACGCCTCCAACTTCGTCATCAAGACAAACAGGAAGACGGACCACCGCTGGAAGTCGCCCGTCAGGTTCAACACGTCCGGGACAGTCACTGTCGATGAATTCGCAGGAATGACTAGACTCATTGGAGACGAGATGCGCTCCGTTCCATCCTTGGTTCTCGGATTGCTCCGCTCGGTGATTCTAGCAAGAACGGCTCACTAGGATGGGTTTCAACAATACACCGAGGGAGACCCCCAAGTCGAGAAGTCCTTCGCATCTGACAGAATATTCACGATCGCCCTCTACAAGGCTTTCGAAGCCTTTGAGGCTCTTTGTACAAACAGTCGGTGTGCAGGCCAGGAGTCGGGCAATGGGCTCCAAGTACCTGGTGCCATCGAGGAGATCATTCTCGGCAGCGACTTCTCAGTGCGGGATGTCAGAAGATTGAATGACACTGGGTCAGAGAATGGATCAAGTGATGATGATGTCTTCAAAACTCAGAAGCGCGTTAAAAAAAGAAGCAACATGGGTAACAAAGGGAAGAAAAAGAAGAAGGCGAAGACGGCGGCTCAGGTTTTCCCTGGAGACGTGACCCTGGCAAAGGTACCACTAAATGACTATCACTTCGTCAGAACAGACGACGAGCAGATGACGGAGTACGCAATGGCCGTCTGCTCATATTTCCGGGAGTGTTACAGTCTCCGTGCCTACCTCCAGGGTATATGGCGTGAGGTTGCATATGACGGCCTCAACATTGTTGTTGCCGGCACGTTGGTTCAGCTGGCCATTGGGATGGTAAAAAAAACCGAGTCGGATGTCTTCGCAGACTTTCCAAGTCGGCTCTCGTTTGAAAAACTCGAGAGGGCCATGACGTTGGGGAATGTACAGAAGGCCGAGGATGAGTTTGGCGCAACCATGCACCTCTTGATATCGGACGACCGGAGCCAAGGTAGCGACAATGCCTTCATCGATTTCAGAGAATACATCATGTCCTACACCTACCAAGATCTTGTTGACTTTGTGGTCGACTACCAACAGAAGAGAAACGGTGTGCCAACTAAGTCAATGCTCGCCCAAATCGCGAATTAGGACCCCGACTTTGACCTGCAGCGAGCTACACGAGAGGAAAGGTCGAAATGGCGTCGAGCGTACACAATCAAATGGCTGTACGATTTTGTCAACATTTATTCATGCCCAACCGCCAAATATGCTGACGAGGAACACCAAGACCTCGAGGACATCGACTGGTCCCCCCAAAGCAAGCATGTCCTCCAACAAGCGGTTACGGGTCTCCAAGATTTTGCGGCAATCATTACCTCGCTTGCAATGCGAAAGCCCGGCACCTGCGTTTCGGAACGCATCTTACCACACCAAGTCTTTGTGATACAGTGTATTGTAGACGCCTTCATCGTGTCGCGCGGCTGGTCCATCGATATGTTGAAAGGGCATGTCCTCATGAGTCCGCCCCAGAGTTTCAACCCGACCAGAGAAATTGAGCTGTTCTTGGATCGAGAAAATGAAAGGAAACCCTCGGGGTGTATGCATGCTCTTTGGCACCTGACGGAGCTTCTTCAGGCCGACGAAACACTCCGCATGCAACCAGGTTACCACGACAATTGGTTCGAATCCGCGCAAGCACTCCATAATCTATGGAGCTGTCTAGGCCGTTCAACCCACTTACATGAAGAATTCATGTTCCCGGATTCTGCATTCTCTGAGACTCACGCCAATGGCCTTTGGGAGCTCTCTCCTTTCCTATGTGGCGTGGGACTCATGGATAGCGTTGAGTTGGCATACCGATACTCGATGAGTATATGGGACGCTCTGGTGTTGATTTCAGCGATGTTCCATTTTTACAACATGCTTGTGAAAGCGGGGTACCTCACAATACCGAACCAGCTTTACCACAGTTTACAAGACTCGTTTAGGGACTGCATTTTCCAAAACGGCGAAGTACCGACGTACAACTTCGGCCGGTGCCTCACAAGACGAGTGAACGATCTCTGGGGTACAGGAAAGCAGGGCCAGAAGAATGCGCGGTGCTTGATGGCATCAAAAACACAGGGAATATACGGGGGGCTAGATCCCAGCCTGAATGTGTCGTTCAAAAAGAAATCAAACTTGCTATTGTACCGAGACGCCAACTGGGACATCGAAAGCATCCCGGACGGCGATATTGAGCCACGATCTTCACTTGCGATGCTCCGCATCTCCCAGGCAAAGCAAGTAACCGACAATCAAACAGGAGAGAAAATTCTCGAAGAAACAGACCTGATACGCCGCGCCAAAGCAGAGCTCAAAGTAGACAATGACGAGCTCTTGAGCATGGCGAATGCACAGATTGGCGTCGAACCGGCTAGTCATGCAGGCACTCGGCTAGCTAGGGAACAATTACTGAGGCTTGTCAAGAAGGACATATACAATGATGTCTGTGGAGACTCGCCCTCATCCGGCATCAACTATCTTGGGGTTGCTGCTTTTGTCTTGTTCCACCACAGCAGCATCGAGATGGAGCTGCTCCGCTTGGAAATTCCGCGATTCCTGGAGGTGTATTTATCCGAGAATCCCGATAGACGGCTGCTTTCCCTGATTCAAATCATGAATCTTCGCGATGAAGGGTGTCTCCGGATCATGGCTGGGGTGATGGAGACCTTCAGGACTTCGTTGAAGGATTTCGTCTATTGGGAAGACATGGGCAGAGCAGCGGACATGCCGAACAGAAGCTCCGCGGAAAGGCCGGCCGATAAGCAATGCCCAGTTATGTGAGGAAGACTGATGTGCGGGCGACCTAGTGTGCAGTTAACTTAGCGTTGGCTTGACTCGTCAGAAGGTTGAGGGTGATCCACGAGCGATGGACGTGGCTTAGGTCTAGCGAAGCATGCACAAGAAGTATAGAGTAACAATACATGGCGAATGAATTGAATACGGCAGAATGAGACGTGCCGACTCGGAGTAAAGAAAATATGGCTTTGGTATCCCGAGAAGGGTTTGGAGAGACGTGCTCACAGGACTCGAAGAACGCTTCTTGGCGACGGTTTTGCCACGGATGATTCCCAGGACCAGGGTGCGTTGAGCGCTACTAGTACATAACCAGGCGGCGTGACTGGGGTGGCGAGCCCGGGGGAGACCAAAAGCCAGGAGACGTAAAGTAGAGGCTACGTGTATCCGTAGTGTATGTAGCAGTTAATAGAGACGGGAAGATGGTGAGGCTGCATCATCGGTGGGACCCTGGGAGACGGGCTTGGACGGCCGGGTGTATGGCCCCTCCCATTCCCCGGATGGGGAACGACGTCGGAGGGGAGTGGGGGGAGGGGGGCGGTGGGTACCACGTCACATGTTTGCGTCACGGAGACAAAGCGAACGCAGTACTTGGCTTTTGCCGCTTCAACTACCGATGAGAGTGAGTCCATTGCTCGTCGTGCCTGATGGGCTCGTTCGGAACCATGTGGCTAGCTCACGGCTAGCTTACCCGCTCTCCGGCCATACCACCCCCTCCAGCCGCCAGAGCGCGCGCATGTTCCCCGCCAAAGGGAGGGACTATGGGGCCGCTAGCCCGGCGCTAGGTCCGTCCATGACAAGAGCCGGGGGCCCGGGTACGCCGCTAACGAAATCATATGGGTTCGGCCGCGGGAGGGGGGTGGGGCTGAGGAGGGAACGCGTTTGGTCCGGCGCTTGCTCCGCGCCTCGTGCGCTGTCTCCAGGCTTGATGGCCCACGTCTGCCGATTACGATCCCGGGATTGTCTCCCTGGCAAATATGCACGAGACCTCACATCTGACGAGGGGGAGTGTGGCGTGGACGGCCAGCCCCCGGCCGTGTCACTCGGTTGTGGCTTGCCGGTACAAGCCAAAACAGGCAGAGAGCCCCCTTTCCCCCGCTGGGCCACGTCGGTACTTGTTTTGTGGCATGATTGTCAAACGGAGAGGGCGTGATACCTACCACTCACTCCCGTCTGCCTGCTTGCCTACCTGCCCACCTACCTACCTACCTACCTACCTACCAAGGCGCGATGCCGGACCAGGTCTGGACCTTGCCGGTCGACCTCTCCCCAGAACGAAGGCCGGACGCGGCGCAGCCAGGTCAGGAACCGACTTTACCCAGTCAGCTAGCATGTCGTGAACTGCGGAAAGGGAAGGGTTGCAACGTCCGCCAAAAAGGAAAGACCGGCGTCGATACGGGCGCGTCCCGTCCCGGCAGTGGGCGTGGTTCCGTCCTTCTCCTTGGAGTGCAGGGCGAGGGGATCGGGCACATGGGCCGCCATGACGGTCCCTCTCATACGTTCTCCCTCGATGCCCTGCGGTTTGCAATTGTACTTCCTGTGCAGCTAGCTGCCCGGCAAGCTTCCTTGGCCACTGCTTGGCCTGGCAGGGCACCTCAATACCTCCTCCTCCTCCTCACCCGACCCCGACCCCGTCTCCCTCTCCCACATACCGGAATCGGGCCGTTCTCGTTCTCGTTTCCGCAACGCGCTAAGAGAGGTGGCAGAGAGGGGCGCGGGGGGCCGGGACGAGAAGGTTGGTTGCGCGGCGTGGTAGGTCTGCCGATCAGCCTTGTTTATCTAATTGTGTTTGCATGAGCCCGAAATTTGCGCGGGCAGCAAAAGCTTCTTCTTGTTTCTTCTTTCTGTTCTTCGTCCAGCCCTGCGTTGTTGGGGTCTTTACCGCTCGGAGAAGAGGGTGAGTGGCGTCGAACAGGAAGAGGCGAAGCGAGACCGCGGGTCCCCCCGGGCTGGACTTCCATATTCATCCTCCGTCGCCGACCGACAGGGCTGAGAGACATTGGATCGCGGCCGAGGGAAAGAAACGGCTAGGTAGAAGAGTGGCACGGACCCGGGGCGCAGAACGCGAGATCAGACGGGCGCGCCCGTTTTCCCTAGTGCAGGATTATCTCTGACAGAACGCAAATCCCGCTAGCCTCATGCGTTTTCGGGCTTGAGGCAGGCGGCTGGGCGGGAGCGGCGCAAGTTGCAGGAAAGGGGAGGCGGTCCGGGGCCGGGCGAGCGAATTTGCGTGATGCAGGTAGGCAGGTATGTAGCGTGTCGGTGCCCATCAATGCCAGTCAGTTCCAAGCCGACCCCCCTTCAGTCGTGTGCTGTGGAATGGAAGAGAGGAGGGACCGAAAACGTGCTCTGCTGCTTTGCGTCTCCCGTATGCGATACGTATGACGCACTCTATCTCCCGTTTCGCGCGCTCCCGCCTGAACCCCTCTGGGGGTCTTGGAGGTGAGGCCCGGCACGGGGCTAACGTACTGTAGATGACCGATCGGCATGTGGGGAGGGTCGAAGTTTGGGTGTACCCGGCAGGCGGGGGGAGGGGTGGGTCTCTTCATCTTTCTTCCCCCGCCTCGTCCTACTACTACAAGAGAGATGGCCCTTGGGTGACTTTTGTCGTTTATCTCTTTTTTTTTCTTTTCATTTTTTTTTTTTCAGGGGGTGCGGGGGGGGGGGGGGGGGGACGAAGAGGGTTCTTTCGTCCGGAGACGAGAGACGAATAGAGGCTGAAGAAACATCGGAAAAGGAAAGAAGAGAAGGGAACAAAGGCAAAAAGAAAAGAAAAAAAGAAAGGGAAAGAAAGAAGGAAGGAAGGAAGGAAAGTTTACCCACCTGCCTGTCGCAGCCACTATCGACGGGGGCCAATGACTAGGGAAATGGGCGGATGGGAGTACAGGAAGGTGTCAATGGGCCCTCGCGACAAACTCTGGATGATGTTTCAGTCCCTCCCTGGTGGTCGGACACGGCGGTAACCTAAACAACGGATGACCGGGTGGAGACATGGACGGGGCGGCCGGGGGGGGGGGGGGGGTGCAAACACTGACGGAGCTGGCGCCGGACCCGGGTCCGGCGACGGCCATTACTACTATTAGAGAGTCTGCCTTCCCATTCCGAATCGTCCAACCCTTCTGGGCGGGTGTGTTCTGGGCGGGTGTGTTCTGGGCGGGTGTGTTCTGGGCGGGTGTGTGGGGAGAGGAAGGAGGAAGGAGGAAAGGGGGAGGATGGATGGATGGAAGGGAGGCAAGCGAAGGCGAACTGAACGAACTCCTCCACCCCCCGGGTGTTCTGGGGTGGGGGCATTCTAAACTATATTTACTTCTTTCGTGGGACTGGCCTGGGCGACCCTGACTCAGAATGCATGCTAAGAGTGCCAAACCTTTCTTTGATTTCGTAGCGCAAATGAAGTTGCTCTTCCTCTCCAACAGACTCCGTAGCCCAGAAAAGCTTAAGCTCTATTGAACCCAAATCAGGTGGGATCGGTGGCCAATGTCGGCGTCGCGCGGCGTACTGATTGATTTCATGATTTCCGGCCCTGCCGACAGGAAATGAAGACAGACGGCAGCGGGCGCGCGTCACCATTCTAGAGAAGGGGGTAGGGGAAGGGCTCTCGGATCGGGTTAAAGCATCCCGTCACGCTATTGCAGACACCTCCTGTGTCGAGTAAGTAGCGCCAACACGCCTCAACCTTTCGACCCCCCCTCCCCGGGTTTCTCGTTCTCGTGCCCTGTTTGATCTTTTTTTCTTCTCCCTCCCCCCCCCTTTCGTCGCAGCGTTCAAATCAGCTTTGTCCTCGTCTTCTAGTCATCGCATCATCATAACTACTTGAACGCTCAAACCCGTCCACGACGCATCCACTCGCCCACCTTGCCGAACCCTGCTGAACATCACGCATCAGAACCAACCCGCAGGAAAAGCACGCGCTTCCACGGTAGAAGAAGTGAAACAAGAAAAAGAAGAAGGGAAAAAAGAAAAGAAATAATAAGGAAAAATCAACATCATTGTCGCCATGAAGTCCTCCGTGGCCGTCGCCATCGCTCTTGCCGGCCTTGCCGCCGCGCAAACTGACCTCCCCAAGTGCGCTGTACGTCCTTCTTCCCCTTGACCCCCCGGGCCACAAGCGCCACCAGACGTCGCGATGCCTGCTCAATTCGGTCCGGTTCCTGTGCTGACCCCGAGCGCGCCCTAAACAGCAAGGCTGCGTCACCCAATTTACCTCTGGCAACGCGATCGCCGGCTGCAGCAACCTCGACGTCAAATGCATCTGCTCCAACGAGAACTTCCTCGACGGCATCGCCTGCTGCCTCGTCGGTGCTTGCCCCGAGGCTGATCAGAAGACCGCCGTCAAGTACGCACAGAACATCTGCACCGGCGCCGGCGTATCTGTGCCCGACCAGGTCGTCTGCAAGACCGCCAACGCCTCGACTACTGGCTCCAAGACCTCTCCTTCCCAGACTTCTCCATCCCAAACCGGCGCTGCCCAGACTAGCGCTCCCGCATCCGCCACCAATACACCCAGCTCCTCCGCCGCAACCTTGGGCCCGGTGGCCCTGCTGGGCGGTCTCGTTGCTGCTCTGTTCGTCTTGTAGACTGGGTGCGAAGGAAAAGCAAATAGTGGTGGTGATGGTGTCCAAGAGCAGTATCAGGAAGGTTGCTTTCCGTTCAATAAGGCGGGCCGCCGTAGTCGGAGACAAAAGCTATCTGTTGCCGGTGCCGTCGGCTATTGTATTAACACGTAAGGAGTTGCAGTCGGTGCTGTTTGTCCCTTCTCCTTTTTCCCTCTTTTTTTCTTTCTTGTACAATGAATACAAGCAATAAATGGTTGGAATGTGTCACTCTACTCTTAATGAGTGCCCCGAGGCCGATGCCGATGACGACGAAGCGATGACGCCTGCCCTTCTGTATGCTCGCTATGAACAAGGGAAACAAAGGCACCGTCACTGACTAACGGACTCTCCAGCATGGGGAGGGGATACTTCGTTTGGTATATCAGCCGTCCTTGCCATCAGACTGATATTCGGATTATGTGCGACCGATGACATGATCCCAATCAATTCAGCAGAGCCGCCGTGAAGGCGTAATTCACGTCGAAGCGTCAGGACCCTTGGACCCTGACCGTACATCACTCATCTGCCGAAGAGCTTGTCGCAGGCATGACGCGTCCGAGCCTCACACCGCCAGTTCATCGAGCCCAACGTGAGTCGCGCCGGAAATGCGCATGTGTTCCCGCGAGGCTGCTTTGGGTTTCCGATAAACCTACTCTGGCCACCACCACCAGACCGTTTGGGGAACCTGGACCTCTCCCAAACGCCCACGAGCTTCTTCTTCCTTTTCGGAAGGGTGCCGGAAGGGCCAGGTGACGCGTGGCAGAATCTCGAATCAACCTTGTAGCAGGATTCCTGCCATGAAATGGGCCGGAGATATTCTCTCAGCGACCGTCACAAGAAAGCGCAGGTCCGGTAGTTGCTCGGCAAGATATTAAAGGAACGAAAAAGAAGGAAGGAGAAAAAAAAAAAGAATACTGAGAATATAAAAACGAACAAGGATAAAACAAGCACCGAATGAAACTTATGCCTCGCCGATCGAAGGAGCCGACGAGCAGGACGACTGTCGACGGCGGCCCGAGCCCCTGTACGTGGTCAACCCTAAACTCAACTGGCTTGTCGCAGATGAGCCACTTATAACCCCGGATTGAGGTTGTCGCTGGCGTGCTGGAATGCCACCAGAAGCGCGGGACTGCACTGCAGCCGGGAACGGTGAATAGCCGCGTCATTAACCCAAAAAGCTTTGGTTACCTACCCCGGGAAACCTCCGTTCGCCGAGGGGCCGAGAAGAGATGCGACCAGATCCGCCATTTCCATCGTTCGCGCGAAAGGAAGAACCGGTCCTGCTAGGAAGCCGACCTACCGAACTATATTAGCGGCCGTTTGAGGACGGCAAGGCATTGCAATCGACACTTGTTGACTCGGTCCGGCTTACTGAGCTGCTTCCCCCCGCCAAGCTGCCGGGCAAGGGAGACTCCCCCGCCGGACGGCACAGATACGGACTACGAGATACACGCAGGGCAGATGGATGAAACAGGGTAATGAGCAGGCCAAGATTGGGAAGCTCTAATGGAACTGCAGATGCTTGCTTTCGTGGCCATTTACCTGGTGTTGTGCCGCGCGGCCTGACATCTTCTCGGCGGTGCTTCATTCAGAACTGTGATATCGACGCAAGGTTTCGTGCTCCGGACATTCAACGCGTTCCCAGGGCGGCAAGGTGCCCAACACCTTGCTAGCGCTACTCGTAGGTATCTCTCTCTCTCTCTCTCTCTCTCTCACTCGGCTCCGCTTGCTCTCTGTCATACTACGTGCGCACTCATTCGGGACTGGCCTGGTCCGTGTGTGGTTGATCAGATATCAATAATCAACCAGACTTGCTTTCTTGTCTCCAATCGCTAGCGGGGAATCGGGAAACCTCGCCTGCCAGGGTTTATCGGGATGGACTCGGAACTGCTATGGTTCGCCCAGAGAGCCCCGACTGATGCCATCATTCAGCTTCTTTGCCAGCCGTCGTGCAGGGACATGGGGGCTGGAAGATCAGATGAGGAATTTGGGGTTGGATGGGGTGTGCGGAGGACGTCCCATAGCGCTTTGATCTTTTGAAGTCTGGCGTGAAACCCGAGCGGTGGGTTTGTCTGCGAACGCTTTGACATGTCGAACTCCTGGATGTATGTCTGGTGTCCTGCAAGGAGAAAGCAGCAGCGCAGCGAGGCGAACCACGGAGGTGGATGGAGTGGTGGCAAGATCGATCTCCCTTCTCCTATCGCGGCTACCTGGCAGGAACAGAGTTCAACTCGCCCGTTCTGGAGAAGCCAAGGCGTGACCTGGACCTGGTCTGCACAGCGTTTTTGGGGCATCGAGCAAGACCGGCCATGCCGGCCGCATGCCATAGTTGCAAGTATTTCCAAGGTTCAAGCGAGTGAGGCTATCGCCTGGGTCATGGCAGCGGTCACGAATTGGTTGTTGTTGGAAGCGGCCATGATAGTCGATTCTCGAATCCGACAGGAGATGCCAGGTATACAATGGGACCACGCCTCGAACACGGTGCCGATCAACAGCCCCAGCCGATGGAACAAGCAAGCGTTGGATGTTCTCTGAGGCATGTCGCTCGGTACATGGTGGTAGACCGGAGATTTTCGGCTCCCACGGTCCAGGGTCCGTCGGGGTCGATGTCCGTCTCGAGGTCCTGTATCAGGGAAGAACGGCGCAGCGGTGACAGCGGAACCGACGGATGACGATGTCTCAGACCGGCAGACCTTTTCTAGGGCGCCGCTATTTGCTTCTGGCGGTTGCGAGGATACCTAGGTACCGGTAGTGTGCTTGCCGGTCTTGTGGAGATGACCGAGATGCTGCAGGGTCATGAAAAAGAAAGGGGAAAACCCGGCATGCCCCCCTTGCATCGGGCGATGGTTCTGCACACCGAGATCTGGAGATACCGTAGACACAATTAAGATTCTGGCAGGCCAGCCGAAGCTCGGCTCGGCAATCCAACCACGGCTCATGGCCGTCTCTTCAGTACGACATGAATGTCCTGTTGCAACTGTCCCCACACACCATTCTCCCTCCGTCCCATCGTGTTGGTGTCGTCCGTGTGCGGTTAGACAAGCACTAGACCAGCCGACGATGGTCTTGCAGTTGCAAGGATACCACCGTAGCAAGCAAGGCCTGCCCTGACACTTTGTGCTTTTCTGTGTCACTTTGTGCTCCTCCTGGGATTGTCCATTGAACCATGTTTTCTTTTTGTTCGACAGCCCCGGCCCAGCCAAGATGAGATCGGTCACACATGGAACTGTGGCCCGGCCGGCCACCCGGTTGGTAAAGCACCGTTTAGAATCCAACGTTACGATACTACAATTGCTATCGATACCACTTGGGCGTCACGGCTACGATGCGTGGTTCGTTCAAATATAGAAATCCAATACGGCGTCCATATTAATAGTTGTCAAACGGGCCTTTCCAACGTCCGAGGCAACGTTCCTCGCCGTAAGAATCCAATTCTCCCTCCAAGCGAGTAGAGTGACGTTGTGGAACCCCGCAGGCTTTCGTGGGGGGTGAGGGGAGAAAGGGAGGGGGGTTGTTGCAACTTGTAAGCCACTGATCTGGTCATATGTGAGTACTGGCCTGATGTCTGTCCCTCGACGGTTGATATGCGCCACAAGCTGAGCGGCAACCCAACAATGTCGGTTCACGCCATTGGATGTTCCTTGGAAAGGTTCCTCCCTTGGTACGGTGGGTGTTGGCGTCCTGTCATACCAGCCGCATGGTGTGCATGTTCAATGGGCAGCCCGCACCTCGCAAGGTAATCCAGAAGGAGCCCCTCAAGCGCCGTGGCGTCACAGGAAACTGGGGCTGGAGACAATTGTCGGTTAAGCGAGAGCCCAGACAGTGGTCTTACAGAGTTTTGATACAGAGTGCCTTTGGCAAACGGTGTTAAAAGGGTCGGTGGTCGGCTGGTGGTGATTTGATGAGACTAGAGACCTCTCTTATCACTGTTACATATGTTATTGATCTTCGTTGACTAGACTCATTGGCACAGTCCAGTGGATGGCGTGGTATTGACGGCTGGGCTGGAGTCGAGGTACAGGGACTGTTATTGTGAGCCGTCGAGCAAAGCTGTCGCAGGTACATATGGTCCTTGCGGGATCGTCACGTTGTAAGAGTTGCAGAGAAGGCGACTGTTGCCAAATGTGGGCTTTGGGACGCCCGTTTAGGACTGGACGACGATCACTACCTGTGTCATGCTGTTTTTGTCAACGTCTGACCGTGCTTCCCGTGTGTTGTATGCGTCCCACTTGCTGGCATCACTCTGTCAGCTGTCAGGTGTAACACCGAGGTAGTGGTGAGCATTTAAAGCCTATGACAAAAACAATGCTGCAACCATGCACGACAAGGGGGAGTTAAGGCGCCGAGGCGGTGGAAAGGTGCAGATGCCATTACTATGACAACACGCCAGGGTTGTTTATCGAAGGATACGATTGCCGCTACTGGATCACTTCGAGGGAAGACTGAATTTCGTCCGAAGCATATCATCCCTAGGGCAGTGGCTTATGGTGAGGCCTGATCGGCACGCGCATGCAGATGAACAGTTGAAGCCGCGCAATAATTGATTAGTGGATGCACCATAGGATCCTGTGAATTGCGAGAGATGGGCAAAGACGGCAGAGCGGCGTAGTTGTTGTAAGTCACGGTCAGGTACTTGGATTAAGGTACCTCCCGTTTCGGGGCCTCGCATTTGTTCCTCTGGGCATAATATACCGCACCACCACGGATGCAACATAACAGTCTGTGCACGGAATGGGTGGCTGCTGAGACCGGACCACTCCAAAATTATCGTAAACAGAGGCAAAGGTGTGTCAACCGAAATGGGGAAGAATGTGACGAGCAGACGGCTGATGTCGGGGGTGTTTCCACCAGAACGAAGGATCGGCCATGTGTCGAGAGTAACCGTCGCGGTGTGTGGTGATGACGGGGCCGTGACAGCAGATGTACAGTCGCGAGAACCATTAGTTTGGGTAGATGGACGGGTGGGCGGGTGGAGTACTTGTGCTAGGGCCCCGAAACGACAGAAGGGGGTGAGATGTGAGTCGGCTTCTGGCTTGGGGGAGGCGGACCAAAGGGGCAAGGGGGAAGAGAGAGAAGCGGCTTCATAGGGAAACCCAGACAAGATGAAGCCGGTGATAACGACGGTGATGGCTTGCCAGTCGGTCTGAGGTGTCGGCACTATCCACGTGTGTCCCCGGAACGGGCTGACGCGGTGTACTAAGCCCCAAGCAGACGACGGAACAAGACAAGTCGACACTGTAGGTAGTTGATTGGTTTCCAGGCTCGCCGATGCCTGGAACATAAGGTCGATGGAGATTGCTTGTTGCAGGTGATGGTCATTCGCGCGCTTCTGGGGTTGCAACACCTGAACTGGGGATACTTCTAGGTTGGGATATGAATGGAGTGCAAGGAGGAGCGAGCGTATGGTGTGTGCGAGGGCAGTGTGTAAGAATGGTACGTTTATTTAATCTTCTCGGCCCTTACCCTGGCCTCGAACTGAGGTCAACTTGATCATCATATGAGGTCAGCATATAGACTTCTGGGAGCAGCCTAGGGGCGACGCAGGCAACGCAAGGTACGTACCTCTCTGAAGCCGCCGATAAGGTGGGGAGTGGGGATGGGGCTCAAGGAAGGAAGCATACCAGTTACCTACCATACCGATCCTACCTGCCTAACTATAAGTTTGAGGATCACGGTTGACTGCTTAGGTAGGTAGGTAGGTATATGCCAACGTGGGTCGTACAATGTAGGTAGGTACTGTAGGTAGGTAGGGCAGGTACGGTCCGAAGTACGGAGTGCGTACATTAGGTATTGCCGTACCGGTATCCAACAAAGTACCTTAGCGAGGCACAGAGTCTAGACCATCTCAGGTACATCACTAAGGTAGCTTGGCCGTGGTCTTGAACTGGAGCTGTCTTACCTCATCCGTGACCATGGATGTGCGTCGAGCAACATTCCGGCAACTTAACAAGTGTTTAGGAAATGCCTCCATGGGTGAATCATTCAACCGAGGTAAAAGGAGGGCTGGCAACGGCGACAAGAAAGGAAGGATATAGGCGAGACGGGGTGGGGCGGGCTGTTTCCGCTTCTTACTTTCCTACCTCATGTTTTCCCGTGTCTTCGATCGTTGCCTGGCGCGCGCAAACGTGTGTTTGGTGTGTTGCATTGAGGGCCACACACACACACACAAACACACGCACACCAACACACGCACGCACAACATACGGAGGGTTAAAGAAGCATCTCGGTGAGCGCAGCCTCCCCGTCCGAGCTGATGTCCAGTCGGCTGCTGTGAGAAGCGGTAGAGCTGTGTTTACGGTTGGCCGGCCAAAGGCTCGGTTGGACTGGACTGGACTGGACTGGACCGGCGAGGCAACAGAATCTACGGGTTCCTTGCCGACCACCATATGCATCCCACCGGCAAGCAATATCTGCTGCCCCTGAACGGAGCCCACACCGAGAGAGTACCGACATCGAGTCTCATCACGGTCCGTCTCTGTTTCAACTCCTCTTGTATCCCAATATAATCAACTAGTCGAATCCTGAATGGACAAGGTGTACGACATGGGCCGAAGGGGGAAAGTGGCGCCAGACCGGGAGGACGTGGATTAAGCGAGGCAGTCAAGAAGGAGAAAACGGATAAGGATGAAGATCAACCCAGATAAGTTCCTGCATGACCGGGTCGGGTCAGGTCAGGTCGGGTAAGTCACGCAGGACCGCTTCCTGGGGCAGAAGGATAAAAGGAAGGGGAGGTGGAGGTTGGACCCCTTCCTTTTCTTCAGTCATATCTCCCCTAGCCTAGGTAGTTAGTACACATAGGCTTGGTTCTTGCCTCACATCCTAGCGCACTTACATTCGGCTCTAACTCGCATCAATGACATGCACCTGCACCCAGCTGCAACTCTGCTCAACCTCTCCACTCGGCCTCCCTTGGTCCCTCCAAAAGGGGAAGGAAGGGGAACGCAAGAAGAAAGAGAAACGTAAAAAAAATGAACATAATAGCGAAGATGAAAAAGAGAAAAAAATAAAAAATAACCCCCCCCCCTACCAAACCCAAACCCAAACCAACGATGCCTCCTTCTGCAGCCATTTAGACGCTAATGCTGCAGAGCACGTCCTCACCACTGCCACACTTTCCAGTCTTTTCTTGCATTCTTCATCCTCATGTGCAGTACGGAGTACTGCACATAATACGTACCCGCCAAATGGTCCCATGTCGACGGCCTGCGCCTGCCCACCCACATAGGTACGTCCCCGTCTGTCCATGTCGCTTCCTTGGATCTCCTGCATCGCCTGCTGACAAGATACGGAGGTCATGTCCGATGTCCGTCCCTTCACCTCAATCCTTCATCCTTCCATCGCATCATTCTGGGTCTGACACCAGGGACCCCCTCTCCTCTCTCTCTCTCTGGCTTCACCATCGTCGTCCAACCTCGCGTCCCCCATCCCCTCGCACCGTTTCGACTTCACGACTCTCCTTGCCCTTCCTTACCTAACCTCGCTTCACTTCAGTCTCTCGTCTTCTAGCGGACACCCTACCCGTACACTCGTCCCCACTGCCACGGCCACTGCCGTTGGCACCGAGCGGCGCTCTGAATGCCAATAGCGGCCTCTGCAACTCACCAATGGTAGCCAATAATTGATATACATGTGTCTTTCTGCCTACTGCCAGTACGCCCGCCAAGCTGTCTTACCCACTCGGTGTGGTAGTGCCTGCCGTGGTCCATCTCAAGACTTGACGTGTCGGACGGAACACACACACACACACACACCCAATCCTTCAACGTTCAGGGTTACCTGAGATAGCTAGCTACCTTGGTACCACGGTACGGCACGGTACCTTGACCAACTGGCTATTGGGGTCCCCAACTTCAACCTTTTTGATTCATCACTTGTTTTTTCTACTCGCATACCGATGATCCGCCGCATGTGACATGCTATATACACACTTGGCACCCCAGAAACGCTTTAGGCGAGAGAAGGGGCGAGAGTGCCCAGCCCAGCCCCCTGGGCGCCCGTTCATCTATGCCAAGACGGCTCGTACCACCTCATCGCCCGCTGCGTGACACCAAAGCACACGCAATCCAATATCGAGCATCAACCGCTGTTTCTCTCTCCTACCGCATCGCATCACGTTGTTCATGCACTTGGCCCGCGACGAACCACACATTGTCGCCATGGCATTTTTTTTTTTTTTTTAATTCTTAATAATTATCGCCGCAAGGGCACCCACCGCGGCCAACACACGGCAGTGCTTGTCCGTCCGGATACACCACCCGCACCCGACAGAAAATAAAGATGAAAAAAAGCAACTTTATCGCGATGAGCAGCCTTGTCAAATCCTGAGGTGCAGTTCGAGGTGGAGACGGAGACGGAGACGGCGACCTCATTCTCGCTGAACCAGACACGACGCCTTCTTGTCTCGGTGTGCTCCAACCAAGACACCCCGTCCGCTCTGACACTCCCGGGAGGAGAGACCGGCTTGGTCAGGTCGGTGCGCTGGCAGGGATCCCATCCAGGATGTTGCCTGAATACTCGAACAACGGCTCGTCCGTCTCATGGAGCCCGGTGCTGCCAATGGCCGCTGTGCTGTTCCACATTCGCAGCTCCCAAGCGCTCCGTGTATGCGCTGCCGAGAAGAGGCATCACGTCTCCGGCGCCCAACGTCTGTTCTCAAAGCTCGCGAAGCCCAACCGTGTCACAACAGCGGCCACCGTTTTCCTGCCTTCTAGCCTTTCCACGAGAGACTTTTCAGACCGGACGCTATACGCGAACGGACGGACGGCGGGCGTCAGCAACCGTCATCCCCCCCCCCCTCCCTTCCCTCCCCCTCTGCTCCGTCAATTGTCTGCCGAACCGTCCAACCAGCGAGAGTCCTCGGGACACTTGTTTGCGTCGTACTGCGCACACGGGAGGGAGAGGAGCAGCAAGACCTTTTTCTTTTCTTTTCTTTTCCGTTCTTTTCTTTTCTTTTTTCGATGTCGATTCGAGGGGTGTCGTCTAGAGAGAGAGGGAGAGAGAGAGAACAAATTATTCCAATAAATAAAAACCAAAAGAGATCGCTTCCCCCCCGTCATCTTACCTCGTCAAAACGACAATAACCTCCTGCAAATCGTTTTTATTATTATTTTAATCATTTTACTCTCTCCCTCGCCTCTTTCCTTCTTTCTTTGCATATGCTGGACTGACCTGAGCGAGCAACCTGTAGACGACCAGACCGGCCAGCTCTTGGTCGCTCGACCCCCTCTGACCTCTGAGTCCGTCCCTCGAGTATGCTATCAGCGCACCCAAAATCTCAGCACAGGGCGTGGCGATAGTAGATTTACCTTGCAGATGCCACGAGGTGTGCAGTTATGACCAGGGGTCCAGATACCTCCCTCCTCCATGTATACCTCTTGGTCACCATGCCCCCGTCCACTGTCAAAGCCCTCCATCGCCTGATTGGGGAGGGGAATCTAGCACTTGCGCCCACTGTCACAGACCTGGACCTTGCGAGGCGGAGAGCACCTCAACCCTGGACCTCGTCGTCTGTCCGTCCGTCCGTCCATCCTAACGACCGGGTTTTTGTTTTATTCTTTTTTTTTTTCCCTCTCTCTTTTCTTTCCTCGATGCAAGCCCTTCCGTCATGGCTCAGACATGGACAGGGTAGCTCAAATCCGTTCACAGTTTGCTCAAAACCAATGCTTTTGCGCCTTGCTTCTCCATTCCCTTCCAGGTACATACCCTACCGACCGTACGCCCTGGCCCTGCTTCTCGTCTCACCCGTATATATTCCATCCGGCCTTGACCCCACCATGCGCATGCTTTTTGCAACAACAGCCTCTGCTGTCTAAGTACAAAGAGCCGCCGTGTCCTCTGACCTCTGATGCCTCCTCAACTTCGCCATACTCTCTCCGCCATCCGCTTGCCACGCCTGTCATCTCTTCTCCCTTCTTCCGTCTGTTCAACTTCGGACCTTTGAGACCGAGTCCCTCCAGGCCCAGCACATCTCTCACCATCACGCTGTATACATATAGGACCAGAGAGGAACATTCCCCATCGCCTTCCGCGGCCAGCCAGACCTCGTACAACATTCACCACTGTCACTTTCATCTCGTCCACCTCTTGCACGCACAGCACGCACATCTTTTCCCCGCCCAACACACCTGTCCTACACGCACCTCCCCCGGACGCTCACGGCAGCACCCCAACAACTGGCGCTAGACTCCGGCTTCTCACTCCCAGGTTGAGGCATCAACGTACTCGTGGCGCAACAGTCTTTTTTCCCCCCCCAACCAGCCGCCCAAGATGTGTGAATATACCAAGAACTACTACATATACACGTCATGCATCGACCCTGGCGCCCACTTCTTCAGGACCTCGATGGACGGCAACAGGAGCCGGGCCTGCTGCAACGGGCCCCACGAGCGATACATAGTCGTTCCTGGCCACTGCCCCCTTTGCAGCGGCTAAGCCGGGCTCCATCTCGGCGAAATAGCATCAAGGTGTCCTCTGGCTTTGGTCTCTCAGACCCGGCACGTGACAACCGGCTATCATGCGATCCGACGCAGCTGCCATGTCCGCCCTGCTACGACAGGACACTGCCCCGGGAGGAACGGTCGGCGCTCTGGCCATTCAACCGGATTCACTCGATCGAGTATCATTCTGTTCACACGATGAAAACGACAAAGGCGTTGAACCGTCAAGGGGGGCTGACTGTGGCTGTCCATTTGGATAGACGTTACGGTTGTATTCGGGAGGGGGTGGTGTTCGAGAAAGGAAGAGAGACAGCAACTGGGCCACCAGCCGGGGTGGGGGGGGTGACCATGGGTCCTTGGACGGGTGATGCAACGACGGCCGCATTCCACGACGCACCGCATCCCACGGAGAGGGGAGGATGATACCGTCACACCTGCCTTATGGGGGGGCCCAGTCTATAACAACCAGCTCCCTCTTTTCTCGACAACACGGCGGCCATATCTTGACTCGACACGGAAGCACACGTATCCGGAGGGGAAAGGGTGAGAAAAAGCAAAAAAGCACACAGCAAGCGAGCAAAGCGTTGTTGCATCTTTTCCTTTTTTTGTTGTCTCTTTTTTTTTCTTTTCTTTTTTCTTCTTCGGTTTTTGGTTTTCGGGAGGAAGGGAAAAGGGGGTTTGGTCTTTTCCCACTCCTCCTCCTTCATACCTCTACCCAATCTCGTCCATTCCATCGGAAGGGTGAGTGGGGGTTTCTTCGCGCCAGCATAGCAAAGCACATTTGTGTTTGTGCGCACGTGTATATGTGCGCCTGTCTCTCTGTAGGTGCGTCTGTCTGTACTGGTATTGGAATCGGGGCCGGTAAAGCTATTTATGGGCGTTTAACAAACAAAGGCATTGGGAAACGGCGCAAAAGCAAAAAAGGAGGGGGTGGACGAAGTCCTCTATGACGGCCGCGGCCGCTGATATACACTCGCCGCCGGTGGTGCCTCTTCTTCATTATCATATTCATCCTCTAAAATAAAGCTATCAAATGAGAACCAGTTCTACGCTACTATTATGCAATCCACGACAGGGTGACAACCTCAATTCCCGACTTTTCAAGCCGACGACTCGTCGCCAGTGTGCAATGCTCGACATCGATTCGTCTGCCCACACCGACTTCGTCCGTATATGATTCTCCAACTGAAGAGCCAAGGTGAGATTTGATCTTCACTGCCTTTCTCTCTTTTTCTTGCCCCCCCCCTCCTGCCGATGTCGTCTTCCTTTCTCCCATGGCCGATATTGTACCAGTGCGGGGCGCCCGCCCGCCCGCCCGCCCGCGCACGCATGTATGTGTGTGTGTGTTGGTTGCAGTTGGCCAAGGCCAGCGGGCGCAGGCGCATGTATGTTTCCCCCTTTTTTTTTGCCTATATGCAGGTAATGCGTATTGCATCCCGCCCCGTCCGCTAACTGGGGGATGAGAAGAACCAGCAAACCAACCGGTGCCGGGCCTTTCGGGTGAGTGACCGCTTACTCGAGTTGCCTCTCTCGGAGAATGCTCCGGTCGTTGCTTCGCTGGGCAGGGGAGGGTGCGGGGCGAAGCCGGCCCTTCGGCATGGTGTTTGCTTACTGGGAACCCGGATGGCTACGAGGCACGGTATCGCGAGAGAGGGGCCGCTGCTTGTGTTATTGGGGTGTGACTGTGACTGTGACTGTGACTGTGTATGTGTGTGCGCGCGCGCGTACCCACAAAGAACGGTGCGGTCCAGATGCAACATAGCCAAATGTGCCCACGCCCAGGAAGAGAGAGAGAGAGAGAAGAGGAGGGGAGGAGGGTGGTAAGGCAATAGCAGAGCCGCCATATACCCCCCTCAACCTTTTCTTCCTCCTCTATAACCTTCGTCTGCATCTTCAGACAGGGCGGTCTCTTGCTCGCCTCAGGTTCCATGGCTGTTTTAAGTCCCTCTCGCTTCCGGCCATTGGCATAGCAAAACCCTCGACCTCGCCCTTATCCTGCACTTCCACCTGCTTTCTTTTTCCCTGGGTCTGCAGACCGGGTCGCGAAGGGCTGCGCGAGCTATTGACCTTGACCACCCTAGCTTCGCCTTTGGCCAAGACGAGGAAGCTGATTCGAGGAACCATCGAATGGGTGGGCGTACTGCGCTCTGGTACTCCGTATATATCTCGTCAGTCATACCTATAGCTCATGTGGGGGAAGCAGCACACATCTTTTAAGGGTTGGCAGCTTTGGGATATAAGCGCTAGCCCCGATGGAGGGAGGCAATGCGCATGTCATCCTGGGCGTTCAGCAGGAGATGAGAAGCCGAGCTCTCAAGAGGCACACCATCCAACTTCTGGCAAGCTACTTGCGTCTTCCGTCCTAGCAGCCTCTCGTGCATGTCAGCTAAGCCTTGCAGCCATATGCACATCGTGACAGCAGACCTGCAACGTGCGACATGCTCTGTTCCGCATGCTATAAGGCGCAGCTTTCCTTCGCTACCACTCGGTTGACAAGAAAGATGGCTGCTTTTCCTTGCCACTGCCTTATGGCAACATGCCATCTTTTTTTTTTGTCACCTGAATGGCTACCAACTGGCTTGTTAAGAGGCCGTTCAAAGGTGTCGCGCCCTGGTTGCCTGGCGTGCTTTTTTGGTCAATGATCTTCGCTCGTCTACACTGATCTGTCGAATCACCCCTGACCCCGAGAGAGGGGCAACGGGAAAGGCAATCGTTTCGTACTAGATCCCCTCGTGAGCACTCGAATGGCTGGCCCTCGAGATACGTACTACATATCGCTGCTGCAAGGATATCTAACCCAGAGCAGGCTTCTGATGCTGTGGTGGCCGCGTAGCCCAGGGGTCATGCGATAGGGCCACGGTTGAGGCCGAGAATCGCGGGCCTTGACGGAGACAGGACGTGATGAGGCGCCTGCACTGTTTGTGTTGTGCCACACGTGGCTGGAGCGTCGGGCTTGCCCATTGCGGAGAACCGCGCCACAGCTCAATACGACGACACATCTGTTAAATGTGGTAGCGAATCCTGAGATTACCTCAGAAGTCACAGACTGTTCGGTCTCTCCTCCTTTGCCGAGCCTCGCCACGTCCGCAAGTTGGCTTATGAAAGTCCAACCGAGTTTTCACGCGGGAAGACGCTGGACAACCTAACCACACCGAGTCATACATGCCCTCTCCCTAGCTCAGCAACTGCGGCTCGGTGATCCGAATGGGTAGGCGGATGTCGCGAGATACTGCTTCTCAAAGCCGAGGGCATGATGCCGGTATCGTGGCACTATTGGCCGGCTTGGCTTTGGTACTAGTTGCCAATCGTAGGCGGGGACATGTTACGAGGGGCGCTCCCGAGATTCCCATGCTAATAAACGGCCGCCTATTGGATCCGACTCCGCTGAGAAGCGCGCATCCACAAGGCTTTTCTCCATGCTTAGTTGACGTTACAACGGTCCAAGGCGTGTTAGCGGATTAAGCCGCTGTCAGTCCTCACTCCCCCTCTCTCTTTCGGCCGCTCCATGCCTGCCGTTCGGGGCCGAAAGAGCGGCCAACAGCATTGTCCTCAGGGGAGGGAGCCAAGATCCAAAAGTGAGCGCCGTTTCCGGCTCCGCTCACGCGCGAGGTCGCATTGCCAATACGGCAAGGATCTGGCACATGTAATTCAACGCCCGCCGCCATGCTGTACACATCTACCCGACCATGGGATTTTGCGATCGTCCCGCGACCCCTGGGCCCATCTTTGACCGCTACCCACGGCGACGATGTGCTAAGGTTTCCGTCCACCCCCGAATAGTGGTGGCCGAGGGCAAATGTTGGTTGCACGTTGGAGGCCCTGATTGCGCGGCGCCCAGGCCCGGGATGTGTCTCGTGTGTTGATGCTACCGCCTCGACCGAAATCAAGGGGGGACCGGGAGTGCAGTAGGTTCGTACCTTGGTGAGGCCGTCCGTCGTTGTTTGCAATTTTATCGTTTTGCCTTCGGTAGTGACCCTTGCTGTTCGCTTTGGCCTTTTTGGCGGGGAAGACTGAATTGATATTGACAGCTTCTTCCCCCTCCTCTCCCCAAAATTCGCCAATTAGCCCTGGAGGTTGGAACTGGGGTAGGTTGTTGACCCAATTTTGGATCGTCTCCGCCTCATTATTCCCTCGTCCTGGGACAAACGGTCCATGACGGTACACCGTACTCCCCACAGAGCCGCTGGTTGTAAAGGGTCGGCGAGTCAGGCGGTTAATGTCGGGTCGGGCGCTTTGTGCCTCCTTGTTGCAGATGGGTAACACTCTGGATCTTGCTGACGGCTAGTCAATGGGACTGCGGCTGTGCCGACGAGTTCCTCATGTGTCGTCGGCGGAGCGCGGGCTCCCGGACCCGAGAAGCCGAACTCGTCGTGTTCATGGAGCACGGGGCGAACCCGTACATTGCAGCATACCAAAGTTGGTATATTATACTGCGTATGTGCGGTGTGCGGTATGGACTTCAGGAAACGGCCGCTGGCAGCTGTGGATGTATCAAGGAGCCCATGCCCCAGAATCGACCCTTAACTCCACTTTGCACTTGAATATGACGAGACACGAGTATCATCGGTACCGGGAGAAACAAAAGCAAGCTTCTGGAGCTAGGGTTTATCCATGGTCAGCAAATTCTTACCGAGAACCAGGGACGTGGGTACCATTTCTTGGGTCGGATTACATGTTTGGGTTAGTCTACACTGTCCTAAACGATATGTAAATTTCCGCTTTGTCGCGACGATATTCCAAAAATGACAGGAGATCTGTCATGTTCGGCCGCCGATCGATGAAGCGGAGCAGCGCTAGTGGATGTGATGACTTACGTAGGTAGTAGATCGATTCGGGGCGGCTGTGGGGGCCTTTGGAACCAAGGGACTAACGGAATGCCCCTGGCCCTGGCCGTTAGAGGTCTTTTGGTCCATGTTAGGTAGGCGTCAAGCAACGGGTTCTTTTTTTATCTGTTGTGCCACGGCCATGTCTTGCCGGCGTCGTGATGCTTGAAAGTGCTATGTTGCAGTGAAGTTTTGGGCTTGGCGAATGGGAACCGGACTCTTGGAAGGTCATCAGTGGGACCGGGAATGTTCCGGCTGTCTTGTCCTGATCGTAGGTCTGGCATGTCAGACATGATACTGGTCTGTCGCCTTTACCTTCCTTTTTTGGTTTTTGTCATGTTGCTTTTCAATTTTTCTGCCGAGGCAAGAGTGGTAGAACTCTCAGGTCAATACAGCTGCATGGCACCTACCTACCTACCTAGGTAGTGAACCAAGGTAGGTAGGTACTTCCCAATTGTGAACGACAAAGGGGGGTAGCAGGTACCTAGGTAGGTACCTAGGCTCGATACCATTTCGCGCAGATGAGACAAGCTGACGCCGTCTCTCTGCTCTCTCTCTCTCTCTCTCTCTCTCCGCCTGATACGTACCTGCTGTTTTCTCTAGAGTTTCTCACAAATTGTTACACCAGCGGAACGATAAAGTACACGAAGCAGGAACGCCAGAGGTGGCAGTAGCAGTTGCGCCAGCGGTGAAGACAGCGACTGGGGTACGAATGGAAGAGTCGAAAGCGGTACCGGCTTCCTCTCTAATGTCCTGGGCTCCCTGCCCGCAGTCTTGTCTCCTCTCCAGAGCTCTATCAACAAAGACAAGAAAGCACCATCGCCGTCGGTTATTTTCTCTGTAGCCGGAGAAGCTGTTCCGGCTCTTTCGTCCAACATGGAGACGTCTTCGGGAAGCCCGTACCTGGGTTCAAATACAATCCGCTTGTGGATCTGCCAAGGGCGTATCCTACCGAGCCATGGTCAGCACCCCCGTGGTACCCGTCATATTGTCTGTCGTTAACCTCTGGCTGTACACCTTGGTTTCTCGCCATGATTCGTCCACAGGTCCAAGATGAGGTACTCGCAGCACCTGCTACCCCATCAGAAGTCCGTCTTCAGAGCATCGTCATCCTCTCGGTAGCGGTCATATCTCTGGTCGGTGCAGCATGGATCGTGGCCAGCTACGCGGTAAGCCCTGCGGCTGCTTCCACGCCGACCTGTACTGACGATCACCTCAGATATTCCCCCACCTTCGCTCATTTCGCCACCGTCTCATCACTGGGCTTGCCATCAGTGACGCGCATATGGCGCTCAATTTCCTATGCTCGACGGCAATGAACGTACAAGGCAACTTCATAGGCGCTCCCAGAAACGTTAGCTTCTGCAGCTTCAACGGTTTCATGACGCAGGTCTTTGTTATCCAGACCGATTATTGGGTTCTGACTATCGCCGTCTGCACCTACTTCATCTTGGCTGGTCACAAGACCCAGTCCACCTGGGTTCAGGATCATGAACTCGTTATCTGGGCATTGCCCTGGATTTTCTCGGTTCTCTGGGCCTTCGTTGGTCTCGGCGCCGTTGGTTATGGGGACATTGGTGCCTGTGAGCCATGTCTTGTCACATCCAGTCCCGCCCTTGCCCGAGTCCTGACGGGTTGATAGGGTGTTGGTTCACCTCAGATACCGTCCGTCTACTCGTGAACTTCATTCCTCGATGTGAGTCTAGGACGTAGGCGATTATGCTTTTGGCAGATAACTGAGCTTCGTTGTCGTAGGGGTCATCATAGTCATTATGTTTGTCATGTATGCACACCTGTCGTTCGTTCTTTATAAAGCACATATTCGGCTAGGCTCGATCCAGGAACCTTCCCCTGGCCACCCTGAGTCCGCACTTACAACTGAGGAGGGAAGTCGGATGACAAGCATTCACGAAGGGGCCGAAAGTCGTTCAGCAGTTTCAGTCCGAAGGCTCAAGAGGGTTAGATTAGCTTACACCCTTAACATATGAGACTGACCTAAAGCTTTACAGGTTGCACGGCTTATGCTTCTTTACCCCCTAGCTTATGCAATCATCTGGTCTCTGCCAACCGCGATCCGAGTATATCAAGCGACAGAGGACAAGCCGGCAGCTTTTGCGCTGCAGACGATCGACAAGGCCGCCGTCGTCATCCAGGGTTTAGTAGATGCCCTCATCTACGGCGTGAACGAGACGACACTCGTAAGCTGGCGTACGCGGTGGCTCCGCCAGGGATATCCAGTCCTTCAGAGAACAAACTCCCACGGCGAGCACGGTTCAGCAACAGACGTCAACAGGGGAATGTTCTGTCAGCCACACAACAGAAGAGGACTTGAGGCTACTATGTCAACTTTGACAGGACCATCGGAACTGGAAATGGATGACACTTCGAGGCCCAATGAGTTGAGGGACTTGAGGCCCTAGACTGCCTGGATGGGCGGCCAAGACACTTCTATCGGAGACCCTATAATTACATGTGCGGGCGGGAAACCAGACACAGCTATTGAATAGGCACCATGGAATTCACGGTGAGGTGGCGTGAAGAGTTATTGACCGGAAGAAACAATATGTCCATGGTTAGGAGTGATGCAGTGTTTCCCGCGCGGGTCGCACTTGGCCTAGTGCAGATTGCAAACGTAACATATTGAATAAGTCTTTTTTCGTCGCTTCTCGAATTAACACGCCATCGTCTAGTAAATGCGGTAAAGTCACGCCCTAGGCCACTAGGACTCGGATAGGCTTAGATTGGTATCGACACCTCATTACTAGCCCATGCCGGTAAGGGTTCTCATCCCACACGTTCTTCGCTACTCGTCATCCCCGCAAACCCTGAGGCCCGTTCTTCCATAACATCCTCGTTTAGTGCTTGCGGCCGGCAACCTCCTCGGCGGCAGAAGCGGCAGGGACATCCTTGGCGACATTAGGCTTCTTGACCATGCGCAGGCCGCCAACGAGCATGATTAGGCCCTGGACGCCCAGGATGACGACCAACGTCACAAGAGCGCCGATGACACCGGCCACGGGAGCCGAGATACCGCCGCCACCGGCACCGGAGCTCGAACCGTTCGAGTCGGCGCTGCCGTCCAGACCCAGCGCCGCGGCGCAGGTGCCGGTGGAGTTTCCGCAAGCCGTACACCAAGACTTGGTGTCTTCGACGGCGAACTGGCGCATCTCGTCAACGAAGGTGGCCCAAGGCAGGACGATCTCGGCGCGACCAAAGAGCGGGTACGCCGTCAGGGGGCTGGCGCCGGCGGAGCCGTTGGCGAAGCGAAAGCGCACCGAGATCTCGTCGGCAGCGGGGCTGGCCGACGTGGCGTTGGTGACGAGCTCAAAGACCATGGACGAGGCGTAGTCGACGATGGCCTTGAAGTCCTCCGACACCCTGTGCATCTGCGCGAGGCCGAAGAAGGAGGAGAAGACGCCGTACGCGCCGAACTGGACGTTGGCCTTGACGGCGCCGCCGTGGAGCGTCGCGTTGAGGCCCTGGAGGACCTGGCCAGCGAGTACCTTGCCGGCGATGGCGCGGATGGGGTCGCTCTCGTTGAAGGCGAGGTTCCACTCGTGGATGTTGGCGTAGTCCGTCAGCGTACGGACGGCGGCGTCGGTGAGCAGGTCTGCGGCGGGGATGCTCTCGTTGTGGATGATGGCAACGTTGACCAGGTCGAAGATTGTGTAGGCGTTGGCGAACGACGCGGCCTCGTCGTCAAAGGTGCCGTTGATGACGGGCAGCAGGCCCCGGTAGAAGGCGCGGGACTCGGCCTCGAGAGCGGCGTACTCGGGCGAGGAGAAGTAGTTATTAGAGCTGACGACGGCCTTGCCGCACCCGCTGCCGCCCTGCAGCCACTCGCTGCTCTCGGCATTCGCGCTGGTCGCCGCAGCTCCTGTGGCCACGGAGTTGACGGGGACGTACTGGTAGCCGCCCAGGGGCGCCTCGACGCGGGACCCGTTGGCGAGGGCATCGGCGGTGCCGGAGGGCGGATAGAAGCCCTGGAGGAAGGCGTAGGCCGATGACTGCAGGACGACGTCGCTGGGGGAGGTGACGGCGAGCTGCTCGGGGCGGACGTCGTCGGCGCTGATGGAGCTGATCTGGGCCGTGGCGTTGTCACGGACGTACCGTTCACCGTAATGCAGCCCGGAGGTGTAGACCTCGTAGGCGCCAAGGTCAGTGAAGCGGACGGGAGGCGTCTTCTTGGCGGTGCGGTCGCCGTGTCGGTGGAAGACGTAGACGCCCAGGACCGTCTCGGCGGCGGCCGGCATGATGGGGAGGCCGAGGGCCAGGAGGAGCTTAAGTTCCATCGTGGGTGGTCTTGAGGCTGGCGTTGTGGACTTTCTTTTGTAATGTCAACGCGCAGTGTTCCTTGGCCTCGTCCGTAAAGACTTCAATCTATGCCGCCTGGTTGTAGGGTGCTCCACCGGGTGGTAGACTTGTTCAAAAGCTTGGCCTTCTTTGGAGGGGTGAAGATGCAGCGACGAGTTTATATACGAGGGGGCAATGATATGCCTCACTCGGTCTAATTGCCGTTCGGGTGGGTATTGCACCGTCAATGGATCTTCATAGACACACGTCCGGCGTCTGTCGGATCGTGAAGAGCTAGCTGCGGGGACAGTGACCCCGGCTTGTTGCAGATGCCTTCGAGACCAGGAAAACGGCGGTCCGTCACGAGTACGAAGTGACCTGGCAAGATTGGTGTTGCTGCGAGAGGATTTAATCAACCCCCTCGAGAGCCCGGATGTCAACTTCCTTTTATCCTGTCACGGCCAGTCGGACTCTCGCAGCTCACGAATCGGCGAGAGCCAGATGAATGTCCGCTCTACCCGTACCACGTAGTAATCACATCTCCGTTTCCCTCCCCCTCCCCCTCTTTCCATATGCGACTTGACCCGCTGCCGGCCTCTAGAACCAGTCGAGGGGTCGCGATAAAGGAGGGGCAGGTGAAGCACTAAACCACTGCGGGTGGTGATTGGGTCAAGGCCAGGCCATGTCCTATCAAGCTATCAGGTATTATTCAGCGCAAGACCGTTACCGGGGAGGGTTTACTAGGGTTTTGGGCGGGGAGGGCAGTAGGAACCGCGATATGGGCCAGTGTCCCGGAAGCAGGGCAAACGGTTCGTGCAACCGATTGGTTGAGGCTGGCCGTCGTGATGCTCCCCACTTGAGCAGCAAGCCCCCGGCTATCGGCGACGGCTTCTCGGTCGCCAAGATACGTGAGATCCGCAAGCCCCCCCCACATGTGAGGACGGTGTTCACTGGGCTTTTCTAGCACCTTGATATTTATCCCTTAACACAAACGACATGGAACGGATAACAGCTGACCAGCCGCGATAAACGGGGATCGATGTATGGGCCACGATGCGCGGCTCCAGTTCGACTGCAAGGGCAAACACGTTATGGTTGTGCGCGATCTCGTCCCGGCTCTGAAACATACCACTAGAAGCCTCTTTGGGGGCGTTTACGCTTTACCGTTGACTCAGCAGTGTTTGTGATCGTCATGTAGATGGTTCAAGACGTCTTGCCGCAGCCGGCCTCCAGGACCCACCCTCTGCTCACTGAACTTGAAGCAGTTCTTCGTGTCACCAGACGAATACGCACTGGGCTCCTGCCTCGGTCCATCGTCCGCGTTTGCTGGGCGCCGCCGGCTAAGAACAGAAAATAGCTTCCAAATGGCTCCTTTTGACAAGCACATTGTTGCCGTGCGCCCAGGATTCACTTTCGCTGGAATGGTAACTTCGGCATAAAATGTGCCTGGCTAGCTCTCTGTTCCGAGGGCCGACTATACTTTCGAGCTCGTCCAGACATCATGTCCGCAACTTCAGCAGATGGAAGTTCTTCTTAAGGGCCCGCCAGATGCCAGAAGACACCTGAAGGCAACAGGAGCTGACACATTATAATGAAGTGGTATTCTCCGCACTCTGAGTATCTTACAGGCAGGGCAGGTCGGCAATCACTGCCCGTGAGATATTGACTTACGGTCTCGGTCCTTGTTCTGTACCCATGGGCTCTTCAAAGCATTCCCATGGGCCTCCAAAAACAAGCTCACCGGTCTACAGCTTGGAATCCTTGCGTCCGCTCTTGACGTTCTTCGAGAACTCTCCCTTCAGGAGGAAGTCTGGGTATTGCATGTTTTCGTCAGTTCCCACTGCCAGCGCGCCTCCCCGTCTCCAGGCGCCGCCGTCAACAGGGATCGCCTGGCCGTTGACGAAGTTGCCGGCGTCGCTAAACAGATAGACCGTGGCGTCGGCAATGTCTCGGATAACGCCCCAGCGACCCTGGGGCACCAAAGCGTCGGCCTTTGACTGGTCCTGCTTGCTGCTGGCCAACCGCTGCATACCCTCCGTGTCCTTGATCGGACCCGGGGCAATGACATTGCTCGTGACTCCAAAGGGGCCGTACTCCAATGTCACCGAGGCCATGAGGGCGTCGACAGCGGCCTTGGCAGCTGACACATGGGCCTGTAGCGGCATACCCGTCCAGTGGAAGGTTGCCGAGACGAAGATGATGCGACCGCCTGTCCGGCCGTTGTTGCTAGGTGTAGGGTTCTTCTTTGCCGACTCGACCAGGTAAGGAATGGTGGCCTTGATGGTGTTGAAAGTGCCCAGGACGTCAATATCAATAACGGCCTTGAAGGCGTTGGGGCTCATGCCGGACAGAGGTGCAACGAAGTTACCAGCGGCGCCCGCACTGTTGGGCGTTAGTTTCGAGAAGACGCCATCTACATCGGTGACCTACATGACAAAGTCGATGCCACCGAGCTCCTTGGCACATCTGTCTGCGGCATCTTGCAGGCTCTGGGGCTAGTAGGAACAGGTCAGATTTGGCATCTTTTAACGCATGTGGCTCCGAGTGATTGATTGATTGATGTATACATACATTTCTCACATCACAAGCACCAATGCCGATGACCTTGGCGCCGGGCCTGGCAGTAGCCAGGTCCTTGGCCATGGCCTCTGTCTTTTCGACGTTGCGGCCGATGATACAAGCGTTTGCTCCGAGACGGACGAGGGCCCGGGTTTGGGCGCTGCAAATACTGCCAGCGCCGCCGGTAACAAAGGCGACTCTATCATCTGTCATGGATCGGTTAATCTGGAGGCCAGATGCAAAGAACCCCGGGCAACTCACTGAAGATTCCATCCTTCCACACCGGACTCAGGTACTCAGACTCGGGGACAGGCATGTTCTTAGAGCGTAGGTACGAAAGATGTACAGAGGCAATGAGTGGCTGGTATCACAATGCGGAGGAGGGATATGATGACGGGTGGAGAGGCGGATATCTTCTACGAGATGAAGGCAGCGAATGGAACGTACGAAGTCGGACGATGGGGGAATACTGATGAGTCCGCTGGCTACACAGAGATCGGAGAGTTTAGGCGATCAAATGTAACACGACAAGAGGAGACTAAACAAAGTCCGGTCGGTGCGATGCTTGGGTTTGACATGCAACGGCGACGGCAGTGCGCAGCTCCAGATGGCAGCGGTAGTGCTTCGTAGCGCGACGGACCTCGGCAAGGGCAGGTTGCAGGTGGGGCCTTCCGCGGTACGGCGTGTTGCGTGATTAGTGATTCACATGCTGAGTCATCGCTTGCACGGACCTCGAAGACGGACGAGAAGTCAGTCTCGGCCGACCAGCAAAGGGTTGCATCTTCAGTCCATCTGACTCGCTCGGGGATTACTGCTCCCCAGAGGAGACAATGACCTCCGTCTTCCCGCCGACACCTTTCCCAATCGCTCCTAGCGCTCGCTATCGAATGGCCCTAGGTACCTTGCCGTTCCAACGCTAATTGCTCCATGTTTCTCAGCAAGTTGATCCATCAGCTGCAGGTCACACATCACCAGGTGTTCAGAAAGATGCGCGCGTAGCATGCTACCGTTGGAACGTTCAGACCCAAACATTACCCTTGACCTCGCTGCGTCTCTGCGGCCAACGTGCATGATGACTTTTGGCTAGAGAGGGGTAAAGGACCACATTCCACAAGGATAAATGGTTCGCGGCCTCGAATTCTTGCCCTATCTCAGTTTCCTTCGTCGTGACGTGGACCACGTGCCGAGATGACCAACTGAGCATGGCAATATACAAAGCGCCCAACATGCAGCGCAAAGAACGACGTCCACGCCGACAATAGCCCGATCATCGTCGTGGCTGATAATGTAACGAGCATCTCTAACAAACTCCTCCCCAGTTCGCCGATGACATCGCCGGCAGCTCATCTGCTAGGGCATCGGTACATACAGATGCATCATATCTTTGCCACTGAACCTCGAACAACTACTGACCTTTCTCTCCAAGAGCATCGCTTCCTCAACTACAAGTACGGCCAGCTCTTTTCTTCACCACCGCATTGGGAATGGCGGAACCTACCACAAGTACAAGGATGACAGTAAATCTCCCAGCAGCACCAATCGTTGCGGGCCGAAGCTTGCGGGACTAGAATACAGCTACTCCAACGACGAGAAGGAAAATTGTAGACTAGGTATGCTGTACCGAATTTGATGAAGTACACCCCGATGCAGAGGTGAGGCGACCACGTTGGACAACAGGAGCAGATGCTAGCTTGGGTGGCACAGGTGGTTGGCGTGGGTCTCTCGCCAGTCCAGTCCAGACAACATTGTGCTACTCCTGTCAATGTATTCTCGAGACAGCAAAGCTAGCTTCTCTTCGGCTTTCCGCCCAATGTCAAGTTCGAAGTTGACGAGCCCTGGGCGTACCATCTGTCTTTTGATTACATCCACACCGATGCTATGGCGTCGAGCGTCTCAGATTGGGAAAAGTCCTTTAAGAAGAGTTTTGAGTGAGTGGCACCGGAATGCGCTAGTGTGACCCTACTGACTTACTGGACAGTTCCCTTGAATCTGGTGGTTACCTCGAGCTGCAAGAAGGCCATGCCAGGCCTGACTATGACGATGAAACCTTGTAGCCAGACTCTGCGTTAGGAGGTTAGTTTCATTGACATTTCTGTCTGTAAGTTCAATTGGCCACTTAACTCATGGTCCAAAGACCCTCACTTTCGAAAGCTTGGAACTTGGGAGGGCATTGAGGCTTGAACGATGGCGCGCTTTGCCAGAGCCCTTGGTTGGACCAAATATGAGGTTAACGCATTTCTCGTCGACGTGCGGAAGGACAGTAAGGACAAGAGAATACATGCGTACTGCCCTATGCGAATTGCTAGTTCAAAGGACCCATTCTGTTTCGGCTTGAAATGTTTGCGTATAGGCCACCTATACCATGCTCACATGTTCGGTCCGTCGACTTAATGCAGCAGCCCAACCCGCGGTCTGTTACATTTGGCGGTTGACTGTTCAGGAAGATCAGTCCCACTCACAGCCTACCACGCTGCAGATGTATGCTTCTTTTGTCCTGGAGGCACTGGCTATCGTTTCTGATACGGCCCGGAACTCTTGCTTGTTGGAAGTAAACAATATCCATAAGAACACAGCGCCCCCTGCCACCAACCTGCATAATCGTCCCCGGCCAAGAAGAGGGGCCGTATCAGCGGTGCAACAGAAAAGGATGAAATAGTTCATGGTCAACTCTCAACTCTACTTCATCTTCCCTTCCGAACAAAAGACACCCGACTCGGCTCTCCGCGCTTTGGTCCCCTGAATTGTTGCACCATGGTCGACAACCAGAACGACAAGGCGCCCGACAATGGCGCAGCACCCGCCAACGATCCTGCTTCCACCAGCGGCCCTGTTATCGTGGCCAACGACGATGTGAGGAACCATGAAGAGACCCAACAGTTATGCAGACACTGACTTTCGATGTAGGTCACAGACGATGCCACGTCAGACGCAGCAACCGTAAGCATAAATCCATCGGGCCTTTCATCGGGTGTTGTGAAATGTTCTAACTCTTCCAGCTTGTTTCTGCAGGTCTGCATCTAACTAAAAACAGGTGGGTGATCTGTGCCAAAAGGCCGCTGGAGGTGACCGAATAAGCAGATCTAAACTTGTGGCCCTAGCGCATACATGCGGGAAAGAAACTGGCGTAGATGAACAGGGGGTTCTAGAATCATATGACCTCGCAATATGCGTATCATAGTATTCTTCAATGAGATATCATGACGTTATTGCTTGATGAAGCAATGGCACAGGATCGAATGACCAAAGCAAAGTACGTCATGGCGATTTGGAACAACGCTTGTTTCTGATTGCGGCCTCGTCAATACGCGGTCCTTCCTACCGGGGTAGAAGTCAAGAATGACCGCATGGAGACGGCACCTAGAATCAAGCCTGGCTGAATCATGGAGAAGAGACTCATGCAGGGACTTGTGCAGCATTCCCAATCTCGGCGAAGCTTCGAGAGCGGAGGCTAATCAGTGCACGGATAATTGAAGATCAGCCTGTCCCACATTACAGAAGGCCCACATGAGGTACCCACACGGGCCCGGCCAACCAAATCGCCGCGAAACAAGCAAAAACAGCCCCTCTGTCTCTGCTGTTCCCGCGCAAGCGGAAGGGCGGTAAGGCGGGAATGTCGTCAATCCATCAATCAATCAACCAATCCAATCCGGCCACAGTCACCCACCTCATCTCCCCATTAACCACCACCCTCCTCGCCTTTTATGGTCTAACCCGTCACAGGCCAGCTTTGGTCCAACAAAGAGCACCTCCGCCCCTCCGTCAGCGACAGGCGGCCCGACTCCACACCGATTTCCCTCTGGTCGTCACACCCTATTACCTGCTTCCCGAGGTATTCACATACGTACGACCCGAACCCAGGAACTTGGACGCTGCGTACTCCTCATTATCGAGTTTCCAACAACACCTCTCACACCCAAAGTCGCTGAACTATCCCGGCCACGATGGCTTCCAAAGGAGTTTCCCTCCTAAAGTTCGTGGGAACTGTTTCCCTCGGCCTTCTGACTGTACGTCGCTACTGTGCCCCCGAAATTACCCCAACCCGCCTGGGCCGTAACCGAACCTGGCTCGTGGGATCGCCACTATTCCAGTCACCCCTCCCCGCACTCAGCACTCCGGGGTTTCGGCAGCTCCCCCCATCGCGCGAATCGCTTCACCTACTGACATTGTGCAAATAGGGCCTCTCCTACTCCCTCTCTACCGTCACCGTCCCCTCGATCCTCTCCCTCCCCTCCGCGTCCGACGCCCTACGCGCCTTCAAGAACCTCTACCCCGGCGCGACCGCCCGCCTGCGCATCCTGACCGGCGTCTCCGCTACATCATTCCTCCTCGCCTTCTTCTTATCCCCGCGCGCCTACCGCCACCCTTACCTTGTCTACTCCTCCGTCCTCTGTCTGACCTCCGGCCTCGCCGAGACCATCACCCCCTACGTCCTCAAGGGCTCTCCTGAGTCGTCCAAGGAGTCCATCGCCGCCCGCCGGCAGGCCAGCCGCCAGCGCGAGGAGGCCCGCAAGGCTGCCCGCCTCGCCCGCCAAGAGGCCCGCATGGAGGCTAGCTACGAGCTCCTTGGCGATGCACACAGCGACGGTGCCGGCAGCGCGAGCGGTGACGACGCGGCCGCGGCGATGGCGGCAGAGGAGGAGGAGGCCCTGAACGGTGAGGAGATCCGCAGCGAGGTCGAGGGCTTCAGAAAGACGCAGCTTGTGCAGTCTGCCGTTGCCTCGTTGGGTTTTCTCTTGTCCGTCGTCGGCATTTGGGGCGATGGTGCTATCCAGGTCTTCCGGACCGAGACTGTCATTGTTGGTGTATGAGACCATGTCTGAATGAAGTTGGGGGCGTATCAAGTCATAAGATTGTTTTTTCCGCAAATAGGAAGGAGTCGTAAGTTCGCGTGGGCCCGGCAATAACGACGCCACACTACTGTTGATGCTACTGGAGACCGTCATACTCATTACATATCCTTCTATAGCTACCCCGGTCTGCGGAGAGGTCGGAGAACATGGTAAAATAGACCATTAAAGCTTAACTACACCCCAGGCCTGAACAATTTTCTGCTGCGTACGCTGGTACTCTCCCTCATACCGCTGCTTTCCAGCTTCATTCGTGACCGCTTTGGACCAAGATGCCGGTGGGGTAGCATTGACTACCGTTCCGGGCTTTTAGACTCACTTGCAGACCGCATCCTCACGGAAGCGCAAGTAAGGGGTGCTTTTGTGGTGAGCGGCCTCAAATATGCTCAAGACTTGAGTCTCTCGGTGCCAGCCATGTCGTCCTGCGCATCCTTGACAAGGAAGCTACTGCAGTGTTAGCCCTCGTTGAATCAGAATCGAATCAACATCACGTGATCAACTCACTTGTACATCAGTATTGTGGGCGGGATTGTGCCCAGATGCCACAGGCTGTGCGCATCCAGAGCACCCCACAACGGCGGGAAGTCGAAGAGCTCCAGACTCATGACCGTGATGACGCCCGCGACGACGATACTCGGCCAGATGGCCCAACCCCTACGCGACTGCTTGTACTTGTTGAAACTGAACCACAACCACATGATGTTTTGGATCATGCCAATAATGACGTTGGCCGTCATGTTGTACGTGTAGTCCCAGCGCACACCCTTAAGGTACGCAACATGCCCCGCATACAGCAACACGCACAGCAGGGTCCAGGCGCGCAGTACTGACCTCCGGCGCGGCGTCGGGCGGTCAAGCCGCATGATGCGCACGACGGTGTAATATAGCCCGTACAGAACGCTCGCGCCCGCCGCGAAGTAGTCGAGCTGCTCGGTAGCAGGGAAGTCGCGGGTGTGGAAGATGGCGCTGAAGACCCAAGAAGTTATGCCCACGCCGGCGAGCCATTCGTACCACGGCCGTAGAGGGTACGAGGCCGGGATGACGGCGCGTAGTTTGCGCCAGCCGTCGTGGTGCGCCCAGAGGTTACCAAGGCTGAACAGGGTGCTGAAGGGCTCCTGGATGCCAAAGAGACGGTGGAAGGGCCATTTCCCGTGAAACTGGACCACGGGCTCGTCGGCCGCGAGACGCTGCTTCGTGATTATGTGCTGGCACGTGTAGTCGCATTCGGAGGCGCAGGTCCAGAAGAGGAGACGGCGGTGAAGGGCTGCGGTTGCGGAACTTGATTAGCCTCTGGTGCGCGTGAGGTCCACGGATTGGAAGAGGAAGGTTCGGGGGCAGATGACGTACGGATCGGCGTGGCTTCTTTGCCTGGAGCGCAGTTCTCATCGTGGCAGACCTGCAGGGCAGCACACAGCCACATGTCAGTCATTGGATGCCGAAAGGGGTGGTACCGGCGCGGTGGACATAGCCCGCGCGTGTGTAGTGGCACTAACCTGGACGCATTCTCGGAACTCTGGCAACCGATCACCGTAGGATGCCTCGACGGTGACCGCAAAAACGAGAAGAGCAATGAAGAGGACCAGGAACAGAGGAGACTGTGATCGTCTCCCCGCTCGTGAACCTTTCATGACGCCGGCATCTATCGCTTGTGGAATCTCGCGTGGCCGGAGGAGAAAGGGAATCAAGAGGCAGTGGCGGTGTATGTGTGGTGTACAGACCGGCGGTCGAGGTTGAAAAATGGTAGGGAGAGTGACGGAGTAGAAATGTACTGTAACTCGGGAGATGGGACACAAGGGTTCGGAGGTCTCGGGTAGCCGCTGCTCTGTCACTGTTACCCTGATCGAATGAAGACAACGACTGGCAAGGAATTAGCGCGTCTGATTGGTCATTTTCTCTGGGGCAACCAATTTTGACAGGGTGTAGCTTGGTGGCCGATCTCTGGACCGGGAGTTCATAAGCGAGATTCATTCAACTCTAAACTATCCCCATCACTCTCAACGTCGACTGTTTCAAGCAAACCTGTGAGTAAAGATTGCTTCATAGGCAGCATGTTCTTCTCCTTTCAGTATGCTGGTATTTTTCTTAATCTGGACAACCACCAAAACGCCGTGACTCGCTGGGCACATCACGTCACTAGGAAGGGATTTGTCTCATTCAGCAGACCGATTTGGAGGTTGCGGTCGCATCAATTCTGCTTCTCTCATCAGATCGATTTATATGATCCGATGTCTTCTATCCTACAACTTTTGCTCAAAAAATTAATAATTCGGGCTTCTTCAACTCCAGCGTTGTCAAAACAATCTCAGGCGCATCCTCCACCGCTCTAGTCATCCCTGGAATCGGGTTTTTCTCTTGGTGTTCCCTCGCTATCGTTCCCTCTTGCCGTTGGGTGGCTTTTGTGCTCGGTAGTACTTATCGACAACACTGGCTCGGGTTTTGGCCATCAAGATTGTCGGCCCCCGGTGGCTAAGAGCCATAGTCAGGCTCACGTCTCTTTGGGGAAGGGCCTGTGAACCTGGTTCCAGAGTAAGCGTCTCTCGACCAGAACTCCGGGGTCATCCATAGTCTCCGGATCTTTGGGCAAAGTAGAGATGAGTTGTCGGCCGTAATTGAAGTCGAGCCACGGGTGGTCAGCCTTTGGTCCCCGAGTCATCTTCAGGACGAATTCCCGGGTCCATACCGATGGTCCCCAGCAGTATGCTTCTGAGCCCTGTTGCAGCGCTACCTTGACAAGTGCGATCCATGGCTGTGTTGACTGTATCGCTGGCTTGTTCCTTCGTCGTAGGATGAGGTACAGAATCTTGCGCTCTAGGCTCATATTTCGCGCATCGGGGCAGTCATCCCAGTTGTGACCCTTCGCGTTGTGAATGGGACAGCCCTTGATGTAGCCGTTGTCGTCCGGGAAGAGGCAATCGCCTAGCCAGTGGCCAAAGTGACCGCATTGATTGCAGACGTTGTCCTCGTGGAAGCGATCTCCCTCCAGCGACTGTATTGTCGTAATCTCATTCAAGGCGGCTTCCTCCTTTCTCATCTCAACTTTACCTTTGAAGGGCGGTTTGTTACGTCTGTAATCAGAATCATGCAGACATGAGCCGCTCGGCGTTCCAGCCATCTGCGGTTGATGCACTGCTCCAGCTTGATCAGCTTGTGTGCTCACTCCGACATAGTCTTGATGTGGCCCACCGTCCGTGATCTGTCCGGTATACTCCTGTTTGCCAGGGCAGTCGCCATTTGCGTTGAAGTTGTCGCTTTCATGGCTCTGCTGGGGGTATGGATAGTATTGGGCATGGTCCCCTCCATCTAATGCTGGTCGCAAACGGGTGTTGGAGCCAGCATGGCCAGACCGAACAGAGCTACTATTGCCATGAATTCCAAAGCCATGATCGAGTTGGTCCTCAAGTTTGCATCTGGTCACTTCAGTATTGTGACTTGGCTGAGCGTGGATGGCAGTCCTTTGGTAGCCAGCCCTGTTATTGTCAGGTTGGTGCGGAGGCCTACCCATGGCGGCGGGCAGCTGATGCTGTTGAATGAACTTGTCGTAAGGCGCACATCCATCGACCGGAAACCGCATGGAATTTTCGTAATTTATGATTGTGTCTCTGTTATTGAAGATTTTTCGTTTCTTGCTATTGTTAACGCTCTGGTGACTGTCTGCATGGGTGTATTGTTCCACCTCCAGGCCCCTGAGAACTTGACCAGAATCATTTAGTGCAGCTGAGCTAGGAATTTGGGCTTCCTGCTGATGTTGAGAGTGGGTTTCAGTCCAGTTTCTAGTGAAGAGAGGGTCGAGTTCCGACCTGGAGTCTGTCTGGGCGAATTCGCGCCGGTGTTGGGCTGGAGGCAAGCGGCCGTGGATCTCTCTCATTCTCTTGTGTTCATCGTGAGGCTGTCGACGACCATCACCATCGCGGTCTTTTTTCTTGGATCTCGTCATCTCACCGAACCTGTTCGTTCTGTTGATTTTGGTGAGAGTGCAAGAAACAGAAAGATGTATGACGGGTCAAATGAAGAGGGGGAGAGGGTGGAGAGATGGGAAACACAAGATGAGAAATTGTACTGATAGAGGTAGACTTTTTAGGCAGGAACGACCAAGGGTGATATGACATCACATAACCCGCCTGAGAGAGAAAGTTTTTGAATAGCTTAAGGCCCAGGTGAATACATGCTCACCGGGGTACGAATTCTTTGGTGCATTACACATTGGCAATACGGATACAGTTGGCGTCAAAACAGAACCGAAGGCACACTCACCTAGTGAACACAATGATGTAAATAAATTCCATGACAGTGTAGTGAAAGCTCTATCCAAAGTAGCATAAGGTCTTTTCAGTTGATCACTATGTTTATTCAGCCACTAGGTATTTTATGGAGATAAACACTAGGTAGGCTAAGCAAGCATCCAAATCACTTGACTGCAAACATACATACGCTCTATTTTTCCGTATCAAATACTCGCAAGCCATTGATGTCGAGGGTATTTCCTGGATGTGGCTCGTCCAAGTTCCTTGAAATGAGAAGCCGAGAACCAGCATAAGTGGTATACCAAGCAAGAACGGGGATGATAAGTTTCTGAGCCACATCAGAGCTGCCGCATCTGGAGAGGTGGTCCAAGTGAACATCTTCAGTCTGGAGTTTTATCGGGTTGAACTTTTCCAAGAGTTCTATAGCAAAAGGCAGGACCCGCCTTGTCTTACCTCACTACGGGTCGCTCACCCTTTTTACTCTGTTCATACCTGATTAGTATTTACACTTCTTCACTATTTTCAACCCCCTTGTTTCATTCACTCACTTTGATTTATCCTAACGAAAAGGCTTTTCCGTTCACAATCAAAACATATGTTGGTCTTTGCGATAACTCGTCGTTTCACAGCAGACCATTTTACTAACAATCATTTAGGCGGCGAAGATGTGTGGAGGCGCGTTCACTATGGGAGCAGAGAGAGAGAAATCACCATCAGACAGTCCATCGCAGCCATCCTCTAAACGAGCCAGACTGTCTTCCGCCGCAGTCGAGCCCGTCTTTGGACGGCTCGAAGTCACCGCAGATATCAACTCTGAGGACATCATCCGGATCAGCAGTAAGCGTCTGGGAGATAAGAGACCCATCATCGACCACCTTTCGGACGATACCTTTGCCATCATTGGTCCCCGTGAGCAAGCCCACGTCATGCTCGACAAGATCCTCCGCCATAGCGATAACCCTACTTTCACATGCATCGCGAGACTCGTTCCCGGCACGGAGAAGGCGTCAACACCCATCTCTACCGTGGCCGTGTCTCCGGGCGTGACACATGAGGTCCTTCACCACGGCATCGGCGAGACCAAGGCTGTTCCCGCTCCCGAGCTCGAAGGATCGGTGATTTCCCGCCGCAGCCTCGATGCTGCGCTGGAAAAGTGGTCAACATGGGGCAACCCCGACGTCAAGCTGAAGTTTCTTGTTGATGAGATGGAACGCCTTGAGCCGCAGGCCCGTTCCGTTGAGCTGCTCGTGATACAGCGACTCGCAGCTAAGCACCCAAGGATGACTGTTTCTGACTTCAACTCAAAGCTCTTAACAAGACAACGGGCCTGTTACAATCTAATCGCGAAGCTGGGGAAGACGCAGGTCGGCAAAGATACGATCTGCTTCAACCTTCTTACACACTTCTGGTCGATGTCCAACAACCCAAGTCTGAGTCCCGGGGTTTCACTTAGGCCGGGCCCCACTTTCCCGTGGAACAAGCTGAGGCCTAGCGATATGGCAGGTGGTCCTGATCCGTCATATGAGAACTTCCTCCAGGAGCGCAAGGAATAAAAGAGGGCCTCAAAGAGCATACTTTTTTATGTAGGGCGCTCATCGCACCAAGTCAGGGCCTTGTCGCCATCTTCACTCGAGAGCGATAACATCCCGGACGCGACGGATACACGATACGACACGCAAATGAGCGGTTCTTGGGATGACCAGGCTGGCGGTTTCCATTACATGGGCATGTCACAATGCGAAGGCGAACAGTCAAAATCTCAATAAACCTTGATCGTATAGACCATCAGATCATCCTGCCCTGTCTCCCATCTCCCAATCATTTCCTTTGTGATTGATGATTTACCTCCGTCCTGTGAACCAACATTTCGCATCATCTCTGCGCACACGCGCACATCATTACAAGTTTGCACGGGTTCTGAAACCAAGGGCAGTTCGTAAAAGGTGTGTATGCTTGTATGAACGAGGACAACAGGCCAAATTGTCGCTCCCCCTTCTTTTTTATTTTTCCCTCGGCCGCCCCGAAACGCCAGAGCAAATGAAAAGACGTTAAGAACCAAAAAAAAAAAAAGCAGAAGCAGCCCACCCAGCCAGGCGCATGATGATAAAAGCCACGGCATCTATGCATGCGTGTGTACCTCTCTCTAGTACTTCTTCTCTTTGATATCATGTACTAACCCCCTTCCACCTCCTACTCATTACCATCCATACCCTCGCCTCTCCCACCGGCCTTTACTGCTCCATCGCCTCGTCGTCACCGGCAGCGGAAGCAGCAGTAGCACTATCGTCACCCCACAGGCCGTCAAGCTTGAACTCCTGGGCCCACTCCGTGACGATGGTCTTCTGGTCCGCTGCGCCGACGTCGTCGCTGACGGGGGCCGCAGCGGCGGCGCCATCGCCCTGCACGGCCAGGACGGGGGCCTCAACCCAGCCCTGGATGCGGCCATCGCGCCAGTCGGTAACAACGGTCATGGCGGCGGCGTTGATGTTGGGGATGCCGCCACGACCGAGGCGGCCGCGCTTCCGCGCGACCTGGACGAGGAAGTCGGTCGTGATGTCGCCATCGGTGCGGCTCGGCAGCAGCGGGGGCAAGTCGTAAACGTCCGTCAGCTTCTGCAGCAGATCGGGGGTAGCAGACAGCCGGCGCAGGAGAAGGGTGACGGCGGGGATGGGGTCCTCGATGTTCTTAGGGGGCACAGCGTTGAGCAGCACGAGGTGAGCATGGGCGTCGGTCGCGTTCTTGAGCGACACCAGGCCGGATGTCGTGCTGTTGTTGGCCGAGGGGAAGACGATACCGGGTGAGTCGAGGAGGGTGAGCTTGCTGTCGATCTTGACGGCACGGATACTCGTCGTGACGCCAGCCTCGGCGCCCGCGGGGCACGCCTTGGAAGCGCCGCGGCCGCCGCTGAGGCGGCCGAGGAGGGCGTTGATGACAGAGGACTTTCCGACGTTGGGATAGCCGATGACGCCGACTGAGACGGCGCGCTTGAGCTGGCGGCTAGCGGCGTAGGACTTGAGGGCGCGGAACAGGTCGGCTGACGTCTTCTGCACCGTCAACTCCTTGTGGTTGAAGGTCTGGGCGTTGGGCGCCGCGTTGGAGGCGCGTAGGGGAAGGGTCGGGAAGTAGCGGCGCAGGTGGACGAGCCAGTCTTTGAGGACCTTTGGGGGCACGAGGTCGATCTTGTTGACGACGAGAATGAGGCGCTTGCCGCCGTTGGCGGCCGCCATAACGCTACGTTCGACGTCGCGGGAGCGGGTGGACTCGGGATCGCGGGCGTCGAGGACGTAAAGGATGACGTCGGCCTGCTCGACGACGTTCTTGAAGACCTTGTCGAACGCCTTGCGGGAGGTGGCGTTACCGACGGCGATTTCGGGCGCGGCGTCTGAGTCGTCCGAGTCGTCGTCGTCGTCGTCCATCTCGTCGTCGTCGTCGCCGCCGTCGCGAAGGTCCTTCTCGTAGCTCTCAGCAGCGGCCCTCGCGCTCGCCAGCAGGGCAGCCATGGGGTTCGACTCGTCGACGTCGTCGTCGTCAAACATCATGCCGTCGTCCTCGACATCAGCCATGACGTCCTGGCCCGTCGACGTAGCCTCGGTGACACCGCCCGTCTTGGCGGCCTTTGCCATCTCGCGGCGCTTCTGCGCCTCCTCCTGCTTCCGCAGCTTCTTCTCCTCAATCTCCGCGAGGATCTTTTCCTTGTAGGGGAACAGATTCGGGATGCCGGGATCCTTCTTGAGCTTGGAGCGCCATTCCGGGTTCTGCTTGGCGAGCTTTCTCTGTTTCCTCTGCTTGGCTGCCGACGCCTTTTCGATCTTGTGGCGGAGGCGCACGGGGGTCCTCTTGGACTTTGGCTCTGCGATGCTGTCAGTCAATACGGGACAGTCAACCTCCTGCGGAATGCGACGTACTCTTGGGTTTGTTGATTGAGCCGGCCATCTTGGAAGTTGACCCGGGCGACTTGGGGAGCACTTTTTCCTATTACTTGGAGGGATGCTTCCTGCTAACCTCGACTGCCGTAAAATTTCCTGCGCCTCGGTCTTTGCATGCAACTTTCAAAAATTTAGTGGGAGAGCGGGTTCTGCCGCCCCACACCGCTCGATATCACTATCAGACCCCACTACCGACGCTCACCGCCCGAATCTAATCCCGTTGCGGCAGCCCCGCCATCAACCGAATATAGCCCCTCCATGGCAAGAGCGAGAGCGGCTGGAGCCAGTGGGCCGAAGACGCACGCTTAGCAGCATAACCAGGAACCTGTCCTGGAAGAAGAACCTCTGATGGTGTTAGGTCCCCGGGTTTGCCATGGCGGCGGATTACCAAGGTCGTCGTTGCCGACTCAGCGATCCCTCAAGAGTCATCAGTCGCCTCACAGCCTCAACTTCAGCTTCGAGTCATGCTTTCTCATCCGCACAAAGGATTCGTTACAATTAGAGGCACTTGAGGGCAGTTTTCAGTTGGAAACGCATCCCGGAGATAAGCCAACGACTAACCAATCGTCTTTACTTAAGCCAACCTGATCACATCTCTCGCCAGATAATATCGTGTTTTCACCTCCCCCAAAAAGGGAGACAACTGCTGAAACCTCCGCAGTCAGTCACCCACACTTCAACCATGTCGTACGCAGCCCCCCCACAACGCATCACCTTCGATGGCTTCCTCTTTGACATGGACGGTACCATCATCGACTCAACAGAGGCCGTCGAGAAGCACTGGCACACGTATGTCCACCGATCCGACTCTGACTACCAAGGTCTCACGGTCGGCGGCGTCCCTTGCATCAGGACACCTCCCCCGCCCGTCTCCTAACCCATCCCCACTCACTAACACCGCTCTCCCTTGCAGAGTCGGCAACGAGATAGGGGTTGCGCCTGAGGTGATCCTCGCAACATCCCACGGCCGCCGTAGCATCGACATCTTGAAGATTCTGGCCCCTGAGAAGGCGAACTGGGAGTGTGAGTTGCGCTCAGATCTCTTGTCGTTCGTCCCCTTGCTTCCCTCTTCACTCACCGGCCGGTCGCCACCGTTTCTCATCGTTTCACAACACTATTTCTCACTCGACAATCCCCCCATAATACAAGCAAGGGGCTCAAGGGGGAGGGAAGTTGACTGACGTGCTTGCTGCAGATACTCGCGAGATGGAGGGCCGCCTGCCGAAACTCTACGGAAAGGACGCAATCGAGATCCCGGGAGCAAGGGCGCTGCTGGACGCTCTGATCAAGGAGGACGCGCCCTGGGCCATTGTCACCTCCGGAACCGAGCCTCTCGTCGGTGGATGGCTCGGCGTCCTCAAGCTGCCCCAGCCCGAGCATCTCGTCACAGCCGAGTCCGTGGAGAACGGCAAGCCGGATCCGACCTGCTACCTCATCGGCCGTGAGAAGCTCGGCCTGCAGGATGCGTCGAAGCAGATTCTCGTGCTCGAGGACAGCCCAGCTGGAATCAAAGCAGGCAAAGCAGCCGGATGCAAGGTGCTGGGCCTCGTCACAAGCCACACCGTTGAGCAGGTTGCGAGCGCCGAGCCAGACTGGATCGTCAGAGACCTCGACTCCGTCAGGGTCGTTGAAAAAAGGGATGGTGTCGTCACTTTGGAGTTTTCCAACGCCCTAGTGCCGGGTCTCAAGGCGTGAGGAATGGAGGCTCTTCTAGGTAAATCGATAGACAGAATTAGACTTTGTGTGCCTAGACCCCATTCTCACAGAGCCGTGGTCCGCCATTCCCTTGGGGCAAGAGAAGGGAGAAGGTGAGGCCAACTCCGTGACAAACGATCGGCTAGTGCGTCTCGAGGATGACGTTGACTAGATTCTGGCTTGGCTTGTCGAGAGAAGTCTGGATTCGAAAGGGGACGAGACGGCCTCGACGGGCGTATGCCTACGGTGAGAGATCCCGACCACGAGCAGACTCATCGGCTGCGGTGTCTGCTTCCACCCGTCGCGGCAGTCTAACAACAAAACGCCATTGATCTCTGCAAGAGGTGAGTCGCGTAGGCCCAAGACCTTGTCTCTGACCCAGAGACAAGATACACCGGATGTCGTGTTCGGGACATGTGCGACCTCAGAATCCAAAAATACCACCCCTCCCCCTCCCCCCCTTCGGCCGAGCTAGGTGAGCCTTAATACACTCACGTGTAGTCTCGCTGACGGCTCGGGTTACCAAACTGCCACGGCTTTGCACAGCACGCTGTATCGGCGGTTCGATCAGCTCGACGCGAAGCAGAGTAGGAGCGTATCGAACTCACACGCCGGCGGCCTTGCTTTTCTTTTCTTTCGCCAATCTTGGGGCAAAAACCCACGGCCTGAAGGTTGACTCGGGAAAAGCAACGCCGAAAGGGTCTCAGTCCGGCGGACGCACCACTTATGGATGGCCCAAAAAGCAAACAGAAACGACGGCAATCGTTTCACGAAAGCGTCGTGCAGGCAAGTCTGACGACTTGTCGAACGTTCCCAGTTGCCTCGTGTCTAGCCTATGCGGAACCTGAGCAGTCCCGAGGCCCTGGTTGTGGCGCAACTTTGCATACCTTTCGATAACAAGGCCGCTATTAGCGGCATACTACCATGTATGTAGACGAGATGAGACGAAAAGTGAACGGTTCGTAGGAGTCCATGTGAATCGGAGGTGCAAGGTCCCGGACACACAAGAATGCTCTGTCAGCTCCGGGCTTCGTGCTGACAGGTCGGCTGCCTGCAGGTCGTAATCACCCAGGCACAGCCACGTCTTTTGAGAGAAGGTACAAGTCGAATCAGGAAACAGCATCTTGCAGCAACTTCGGAGATCTTCATGCCTTAGCCTTTGGGGCGTCGCTCGAGCCGGCGACCAATGCAACGGGGCGAGCGGTACGGTGCCGGCCTGGCCCTGTCCCCGGACGATGGTGTTTGGCGAGGGTTGGGCCAGTAGCGAATATCGTCTTCGGCCACCCGCCTTCCACGCCAATTCTGGCTGGCGGGCGGGCAAACGAGGCTGTCGGTGCTTGGTGGCGGCAAGCACATTCAGATGCGGATAACCCGCGGACGAAGCCGAGACAGCGACACGACAAGGGATTCAACGTGTATAAGTGCTGGCGTTGAGGCAAGGCCCAGGAGGAGTTGTTTGCTAGTTCACTGCTTCCCAAGTGCCAGCAGGCGCCCGAAGACGCCATTCCCACACGTGCGACGGCATGCATCAACTTTCGTGTGGACAGATGCAGTGAATCAAGGGACTAGGCCAACACAGGTTTCGCCCACGAGAATGTCGTTTTTGGGGAGAGCCACGCGAAGGACTGCTCTGGCGAGTCTTGATGCCCGGCTGAACCTCAAGCCCTGGTCACAGTCATTGCATGCTGCTTGCTGGCCTAGACTGACTATTACTTCCAACCATAGGCGGCCACCGAGGCAGCGTATTTCCACAGCACTCACTGGGAATGACGAAAGCAACCTCAGTCTCCTCCGCTGACGGTGATTTTGTCATCACGACTACCACGAGGAGGATATTGGAATATTGAGTGGTGGCGCACCCATCTTTAATGAGGATTCAGGGCGACGAGTGCTCAAAAGTGACCGCTCTCGCCGGCGCCTTCGGATTCGATTAGTGCAACGTCATGATTGGCCGGGTTTCCAAAGCCAGGCAGGCTACTGGGCTGAACGGGAAAGCCGCGCGCGCCAGTGATCAACGAACGAACACATCGTATGCAGGAGATACGTACGCCTCGAGGGTTAAAGCTCGTCACCAGGACGCGGCTTCCGGCTGCATCCGCGTCTTTGCGGTTCCCGTCGGCGGACGGACGTGTTCTGACTCGAGTCCACCCTGCCGTGAGGCTGTGTCGTGGTTTAGCGAGCGAGAATGAAATTGTGCCGTCGCAGAGATGGAGGGGGGAGGGAGGTTCAGGTCGGTGTTGGGGTGGGTGTGGAAACTGACAGGCGCAGCAGCCCGGCCCGCATGCAAGTGTTGCTGTTGCTACATGCGTGCTTCCTACCAGGCCCCTCGTCATCTTTTTTTTTTCTTCTTTCTTTTTTCTTTTGCCTACGGCCGTGACGAGGGCCCCTGATCTAGTTTGATGAGAAAGGCAGGGGGGGGGGGGGGGGGGCAGCGGCTAGTGCGCATGGGAGGAGAAGATAGCAAAGGAGCAAGAACAAAACATAGATAAAAGAGACGGGAAAACCCCGGCAACTGTCCCCTCTGCCCTCTCCCCTCGCCGGACAATGCAGGGGGCCAGGCTGGCATCCCCATTCATCTCATCAGTCGTCACGGCCGGCATCGCACGTGGCTGCCAGGACCCGACGTTGACCACCCTAAAGTCGTCCCATACAATACTACGTTGTTTACCATGCACATAGTATTTGCTGGGGTACATGATGCGACGAAGGGACCGAGCCACGCTGTGCCTCGTATATCGTCATGGACCTCGACAAACCGAGCAACCGCGGGATTCGAGTGTCCGGTTTTGTGGTTCTTGTGACCTCAGGGGCGAGTCTAAGACATGGTTACGTTACGGCTTTTCGGGTCAAGCCCCCCCTACAGCGACTGAGCCCCTTTTCTGCACATGTACTCGCAAAAACTTCATCTCCCATGTGCAGATTATGCCCCGGCGCACGGTCATGCCTCCTCGAGTCCTGCGTAGTAAGCAAAGCAAAGCAAAACAAAGCAAAGGCTCGTGGTCGTTATCCCCAAGCGCCTCGTCAGTCGTCTTGAAAAAAGCGAATCCACGCGAAAGGTCAGTAGGCGGGGTGTCGTTGGTGTTGCGCCGCCCCCCCTCATTCGGCAACGCGCTGCTGATTGCTTATGGCGCGCGTACGGCAGATGTTCCCAACCGGACATGGTCCTTTTGACGAACAAAACTGGGTGAGGGAAGGTATCCCGATTCTCTGGATGAAGGCCAGACACTAAAATAGAAATGGTTACACTCGGAAGTCTCCTAGGTAGCCCACATAGGACAAGGTCTTGCAGAATAGGTATCATCTCCGGAGGCGGGCTCTTCGAATTGCCAAAGTGGAACACCGGGTAGATGTCTGATAAGCAGATGAAGACGACATCGACATCTGTAGTCTTGGGGCGTAGCAAGATCTGGGTCGGTACTGCAGGGCTAGCAGGGACCGATCGCAACGTAGCCGGCAAATAAGTACCTGTACAGTACACAGCACAAGCTGCCGCACACAACGGACAACTGACTCACTGAATGGAGGCTGTGCTACGCTCGCTGGCTCGTATATCATGCGATGCACCCGAAGCTGGTCAAACATGTCGACGGATTGCACTGATCAGGTTGCTGTTACGGTAACCTCTCGAACCAAGCCTTGATCACAATGCGAAATGTCCCCATTATGCAGATATCAATGTTTCATGTTGACAGTGGCAGATAGCCCAGTCAATGACGTTGAGTATGACGGGGGAGGGGAGGGCCAAGACAAGTTTAGCTGTATTGGGCTTTTCTAGCTTTCCTGACGGTTGGAATTATCGGCAGCGCTTAAGCCAGCCTGGCGCCGTTGGCTTATCGCTGCTAGTGGCATGGTGCTGGGTGTCTAGCTACCTAGCTAGCTACCTAGGTACCTACCTAGGTAGGTAGGTAATAGGATTGAGGTACGTATCCAAGGCGGCCCCTCTCAAGGCCGCACAGGTACAGTCGGAAATGTCGAACAGCACAGGTTTGGGGTGCAAAGGGTTCGTAGAGGCCTAGACTCATCCGTCAAGCACGACGGCCCAATACGCTCCTAAGAGAGCTTTCGCAACGAGCAACCTCACGTTGAGGGGTGACTAAAACTCCGCATGATGCCTTGGTAATGTCTCCCCTCCCTGGTCTCGGCAACACCAATCGCATCTTGCGACGAGTATCCCCAACGAGCAGCACCGCGTTAGCTAGACACCTACTACTGCGGAGTGATCAGACAAGCTGACCATGTCCACTACTGCGTACCAAGTACTGTAACACGACCAAGTGTTTGTTGTACCTATTGGATGGTCACGTCCACGGAACGGTGACGATCCGGAACCTCCCCCCCCTACCCCCAATAGGTACGTACATCGGCCAAGCCCTCGTATCTCACATCACGAACGGGTATCGAGGACCAACATCGCAGAAGAACCCCGCCTAGTGACTTTCTACCGCTGAGGATGGTATGTGGCACTCGGCCGTTGATTAGTCTCTTTCTGTAGATGTACAGCTCGTCCTGGTGCTGCAGTCAGACTGTGTTTTGAAAGGTCGACACTCCGGGCTGATTCAACTCGTCCATGTTGCATGCTAGCTGTACCGTGCATCATGCATGTCCACGAATGGCTTTCCGATCTTGTCTGGAGCGCAAAATCTTTTCTTTGCTTTAGTCCAGACCATGGAAATAATCGGTAGTGTATTTGACCGAGGAGCGAGTATCGCCGCCATCAAGAAGACCATGAGATCGGCAGCTTTTACCTAGGTAGGTAGTTGACAACTGCTACTCCTTGCTCGGGCTTGCCAACCACTCGGGTGACAAAAAAGACGGCTGGTTGCACTTACTACTACCATATGGCAAGCGACCATCTTTTTTGTCACCCGAGTGCCAATATGGCGACGCGACATGACGCGGCTGGTATTGTCCCCAACTTGTTTGTTTCCACGTAAGGGGTCCAGTCCTATAGCGCACATCTTAAGAACATCCCACGAATGAGGCGCCTGGTACGGATCTAGGTCTGCACGCCTCGTTTGTCTTAGCAATGTCACCCTGTAATATGCCTAAACGAAAATCTTCGACATAGAAATTGCCTGGGGTGTTTGGTACCAGCCGCTCGCTGCCTTGGACAGATATCTGGGAAGCGCGATGTGACTCCATCACGCACAACCTAGGCATCTCATTCCCAGCAGCTGGGTCTTAAGATCCATGTGCAGCATTGAGCTGTCTACATGATGAGAATTGTGGTATCCCCATGGGTTTGTTTGCATCACTGGCACACCTTTAGACGCTTCCTCACATTCGCCGATGAACATAAACTAAAACCGGTCGTGGAAAGAAAGTCTCGCGATCGAAAGCAACCATAAAAGTCATCGACACGAGAGGATATCGCCGACGTTATTCTTGAAACCGCAAGCATGACGAGGTGGCGCCGGCACACTCCCGTGAAGTTAAAGTAACTCCAAAACCACGCAAGTATTGTTAATACGTTCTTGTAAGAGACAAGTGACGCTTGCATTTGCACTTTTCTGCAATGCAGCCTGCAAGTTGGGATACAGCGCCGCATAGCTTTCAATATCAACCCTGTAAGGTTGTACAAACCAGCAGAAGCATACGCTCCAGAAATAGCAGTACAACCGTCCTTTCTTTGTTGTGTTTTTGTGTAACCCTGTGGCGGTGACGGCTCAGGTCAAGGCCCGCCCACTGCCTTTAAGTAATCTGGAGAAAGGGTCGCAGTCGAGGGCGGGATGTGTCCCCGACACTAGATCAGGAAGTCAACCGAACCATCATCTGTCAAGGGACCTTGATTCCTTCGGTCGCAAAGGGAACCGGGCTAGCTCCAAAGACAGGGCATGGGGAAAATGCCGGGAGAAAACTTCCCGCAGCATAACGACGGCAGCCCTTGATGAGGAGTGAGGGCCGTTTGTTTGCAATCCAGGCTCGCTGGCATTCCTTGTTGGGGGGGTTTTGTTGGCTCATGAACCTCGTTTCTGCTTAGGAGGCGTTCCTGTGTTCCCCAAGGTTGCTTGCTTGGGGGGGGGCAAGGCTCGGTGACAATTTCGCACCATGCCCAACGGCACAATTTGCTGCTGCATATGGGACTAGGGACCATATAATCCTTCAAGCTGCTTGCTGCATTTCAGAGCACCAAAAGTATGTCAGATAAAATCACAGTGCATCTTCTTTGCTGACAGGCACCGTGACGACCTGTCGTATAGGGGCCAAACGTCTGTGGACCATCGATTCGATGACGTGTGGCTGTCAACATCGGATCTACCAGAGCCGTCCTTACATGATCAGATATGGCAGCCATGGCTCATGAGACAGCGGTCGCGAGGGCAAGCCCTGATCGTGCGTACAAGTATGCTGCGGTGGTGAGTTCTGCGCCGCAGGGGAAGAGGAAAGTGTGTCGCTGCACGTCTAGAGGGCGGGGACAACAGGCCCGAACAAAAACGCTGTAATAGTTGTAGTAGGTGACGGTGATGGAACTAAGATGGACCGTAAGTTGCAACCTAGACAGACCCATGCGGTCCATGTGGTAGGGTTGCCAGCTGTGAAGCATCCTGACCTGGTCTTCGGGGAGGGCGTTCGGATTGCGTTCGGATTGGCCCACCCACACGACTCCTCTTCCTGACGACGACAACTGGTGGTCAACAGTGCGAGATGCGACCCAAGAGACGTTTATGCAAGTTCAGACGAGCTGCAGCGGTTGCGACGGGCTAAGGAAGCTACCATTGGACCAGGTCTCCTTTCTTGTGCAGCAACAGCATCGGGAGCGGTGCAGCGTTGAGAGCGAGACGCCTCTCAAGAGCATGTCTCAGCTCCAGCGGGCAAGGGCTTGCGCTTCGCCATTGTCAAGGTTCGACAACTTTGCGACCGAGTGAGACCAGTGAAAAGTAGGTGGTGGGCCATTCGGGGCTAGCCTGCGGGAGCAGCGGCTTGTGCCTGGAGTTAAGGGAGCTGGTGTCTGCTCTGCACTGGGCGTCTTAGGGCCACTGGCTTAGACCGAATGAGGTGTAGCGAACGTCAAGTCGGGGACTAGGCCAGCAGACCCAGCTGAAATGTGGTGATGAAGTTGCCGTTTGGGTACTGATGACCATGGCATCGCAGGTTGGGTTGGGTGATCTTTACCGACACGTCAGCGCCCGAACCAATCATCCACTATGGCCTCTTCGAGGCGGACGGTGCTACAGGAGTAGTGGTGCCTATCGCATGAGAACGTTGCATTTTGGGAGCAGCTGAGAAGGCAAGGTACCCGCACCATCTCGTCAGTTGACGGTTGATCATGACGGACGAGGATTGCGATCGCGGCCCGAAGCCCAAGGAAAATAAGGGGAAAAAGGAAAAGAAAGAAAAAAAACAAAGGGCAATAATCGACGCGTTTTCGGCGTCGTCGAGCTGCGTTAGCGCGGCGGGGAGCCAGGGGCCGACAGCAAGGTGACAGGGATCGCTTGCACTCACGAATGGCAAGGACCTATTCCGTTCCGTCAGCTTGACTGGGGGTGCAAAATGCGGAAAGGGCGGGAGCAGTGTATAGCCGGACGGTCTAATCCTAATTCAGAACCATCTCAGTTCTCTTTTCGTCCAGACCGGGCTTTGGAGCAGTGCAAGGCAAACAAATGCAATAGCCGATCTGGCTGGTCGCAATACTTGCTCCATTCGTCGCGTGGCAGTATGGCAGTCCTTTGCAGCAAAGCCGCGAGGGCAGACGGCGGAGGCGTGGCTCTCGTCTGCCATCCATTTGACGACCGCAAGGTGATTCACAATCACGAGAGGTGCCCCGGGCTAGATGTGTATGCACAGCACTCGTGTTGGATTGGCGAGTGTAGGATAGGACGGCTGGCAGATTGGGACGAACGAGGGGGTCGTGGCTCGCCCAGCTGAAGTCGGCCGGCCGTGTGTTTTGGCGTGTTCCGCCGTCATGGTTTTGCTTTGTTGGTGCCGTAACGCAGCCCGGGACGGCTGAGCGGAATTAGGTGGCAGTCACTCTGGTCAAGTGTCGCCGTGACGGGACTCTAGGGCCGTGCCATGCCTGGCGATCGATAACAGACCGCCCAGCATCTGCCATCCCACTGACGGCTCATATCACCACCACCCAAGACCCTCAACAGCGCCGCAAAGCAAATCCCAGGCCGATGGGATTGACAGCGTTCCGAGACAAAGAGCGACAGAGTCGTCCACTCAGAGGCAGGAGGAAGCGTAGGTCGTGGGGAAGCCAAGCATGGAGCTGGATGCTGTCCCAGTCGCGATATGCAAAGAAGAAGAAAGTCGCCAATCCGGATGGACACGGCGACAGCAAGGATGTTTTGGTGAGGCTGCTTGTCGCCTTGGGCGAGCAGCCAAGGAAAACAGACCCGACGGAAGCAATGCCAGAGCGAGTATCCATATTCTGTACGAAAAGTGCGTACTGGCTGATGTTCAAAGGCGTCTTGGGGGGGGGATTCATTTCGCAGAGATGACGATGGCGGTGACGTGACAGGCCCAAGCACATCATGGCGGATGATCACGCCCTGGGAGAGGAAAAGCTGGAGAAAACTATAAGCCACCTATCGACAAGGCACGGGGTAGCGGACGAATGGCTCAGGGCGAGTGTCGAGTGCAGTGAACAACTGGGTGCAGTCCGAGGGGTAGGATTGTGGAGGCCTGATAGGATGGAGAGAAGAAGGGAAGACAAGATGTTGGTTATTCTGCCCATACTATACACGTACTTGGTACATCCGCGATGTAGCTGTTCCCCTTCCCGTCCCCGTCCCGTTCGTATCGACACCGTCTCGGGTTGAGTTGCTCAGTCCAGAAGCCAATCCATGTGAGCCGGCGATGCGAGTAGGAAACCCCCGCCCCATCTATTTTCTTCACAGGGGGAAAAAAAAAAGGGAAAAAGGAAAAAGAAAAAGGATGAGCATTGATAAGGTAGCCTGCCGCACTTTCTTTGGTGGGTCGTAACTGCTTCGCGGACGGCAACGACTGCCTACGACAGGGATTTAAACCTTGCAGTCAGTCAACAAACGGGCCCCCATGCTGATTTCGATATGCGGTATTCGTACTGTGCAAGACGTTGACAAGTGCAAGAGGACAGAGCGTTGAGCATCCCCCTCTGTACTCCGTACGAGGATTCAAATATGACCTCAAGCCCATGGGTTCGCGTCGCAATAGCGTGCCAAGGGAGCTGGGCCGAAGAATGAGGCAGTTGATGGTCTCGTGCACTATCATTCTCGATGGGCACCTTTGTTCCCTGGTGTACCATACCTACTTACTTGAGGGTATCCCTAAGGACCAGTGATGCCCGCGCCGAGAACGAGAACAAGGCAACGGAGTCCAAGGCCGTACGTAGTGTTGTGCCTGAGCACAGGCCCGCCTGCAGTAGTGTGTGCCGGCCGTCCGCACTGTCCTTGTACCGGCAAGTCTGTGCAAGCAGTACAGTCGGGTCGGGTCCTTCCAAAAGTAGTCCGTATAGCTGCAGGAGAATTCTGCACTGTATGACCTTCCGGTGGTGGGGTCGGGGCGCAGGGACAGGCACGGAAAGAGACAGTGGAGGGTCCTTCCTACATACCGTATCCACTCGTTAGATTCGTACACTGCACTGACCACCCACTAGGCCTAATTCAAAAGGCGGTCAGCCAGCCTAGCCACACACCCACCCATCTAACCCTAACCCTTGCCACCAAACTTGCTGCTGACGTTGACTAACCCCTACATTTGCCACTTCTAGATCCCTGTTTCTGCCAGCCCGCTAGGCCCTATCCAGCAGCCCATGGTCAGTGCAGTGTACGAATCTAACGAGTGGATACGGTAGTACCTTCGGGGTCGAAGGGGGATGGAAGCTCGCACCGCAAGTGGGGTTCCTCTCCCCCACATGACCTTCCTGGCATCGAGTTGAGCAGCTACGGTAAGGTGCCTACCCAGGTAGGAAGATACAGAGTACGATTAGTTAGGTAGTGTATACCTAGTACAGAATGCTGCGTAAGGTATTTGTAAGTGTACATGCTACGGATACAGGTGCATCTTACTGTACTCCGTACACCAGGGATACCTCTCCCAGTCCCTTTCTCATCCCGACCAACACGTGTACCTGCACAGTAAGGGAAAGGAACAGCACCTTGCTTTTCTCCCTGTGCCTGAGGCTAGTGACACGGGCCATCGCGACACGGATCAGTGCCGCGGCATCTTATCATGCCAACCTACCTAATACCTACATTGTAGGTAGGTAGATACACCACCCTCCCTTATCCTGCTTAGGTAGGTACCTTGAGTACACAGGAGTAACATGTATAGTATATACCTACCTCCTCGCATCGTCGACTCCATCCACCTGCCGATGACATTCACGTGGTCGAGCGCCTTGCCCCGACTGCTCGCTGGCTACCTTGGGACGGGAAAGAAGACAAAAACAACAGAACGGTCAGGGAGGGAAGTTGGGGCGTAAAGTCGATCTTCCCTGCCTACCTACCATCTTATAAACTTTGCAAATTATTACAAAGAGCCTTGGGGCCATGAGCCGGCTCTCATCTTACAAAGCGTCTGTCTAGTGAGCACTAAGCAAGAGCCGGAGCACTTGTCAACTCGCCCCGGCAAACTACCTATCTTGGCTTAAGTACCTAGGTACCTAGCCTGGCCGACGTCCGCCTGTCGTCGCCTGCCCTCCGCAAATGCTACGCGGCAAATTCGCACGCCAACCCGGCATATCCATCCCATACTACTAAACTCCATGTGCGCACCAAGGCTAACCTTTATCCCGCGCCCCGTCTTCCTGCAGCGCCTTCGCTGGTCCGATCTTGTCGTATTGCCTCGCCCTCCGCCCGCCGCAAAACAACAGGCCAAGATGCGCCCACTCGTACGTGTGTGTGCTGTGCTGTGCTGCACCGCGCACTCACCGAAGCAACACAGGCTTTTCAGCTGGTCTTTGCCTCCTCGATTCAGATGCTGCCGTTGTTGGGATCGCCACCACCGTTCTTTTGGCTTGACTAAGCCCAGCCTATCCCAGCTTGGCCGACCCGTTTGGTTTGCTTCTGTTTTCTTGTTCAGCACGGATGCCGCGTTTCCTCGTTGCTCCCAGTTGAGTCCAGTCTAGCCAAGGACCCGTCATGTCGTGTCCCTTGCGGCCATACTCGCCGACTGCCTACCCCATTTCAAGTCCAAGGGTCAACCAGGCGCTACCAGAACCATCAGAGAGCACTCAGTTATCTCGCCCTGCCCAACCGCTCGTCAGTTTATGCATTGCCCTGCTCATCCTCTTTCCCACAGAGGTCGGTTCTGCTCCCCTTGAACCTTGGACTGACTGGCGGCGCATTGACTCGTCATTCTGCAATGTCTCGCTCTCGTCCCTTTCTTTGACCGTTCGTCACCGCCCTGTCATCGTGTGTGTCTGTCTGTTAGTCCGTCTGTCACGGGCGGTACCTTGCCTTACTCGCCCCTGGTGTCTCCCGTCACACATCACCGCAAGGCCGGCTTCGCCCACCCACCAGCGCGGCGCTTGCCGGTCTACCTTCAGCCCAGAGCAGGGGCCTTTGGGTCTTGTGGTGTGGCACCAGCCGACGTGGGGAGCGGAGCGCCGGTCGTCCAAACCCAGGGACGCAAAGACGCTTCATGGACCAGGGGCTGGGACGAACCTCGGTGGCCGGGAGCCAGGGTTAAGAATCAGAGGGGGTGTGTGGGACGAGATGGGATGGGCTGTGAATGGGCGGGTGGATGTCCGTGTGGATGTGGAGGGTTCACTTTCAATTCAGGTGGGTGCAACCTTCCTCGCCTTTCCACCTCACTCCTGGCCTGCGTCGCCCTCCTTCGCTGCCGCGCATCTTTCGGAGAAGGTCGAGTACCCCTACTGAGATACGCAGTACCTCGGTGTATGCAGCTCATTGCATAGATCGCTCAAGGTCCTTTTTTCGAGTTCTCTGTCGTCCCCCCTTTTTCTGCTGACATGGGCACACACGCACACACACACACACACGCACACACACACGCAGACGGCACGCACTTTCCACCCACCGAATCTCCTCATACAGATACGCTTTACAGTAAGAACAGGTAAGTACATATGTATACACACCCTCGCTCTCATAGCCTGCTTCGGCCTCCATCCACCGCACATTGTCTTTCCCACGCTTCTCCATCCTCATCCCATCTTCTGGGGTTGCCTTGCATCACGTTGTACAGTTTACTCTGCACTGGGCAGTCTGCACTGCACGTCTTCTGCACAGCTCCGCTACTCAGACCATGTCATATCCTGCAATGCCTCCACTGCTTGCTTACCTTGCCTTACGAATACATAGTAACATACTGTATGCAGCTTTGCTGGCTTGCCCTGACTGTCCTGCCCTGGTCCTTAGAGCCCCTCTGCTGGGGGCTTTCCCCTTTCCCTTCCTTTCCCTTCCCTCCCAGAGCAGAGCTTGAGAGTCAAGAGTGGTGACACCCTTGCTCCCTTGGTCTCCCGATACCTCCACCCATATGATCTCCTCGCTGCTAGGGGGTACCCGGTGGATAACGAGAGAGAGAGACACCCCCTTCTTGCCCACCCATGCCCTGCCGCCACCCCGGCGCCTACCTGCCGCGCGACTTACACCCACGTCGGCTTGCGCACACACACAGACACACACACACACACACACACACACAAGCTCAGCGCTCTGTGATAATGGGCCAACGAGACAAATGGATACATCTTCCGCCTCTCACCCCCCTCCCCCTCCCGACACCACTTTCTCTCACTCCTTCTTGTCATTGTTTTCTGTGCCCTTTCCCTCTCGTCAAGCCTTGTCTGTGCTCCTCAGGCCCTTGCCTAGACTGATCGAACATCTCGCCCTCAGGCTTTGGGAGGACTTTGGCAGACCTTGCTGTCTCACCTCGTTGCGGCCCTGCCCCGTTGGATCTTAAAGCGGACAAGCTCCCCTCGATTTGCTGCTCCGAATCCCGCGCCTCTCATACTCACGTTCTCTCTTCGCACCTCTCTTAATAATAGGCTTTCAGCCTCCTAACCTCAAGTCATTCTTTCACCTCCAGTCCATGAATTGAGCCTGCCTCCGTCGTTATCACAGGAAACATTATATGCATGCCTACACTCGCCACGACGCTCATCACACACTCGCGCTACCACATTCGTTCACATCGCCATCCAACCACGGATTGAGCCTCCGGTGACATTGACTGGTCCATAATCGAAGCTCCAGCAGCTTTGCTATATCGACAACAATGGCGTACTACCAAGACTACCAGACGACATACGACTATGCTGCCTTCAGCACCCCGTTTCCCGGGAACTTGTACCAAAACGAGTACAACCTGGAGTTTTACCGACAGCAAGCTGCTATGATGAACCGAGGCATATTCCCGGGCGTTGGTGGAAAGGCTACCGAGTCTAAGCCGAGACTTGCCAAGGAAGAGGTCGACAAGCTTGAGAGGGAATTCCAGAGGAACAACAAGCCCAACAGCAGTCTGAAGAAGCAGCTTGCCGAGGAAATGCGAGTGGACATCGCAAGAATCAACGTACTTATATACCCCCTCTTTTCCGTCTCGCGACATACACTGACCCGGTCTAGAATTGGTTCCAAAACCGTCGAGCAAAGGCGAAGCAGGAGAAGAGGGCACAGGAGAACGAGGCTCGCCGCAGGTCGGAGCAAATTGCCGAGGAACCCAGCAACTCCGAGACTATCAGAGAGTCTTTTCAAGACCACGACGACGACCTTCGCCCGTCCACCGCCCCCTTCCCGCCCGTCAAGTCACAGCCGGATATGGCCTCTGCCCGCGAAAGCTCGCCATTCGAAGGGGCTGAGACCACGGAACAATCTGTAGAACAACCACAGGCCGTTGCCGAGGAGACAGAGTCTGAATACGCCTCGCCCGAATCTTCCAACTCCTTCCCGCACCAAGAGCTCAACATTAGTTACAACTTGGCCTCTGACCCCTTCTTCTCGAACCAGTCCTCGTGTGACTTCACTTCGTCCATGCCTTTGGAGGCCAACAACCAGACCCCCGGTCACCTGACTCTTTCGATACCTAACCAGTACTTGCCGCACCTTTCCGAGTCAGCGAGCGCTTCATCCTTCTCTTCATACCACCACCTGTCCAGTGCAAGCGACTTCGGAGATTCACTGGCGCCTATGCCGCCACATGGCCTGTCCGGCAACTTGACTGAGCCGACCCCTATCAACGTGAAGCAGGAGCAAATGCATGCCGACGTCATTGACAAGTTTGACCAATTCTCGCCTGCGTCGATGTCTCATTCACCACCCGACATCTCCACCTCCGACTTCCGTTTCAAGTCGCCGTCGACCATCGACATCGCTAGCAGGAGAAACTCCAAACGGCCCGCTCAGCTTGTCAGCTGCGTGAGAAGCCAGTCGTACAACTACTCGGGCCCGAAGACGGGCATTGAGATGCCCAGGAGGATGGAGGCACCGAGTCCAATGCGTCGGGTGGCATCTGCGACAGGCAACTTTCCCAGAGGAATTCAAAAGATGGCTAGCTCGGGCCCAAGATCGCCCCTGTACTTTGACCGCAACCAGGAGAACCTTCTTCTCCAGATGGCCTCAAGGTCCTCGGTATCCCGAAGCCCTGGAGCGCCACCCACGCCCAACACGCCCATTGTTACTGGCCATCAGACCCGGCGTGAGACAACCGTATCGTCCATGTCCTCGGCCGAGGACGAAAAGAGCTACAACCTTCAAAACACCCTGACAGTACCCCAGTACAGCATGGATCCGACCATGAGGACGCCGCCAGACACGCCCGGGATGCTGACGACGATGCCAAACTCAATATTCCCGACTTTCGACTTCAACGTGCCCGATGACCCTCTCCCTACGCCCGGCTTCGGTGGCTTTGAGCAGGAGTTTTCCACCATGTCTACGAGCATCCCGAGCTACGTCGCACACGGTTGCGCAAGCCAGCCGGTGACACCTTCATATCCTCCCAGCAACATGGGGCCGGCATTCTACTCGCCCTATAGTGGCAACACCGAGTACAACTGGTCGGATGCCCCGGCCGTCTCAGTCAAGCTGTCGCCCGACCAGTCACGGTCAAGACAGTTCCAATTCACCAACATGACTGCGCAAGACTTCCATGGAGAATGAGCCACTACTTGTCTAGGGGGTGTCTTATTGGAGGTCTTGCCTTCGCATCTGCGTGGGTGAGAGTACTTAGGGCACACGAGTCTTGACGCGACAGCCACGCTCTGGGGGCTTTGTTTTCTCCACAGCATTGCCCATGGGGCTTTGTACAACAACGACGACACAAGGTTTCAGGCGCGCAAATTTTTTCATATCACTTTGTACCTACAGCGACAGCAAAAATCATTGGCGATCGGCGCGTTACCGGGCTCCTCGGACATTCTTGCTTTTACTTTACTGCTTTGTTAGGCAACGATTTCCCTTTTTCCATGATACCTACTGCATACACATCCAAGAAAACATTCTCTTACCCTAATGTAATGATATACATACGGCTTATGTCCTGCTGCCGGCGGCGCTGTTTGTGGCTGAAGAAAGAAGCCAGAGGGAAAGGAGGGCGCAGGGGGCATAAGGACCTGGATACCCCGACGGAAGGAACAGGACAGTCTAGGAATGGGGGGATTCACGGGGTTCAGTCAAGGTCGGGCATTGAGTCATGGGCGGGAAAGTGGAGGAGGATACAGGTTGGCATGCAACCGATGGCTGGATCCCGAGGTTCGGGATGGTTGGTATGGTGTTAATCTTGCTACGGTTTTGGGATACGCCAGGATAGGAGGTCAAAATAAAAAGAGAAATATAGTACAACAACTTGCACCCGTATTTCTAACCCATCAAAAGCCAGTGACATGAGTTGGGGGGATGGGATCACAGTTCCTGGCTGAGGCCCCTCCACCAGTTCAACGGGAGTCTTACTAGTGTCTTGCTAGCTGAAGGATAACTTTGGGTAACACACCGGCCGGCGAGTCCCCGGCAGCCAAGCTCCGGTCCGTTTCTCTTGGCCCTTCTGGAATGTCTCGTCTTCTCAACATGTCAATGAAGCCCTGCCGCAAGCCCGTGGTTAGTAAAAGCAAGCATCTTTAAGTGGCCGACGCGCCTGTGACTTTCCGTCCCAGAATGCTGTCATTTCTCATCCGGGTGCCCGCCGACGCATATTTCCCGTAGGCCCCCTCCCTCCGCTTGTCATGTGCTTCTGTGTGTGAGGAAATGAGGTGATGCGAAGCGGTGGGGAAGGGTGTGAGGTTGCAGCAGAGTTCGGGTTGAAGAACGCCAGCGGCATGCAGCCCCCGCTCTGTGGAATTCGATTCGTCCGATCGGTCTTTGGTCACGAGTCGTCGCAGGTGGGTTTTCTAGACCGGAATGGGCCGTGTGGGGAAACAAGAGAAGCAGCAGGCACGCACCAAGCAATTGGGTCGGCGCTTGCTGTATGCATGTATGACAGGCAGGCTTTCTGCAACGACATTCCTTGAAAGAGAGAGAGAGAGACACACACACACACACACGGCATTTCGTTTCCATCCCGCATTCCTGCCTCCCACCTTTGTGTTATAAACAAGCCCACTGATTGCATTGACTCCATGACGGAGGAATGTGGGCAAGACTTTCCTAATCTCCATTTACCTACGGAGTACCTAGTTCCGCCTTGTTTCATGCTTGACTAAGAAATGGTTTGCGGTCTTTGTCCGGTACGCACTGGCACGAGATTTCGTCCGTTTTGTGACCGCTGACCACGTTGCCGAGGCCCCTTACCTTACCCGCCCCGAATACCACGCTGCCCAAGAGGCAAGCAACTTGGCAACATTCTCTGGCCGGCAAGCGTGTGACGTTCGAGAACGGTCCTTCCTCCCCGCTCGGGAAATCCTGCTACCTAATTTTTTTTTTCCCCATGTCTGAATCCCCTCCCTCCCCCCTCCTTCTCCCTCCCTCTTTCGGATGCCTGTTCGGCACCTGTTCGGTAACTGGTCTCTGGACCTAGCAGGAACCCCGATGCCGAGGAAGGCTTGCTTGTGAGTGGCTCAGGTGTCCAACCTTTGTTTGTTCTTCTTCCAAGTTTCCCTGCACCCCGCAGCAACCCCCACTTCGCACTCCGTCATTTCTTTTACCGTCCATCAAAGCCGGCATTCATTGTCTTCCCCGCGTTGTCTATTGACCCCAGACAGAGGCCATCATAGGTAGCCACTCAAAGGCGTTATACTAGGCCAGTTTGAGTGCGATCGACGTCTTCTACCTCTCCTCCCCAGTCCTTTCCCCGGAGTTATGCCGCCTCCACAGCAAGGGCCCATCCTCGATCCACGTGCACGACATGAGGATACAACCATAACCCTACGACTAGGTTACTTACTTGGGCTGGACTCGGAGAGCGAGCAACTGTCCCTGCGTCCTCATTCGATATCCCGTACGGTGGTGTATCCCATTGTAGAAGAGTACCATTCAACAGATGTCGGCCCGATGCACTCTGGTTGTCATAGTGCCTAGCATCTTGGCGGTCTTTTGGTCACGGATTTGTAAAGGCACTCTTGGAGGCAGCGTTCGTGATGAAGACATCGCGGTATAAGAAGGCTCCCGGCGACGGCCGTCACGGCAGCTCTCAGCATATGCCTACCGTCTCACACCAGCCACACTCTGATCAAGACTTCCGTTTCAAACAGTATCTTTCTACGGTTCTGACCATGGTCTTTGTTGCCTATGCGCTGGCGACATGCCTTTGCCTCTCTGCTCCGGCGTGGTCTGCGGCTCTGAGGCTTAGGGATGCCGCTCCGGTCGTCCAAGTCAAAAATGGATCCTACTCCGGTATCCACAACGCAGAGTTCAACCAAGACTACTTTCTCGGGATGCCGTACGCAAAGGTGCGTAAACTTTAACTAAGAGCAAACCTAAATCCGGTGACCACACGCTAATACTTAGCCGTACGGTGCTAAAGACTGCTGAGCGATTCCGTATCTCTGAGGGCCTGGACGCAACATGGAACGACACTCGCCCCGCCACGCAGTACCCCAAGCACTGCATCGGCTACGGTGGGGACATGATCGGCTACGAGTCCTCCGAGGACTGTCTGTACCTCAACGTCATTCGCCCGGCCGGCGTAAGCCCGGACGCGAAACTGCCCGTGGCAGTCTGGATCCATGGAGGCGGTCTGGTATGCCATCACCTGCCCTTCATCCTTTGCCGATACGCTGGCTAACACGAGAAAAGACCATGGGAGGTTCGGCCGACAAGCGCTACAACCTCTCCTTCATCGTCGATAATAGTGTCAAGCAGGGCACCCCGCTCATCGGGGTCAGCCTCAACTACCGCCTCTCCGTCTTTGGGTTTCCCGGCGGCAAGCAGGCCCTCGAGGCCGGCGCCACGAACCTCGGCTTCCGAGACCAGCGCCTGGCGCTGCACTGGGTTAACGAGAATATTGCGAGCTTCGGCGGCGCGCCGGACAAGGTCACCATCTTTGGCGAGAGCTCCGGCGCCGAGAGCGTTGCGAACCAAGTGTTGGCATATAACGGTAAGTTGCCGATGATCCGCGCGGAAAGAAAAAAGGCTGACACAATTAAAGGACGCGACGACGGCCTCTTTAGAGCGGTGGCCGCCGAGTCCGGCTTTGGAGGCGTCATCCCCCGCGGGTTTGGCGGCTTCAATTCGACCACGTTCCAGACGAACTTTGACCAGCTTGTCGGCAACATTACCTCGTGCGCCTCCACCGCCGGCACTCCCGAGTCCTTCGAGTGCCTGCGCACAGCGCCACTGGAGGAAATCAACGCCGTGCTCAACGCGACGGGAGCCCCCTTCTCTTTTACCCCCGTCAAGGATGGTGACTTCATCGCCGACTTCGCCACCAATCAGCTCGCCCGCGGAGACTTTGTCAAGGTCCCCATCCTCATCGGAGCCAATTCCGACGAAGGTACCTCCTTCGGGCCGGGTAGGGGTCCCAAAGGCCCGGTCAACACGGACGAGGACATGGCGTACGCTGTGGCCAACATCATCCCGTCGCAGGCCAGCGAAACGACGGGGAAGACCATCGATGAGCTCGTCAAAGAGGCCTTGGCGCTGTACCCCAATGACCAGGCCGTCGGCATCCCAAGCCTCGAGATGTGGCCGCACATCATCCAGCCCGGCGAAGACATTGCGGTTGCGCTGGGCCTACAGCAGCGCCGCGCTGCGGCCTTCTTTGGAGACGTGTATGCCTAAGTCGTCTGCTCTCTGTTTACCCTGTTCAATTGTTGACTGACTTTGTGAAAGATACATGGGGTTTCTGAGACGCAGAGCCAACACCGTTTGGGCGGAGAACGGCGTGCCGTCCTTCGCCTACCGCTTCGACATCAGGACGAACGGATTTCCAGAATATGTTGGCTCCACCCACTTTTCGGAGGTAAGCTTTCCCTTCAGCTCGCCCACTTCTTTTCATGGCGTTCCTCACGAGGCTGACACACGCCCCCTTCGTTCAGGTCTCCTTCGTCTTCGACAACGTCAACGGCCTAGGCTACGCCACGAACCCCTTTGGCGGAAACGACACGACGTATACGACTAAGGCTGTTGCAATGGCAAAGACCATTTCGACCGCGTGGGTCAACTTCTTCGTGTCCCTCGACCCCAACGGCGCGCCGGGCCTGGGCGAGTGGCCCGTCTACGACACTAAGAATGAGGCCGGGGTGGGAAGCGACATGGTCTTCGGCATCGACGGCCCCTTCGTGGAGACGGACGACTGGCGCAAGGAGGGCATGGACTGGATGATGGAGCACGCGCTGGACATCTTTGGGAACTGAGGGAAACGATTGCGTGATGACACCGCCGGCGGCGGCGGCGACGTTTTTCTTACACGGTATATATTTAACTACAGTTTCGAAACATAAACAAGCACACATGAATACATAACTCACTGGAGATCTTGAGATCCTGTCGGGTAGTCCAGCGAAGGGATGCTCCTCTAGAGGAGCGGGACCCCGTGCTAGCTAATCTGTCTGCTGTTGAGATTGGCCAGCGGTTCAAGTGTACGTTACAGAGCAAGAGCGCGCAAGCGGGCATCCTGTTCAAATGCCATGACACACTCTCCTCGCCGACTCGTCACCACGAGCCGGTGAGAATGTTTTCGCTTTAGTGTTTATTGCAATTTACATACAGGGTTATCAAGGCTCTATTTACACTGTTGCTCCTTATTCCACAACCTCTACCCTTCCCATAATAGGACTTGCGTTCCCAATGTCGCATGTCTGCCTCGCCCCTCCTGTATACGTGCGGCACTTCAAGGCGCCCCTCCGACAACCGCCGGGTGTCCTGCTGCATGGCCTCCTGCTCCCTTCACATACAGCAGCGGTGACCTGCTGGGTCCATCATATGGCGGCGCCAATGTACGGGTCTTCTGAATGTGCCCGCAACTCCATGTTTCCCTCGCCACGGTGCGTGATCACTACCAAGATTGAATGCCGGCCCCCAATTACGAGATCTAATCTCGATACATGTTTATTGAACCCGAAGTACCTATTGCCAAGCATTTTTTAGTAGGTGCGTCGTACTCCATCGCCGCAAACTGTCTCAAAGGCCGTTGGCGAGTGTAAGACCGGAGGAGACGGCCCAAAGACCCCCGCCTATTGCTGAAAACGTGCGGGCGGGCCAACCCGAATGCGAGCGGCGGCGGCCAAGTCCAAATCCAGACCCTCGATCCGGTGCTGACCCCCGAAAGGCCTACCAGTATTTCCGGTTGCCCCCCCCCCACCCTTCCTCGCCTGGGGGGTCGGGGTTCCCCGACGTGAGCAAGATTACTAATTACCTACCTACCCGATCGAGCTAAAACCCATCGTGAAGTACACGCCGAAGGAGTCATCCTGTTCCATCGGCAAGGTCTTTCGCCAAAGAGGGCTATTGTAAGCTGGGTTTGCTTAGCTAATCAGCGCAGGTGCTCGCTCTGTGAATCCTCGCGCGCCGAAGGATCACCATGACGGCGGAACGAGACTCCTCGGTCCACGGCATGATATGTACCTCGAACTGACCAAGCCTCATCAGCAAAGACCATCCACACCGACACAGCCGGAGATTTCGTGGAGGGAAGAAAAGAAAGAGGGAAAAGGAGAATGATGCAAAACAATAGTAACAAGACGCCCCCCCGCCAAACATGTCCTCCTTCCCACCCCCCATCATCCCGAGAGCCCTTCGGCCCGGCGCCAAGATCGCCTTCCTCTCCCCCTCGGGGCGCATAGACCCCGGAGTCATCGCCCCGCTAGCCCGCGCCGAGACCCTCCTGCGCTCTCTGGGCTACGCCGTAACGAACATCTACTCTGAGGTGGGGGAGCGGGCCCGGGGCGGCGGCGTCGACGCCTCCATCCGCAACCGCCTCGCCGAGCTCCGCACCGCCTTCGCCGACCCCACCGTCGACATGATCTTCTGCACCGTCGGCGGCTCCACCATGACCCAGCTCATCCCGTACCTCGTCGAGGACGTGGCCCTGCACGCCCTCGTCCGCGCGAACCCCAAGATCGTCGTGGGCTACTCCGACATCACCGTCCTGCACTGGTGCCTCCGCGCCCTCACGGGCCTCCGGACCTTTTACGGGCCCTGCGCGGCCCTGGAGCTCGGCGGCGAAGTCGACGCCGCCGCCTTCACCCCGGCCTCCGTCTCCTCCTTCTCCCCGTCCGTCTCCGTCCCAGAGGACCCGGCCGAAGGCGACGCCTACGTCCACGAGTTCCATCTCGCGACCCTCCTCCAAGCCATCTCGCACCCCGGACGGCCCCTCGGCCCCGTCCCCCGCTCCCGGTTCTACGCCCCCCTGATCCCCTCGTACTTCTTCCCCCCGCCGTCGCCCCCGCCGACCAACACGCGCGCCCTCCTCCCCTCCCCGGCCTGGACCTGGCTGCGCCCCGGCCGCGCCGAGGGCCGCCTCTTTGGCGGGTGCCTCACCGTTGTCTCCCGCATCCAGGGCATCCCGCGCATCACCCCCGACTGGCGCGGCAGGATCCTCTTCCTCGAGTCCGCCACGGGGGAAGGCGACCAGACCGAGGGGAACCCGCTGGGCAGGGTGCAGCAGGCCGTTGCGGACCTCGCGGCGCGCGGCGTGTTCGACGAGCTCGCCGGGCTGGTCGTCGGGCGGCCGTACGGCTACAATACGGAAAAAGAGAGGGTCCGCTACGCGGCCGCGTTTCGGGGCCTCCTTTGCCACGGCCGGCTAGCGGATCGTAAGTTTCCCATTCTGATGAATGTCGATGTCAGCCACACCTCGCCCAAGGTGACATTGCCGATGGACGTGCTGGCGGTGTTGGACTCGGATAAGGACGAGTTTGCCATCACGGAGGCTGCCGTGCTCTAGGAGCAGCAAGTGTTGTGAATCAGGGACCAAAGTTTGATAACCTTCAGCAAGAGGGAACGAGTTAGGGTATACAGGTGGCCGGCTAGCCTTTGGGTATTATTTGTATTACATGTTTATAGCATATCTCACCTAGGCATACTCATGCCCATCTGATTGCTTCCCGACTTTCCCGATATTTCCCAGTCATGATCGTGTTCTTCATGTGAGAGAAGAAAAAAAAAAAGAAAGAAAGAAAGAAAAAAGAAAGCGGGGGAATACCCCTTTCCTCAGTAGCGATCGACTACCTTTGTACCCCGCCATCCAGATCAGGCACAAAAAAACACTCTCGAGGAAATGACTCCAAACGCTTCGCTGATGCAATTTTCTGGGGGTTACCCGGTATGTATGTGTGTAAGATGAATGCGACCGTGTGCTGTTGTAGAAGTATAAAACTGTCGAGGCACTTGCTGTGTGCCTCATGCCGAGTCGTCCATTCTTGTCACCACAACTACTGGCAGATCGACGCTATGTAATGGTGCTTGATGTGGGCCCTGCAGCCGCGCATCGATAGATTCGTAGTGGTCAACGCCAAGAGGAGACTTCTGCGCCTAGTAGAAACCGTCATTGGTGTTGCTCCTGGAGCTGGGTGTCGACTGAGCCGAGGTGCTAGCATCACTAGGCGTGGGCGGCTCCACGACTTGGCTGCGAATCGTCATGATCCATTCGTGCTGCAGGAGCTCAACGGCGGATGCGCGCTGCTTGGGGTCCCTGGTGAAGCACCTCTTCAAGAAGTCGATCCCCTGGGGACTGAGCTGGTCGGGCGACGGCATCTGGGGAGGGTTGCCTTGCGCAATGTTGTACATGATGGCCCACTCGTTGTCCAAATTGGCCCAAGGACGGCGACCGGTTGCCATCTCAAGAATGACACAGCCCAGAGACCAGATGTCGACTGAACCGGCCCTGCCAGGATTCTCGCCCTTGATGACTTCGGGAGACATGTACATTGGTGTTCCCGTCATGGACTTGTTTGGCTTTGTGGAGGAGAGATCCTGCACGAGGGTCTTGCCTTGTCTGGCAATGACTTTGGCGGCCCCAAAGTCGACGTACTTGATGATACCGTTATGGTCGAGGAGAATGTCTGCTAACGGTTAACATGAAATCATCGATTCTAGAAGGTGGGCACTCACTCTCAGGTTTAATGTCGCGGTGGGCGATACCGCTCTCGTGGAGGTAAGCGAGACCCTCTAGCAGCTGCAACGCATAAACCATGATGACTTGCTCGTCCTCGATACGGCCGTGCTCCAGCAGGTTCGCCAAAGACCCGCCCTGACAGAACTCCATGAAAATATAGACTCTATCGCGGTGGACTTCGATACCATAGTAGGAGACGACGTTGGGATGGTCGAGGACCTCCAAGACACCCATTTCGTCCTTGATCTGCTCGGCAATGGTAGGGATCAGCTTCGGGTCCTGTAGACGGATTTCCTTGACGGCCATCAGGTGGCCAGAGTCCAGGTTCATGGCGGCGTAAACATTGCCAAAAGTACCGCCACCAACGAAATGGCCCTGTTGCCAGCGCATCGTGATGTTTGTAGCCGAGGACGAGAGGTAGGCCAGGGACCGGTCGACCTCGTTGTTTCCCTCGAGCACGCGGCCGAGCGCTTGTCTCTCGGCCTCCTTGGCCCTCCTAATCTCGTCGACCTTCTCGAGCTCCTCCAAACGCTGCTCCGTGATGTACTTGGACGCCTCGTGGTCGTCAAGCATCCGATTTTTATCGAGACGCTTGAACTGGCCGACCAGGGCCTCGATGCGCTCCTTCTCCGCCTGCGCCGCCAGGTTGGATCTCGCCCCCATAATATCAAAGTGCGAGATGAGAAGGGCCATGCAGCCGGCTACCTTGGCCCGAAGTCTGGCATACTCCTCTTCGCCCAGAGCCAGGATGTGCCGTCCTCTGGTCATGCCCATGGCAAACTCCAGAGCCAGGACCGCCCAACGGAACGTCTTTCGATCCGATGCGACACAGTCGTCGCAGATGAAGCTGACCCAGTCCAATGCAAGCTTGGTAAGCTTGAGGTTGTTCATTTGTTTCCGGTTGCTGTCCATGACAAGCAGCGAGCGCTGGCCGAACTCCGTCGCGAAGACGAAGCAGGTCTGGATGAGCTCCTGGACCTGTCTGCCCTCGGTCTGTTTGCGGATGATCTCTACGCTATCCATAAAGTTGTTGGACAGCTTGTATGCAACGCGCCTGATCTCCATAAGTCGCGTGTTGACTTTGTGCAAGTTGGATCTCTGTTCAACCACCAGATCCACGTGCATGTCGACGGCATCGATAAAAGCCCTCCTGGCGTTAACAAGCCGCTCTTGGGCGCCCACAGCGACCAGTCTCATGTGGCCCTTCTTCAGGTCGACATTCCGTTCCCGAACTGAGAGCTAGACCACATCGCCAAACCAGTGAGGGCTGCTCTCGGGACGTAGAATCAAGAGATATGGGTCGCTGGGGTCCTCTGCGAACTGCTCGGGCGAGCTGAGACCCAAGATGGACTGGATCGCGTCGTGTCTGTCCATCAGAGAGGGCGACGCCATGATGAAAATGCCCTCCTGCTCGTAGAGATCTGTGAAGACCTGGAAGTGGCCCGACACGATGAGCCTGTCGTAGAACTCTTGCAGCTTCTCCGGCGCGAATGCAATACTGAAGTCGGACGCGTTTTCGTAGTTTTCGCTCAACATCTTGGAGAAACGCTGCAGCATTCTTTGTCTCACCCGGACGGAATCCAAACACTGCTTGTACCTCTTACTCATCTCGGCGGTGCTCTCTCTCGGCTTGACCTGAAGCTCCTTTTCAAAGGTAACGCTCAGACGGTTGATGGCCTTGAAAGTCAGTGAACTGAACTGCTCAGCGACCTCGACGTCTCCGCCCAGAAGGTGGCTGCCGATTTCGTTGGCAAAGTCCCATTCCGCAAACAAGAGCTCGGCCTCCTTGAAGGTATTTTTATTGCCGCTCAACTTCCAATTGAGCATTTTGAAATAGTATTTGAGGGCGTCCAGCACAACCTGGTCAAAGGACTCGTCGATGCAGGGCGGAAGCTCCCAGCCGGGTTCCGGTTGCGTGACGGCAAGGCATTCCAGTTTGATGCGGATGGCCAGCTTCAAGAGCAACTGGAACTGACTGATCATCTGGTCTTGCATCATGGGATTTTGCTGTGCAGACTCCTTGACCTTCTTAGCGTAGGCGAGGCGTACTTTGATAATCTCTTCAATCAGCCGAGATGGGAAACTGATGAGCGTCAGAAGCTCCTCGATATACGGTGGAAGATGCCGCTTTTGGAAAGCGGCGAAGTTGCGAATGAGCGTCTCCTTGGATTTGTTGATGACGGTCGAGATGCCGGGCAGCATGCCCTTGTGAGCATCCTTGTTCTTCTCGTCGTCGAACTCCTCGTCGTAGAGCGACTTCAGGCCGTCCTCCTTCATCAGTCGGTCGAGGAACGACGATTCATCGCCGATGCCGTTGCCAACGGGCGAACGCTGTCGTGTTCGCGTGAAGTCCAGCTCTTCGTTGCCGACCCACTTCTTGAGAATGGCGAGCTCCGTGTTGATAAGCTCGTTGGTATTGTACCAGGCAATGATGGACTCGGATGCTTCCTGGAAGAGCGGGGAGCTGGCTGACTGGTGCTTTGCCGCCAACGAGGTCCATGAGGGGTACAAGCCCTCGGCCTTGTCGAGCTTCTTGACCACGTCCTTGACCTGTTCGTACGGCGGCTTCCCGGCCTCGCTCTCACCCTTGACTGAGAAGTTGATGATTTCGTCCAGGGTTCGGTCCAGCGTTGCGCGTGCCTCTTCCACCATTCGCCTTTGCACCGGGAGATGTCTCCCGCACACCTTTGAGCGAATACCCAGCCATAGTTCTGCCTTTTGTCCACTCTTACCAACTGCTTGCTCATTTGCGCCGATCAAGCGCTTCTTTTCCTGCTTGACAACGTCTCCGGTCAGGACAGCCTCCAACATGCCGTGCCACTCGAGGCGTTCCCGGTTGGAGGGGTCTTTCAGGTCTTCGTCGCTCGGCTGCAGTTCGTCATTGCCGTAAAACATGATGGTCTCCTGGTCGTATCTGTCGTCGAAATGACCCTCGGACGAGGGCGTCTCGCCTTCCGAGTCGGAGTCGCCAGCCTGGACCAGGCCATTTACACCGCTTACGTATCCGCCGTCGAAAGGGTATCCGTCGTTGTGGTCCTGGCGCAGCCTCTGGACGTAGGCCTTCTCCTGCTGACGGAATCTCTCGCTCGGACGAGGGCGGCCTCTAGACGATGCCCGAACGGACTCGACAAAAGAGGGGGCGGGCTGCGGCCTGCGGTGGGCGGCGGGGGCGTAGGTGTTGGAGGGCGTTCTCGCCGGGGCGTTGGGACGTTGAACCTTGGTGGCGGCAGTGCCGTTGGCGTAGGTAACATCGCCGTCGCTGACATTGCTTCGCAGACTGCGCGTGGTGCCGCCGTTGGCTGTGGCAGCCTGGACTAAGTTCGACATGGAGCCGGCGATGTGGCCTTCGGAGTATCTGGTAAGGGAACCGACCTCATCCTGGCGCTCGAGTGCGTGAGGGTCGTCCGGGTGGGAATCGGCAGACGAGGCAGAGTTGTCCGAGTCGACGGCAACGGGTAGGGGGCGGTGAGGCATGATCTTGTCCTGGCGCAGTTCGTCGTCTCCGTTGGAGAATCTCACGGCGCGAGGGGAGAGCTCGGTGGACATGATGCGAGGGCCAGCCTGTATAGGTATCGATTCGGATTCGTGCTAGAGGCGGGTCCCTGTCCTGTGCTGTCGTGTGGTGGTAGCGATGGTGGTCCACGGGCGTGGTCAGCCGTTCGCGCCGCGCTCTACCGCTTCAGCGCTGCAGCTGCTTGTGGATCCTCTGTCCAATCAAAAAAAAAGAGGGACGGGACACAGCAGCATGCAGAGGTGAACGGGGGGGCGTCGGGAAGGCGACGGAGGGCCTCAGTGCAATACGAGTCAACTGTTTGGGGTGCGAATGGAACGGAAATTAGGATGACAAGAGGCAACCGTATCCGCGACGGTTGAGTAGTTGGGAACTTGAGATGGATGGAGGGGGCTAGACCGGCTCGATTGGCGAATTGGGGCGGTTAACCGTAGCCCTCGGTGTGGGCGGGAAAGTGGGAGGAACGAGAATGGGAGCAGAAGGAGGGAAAAGTCCACTAGAGTAAGAAGAGAAAAAAAAAAGATCAAGAAAAAAAGAAAAAAGAAAAAGACGATGCAGTCGGAGCACCCGCCGTCGGAATGAGCTCGACGTGAAATTTGATATGGAGAGGACGGAGCGAACGAGGATGGAGCGCAACAGCGTCTGGACGGTGCTGGCGGGCGGGGATTGGCTAAAGATTCAACATGGGGAGAAGGACCCAGCAGCTGGTAGCACAAGGATGTTGATGCGGCGGCGGGTAGCCAGCTAGCGGGGACGAAAACCCCCCGAGGAGAAAGCAGCGCTAGCAGCGCGACCGAGAAGAATAGGTATTCGTATAGTAACCGCGGTACCTACCTAGGTAACGGTAGGTAGAGCAGGGGTAACTGTTTACAGCGTTCCAAAGGGGACAGTGCAATTGGGCCGCAGTGCAGATTGTAATCAGTGTATCCGTATGTATGCATGCAAACCCGTGGAAGCACTCGCTCTCTTCATCGAAGCCGAGTCGAGTAGGTAGTTAGTTGGAGCACCCTCTCTAGCCACCTTTGGGAAGAGCAATCGGATCGAAGAGACTATGGCACTACCTACGAATACTTACTGTACCCAGGTAGGTAGGTAGGTTTGGTACCAATGGTGGTTCAGAGTGTGGCTGCGTGGCACATACCCCCTTGCGGAACCATGCGATCCTCCTCCTTCCATGTGTGGCCGTGGCCATCGAGCCGTGGGCTGTGCGATCGAGAACAAAAAAGCCCCGACTCCATGTCCCCAAAAGAACGACATCTGACAGGTCCGCCACGCTGCCAGAACTACGGACTACCTAACTACCTTCGTGCCTGGTGCACACCCAGAGTTGTGTGGCGAGTGCCCACGTAAACCCCCCACCACGGCGCGATCCCCGTCGCATCCTACCTAGTGCACACTAATTGCTCCGTACGCCTCGACGTGGCGCGCCGCTCGTTGTACTCCGTAGTTCTTATTTTTTTTTTATTTTTTTTATTGCTTCCCTCGCTGGCGGGACGGACTCCCGGCTTGGGCCGTGCCTTGGGTAGTCAGTCGATAACACGACTGGAATAACCAGCCGGCACGCAGCCCTGTCACGTCCGTGTCTTGCGTCTCGCGTCTGGTGAGCTGTGTGGGCGAGAGCAGGAGCTACGAATACGCCTACAGCCGTGCTTGGCTGTTCCCCCTCCCTCCCATACCTGATGCCAATCTGACGCTATGCGGTCCATCGAACAAAATCCGGTCGCCAATCTTATGCCACTGAGTGAGGGGCTGCGGCATGGGCTTGTTGAGACGGAGAGGGAAGGACCTGCTTGACTGTGAAATTGAGACTAATTTGCGCCTACGCAGCTGGAAACACGTCCGGCCGAATTGTTAAGCTTTTGTGTGTGTCGCGCATCCTGCAGTGGCTGCCAGTGGCTGCGAGCTAGCTCCTCTCGTGGGAAGGGAGTCTGAGGTGAATCATCCATCAATCTGCCGTGCTAATCTCCTCAGGTAGATGGTTGCTCATTACACTGCCAATGCGCCCTCAACCAAATGACACTGTGTCATGATCGTGCAAAGTAAACGACAGAAGCATAATGATAATGGTAATGGCGAATACTAGTGACCTGGTGGTAGTAGTTCTTGCAATAGACCACTCGCTTATAATGTGGACTGACTGAGTGAGATGAGACCGCAGGCCATGGGGTAGGAGAGACCCTTAAGCCTTGAGCTACTGCCAGAGGCCTGGAACCGACGTGCTTGGAAAGGCAGGCATGTCGTTAGAGGTACTACAGGTAGGTCCGCGATGGAAAAATGACCGCGCCTGCGCGGCTAGGAGACCGCAATCGCTGGATGTGAGCCGTTCCGGCACTTCAACACCATCCCGCGGATGTCATACCGAGCACTCGGGTCCTGGACCGAGAGCACGAACCCCAATTCGCCAATCAGGGAGCTGGAAGCTTGGTCCGCATCGGACCCGCACCCTTCTTATCGAATGCCGATACCTTATCGGTCAAGGGAAAGCTTCCCCCGTCCCTCGGATGTCCATCCTCCCCCGCGCTTCGACACTCTAATCTTTCTCTTTTTACTTTCTTCATAGGGAGACTGCTCTTTCTTCCCTTCTGAACCACAAGAACACATCTCAATTCACTCCGGAAAGATGACACGATCTCGATTGGTAGCAGCCGCGAGGACGGCTCGGCCGCTCTTTACTTCGCCCGCCCACCAGGGCCGGTCCCTCGCCGGACTGACGGCATCCTCCACCACGGCCCCGGCCCGGAGAACGGCGACCGCAACGGTACGCCAACCAGCACAGTACCGTCTCTATTCCTCCTCCTCCTCCTCCGCCGCCGATTCCCGCAAGAACTGGAAGGAGAAGCTCGCCGCCTTCTCCAAGCAGGACAAGACGCCGCTGTACGACTTCCACATCGCCCACGGCGGCAAGATGGTCATCTTCGGCGGCCACCACATGCCGGTGCAGTATGCCGGCCTCTCCCTCACCGAATCCCACCACTTCACTCGCACCCACGCCTCCCTCTTCGACGTCAGTCACATGGTGCAGCACCGCTTCACCGGCCCGCGCGCCGCTGCCTTCCTCGAGACCGTTACCCCTTCGAGCGTTGCCGATATGGACGTCAACACCAGCAAGCTCAGCACCTTCCTGTGGCCGGGCACGGGCGGTATCGTCGACGACACCATGATCACGCGCCTCGGTGAGGAGGAGTTCGCCGTCGTTTCCAACGCGGGCACCCGGGAGAAGATCTTCAAGTACCTCACCGAGCAGACGGCGGGGCTGCAGAACCCCGAGGGCAAGGAGTTCTGGTGGGAGGTCCTCGAGGGCTACGGGCTGATTGCCCTGCAGGGCCCCCAGAGCGCCGAGATTCTCCAGGAAGTCGTAGACCCGGCCGACGGCGTAGACTTGACGAGCCTGCACTTTGGCAACACTGCTTTCGCCCGGCTGAGGTACCAGGTCGACGGCCAGTGGAAGTCGACATCGGACAAGGCCATGATCAGCCGCGGAGGTTACACCGGCGAGGACGGCTTCGAGATCTCGTTCAAGTCGACCAATGGCGAGGCGGACCCGCTGGCGCGGACGCTGCTCCAGGTCGGCGGGCCCGAGAGGCTTCAGCTTGCGGGCCTCGGCGCGAGAGACAGTCTGCGCCTTGAGGCCGGTATGTGCTTGTATGGCCACGACATTGATGACACGACGACGCCGGTGGAGGGTAGCCTGTCGTGGATCATCCCCAAGGAGCGGAGGACCAAGGGCGGCTTTCACGGCGCAGAGGTCATTAACAAGCAGATCGTGCCCAAGAGCAAGGGCGGCACAGGCATTGAGAGGCGGCGCGTGGGTTTTGTGGTGAGCGGCGCGCCCGCCCGCGAGGGCGCCGACATTTTCACCAAGGACGGCGAGAAGGTCGGTGTCATCACCAGTGGCTCTCCCAGCCCCACGTTGGGCAAGAACATTGCCATGGGCTACGTCAAGGAGGGTCTGCACAAGTCGGGCACAGAGTTGGACGTGGTGGTGAGAGGGAAGAAGAGGGCGGCGACGGTGGCCAAGATGCCATTTGTCCCCAGCAAGTACTTCAAGGGGCCGACTCCGGCGCCGGCGTGATGGCTGGCGGGGGCTGTATCAAGAGAAAATTGAAAAGATATCCCGGCAGTTCCAGTTCCAGTTCCAGCGCCAACCCTACCCTCGTCTCATCCTCCTCCTCCGCGTGCGGCAGGCAACATTATCCGACGTAGAGCACTGCCATGGGCCTGCGCCATTCAGAAATAGATTCGCATCTGATAAGATTGATGTCGGGTAGAGTTTCACGCCCACAATGCGTGGTCTGAGACATGTAGCCACTTCTTCATGGGAGGCCATCACGGAAGCGCAAAGCGATGACGACCCTCAAACGAGCGGCTTGATGATCTAGCAGCGATAACCTGGAGTGCGGCAAACATGGGAGAGGTTGACCGGCAGCGTATGTTTCACAGGATCGTGTTGCGTTTGAATGTGAAGGAGAGGGAAAAAAAGGGAAAGTAGGAACGAGCGCAGAAATCTTGTGGTGTTTGGCGAATGGAGCCAGTGCGCTAGATCGGATCCGGATTAGTTTCGGGTCGCTTGGCTGAAGTGGGGCATTCTGGAACTGGACTTTGGAGGCATCTGAGCCGAGTTTCGTTGTGCTTCGACAACTCTTTCCCCCGGTTACACTTGCCCTGCCGTTTAGTCAGAATCCTAAACTCAAACTTCAATGCGCGGTTAGTGGCCGTGAGCGGACTCGGTATTCTTCGCTGAGAGAGATTGTGTGTTTTGCCAAGCTAGCCAGGACGTCCAATGGTTCCAGAATCGGCTCGTTCACGTCGATCTAACTGGTTGTTGTTACACTGACAGGCAGGACAGGACCCCTAAAAAGGGATCGGACGTGCTGGCCAGTCAACTGACCAACTGAGGGGAGCGCACCGCACGGCAGCTCTGGCAAGGCGGGCTCATGTGACGTGTTTTGATAGGCCTTCCGTCGAACTTTGTCATCCTGCTAGCTTTATTCTGTCGACGTTCCAGAAGGGTTCGGCCAGCACACCAGCAAAGAGCAAGGTTGACTGGCTGGTGGGCATGACGTCAGAAATGCCCGCTGAGAGATCGACACCAGCCGATGGTATGAGAACGAGTATCGAGAGCATGAAGACATGCCTTGGCGCTTCCAGGCGGGAAAAATGAGAAGAAACAAGAGCAATCCATGCATGTATCGTGTACCGGAATCACGCGGACCCTACGACGGGAACGGCCAAGCCAAGCAACGGTCTGAAGTAAGCGCCGGATTGACTCGTGCCAACCAGCCTGCGGCGATTCTGAATTTCCGTGCAAACCAACGATCACGCTGCCGATACCCATCTGACGACCTCCAGGCCTGCATGGCGACAAGAGGGGATGAGATGAGCCACGGGGGCCGGTCAGCGGCCTTGATACGGCCAGCAGAATACCCGACAGGCTCGCGTGCGGTGCTACTATCGAGGGGAAGACTGCCCAGGCTCACGGGGTTGGCTGTCTCAGCCATGGAATGGAGTGCCAGTGGGTGTCGTAGGAGAAACACACGTGTTGGAGTCCAACAGCTCGATTGGCTCGCGCTGGACGCTTTCAGCCTTGTGGACCGTCCTTCGTGTTGGTGGGTGTTGAATGTGAATACGACGGGGGGCAGCGAGTTGTGTCCAGTCAGGGTTTCATTTCTGACTGTGTGTATGGACCTTGATGGTCTTTCTGTGCGTTGTTTCCAGCGACCTGCACGAGGACTGCGCGAGGGGGACTGTTCCCCCTTTTCGACATGCATCTCTGGAGGAGATTGTACACACTGTCCTGCATTAAATAGAGCAGACGACGGCGCTCACGCTGTCTCGGTGTTCAAACAATACGCCTGTGATGCGTTCCTTCACTCCTTCCACGCAGGTCCAACCACACAAGTCAGCAGCAGCATCCGAAGGATTGGACGCCACCGGAATTGATCACTTCCCACTTCGGCCGCCAACTTAAGAAAGGGCTAGGTATCGAAGCAGCTGGCGGGCAGCGGGAGGATCACTCCTTAGGTTCAACTGGTTTTTGGTAGGTGTAGGGTTTCCCACCACCACTACCTATTGCCTTCGCAGAAATAGGGCAGCTGGGTTATTCCCAACAGCTGTGACTGTGACGTGGGCCCCGGTCGGATGCTCCCTCCCTCTTTCTAACCACGGCATCCGAGAGAGTGACCCCGGCATCTACAGCTCCCCGGACCCCTGTTGACCACCTCGTCCAGTCCTGGAATCCTGGAACGTGGGGGAAAAGAGAAAAAAAAGAACGCAAAGTCACGCTTACGTAGAAGTCAAGCCAGTTCCTGCCGGGCTCATTAACCCAGTCCGCGCCGCGCATCACGCTTCCATTTATTTCCTACGGGAGCAAAGCTCTGGACCGGGAAATCGTGATTCAATAACCTCGAATCGGCCCCTATCGTCATTCATTCAACACGCTGCCACTCATTCCCAAGCTTCCTGTCGCGCGACGGTTCGCTTTTTTTATACAATCCCTTCACCGTCACAATCAAAAAACACCCGCCTGTCGTGCCCTGCGTCCAAGCTACGGCATCATTGGATCCTGCGTCCTCAGCTCCCAGCAATGCGGTCTTTACCCGCAATGGTGGGCTTGCTGCCGCTGCACCTCGCCCTGCTTCAGCAGTTCCTGCATGCCGTCCTTGCGACACCTGTCGCCAGCGGGCAGCAGATAGTTCTCGGCCCCGAGGCTGGAGACGCAGTTGCCGTTGCTCCAGAAAGCTCCCGTCGTTTACACGGGAAGTTTCTACACATCACAGGTATGTTCAAATCCTACCGGAAGGCACCCCACGGCGGCGCGACCGTCGTGGCTGCAGTCCCCATGTTCAGGGGCACTCGGCCATCGCTGTAGACCTTTGGATTTGGCAGGGGCTAATAAACGCGCATCTTAGACTTTCACCCTGACCAGTTCTACAAAACCCATTCCTCTACCGAAGAAGGTCTCGCCTGCCACCGAGGTGATGGATCCGCCGGCTACTACGGCGCGGAAACCTCCGACTGCGATGCACCGAGCTCCCTTGTGAATGCCACTTTCGACTGGATCGCCGCCAATATCGTAGACGATATCGATTTCGTCATCTGGACCGGTGACACTGCACGTCATGACAGTGACGAGGAAATCCCTCGTAGTCCTGCGCAGGTGCTCGGTACCAACCGGTTTGTTGCCGACAAGTTTGCCGAGACCTTTGGCGACCCGAAAGACTCTACGCGCATGGCCGTTCCCGTAATCCCTACATTTGGAAACAACGACATCCTTCCGCACAACATTCTCTTGCCGGGACCCAACAAGTGGCTGGGATACTATGCCGAGATCTGGAAGCGCTTCATCCCCGAAGAGCAACGCCACTCATTCGAGTACGGTGGCTGGTTCTATGTCGAGGTGATCCCCAAGAAGCTGGCAGTCTTCAGTCTCAACACGCTGTACTTCTTTGACCGAAACGCCGGTATCGATGACTGCCTGCAACCTTCCGAGCCGGGCTTCAAGCAGCTGGAATGGCTTCGCGTGCAGCTAGGATTCCTACGTGAGCGCGGCATGAAGGCTATCCTCATGGGCCATGTGCCGCCTGCTCGGACGGACAGCAAGAAGAACTGGGACGAGACATGCTGGCAAAAGTATAATCTTTGGATGCAGCAGTACCGCGATGTGGTTGTGGGTTCGCTCTACGGCCACATGAACATCGACCACTTCATCGTGCACGACACCAAGGAGATCAACATCAACATTCTGGGCGGGTACGCAATTGATGACGATGTCGGACGTGAAGCACTTGAGGACGAACTTGGGATCCAATCGGCACAGGATTACCTGACAGAGCTGCGACAAGGCTGGGCGAAGCTTCCTCCTGTCGACGTCAATGCGCTGGAGGAGGATGAGTCGTACGAGTTGGAAGCACAGAGCAAGAAGGGCAACAAGGACAAGAAGAAGAAAAAGAAGCCTGGAAAGGGCTTGGGCGGCAAGTATGCGGAGCGATACCACCTATCTTTCGTCGGCCCCAGCATCGTGCCCAACTACTTCCCCACGCTCCGTATCATGGAGTACAACATCTCCGGCTTGGAGGACGCAGCAGTCTGGACAGACTCCTCCACCAAGGCGGCGCCGTCAGTGCTACTCTCGGCCGACGACGATCACATCCACGAGGACCTGAAGCACGACATAGACGCCGCCCGGAAGAAAAAGAAGGAAGGCAAGAAAGGGAAAAAGGAAAAGAAGCCGACGCCCAAGGACCCCAACCTGGTCATCCCGCAACCGCCACCTGCAGGCACCGGCCCTGGCCCGGCCTATGCGCCCCAGCCCCTGACCTTCCTTGGATACACCCAGTACTTCGCAAACCTGACCTATCTCAACAACGACATGACGCAAGAGACCAAGGATGTGTCTGGGACAAGGTGGCGGGACGGCATTCACAAAGACAAGGACCCCAAGTCCAAAAAGCCAAAACCGCATCCCTTCGCGTTCGAGGTTGAGTACAGCACCTTCACGGACAAGATCTACAAGCTGTCGGATCTGACGGTACGGAGCTACGTCGAGCTGGCGAACCGCCTCGCCAAAGAGAATGCCAAGGGCAAGGCACTTGCTGAAGACTTTGAAGAAGAAGAAGAAGAAGAAGACGAAGACGAAAAAGAAGAGTTGGACAATCAGAAAGGCACATTAGACTTGGAGGAAGAGGACGACGATGGGGACGAAGAAGTCGTAGATGATGAAGATGGTATAGAAGCAGAGAAAAAGAAGAAGAACGGCGGCAAGAAAGGCAAGAAGGGGAAGAAGAAGAAGAAGAAGCACAACAAGGTCTGGCTGCATTTCCTCAAGCACGCGTTCGTCAGGACTGTGCCCCAGAAGAAGCTCAAGAAGTTTTAGAGCATTGCTGGCCTAGAGAGCTGCGGGAGGTTGGGGGAGGCTTTCGTCAGGGGTCATTGCCTGCATCTGGCATCGGGTTGCGTGTTTGTTGTCTCGTGTATTCTTGCATGACTTGATGAAGGCACATTGGCGTTTTGTGGGGAAAGGGGCATTGTATCAAAGGGTAGCGAAACTGATCATCATCTTTCTTGTTTTATGTTTGGTCTCCTTTCTATTATTTTCTTTGCACATTTCGAGCCGAGCCGAGTTGCTAGTCGACCAGGCAGGCCTTGCTGTAGCATTTGCAAACCTAAAAATCTGCTTGTTTCCCGAGACGTTTTCTTCTTCAGTCTCGGTGGCGGGGTCAGGACCAAGGGCACACAGTAAACATGCATACATAATCTCGCTAGCTTCGATAGGGGGAACGCATCGATGGAGTGCAAAAAAAAAAGAAGCATTTACTGTCATTTCATATCTTTTGTTCTACCACCGATTCCCCCCACTTCCGTACCGTCCTGCCGCTCGGTTTTGGTGCGCCGAGAGCCGAGCTTCGGCGAGCAGGCACAAGACCTCTCTCTAGGCTCCGGTACGTACAGCAGAGGCCGGCTCAATCGCTGTCGCTCTCCGCCGCCGCCGGGGAATCGGAGAAGCCGTTCCACTCCTCCTCGGATCCGGCCGCGTCGCCGCCCTCACCCTCGCCCTCGTCCTCGTCCTTGATATCGAGCGCGCCGGAAATGTCCCAGCGGTCTCCCTTGGCCGCGCGGCCGACGTACTTGACGAACCGCAGTGTGCCGCTGTCGCGCAGCACAAGCGTCAGCTTGTTCCACGCCGCGGCCTGGAAGAAGAGGATGTTGTCATCGTCGCCGCTCGACTTGTAGACGGCGGCGTCCTCGTCTTCGTCGCCGTCGTCGCCCGCCATGTACACCTCGTGTCCGCCGACCTCGAGCTCCTCCTCTGGCTCGGGCTCGGGCTCGTGCTTGCGCTTGGCTTTGGTCTTGCCCTTGTCCTTATCCTTGCCCTTGCTACGCTTCTTGCCCTTCCCATTCGGCTTCTCTTCGGCTTCTTCTTCTTGCTCTTGGTCTTCCTCCTCCTGCTCTTCGGGACTTCCCCCTTCCTCGTCCTCGTCGCCCCAGCCCTTGGATGGTGTGATGCCGAGGTTGAACTCCAGGCGCGGCTTGCCCTCGTGGCCCGTCGCAAGGGTGTAGTCCTGACCCCGGCGGAAGCGGCGAGCGAGGAACTCGTGGCTCTCGACAATGGTGCCCGTCGCGACCTGCAGCCACTCGCGGAACTGGCGTGACGGGAGGAGGTGGTCCAGCAGCTCCGTCAGCGGGTTCTCCTCCTGCGAGCTGCGCAGCTCGTCGGCGGCCGCGGGCTGCTGGTACAGGAAGCGGTGCTTGTGAGGCGGGCGGGCGACGTGCCACGCCGACTCCTTCTCGATGGCCGTGCTGGCCGCGGGCAGGGGCGCCTTGTCCTGCGACTCGATGTACTCCCGCAGCCGGGCGGAAAACTTCTTGGACAAGATATTGGAGAGCGTGATGCTCGAGTTCTCCTCAAAGTGTTCCGAGATCTGCTCGAGCGTGTCCGGGGTGAGGTACGTCGGCGCTATGTACTTGAGCAAGAACTCGAGGCCGGCCTCGTCGAAGCCTTCCAGGCTTGCCCTAGGTTTTTCGACCTTGACGGGCCTCGCGGGCGGGGTATCGTGCTGGTCCGGGTTGCCCTGAAGCTGCATAAGGCCCGAGTTCCTGACCTGCTTCTCCTCTGCGCCCTCGACATAGCCGTCCTCGCCGACCTGTGGAATGTGGAACCAGCCGGAGATGGCCATCCGGATGCGCCCGCCGTCGCGCTCGAGCTGCTCCTTGGTCTCGGCGTGGTACACCTCCTCAACGTCGTGGAAGGACTCGCCCGGCTGCACAGCGAAGAAGGACAGCTGGTTCCACGCGGGCGGGATGACCTTGGTGTGGTCCGGCGCCGGCGTCTTGGCGATCTCGCCGTCCTTGCCCTTGCGCTCGTCGACGGGGAACAGCCGCAGGGCGCCGCCCCACTCGGGCTTCCATGGCGTGTCCGGGTCTGTGAGGTAGAGGATGTAGCTGACCTTGCGGCTGCCGATGACGTCGTCGTGGCAAAGGAGATAGCAGCCGGGGGTGTAAACATTGATGGCCATGTCGGTCTTGCGGCCGCTCAGGGGCCCGCATCCGGTAATGTGGGAGACATAGTTGCGGAAGGTTTCCGAGTAAATGGCGTCGCGCAGGGAGAGGAGCGAGGGCAGCTTGGCGAGGGCGTCGTCGTCGAGACCATCAAGGTTGGCGAGATCCCCCGACTGGTGGATCTTGTAGATGTCAGTCTCCTTGGGGGTGAAGGAGACGTTTTCACGGATCTCGTCGCGGACGGAGCGCAGGAGGTCGTCGTTGACGAGGCCGTTGATGACCGAGTGCTTGTAGGGGCTCGAGGTGGCGTACTGGTGCGTGTACGAGTCGAGAACCTTCTTGTCGAAGAGGCCCTTGCGGAACCTCGACTTTGCGACGTCGGGCGAGAGAGCTGTTGGCGTCGGTGTTAGTGGACGGGTGGGCGGGCACGGCAAGCAAGCAACATCGCACTGGGGAGGACCGGGGAGAGGGCTGCTAACTCGTCTTGAGTTTCTTCTTGGACGCCTTTTTGTCGTCAATCCGAGAGTCGGCCTTGCGCTTCATCTTGGGCGGTTTCAATTGCAGCCTCTGGAGGGAAACCGGCTTACTGCGAGAAGGAAAGGGAAGAAAAACAAGGGGGAAAATCTGGTTTGGCAGCCTCCAGGTTCATGAGCAGCATCTGCTCTCGGGACCCGAACGTGGGCTGAGGTCCCACATAATTTTTTTCCCAGCTGTGTTCGCGCCAAATCGTCCCATGGGCGGCGGTGGCCCCTGCAGTGTGCTCCTCCGGCCTCCACGTTCAGCATGGCGTCTGGTCTCCCTCTCTCTCCCTCACACCGCCGCCGCCGTCAACTTGCGTCCGTCGGTGTGCGCAAACACCTCCGGATTTTGGTCGCTCCTATCAATTGTGCGGCCTATTTGTCTTCATTGGCAGCAAAAACCTAGGGGGGTTGCGAATCCGAGGACGCTTCTCGGCTCTGAGACGTGTTCAGGGACTTGCATGACATATCAAGCGCCGTTGCGAACCGCCAACCTGGCTGGCGAGCGACCAATGCCGTCGTGCAGACGGTCTGTATCCGCCATGCGCTTATTCATTCCAGGCGCCCGAGGTTACATGTGCGCACTTTGAAGCAATGCACCAACCGGATGGGCATGCGTCGGGTTTTGTTCTCAGTTCTGGCCAGTGTTTTGTTGGTCCGTTCTCCCACCGGCCGCCTCTGCAACCCTTAATGTGGCCGCATGCCTGGGCCCCGGTCTTGCCCACAGTCTTCCCAGCGCGGCAGCGGACGCGGACCCCTCGGACGAGCTATCACCGACCGCCGACCCCGCGCCCCACATTTCTCGCGCCCCTCCATCCCCGCTGCAGGAGCAGTGTTGCCCCTCGCAGAACGTCATGCATCCCGTGAATGAATGCCGTCTGAATTTGCGGGTTTCCAGTAGAAACTAGGACGCGGGCAGCTTGTTTCTCTCGTTCTTCCCTCAACACTCGAAAACCCCTGCCTAAAGCCTCGTATCGTACGTCTTACCGAGCCGCAAGACCTACACCATGTCTGCTCAACTAGACATCGCGGCCACTAGGGCCAAGTTCCCGGCTCTAGCTCAGGATCAAGTCTTCTTCGACAACGCAGGCGGAAGCCAGACACTGGGCACCGTTATTGACTCGTGCGTCTTTTTGTCATTGTAATCCGAGTGCAACACCTCGCTTACACTCGCCAGCATCCGGGACTATCTGTCTCAGACCAACGTTCAGCTGGGCGCCTCATACAGGGTCGGCCAGCAGGCAACGGCCGCGTACAGCGAGGGCTACCAGGCCGGCGCAAAATACATCAATGCATCCCCTGATGAAGTCGGTAGGAACCAATACTTCAACGTCACACCTGAGGTGAACGGCTCACTGACATCAGCGTCAGTCTTCGGGGCTTCTACGACCCAGCTTTTCCGTAACCTTTCTCATGCCCTCGCTTTTGATAAAGGTGACGAAATCATCGTTTCCGCAGTCGACCATGAGGCCAATATTGCTTCCTGGCTCGACCTCGCCTCGCGCCAAGACCTCAACGTGAAATGGTGGAAGCCCGCCGGCGCGCCTAACCCGAAACTCACTGTCGAGAACCTCGAGCCCCTGCTCTCGGAAAAGACCCGTCTCGTGGCCTTCACACACGCCAGCAACATCCTCGGTACGATCCACGACGTTGCTGCCATCACCGCCACCGTCCACAAGGAGACGCCAAAGGGCCTCGTGTGCGTTGACGGTGTGGCCTACGCCCCGCACCGGCCCCTGGACGTACAGGCACTCGGCGTCGACTTTTACGCATTCAGCTTTTATAAAGTCTATGGCCCGCACACGGCGATGCTGTACGCCAGCCGCGCCGCGCAGGACTGGCATATGCGCTCGCTGGGCCACTTCTTCAACCCGTCCGGCTCGCTCGAGGGTAAGCTTGGGCTCGCCGGGGGCAGCTACGAGCTCGTCTCGGCCGTGCCGCGGGTGCTGGAGTACCTCGGCACGCCCGATTCTGAGGGGTGGAAGTACAAGGTTGAGCAGGAGAGGCTGCTGCAGTTGACGCTGCTCCAGTACCTCAATGGTCGCGACGATGTGACGGTGTACGGCGAGACGGATGCCGGAACGGAGTGCCGAGTACCAACCATCAGCTTCAGGGTGAAGGGGTGGGGCGCCAGGGAGCTTGTCGCAGCTGTGGAAAAGGACACCGACTTCGGCTTCCGATGGGGCCACTTTTACTCCTACCGCCTCGTCAAGGAAATCCTGGGCCTCGACCCCGCGGATGGGATTGTGAGAGTCAGCATGGTGCATTACAATAGCCGTAAGCCAGCAAGACCCACCCTCCCCCCTCTTCTCGAACTCACGGGTGATACTGATTCTTTCCAGTTAATGAAATCAAGAGCTTCGTGGCAGCCTTGGACGAGGTACTGCGAAAAAAGGAGTAACATCGTAAAATACGTTAGATTAGGATTAGAAAGGTCAATAACTCCAGCCTGCCATTGGAAGGTTGCTGTCCGTCTGATATCTATGTACGCTAAATATAAAAAACCCAGGGCTCCATTGCTTTTCCCTTATAACAAGAACAAACAAGAACTGCAACTACGCAAGGAAAAAAGGTCATAAAAACATGGCCGTAAACAGGGCGTCTGAAGGCGTCTGAAGGCGTGCCTCAGAGCTTGCCGTTCTTCTTATCGACGGCTTCCCTCAGAATCGAGATGACTGCTGCGGGGTCCTGTGCGCCAAAAACAGCGCTACCCGCGACGATCACGTTGGCACCCGCATCAGCGGCCTGGTGGACGGTGGACCCCGTCAGTCCGCCGTCGACCTCAATGTTGAGCTCAGGGTACTTTTCGCGCAGGGCCTGGACCTTGGGCAGCTGCGAGGCCATGAACTTCTGACCGCCGAATCCGGGTTCGACCGTCATGATAAGAACCATCTGTGGAGATGCCCCTGTCAGTCTAATGCGTGTTCGCGCAGACCCCGTTTTCCGCTGTAACAGGACCTCGTAAAACCCGACTATGGGATGGGAAAACACTCACGTCTGGCCTCTCGAGAGGATCTTCGCTCTCAAGGAGCTCCCACACCACGTCGACGGACGTTGCAGGCTTAATGGCAACACCAGCCAGCATACCTTGTTCGTGAATAAAGCGAGTAAGCGCGCGGGGGTTCGTCTTTCCGTTGGATTGGACCTCTGGGTTATCGGAGTCGGAGGAGAAGGCGGCCTCGTAGTGAAAGCAATACAGGTTTGCCCCGGCGTCCTTCATGCCTTTTACCCATTTCTTGGGCTGGACCGGCGACATGCGTTAGCCGGACTGCATTTCTGTGCAGGACAGCGCACAACTGGGTATGTTGCCACCCAATTGCGTTTGCTAGGAGGGGGGTGGGTATTCTTACCTCGGAAACCATCATGTGGCAATCGAAAGTGCCCTTGCCCCATGCCTCGATGGGCTTATCAACATGGCCTCTAATCTTAGCGACAACGCCAGGCCCCCATGAAATGTTGGGAACAAAGTGGCCGTCCCTAAAGTGACAGGATGATTAGCTTGAAGTCTTTGGAAAAGTGAGAGCGTCGGTTCTGCGACCAGCTCTCTCTGTATCTCTCTCTCTCTCTCTTATAGGAGAGAGAAAGAGCTGGTCGCAAGATGCTCGTGTGCTTATTTTTCATGGCGGCGGGGTATATGTACATAATGTCGACGTGAAGCCAATCAGCTCCTTGCTCAATGGTTTTGGAGCATTCATGGCCAAAGTTGCCAAAGTCGGCCGCGAGAATCGAGGGTGCTACAATTGCCTTGGGTGCCATTTTGTCAGCCGCGAGCAGGTGGTTTGTGGTAAAGAGTAGAGAGTTGGGAGTAGAAGGGAGGGGAAGAGGGAGGTGTGCGTGGGTGCGGGTTATGTCGCGGGTGTGTCTGGTTTTTGTTCGTGGGCAGACAACAGCGGCACCGCCCTTCGGCGTTTGTGAAAGGGTTGGAGGGTACACGATCGGACATGCGGCCGGAAGCTGTGGTAAGCTATGGACCCTGAACCACGAGAGCTCTCTCTCGGTGGGGTTTCTGTTGGGATCCTCCCACACTGGAGATTCTAGAATCACTAACCATTGAGGGGGTTTACGTTTGGGTGTGGGGTGACGCCACCCCCACCGAGCAGTGGGCACGTACCGCCCGTATGTTAAGCTCCGGAGTATGAATACATTAGATATTTTAGGTGCCTTTCTGGGTATGTATCTGTATGCCCCCACTTTTCCCATTGTGCCGGCGGAAAACGAGATAGGTATGGAGCCGACCCCCTGACGTTACAAGAGTGTCATGATGCGCCTCGGGTGATTTTCTGCCACGAGGGCTTGCTCGTCAGACGGTCACACACATGCCGTAGGTCTCTGTCGCGCATCACCTTGTTGGCAATACCGGGCCACCAAGACTTGTCTGGATGAGGTTTTGTGGAACAGCCGAGGTAGATACATAATGGTTTTTAGGCCGAGAGCGTTGGCCGATTAAACAACATGCAAGGGGAGAGGGGAAAAAAAGACTCCCGGTCCACTCTAAACTGCCTGAGCAATGCTTGTCCCCGTTTATACATACAAAACAGCCCCTCACGAGGCACCGATAGCCATACTAGTCGCCATAGAAACACTTTCAGTTCTCAAAGCTGTACTTAAGCCAGCCGCCCAGTGCCTTCAAACTCTCCCATCGGACGTTCTCGTCGGCTTCTCCCATTAGCTCCATGATTCTTGTTTTCAGACCGAGCTTCTCCAACTGATATCGCTTTTCGGGCACCTCCTTAACCAATGCCCCAACGTCGTTGCAAGCAATTGCCAAGACGGCCTTGTCGTTATCCCACGGCTTCTTCATGATCTCGGCTAGCTTACGCGTGATTGCTCCATTCTCGTACTCCAGGATCTTGCGCGCATTTTCAGCCCAGAACACCTGGCTTCTGTGAGGCGGTGACCAGCGAAGGTGGCCGGACTCGACCTCGGCAACGTATTCGTCGAATGTGGTCTTTGTCTTGGTGTACTCCTCAAGGAGGTCCTTCAGTTGCTGGGCGTCCTCGAGTAGGTCAGGGTCGGTCAAGTGGCGGCCGCTTAGGTTCACAAGGAGCGAGGGCAGTCGCGCAAGCACCGCCGTAGGGAGCAGAGATTTCTGGTTGTTGCTGAGTAGGTTGAAGAGCGTCGAAACAACCAACCTAGTCGTCTTTTCCTTCGGGGACAGACGTAGGAGCTGGGTGTACAGCAGAACAATGTCGTATTCGCTGTCACAGAGTTAGCTTTCAAATAATCTGCAAATGGGCTTGGACGTACTCGTTCAATTCGTCGCCGATTTGTTCGGCCTCAAAGCTCATTTGCCAAATCACCAGCAGAACATGGTACAGCAACTGCAGACCAACACCACCGCCGAGCGAACCCTCAAAGCCTGGCGCTCTTGTGGGCGCAGTGCCACTCCATATGCTTGCCGACGAGCTGCCGTTACTTCCAATACCGGCCGCTGTTCTGAGAATCTCAATCAGAGGCGCAATTGTCTCACTCCTTTGGTTCCAGAACTGCTGCCTAGAGGCATGCCCGTAGAGGATGGAAGAGTACTCCTGGACGGCAATGTCCTGGAGACCAGCATCGGAGCTCTTCGCGAGGCCAGATAAGTACGAGAGAAGTACGGGGATGGCATTCTTGGTTGCCTGCGACTCGTCTCCCGCGAGCGACATGAGCTTGGTCAAAGCCGTCGAGGTGAGCAGTGGGATCGGATCCTCGGTATTGTTGGAGTGGGCGAGCAAGGGTAGGAAGTGTTTGTAGGGGTCGCTGCTCTTGAAGATGGCCTTGGAGAGCGATGGTACACCTATAGGTTGGAGATAGTGGCATTAGTTGGCGGTTTCAAAACAACGGCTAAACCTCAACGTCGATACGTATCAACCAGAGGCGCGAGGCGAAAGAGTAAAGGGTATCACAGGAATTGTCCCCAAAGCGATGAATTTGGCTAGGAGAAAGGTGCAGGACATACTGGGCAAGAGGTCGGCCAGGAGGACGAGAATGTACTGAACGATTTTGGCTTGCTTCCCCGCAGACTCGAGCACGGAGGGCTTCCCCGGTTCGCCCACAAAGAGGGAGCGGTAGCCGTCGAGGTCTCCTTCTACAATTTCCTTCCTCGCTTCGGGGTTCTTCGCCTTGTCGACGGCACGGATGCGGGCCAGGTGGTCCTCAGTGATGGTGCCTGCTCGAACAGCGCCATCCCAGGGGATTGGCCGCTGGCGGATGTTGTCCTGCAGCGAGCCCAGATACGTGGGGGTATCGAGCGACATGGCGGGCGAGTCGAGGGAATGTAGAGACCCAGGCGACTTCGATTTGAGATGGACCTGCGTCACCAACGGTTGTGCTGTTGAGAATTCGGAAAGAGGGGATGGATTCGACGTGCTGAGGGTCGCAGGTGGTTCGCGGCTGCAAACTGTCTGTGACGAACGTAATGCTCTCAAGCCGCAGCCGCAGCCGCGCCTGCCCAGTTTTTGGGGCAGTTCCCTGCTCCAAGTCACTGTGTCAGGTTGAAGGCACTTGATTGGCTTGGGGTCCAGTTCTCCATTAGCCACAAGCCGAAGCTTTGTGTGCCCCACCACAGCTTGCCTGTGGCCAATGAAGACGACCTGCTGCCAATGTGATTGTGGCGGTGCGCTCGGACCATTTTACCTTCCTTCACTCGAACCGATTCAAGAAGCTTGGCCCGCCGTCTCTGCTAGGTAGGTCCTCCGTACTCGAAACAGCATAGCGGCGACCCATTCTGCCCCAGCCTCCAACCACTCGATTTTCTCGATCAGTAGTTGTCGACGATACTCGGTTCGCGATATGGAGCCAGAGCTGGCTGCTCCTCATCCATTTGCTCTGCACGAATTACCCGTATTCGAAACCGATTGCTAGCCTACGCCATATGCAAGGCACGAGTCCCTTGAATATCATATGACGGAGGGCGTCGTTAGCCAGGGCATCACCGTCACTCTGTGATGGGTCTTGGGCTCCTAGCCTGCCGGCATGGCTTCCGTCGGTCGGCCATGTCAAAAGTTGCGGAACCCACGGACTGGTACCTGCTGAGATGTTATCACGACGTCGTGTAAAGAATTAAGACAGTCGAAGCGCGACAGCTGTCATCGCGTCCAGAGTTCAAGACTAGTCTCATTGCCAGGATGCAAATGAGCACGATCTCATTGAAGAAGCTTCATGATGGGATGGCCAAGCGTAGGTGACCAATGACTATGCAAGAGATCCGAAAGCGTAAAGAAAGTACACGGAGACAAGGCAAACAAGCATACCTACATACACACGCTCTCTCCCCTTTCCTCTCTCTCTCTCTCTCTCTCTCTTTACTTCATACGGATACACTAGCTAGGTCGAGTAGCCTAAACAGGCTTTCTCTGCCTATCGATTGTCGTCCAGTGGACAGACCGACCCCTGCAGGTAAACATGTGGAAACGAGGCGCTCTGGGCCGGGCCAGTCACAAAAGCGAAAGTGACCCGTCTGCCAACTCACACAGGCATCCCCCCGCACCGGGCCAGTCACAACGCTTTGTCTTCCGGGTGTCTTGGTCTCCCGGTACAGGGAACCACCTCTCGGCGCCCGATCTTCAGGAACCAGAGCAGAAAACCGTAGCAACAGTGATGGAATCGCGCAATCGAGACGTATCTTCAGAGTCCCCTTGTCAAAGATTGGCCAGCTAGCAGGCTTCCAAGTGAAGCTAGATCCCTGCGAAACATTGCATTAATCGAGGTAGTACTGTGGGATTGTCTGTGTGGGTGCGTCTGTACCTGTGTAGTGACAGCGGCAGCAAAATTAAGAGGTTGGACTCGGACGAAGAGGGGAGGTTGGGAACCGACCCGCGAGGGGAGGGGAAAAGACCAAAAAAAAAAAGACTGCCTCTCTGCCCAAACCAAGTAATACGACACTTCCGCTTCGTCCGCACTCTCTCTCTCTCTCTTAAACCAAACCTGCCTGCAGATTTCGTTATTTCTTCCGATTTCTTGGTTCTTCTCTCCCTACCCATCTATCTACACCCAAGGACATCACCCCAACAACTCGGTCATTGCCGACACCTACACTAACAGGCTAGGTCGGCCAGCACACGCACACTCATACGACTATTACCGCCTGACACTCGTCTTTATTTTTCCCGCTGACCATTAATACCTCATTGTTTTTGCTACAACACGAAACCGCATTCCTCTTGCTCCTTCTCTTTATCACTAGGAGACGCTCGCGAGGCTACGAGACAGTTCGTTCCACGGCATCTTCCCATTCATTGAGCTGACCCACCAGACAAGTGTGGGCGAGAGCTCACTTACAATCCCCACCTCGCCGTACTTTCGGCTTCCTCACGTTCATGGATCTCGATATGAGCCGGCGCAAGCACTCGGTTGCAGCCCCTCTGGTCGTCGCCGGTTTCCTGCTGCTGGCGTCCGCACCCACACTGGTTTCCGCCCACCCTTACCCTCTGCAAAATGTGGCCAACAACCTATTTTATGAACTTGGAGACAAGTTCATGAAGCGCGACTGCGTCCAGCGTTGCGGTGTTGACTCTCAATACTGCTGTGGCTCTGGCGAACAGTGCTACACAGTCGACAATATCGCTGGCTGCAGCACCATCAACGGTGGTGGGGGCTATGGCATCTTCACCACAACCTGGACCGAGACCAATACCTTCACCAGCACTATCACAACAGATTGGCCTGCGACAACAAACGTCGGAGGAGGGGGAGCTGGAGGCACGTGTGTCCCACAGCACGAAGGAGAGACAGCATGCGGCAGCATTTGCTGCGCCGTCTATCAGTACTGTGCCTACGCAGGGCAATGCGCCCAGCGAGCTGGCTGGGGTGGAGGTATCACCACCGTTACCTCTGGAGGCGTAACAATCACTACTCAATTCTCGGCCCCCTATCGCATCACAAGCACGGCAGCCACAGGCACCTTTGCATCGGCAACCGCGACTGGAACTGGAACCGTTGTGCCCGTGACCAACGAGGGTACTGGCGGAGGTTTGAGCGGCGGCGCAATCGCGGGTATTGTTATCGGCACTCTCGCTGGCCTTGGTCTGCTCATGCTGCTCTGCTTTTGCTGCATCGCCCGTGGTCTCTGGGGCCTCATCTTCGGCGGCAAGAAGAAGAAGGAGCACAGCCGTGAGCGGATCGAGGTCGTCGAAGAAAGATACTCACGCCACGGCAGTCGTATGCCCTCGGCCCACTCCCACCGCCCCTCGCATGCCGGCTGGTTCGCGGGCGGCAGCCGTCCTGCACCCGCTGCGCGCCGCAATGAGGAGAAGAAGGAGGGCGCCAAGTGGTTGGGCCTGGGTGCCGCCGCCGCGACGTTGCTGGCGCTGCTGAACGTTAAGAAGGACAAGCCAGCGCGCAAGCCGCGGTCGAGCTACACGGATTCGTACTACTCGTACACGGGGACAAGTCCCAGTGAGTCTTCATCGGATTCTCGGACTCGATCGGATCTGACGTCCTACCTAGGCAGTTCCAGCTCGGGTGGAAGAACTCACCGAACCGGTCAAACACGCGGTACCCGCACGACACGACACTCACGGAGGTAGCGAAGCATCCTTCTCTTGGAGGTCTTCCCGGCCTCAAAATATTGCATAGGTATTCGGCCGCTTTCTTTATAAGGCCCTGCCGAAGCCCAGAACATGCTTCGACACGTATATAAATTGGTATTATTGTCTTTTCTTGCTGTTCTTTCTATTGGCGTTAAGGAGATGGTCGATATGAATCTACGTCTTGATTCCTGACGACTCGGGAGACGGGACACAACGCCGTACGAGAGACGAAGAGTGGAATTCGGCGACGATGAGAGAACGAAAGGTTGATTGAATGAGAAAAATGACAATGTTGGGGGTGGACAAGGTCAAAAAGGAGGAGCTACCTAGCTTGGAGACGGCAATGATGAGGAGTGTCTTGAGGAGGTGGAACATCTCTTTGCATACTGAGCGTTTTCCTACCTTTTCTTGTTATTTTTTCCTATGGTGTGGCTCTCTCTCGTCTTGGAAAGCATTACACAGCACAGCCCAGCCTCCCCGCATAGCATGTACGATGTCCAGAATGTTTTGATGGCATAGACGAAATTTTGGTAGGCAGACTCTCGGAAGCAGTTTCCAGAAGCGCCTGTAACGCAAGGAATGAAATAAACATCTCTAGTCAGGTCAATCATGTTCTCGAATTGTGAAGTAGGTAATATTGGCTCAAGCTTGCTCATGGCACGGCTCTCCTGCGGCCCAAGTCTGTTGGATGAACCAAAAGTCGGGATGAACGTACCGCGCCCGCGAAACCGGTGCGGTGCGGTGCGACCTGCTGTTCGCCCGTGTGCATGGAACAAACTGTATTTCCATGCACGTACTGTCTGCGCTTGCTGCTGTGCCCATCCCTGCTGGGAATAGTTTGAGGATTCGACGAAAGCGGCTCTGCTGCCCGGCAGGCCTCCTGACTCTCTGTACGGTCCGAGTCTCTTTAGTAGGCCTTTGACGCATCAGTGGCTATAACAACCGGACATCAAGGATCATGATCACAAAAACCAATGTTGTAGTGAGGGCCATTGCCGAGTCAGTTGGACGAGATTCGCTGATACCGATGCACACCACATTCAATCTTCCCTCTATAAGCCCACTAAGCTGATCACATAATCATGTTGCTAGGTGCGGGAGATGGTCTTTTCTTGTTCATTTCTTTACGCTTACGTGGGTATCAGTTCACCATGAAATGTCTTCAGGCAGGTAATGGCTATCGTAAAGTGTTGAAGGGGGTAATATCCGCTCGGCGAAAGGGAGCTGGTAACGTCTTGCTTGACTTTTTGATGTGATTCGTACGGTAACCCTTGGGCTACACGATGCAAAAAATGGAACCCCGGCCACGCCTGTGTTGAGACCCAGAACCCAGTTGCTCTTTTGGATAGTCCTCGGAAAAAAACATGACCATTTGACTTTTGTTTGGATTTCCCCGCTCCCCTCCATGCCCAGCTTCCTTACATCAAGAATCCTTAATTTCTCGGGATTCCGGAGATGCATTTAAGCGTCCTCCTCGATGTTGCCCTTCTCGGAGACGTACATGCCGTCCAAGAACTTACGGATATCCTTGTTGCGGACCTTGCAGATCTGCTGAATATCGGCGGCAGACTGGGAGACAGCCTCAAGAGAGTTGCCAGTGAGGACGAGCTCATCCTTCTGAGCAGTGGAGACGGCAACGTCAACACCCTCGCGCATGACGACGCGGCGGACGAGCTTCTCGCCGATGAAGTTGCTGAGATACGTCAGTCGCCTGTTACATTCATGTTGTTACACCAACAGGGCGAACATACCGGATCTCGACCTCCCACAGACCAGTCTCGGAGTTCTTGTCCAGGTTGACGTTGATGGGGAAATGGGCATAGACGTAGCGCATCTTGTACTTGAAGCCCTTGGTGACACCGACGATCAGGTTGTTGATGAGGGTGCGGACAGTACGGAGGGTGGCAACGTTCTTTCTTGAGCCGTGGTGGATCTCAATGTTGATGGTGCCCTTGACCGGCTGGGAGAAGTTGACGGCCAAGTGGGACAGGTCCTTCACGAGCTTGCCTGCAGACGGTGTCAGCCAACTCAGATTCGAGAGTCTCTCGCCGTGAGGCGCATAGCACTTGGTATCGAGGTACCGCCAGTCACGACCCTAGGAGGGAGCGCAATGACTGGAAAGGAGGGGAGACGTTGTACTTACCACGGGGGCCCTCGACAGTGACGACGCGGGACTTGATGTGAACCTTGACTGTTGGAGAATCCAAGTCAGCATGCATTCAATTGCCTGCCACTACTGCTCCTTTCGAGCTCATCCACAGTCTAAAACTTTTCAACCCAAAAACCCATGCCGCGTCGTCCGCCTCGAGCGCTCGCTGGTCCCCCAGTCTGCCCATGGTTTACAACCTCAGACCGAGGTCATCGGTACCGAAACAAAGAGACAGAGGGAGGCCGAGGCCCGAAAAGCGAATGGCGACACGAGGTGTTATAGTATCCCAAAGTTCAGAATTCGGCGGAGCTCGCAGGGGGCCGCATCGTGATTGACGAGTGGGGTGGGATTTCTCGGTGTATTGTGTGCTTAATCGCTGCGTGTCTTTCGAAGACGACGCTGACGACGTCGGCTTTTCTTTTCACGTACCATCCTGAGGGACCGTCAGGCTCTCCTGGGAGTGAATGTATCTCATATTGACGTCGGGGGGGAGAGGAGGGTTGTCGACTGGGCGATCTACTGGGCGACGGGTCTGTTTCGTTGGGCGATGGACAACTTTTTCTCAAAGGCCAAAGGACGAACTTTTCGAGCTCGCTCGAGTTGCGATTGGGAGCCCAGCGGTGCGCCGAATGATGGGGGCTCGCAAGCCCTGTGTGGTCTGTGCGTACTTTTAGTGTCGAAAGCGGTAGGCGGTGGAAAGGGTTGCTAAACCACCATTTTGGCTCTGACTCGGTAAAGCCACATCACTCCTGCAACCAGCCACAGGGTGGCTAGTACAAGGATGCCTATCTCACGTGTAAACTCTAGCCAATGAGAGGGGCCATTCCTGATAGCTCCAATTGTCCGCCCACCTTGATTGATAGCTGGCTCGGCGCAATCCAGCAAGCAGCGTAGAGAGATATACGTCAGCCACGAAGCTCTCCAACTCCCCTGACTTCGGTGCCAACCGCTCTAATATACGCCCCCATCACCAGCCTCCAGCCCACGACCGGACACTTCGCAGCTGGAACGACGTCCATTCCTTTTCTCCGAACCAGTACGAACACCTTTCGCGCGCGAGATCCGGGCATCCCCGCATAAGCCAAGATGTCGTACTTCTTCTCGACTCCCGTCGACATCGACATCGTGTTGGAAGACGCTGATGAGCGGTCTATGGTGGACGTCAAGCTCGATAAAAACCGCCGCGAAAAGGCGCCGCTGTATATGGATGGCGAGAGCGTCAAGGGCGCCGTTACCATCAGACCTAAGGACGGCAAGCGGCTAGAGCATACGGGCATCAAAGTCCAGTTCATTGGCACGATAGGTAAGTTGTTGAACCACTACCATCTTCGCGTAACCAAGTCGAAGGCCCCCTACCCTCCCACCTGACACTGACCACAACGCTCAGAAATGTTCTTCGACCGCGGAAACCACTACGAATTCCTTTCGCTTGTCCAGGAGCTCGCCGCCCCTGGCGAGCTGCAACACCCGCAGACGTTCGACTTCAATTTCAAAAACGTCGAGAAGCAGTACGAGTCGTACAATGGCATCAACGTCAAGCTGCGTTACTTTGTCCGCGTCACCGTGTCCCGCCGCATGGCCGACGTCATCCGCGAAAAGGACATCTGGGTCTACTCGTACCGCATACCCCCGGAGATGAACTCATCCATCAAGATGGACGTTGGTATCGAGGACTGCCTGCACATCGAGTTCGAGTACTCCAAGTCAAAGTATCACCTCAAGGACGTGATAGTCGGTCGCATATACTTCTTGCTGGTCCGCCTCAAGATCAAGCACATGGAGCTGTCCATCATCCGGAGAGAAACGACGGGCGCGGCACCGAACCAATATAACGAGAGTGAGACGCTGGTGCGGTTCGAGGTAGGCTCTCCGGTTCGGCCTTCTAGGATGCGCTGCATGCTGACTGTTCGGGCAGATTATGGACGGCTCGCCTTCGAGAGGAGAGACCATTCCCATCCGCCTCTTCCTTGGCGGCTTCGACCTGACCCCGACCTTCCGGGATGTGAACAAGAAGTTCTCGACCCGATACTACCTCAGTCTGGTGCTCATCGACGAAGGTCAGGAACCCTCCCCTCCCTGCCGACGCTGCCCATTTCATCTTGTCAGACCATGCTAACAACAAGACGGGTCAGACGCACGGAGGTATTTCAAGCAATCGGAAATCATCCTCTATCGCCAGGCCCCGGACGCGGTCGCCGGTCCCAACATGATTATGGCTGCCGCCCCGGAGAACCCCAAGCTCATGGGCCCTCCTCCCCTTCAGGCATAGAGACCTCTGAAAGTGGATGGTGTGGTTTATAAGTAATGTGCCGTGCTTCTTGTTGTTGATGATGATACAGGGGTTCTGGGGAGCTGTCATGATAGGTAGTCTTCGTCCAGTCGGTTACGCGCAGTTTTAGCATAAGGTCACGGCGTTTTGGGGTAAAGACAGAGCTGGGTCTGCTGCACTGATACGAAAAATATGAAATTTATTCTGCCCTTCCACTGCGAAACCTATAAGCAAACAAAAGCCAAAGCCCAATCCATGCAGTTCGTAAGGTATCTGGTGTCCAGGATCATTCTTTGTGTCCGGGATCATGTCAATTACTTGTACAGCTCTTTTCCTTTTCGTTCTTTTCTTGTCTTTCGTTGGTATCCTCACCTGGCAGGCTCCTTGACGCTACTACAAAATATCCATGACATCGTCGGCCTCAAAACCGAACTGGTTGTTCTGAATGGCGGCGATCCTGTCCAGCTCGTCTTGGTACTGCTTCCGCAAGTCGGTCAATGTAACGACCTTGCGTTTGCCTTGGAAGTTCGTCGTCTCTCTTGCATTGGGCGGGGGCAGCTCCTCCGAAAAGATCCACGCCTGCTTGGCGTCGACGCAGCTCAGGGCGTTGATGAGTAACAGGTACTGCTTGGTCACGGGCGTGTCAAGAATATCCTCGCCTATCAATTTGTCGCCCTCGCCAGCATGCTGTAGTTTCTGGATACGGTCGAGCAGCACGGTGGCGGCCCCGCGGTAGTCGTTGTGCTTGATCCTCCACGAGTAGAGAATCTGGTGGTACGGGATGCCGCTGAGGACATCCATTGTTGATTTGCACCTCTGGGCCAGGATCTCGTCAATCGAGTCCTGCAGGCCGGGGAACGGCAGTGACATGAGTTCGCTGTTGTGGTAGGATTCACACATCTTGTCAATCAGCTTGCGGAGGGACGAGAGCTGCATAGCCTTGTCCTTCATGGCCAGAAGACTTGCGTGGGCGACGTCGAAGCGTGAGAGCACCGTCGCTGCGTTGAATTGGCGGCTGAGCATCTCGCTCCTGACTAGCGCAGCTTCGGGGCTGGCGTGAGAATATTGAATGGCAAGACCAGCAAACTCGATGACGAAGGAGTAGGCCTTGACTTTCTCGAAGAGAGCTACGATATGGCAGTGGTACCGAGCTGGTCCCTTGTTGAGCAGGTTCCATTCGGTGTCATCTAGGAGGCCACTGCTGTGTCGGTCGACATCGACATCCTTGACGCCTGTATCTCATGTCAGCAAGGCTTTAAGGTACAGGGAAGGTCGGACTTACTCATACCAATCGCCGCTTTGCGGAAATGGAAGGCGGCTTGGGCAAAGTCCTTCAGAGCGAGGAAGACGCGGCCCTGGATGTAGATGGCGAAAGGCGTCTGGACACAATAAGGTGTGAGCTCCAGAGCAAGGTCAGCTCGCTCTCTTCTAATGAGGGAGCACTGAATTAGAGTCGGCGACACTTCGACGTCGCTGTTGGAGGCACAGAGATCTGTGACGATATCCGTTATGCTCGCTGCGAGGGGTTCGTTTCGATTGTCACCGAAACCGAGAAGGTGACCCACGTTGCCTTCCAGCGCAGTGACCGTCTGATACTCATCGCCTGATCGCTTGGAGGCACTAGGCGAACCAGAGAATGAACCATTGCGCTCGTGCTTGTTGCCGAGGGGAACAGTGATCTCGGTCTTGGATAGCCAGCGGAGCAGCTCTAACCGGCGAAGGGACTCAAGGAATTGTCTGAATACGGTGCCAACGTCGAGTCGCTTGGAGAGCATGTCTTCTTCCTGCTCCCAGTCGAACTCCATGTGCACCAACAACAAAATCTGGCTAAAGATGACCGTCCATTGCAGGTCAATCGTCTCTTGAACAGCCTTGACGATCAGTTTTCTTCCAAAATCCGTCAGAGGTTGACGGGCTTTGCGGCTTCCGGACTCGTCTGTGGCCGCAATCAAGCTAGATAAGCTCTCGTACAGAGCCATCGTGACGCCGATGTAGTTCTGTCCCAGGCTCTCAATGACCTGGGCGCAGTCTTCTTCGCTTACAGTGCGCCACAGAGCAGTGGTGTCGAACAGATATTGGATTCTTTCGTAATCCGTCCTAGGCGTCTCTTCGAATATTTCCGGTCGCAGTGCAGCCGTACAGACTTGTTGGATGCTGTCGGAAATTGCATCGAGGAAGCCAACTCCTGTAGCCACAAGGTTCGCCACCCTTTCGGTGCCCTCCTCCGGTCGCGAGAGGTTGTAATACAGCCGCTCTAGCGAGCTACATTCTCTGACGGCAGATATGACGTCTGCACATACAACCCATGTCATATCGGAGTCCGCGTCAAGGACCAGAGAGACCGCTTCGCCACGCTGCTTGTCCAATTCGATGAGAAGGCGGTAGAACCTCCGCCATTGGGTCTCGCTGCTGGCTCGAAACTGCTCGTAATCCATGCCACCAGCCGAGTTCCGGTCCAAAGATGCTGTGGAGGCGAGTATGGAGCAGATTGACTCTGCCAAACCCTTTTGGCTTTTCGAGCTTCCGCTCTCCTTCTGTGAGTAAAGTCCCTTTTCGTAGATGGACAGAGCTGTTTCAAGGGTAGCCTTTGTGAAGCGGCCAGGCGCAAGGATAAGTTCCAACCACTTTTCGGTCGGATCGGTGGGGTCCGACGGCCCAGAAGTTGGTGCTGTTGGGTAGCTGGTATCAATGTGAACCGACACCCACCCACTTTCCCAAGACTCGGCGATGCTGTCCCTGTTGAGGTCAAGCTCCTGAACCCTGTACGTCATGTTGTTCTTCCACAGCGTCCACAACTGGATCCCGCCATCGGCAAGATTTGAGAGAACAAAGTCCGCCAAGGTCCAGACATCTGACAGAGAGGGCGACGAAGGGACAAGCGTTGTGTCTGGAAAAGCGTCTTCTACGTAGACGGTGTCACTATCGCGGGCCTTGATGTTCCAGAACTTGAACTCTCCAGCTCCAATGGGCGAATATGTAGCACATATACGGTTGCCTGTGCCGTCACCAACCACCTGCAGAAGGTTTGCTTGCGTCGGCTCAATCTGCCACTTGCCGACCTCCTGAGGGTTGCGGTCGGCGTTGAGAATGTCTCCAGTGAATAGTATCTGACCGGTTCGCAAGTTCCAGATGCGCATGCGGTGGTCGAGACAGACTGTAAAGAGAAATGCCGCATCATCGAGGCCGAGATCCGTCACCTGTATCGACGTCGCTGCGCTTGCATCCATGTGAATGTTACGGTATCGGATGGTGTGGTTCTGTTTGAAGGGAAGGTAGCTGCGAATGCCTTGAGCCCAGCCTTGCGAGTTATAGATGGTCTCTTTCCATGGGTTGTTCGTCGCTAAAAAGTGTCAATCACGAGCTCGATTGTAGGGGAAAACGAAAACTTACAATCATGGGTCTTATTCCGGTCCAACCGCACCAGCCCTCCGTCGTGTAAAGATATGACGACCTGGTCGGTGCTCGCAGCGACCATGCGGTGCGGGTGCTTGAAACCGAAAACCTTTGGCTGGTAGACCTTGCAAGCGTCACCCGGGCCGGCCTCGATTGCGGAGCGCTTCCTGAAGAAGTCGGGTCGTAGGGTGAAGGAGTATAGGGAGTTGGACTCGTCGAGCACGAACATGGACAGCGCATCGTGTTCTCGGGGATCGGCGAAGGCCACGCATGACGACTGAATCGGCACTGTGAATCTGAAGTTGAGGATGAGAGGTGCATCGACGACCTTCTCCTGGCGGCAGGTGTCGACAACACGGAGGCTCAGGACCAGGCCGTCCTCCAGCAATCTCCACAGGAAACTGCGCGGTGCGGCGTGCCATTTGCGGTGGTAGACCGACGAGGCAGACGCCAAGCTCTTGAGACGAAAGGTAACCTCATCTTCGCTAACGTTTTTGTCGCCGTTCGTGAGCTTGCGGTCCGCGCCCCTGCCGTTCGACGTCAGCGAGGGGACACGGATATTGACGATGGACGAGGCGGAGGCCGGTTCGAGATTGAGACGAGTCTCTCGGTAGAGGTATTGCGTGTCTATGGAATCCATTGCGATTTCAACCCTGTCCTGTGGAAAGCCTCTAATGCCGTCGAAGAAAGGGAAGAGGCCGCAGGAATGGCGGGTCAGGCTCGGCGCATTAAGCAATATTGCGACAGCAAAAGGTCGTCGCGATTCGAGTTGATGGAATTTCCAGTTGAAGACTCCAACGCGCTGGTGGGGCTAATCCCAATACAGCAACCAGCTTGATACAGTGCCAATAAGCAGTGTTTCTAACTTGCACGGTGTGTTTGTTGGCGTGGGAACAATAGCCAAGAATCGTTCACGTCGCCGATGCCTTGGGCATTTTAGGTATTGACGGGTCAAATCCATCGAGTTTTTCCGTCTCAAGCTCATTCTTTTTCTGTCTATTAAATGTCAAAGGCCTAGTTTGCTTCCGTCGAAGGAGAAATGCCACAACTCCATCATAAAACCTGCCGTCCAACGCCAGCACTAATGCATGTCATCTTTCCCAACCAGGGCGTATCAAAGCTCACTCATATGCGCATAACACCGTTACAGCCACTCTCGACAAGTCACGCATCATTTCACACCGCCTAATCCTTCTCCAGGTCTTTGGGACTAGGGTCGCCAATGCCGTCTTCGTTGATCGCAAACAGACAGTCGCTCTCGGGCAAGCATGGACTGTCGTAGATCTTGGCGATACGGGTCTCGGCACGCCCCTTTCTCAAGCTGATTCGTGTCGTGCTAGCGTGAGCAATGATGTTACCGCCAACTGGCTTCTTCGGGTCGGGGTTGAACATAGCACTAGGTCCGCCATCGACCTGAGCAACGACCTGGTTCGTGATGACGACAGCGATACCAAACTCGTCAGCGAGACGCTGTAGTGTACGCATAAACTTGGCAAGATGGGTCTGCCTCGAGGACAGTTCACCTCTGCCCAAGAAGTCGGTTCTGTAAAGTGCCGTAGCAGAGTCGACAATGAGCAGGGAGAACCGCGTCTCGCACATCATGGCGCCAGCCTGCTGGAGGAGCTGAAGCTGATGATCAGAGTTATACGCACGCGCATAGGCCACGTTGTCCAGTACTTCCTCTCCGGAGAGACCAAATCGGTTGGCGACGGCAAGCAGACGAACAGGCCGGAACGTGCCCTCGGTGTCGATATACAAGCACTTGCCCTCGCCACCCCCCATGTCGAAGGGTAACTGGCATGTCACCGCAAGCGTATGACAGATCTGACTCTTTCCCGTGCGAAACTCTCCAAAAAGCTCGGTCACCGACCCGGTTTCGATACCACCGGCAAGAAGGGTGTCGAGCTGTTTCGAGCCCGTTGTAATAGAGATGAGCTCACTGCGTCGTTGATGCATCTCAGTGGCGGTCGTGAAGCCCATCGGAACAAGTTTCGAGGCTGCACAAAGGATAAGAAAAGTTCAAGAAAATTGGAGTAGTCAGGCTTACCTTCGGCAAGGATCTTGGTGGCCTTCTGCTCGGAAATGCCCTTGATCTGCTCAAGCATTCGGCGCGGGGTATACGCGACCGACTCTACCGTGTTGAAGCCTCCATCGACCACCATTTGAATATCACGCTTCGTCAAGCCTGCGACTCCCTAAGACGACGCCGCATCAGCATTTTCCGTTCAAGGGGGCGATTCGCAGGATATTGTACCTCAAGTGCAGAGAGTGGCGTTGGCGCGCCGGGCCCAGTTCCGACGCCCTCGTCGCCATTGTGGCTTTCCTCGTAGCCGTCCGGTTCGGCCATTGCTCTTCCAGGTGTGGTAAAATGTGTCACTGCCTGGTTTATGCGTGAGGAATGGCTGCGACCCGTCAAGAGTAAGGTGGTGCATGCGGACAGGAGAATATCGATGGGGGGAGGCGAGCGGATTCTTAAGACGCGTCGGCCAGGACCGTGGGGTGGCGATGTGCGGAGGAGAAAACACGCCAAGTCACGTGCTGCAATTAAGTGTTTTGCTTGCCCCGCTGTGTGCCTGGAGTTAGCGTCCTACCAGGGGGGGCCGGCCCCCTTGGCTTTTGCTTACGATTACCGAATCCATGTGGTTCATCTCACGTCGGTAAAGCGAACGAGCTTTTATTACTGATATACGCAAACCAGCAACTTTTTTGGTTAATGAAGATCCCTTTTCGGAAAATCTGGAGCTTTCTTACTTCATTTTTGTTTTGCTTTTTACATTTACTTCGCCTAGCTCCCATCTACCACTCTTTCATCCCGGCTCGTCAGGTCGGCGCAGGTTTGTAAACTTGGGACAGCTTTCTTTTTCCGACTTTCAAAGCACCACCGTCTTCGGGGGACTCGGAGAATTCCAGCTCAGCATCTCTTGGTATATCGCAATTCATACGGGGGAAAACTAAAAACTATTAAAAAAATGCGGTGTGATGAATGATTGATTAATTCGCTAGCTACAAACACAAGAGAACTGGGATCCCAAGACATTTCAACTTAGCATCGCAATGCGAAAAGAGAAAGAACCGCTGTACAATTGGCCATGCAGAAACAGAATCGTCAATGATGCTTCTTCCTCGAAGCGCAATCCCCGTTCGTCGTCTTGCCGATGTTGTTACAATTGTTCGTTGTGTGGTCACAACATTGTCGTGGTTGTCAGACTCGTACGTGCGGTTTAGTTGACTTGGATGCGGCGGGCCTCATGCTTGGGCGCCTTGGGGACGCGGATCGAGAGGATGCCGTCCTTGAAGCTCGCCGAGACGGAGTCCTGCGAAATCTGGCCGGGGAAGTTGAAGACGCGGCTGAATTCGCCGACACTGCGCTCCGAGACCCAGTACTTGGCGTTGTCGACCGGCTCCTTCTTGCCGGACTTCTCGATGGAGTTGTTCTTGTTACCATCTTGCTCATTCTCGTCTTCGACGGTGGGCTGGCGGGACTTCTCGTTGCCTTCGGTGATGGCGCCGCTCATCTCGGCACCGTTGCCCTGGAGGAATCCCGCCGGGGGAGTGCCGGCGGTGTACGATCTCTCGACGCGGCCGCGGATGTGGAGGGTGTGAGGGTCGGTAAACTCAATCGAGACATCGTTCTTGTTCATGCCTGGGAGCTCGCCATACAGCTCGTACGCGTCCTCGACTTCGCGAACATCGAACTTTGGCTGGAAGTTGGGGATGTGGTTGCGGTGGGTGCCGCGGGCGCCGCCGTTGCTGCCCGAACCGGTGGTTCGGGAGTAGTTGTCAAAGTCCTCGAGAAGGCGGAAGAGAGGGGTGAAGGAAGCGTCGGAGGGGGTGTTGTAGAAGTTGCGAGGGAAGAAAGCCATTTTGACGTTGTTCGTTAGAAGGTTGTAGTGTATACGCGACTGTGTCGTGATTTTTTTTAGATGTAGGGGAAGAGTTCGCAAGAGCGATATGTGTTTTGAAGTATTGAGCGGTGTCGAATTGCTTTTCTTGTTGTCTTTGTTTGTTCTGATCTGGTGAGGAGAGAAAGGCCTAGACGAGAGGGGATCAAGACGGTCGATTTATACACTGAGGGTCGGCACTGATGTGACTTCCTCAGAGCTCAGGAATCATCGCTGGTGGGTCCAGAAACGGGATGCGAGGTGCTTCGAGAAACACCTCGTACATTGCAGAAGGAACGCCATCCGTCTGGAGCCTGGTTCTGGAGCGATTCTGGCAAGCAGATGCGTTGGTGATGAAGCCGTCGCGATGCTTCTAGGAACTTCGGGGCTCGGAAGTCGCTGGACGCTTCTAGCACCTTCCACTGTTACGACACCAGCAACGGCCGTCTCTCACCAGTAGACCAAACACATACACTTACAGGAAACATTTGGAAACTCAAGTCCAGTGTCATTGCATCAAGCCCAGTCACAAGATTCAATCATCGCATCATTTTGACATCACTAAAGCACCCCATGGCATGACCTTCGAATGCCGTCGAAGAGCTTTGCATGGTCAAAGCCTTTTTTGGACGGGCATGTTCTCCTTCCATTCTCACTCGCTTAATTTTTAGAGTTCCGGGCCCCGAACTGGGGTCGAGGGTGCCCCCGCAACCACCGTAGCGACGCGTCCAGCCAATCAAGCTCCTACCCCGGCGTCGTCAAGTGGACAAATGGATGGATGGTCCGTGTCCATTCCAACCGCCCCACTAGCCCGGCCGGCTTTCCAGAGTGCTCTAGGTACTGCCCCTCCCCTTGAAATCCAATGGCCAGGTCTAGGCGCTTTGGTTTCGGCACCTAACACCACTCTCCCCCTCAATTAACCTCCTTATCTCCCTAGAGCATGTTTACACCATTTGCAAACGTTTTCATGATGTCCGTGTATCATGCACGCGTCTGCGCCGAGAAAACACGGGGCAGAGAAGTACTTGTGTGTCCGCTATGGGCTCAGTAATCTGGGTCTCCCCAGAGGGCTTCCTATCTTCGACCTCAGGAGATTTCGCTTCCGGGAAGACGGGCAGGGGACGAGAGACCTCGCTGTAATACGAAAGTAGGCCCCTCGGTAATCAGTTTGACGGCTACGGCCAACAAGATGGAGAGCCGAATGCACCATAGGGCCTTCGAGGGATTTCTAATATTGCCTGCCGCTCGAATGGGGAACCAGTCCAGCATGCTCGGTAGCCCATTGTGGTGTAAAGACGATACACCCTTGCGCTCAGCTCCCCTCATGGTTACACGCCGCTTTTCCAGTCAGTTCTAGTCACAGCGGATGGCTCTCTGTAACAATCTCACTATCAAAAGACGCTCTTAAAGTTTGGTTTTCCTTTCCATTTCTCTTCGTCAGCGACAACAACTCACAAACAAGCCTGTAAATTAATGAGCAACGTACCGTTACCGCAGCGAAACCGCCCGCGCAAGGCATTGCCCCTGATTAATTAAGGTTCAGAGCTGAGCTGTGATCATCAAACAAGGTTCATCCCTTCCGAGGGTTAAGCCACAGTTGTGGAGGTCGCCACAACAAAGGTGCCACAGTCGATCGACGACATGCCTTGGACTCACGGTTCGCAATGGAGGCGCCTGATTCAACTGGTTCCCAAACGTCTTCGCCTGTATCAGCAGATCTGTGTAAAGACTGGCTGGTAAGTCCGGAACCGGTAGAAAACACGCGCTAAGCCAAACAACGCCCCCGCACTTTTTGCATTATGAAAGGTGTAGATGGAGCTCTCACACAGAATTACAATCAGATTAGGTACGGTGAGAACCAATGTCCAGATAGCCATATATGAGTATCGATTGCCATAGCCTCTACGCGCCCATTACCCAAGTAATATGAACAACCCTTTCTCAACCTTCAAGAGCCGAACCCAGATAAGCCTGATAACCAGGAGAAAATGCTTCAGAGTCGTATCACCCGCATAACGAGATCATCTTGATTCGGCTTATTGCTGGTACTGTGGCCTCATGGGGGGGTAGCCTGCAATCATGGCCATACCGGGGCGCATGGCAGCCGGCCCAGATCCAGGCCCGGGACTTTGCACCCTGTTGAAGAGTCCAATCAACCTCCTCCCAACCGATGGCTCCAGCTCCGTACCGTCTCTTGCAATCTTGACTTCCCGGTTCGAGTTCCAGGGGTTTCTCAGCCCTCTGGTTCGGTAGAAGGGCAGGCGTGCGGTCGACAGCCATTCGAGCTTGAACGGCTTACCCCAAGCCTTCGTGGTGCCATCCACTTCCTGGTTCCCGCTCTTCCGGCTGCTCACGTCGCTCTGGTCCACTTCGTTCTCCTCCTCTTCATCCCCGCTGTCTCCCTCCTCGCGTTCTGCTTCCCAGAAGATTGTTCCTCTCGACGAATCGTCGATAATTCTGCCCTTGGGTGCAAATTCCGTGGGTTCAGTTGGGATCGCCTTGGGCAAATCAACATCGTCCACAGAATGTGCCTTAGGAGCAAACTCGATCGCGGCATCCGGGTCTTCGTTGATCTGAGAAGTCATTCTTGCATATCCAAAGTATTCTCCCGATTTATTCGCAGAAAAGACAAGATACACGTTATCAACCGCCTAGACATGTTAGCGAATGCTCCGGATTGGAAGGAAACAGCACGCTTACATTGAAGGCAGAATTGAGAGTTTCTTCGTTGTGAGACTGGGTTGCCCAAATGCCTGTTCTGACACTGAGCTCCAAATCCTCCACTGTCAAACTCTTCAGGATGAAAAATTTGTCCTTCTGGGATGCCGTCTCTACGGCGGTGGTAACTGTTTTGGCCTCGTTCGTTTCGGACGTTGCCTCTTCTGACGCGTTCTCCTTGTCTGCAAGCTGCGGTGTGGCATCGTGAGGAGTTTGCGACCCAGACGATGCTGCTGGACCAGTAGGTGCCGTAACACCAGTTGCGCCTTCGACGGTGCTCTTGCGCAGGCGGCTGACTAGACGTACGGACTGGAACTTGGAGTCGTGTAGTTTCTGCTGGGCCGTCATACAAGTGTGCTCGTCTTTGAAGTTTGCGAACGCGCAGTTGCTCTTCGATATCAGGAATAGGGACTCGAGGCCGTTCGCTTCCTTGCACACATGGTGAACTAGGTGCATCAAGTCGGTCTGGGGTGGGAGGTTTCCGATCCAAATCGCGTGGCCTATTTCTATTAACGACTTGTATCCAAAGAAGCCGCGGCTCGCTTACCACTTTGACGCGGCTTTCGCGGCGGCCCTCGAACGATACCGGACCGGCCGTCATCCGTTTCTATACTTTCGGTCAGCAACAACTTGCCTTTCAGTACCCATGTCTCACGAACATACCGCTGGGCTTGTGGCTTGAAGGAACATGTGCGCTATTGGGATCAACCCCGTTCGAAACTTGCGGCATGCCTCTTGGGTCACTATGTGCCATATTCCCTCCCATGTACTGCGCGGACACCATTGAGTTCGGGATGGCTTGACCCTGAGCATAGTGACCGGCCGGAGAATAGTAGTATCCTTGGGATATGTGACCGCTTTGCGGGTGGTTCATAATCATCTGGTTCGGGTAGTATCCCATGTTCGGTCGAGTTGGTTGCTGGCTCGGGGAAAGCTGGTTGACATAGTAGTGCTGCATATGCGGATGTTGTGGCATGTAGTAGTGCGGATTCCCCATGGGCATCGCGGCTTGGCCAGAGTACTGGGGAGCCATCTGAGGCATCTGCGGCATCATAGACGGCGAGGATGTTGCGGGGCTGAACCGCTGCTGCTGATGCTGCTGTTGGCCGCCGGGCGCGTAGAGATTGTGTCTCATGGCAGCCTGTGGCAGCGCGTTCGCCATACCGTTCATGCTGAAGGCGCCGGGGCGGCCGGCTGCGGGTTGCTGTGCCATGTCCAGCTGGGAGGAGAAGGCATGCTGCTGTGGGGGGGCGTACTGCTGGTGCTGCGGATAGGGGATAGCTTGAGCCTCCATCCCTGGTTTTTCGTCAAGGTAAAGCGACGAGACACCTACAGCGTTCGGAACTTGATGAGAATCCACGATAGGATACTCGGGAGCGCCGGAGGGGGATTGAACATCTCCCATTGGTAACGTGGTGAAGTGACCTTGGGTCGGAGTTTATGCCGTCCACAAACTGTCAAAGAGGAGTTAGCAAGGAAAGCTTCTGAAACCGGTGGTCGGGATCAACGGCAGCAGAAACGGGCCCGTCTGTTTGTTTATACCTTTGGCGAAGCACTAGTCCAAGCCTCAAGAGTTCTGAATTGACAAGTTCCAGCAGAGCAAGCCCGGACGGCAAGAGAATGACGGATGGAGTAGAATATGGCGGGTGTGTGATTCTAGGCGCCACACACAGAGAGATTGAGCTATTTGCTGCGCAGGATCGAATGCCCACGTTGTGGACAATGTGGCTAGTTTGCACAGCCTTTGGAAAGGGGGGTTCCTCTGGCAAGTCACACTTCCGAGCGCCCCAGGGTATATGTGGCAGCTAACCCTGCTCTGATGAAGACTGCAATGCGTGTGCTCAATGAAATTCCTGGAAGGCGATCAGCTCGTCTGGGCGTCCAATACGAATGCAGAGAAGAGCCCGAAGCAGGGGAGCGTAGCCTCTCTAGTACCGGGGTGAAGGGGGACCTGCCAAAGAGGACGGGACGAAGGGACGAGACGCGAGGGGCCAGATTAGGGAACTCCAGGCATGCACATCGTGTGGAGAGGCGCGGCTTCAGTGTGGTACAGTTGCCACTAAAGGAGGGCTGTCTCTTACCTGAAGTTCGGGGACCGAGGCAGGGGTTGCTCCTCCAGGCTGCCAAAGAGGACTGGAAGGTCTAGACTTTGCGGAACGCTAATCAGACGCAGCCAAAACGATCGAGAAGTAGAAGATTCTTGAGTAAGATGAAGGATGCTAGCTGGACGCTTTTCCGAGTGTTGTTCAAAGCAAGGGCAGATGAGGCAACGAGAGGCCAAGAAAGAAAGAATAGCGACGCCAGAGCAGATCGAGTGAAGAAACTCCGCCGGTGGAGTGACAAGTTGGCTTAAGCGAGTGAGCGCTCGGCGAAGGCTCCTGGTATGATCCGTTAGAGTTGCTGCTGCTGCTGCTGCTGCCGCCGCGTGTTTGAGTGACCAAGGCAACACAAAGATCTTGTTTGGTCGTCGAACGTCCAATGATACTTATGGGGGAGGAAGAGAAAGACCCAACATGAGACCCGGAAAGCAGAGAGAGGATGGGACAAAACCACAGGGCAGAGAAAATATCGAGTCGCCGGTAGAACGGTGGCCAAATTCCCAAGGAGAGGAAAGTCTTACGAAGGCGAGTATGGGTCCTCCGGAAAGCCCAGTCTATTCCTGAGCAATACCGGGGCTCTGGGCAAGAGACGACGACAACGACGGGGTTCTGATGTGGTCGAGAGTACCGTTCAAGTATTTGTGGGATGCTCAGAGGGAAGACTGCACGGACTAGTGCCAATGTCGAAGCCGGAGGAGCTGCCAAAGGAAAAGCAGAGGCGAGCCCCGAGGAACTGGCAGTTGGTCGTGTTGAGAACAAGTCTGGCATGCAGGTGCTAAACGGTCGGATACTCTGCTCTGTGTCCAGTGTTACAGTGGGATACCTACGCCGTCTGAGAAAGAGGCGAGTATATGGTAGGCAGCGTAGAATACTGGCCTAGGCACACCGAGCTGTTGGAAGAGAAAAGACAAGACGATACGGGACTGGGGTGACTGGCAAGGCGAGATGGGAACGGCCGGGCCAGGCGATGGGTTAAGTGGCGTTCAGGAAGGCGTGGGCTTAGAAGGTCCGAGGTGTAAGTGTGGAAAGTCAGCACGGAAACGAAAACCCTGCAGCCGAAGAGCTTCTTGGTCAGTTTGGGCAAGGGATGTACAGTAGGCAGCCCAGTTCAGCCCAGATGAAATGGGGTCCAGGGACGGCTGGAAGAAGGAGGGGGGGTGATGGTAGAAGAGGCGGGCTTGGGGACCAGCGGGTAAGGGGACACCCTGGACGTGGGAACGAACTGATGTGCATGGCCGGGTACCCGTCCTGGAACATACAGCAACAAATTGGATGAAGAAAGGATGGGATTTTTTTTTTCTTCGATTCTTGGCTGCCGCTCCGGGATGTGTAAGGGACGGATGGCCCTCGCACTTGTCCGGGCTACGGGGCAAATTCCTCGAGGCAGCCTGGGTCTTGGGAAACAAGGATGGAAGAACAAATGTACAGTATAGATGAATACATGCAATCGGACGATGTGTACAGTAGGTACTTTAGGTAGAGAAGAGGTTGTTGTAAGAAGACAGCATCAAGAAGTGTGAAGGCATCTGTGGGCAAGGAAGCCCATCCCTCGCCCCTCCCCTTCTCAGCTTTCGTGGCCAGGACGAGTTGAACAGAGGAAAAAAAGTGAGACGACGTAGAGGCCAGTAGACTGAGCGAGTGGAGGACCATTTGCCACTTGACCCGCTGGACCGTTCCCACCGTCAGGATGGAGGCATCCCGGTTGGGGTATGAGTGTGTGTGTGTGTTCTACACTACCTCCTTCTGGTGCTCGACTCTGTGTCCAAGCGAAAGCCAAAGTGCGAGAGACGAGACATGGGCCGCGCTTGACCACTCGTTCGATCTGGCTCCGTCTTGTTAGTTCCGTGTTCTGGCCCGGCCCCGGCGCCCAGCCACATCGGTCTTGGGGTTCATCTCCAATCAACCCGACTCGCCTTCGGTACGTATCTACTGTTCAAGGGTTAGGTAGGTACTTCTCGTGGTACGTATTACCTAAGTAGGTGCTTGGCCTTCGCAGGCAACGGTACCCACAAGGCTTCCCTCCATGTTGTGTATCACTGCCATTAGAACCTTGCCCTTATTCTCTCTGTTGTCATTATTACTGTTATTTCCGTGTTGCTTGACGAAAGGATCGCCACCCTCAGCTCACCAACGCCTTGTCCAGCGGACGAATGCCGGGAACTGTGGGCGCAGCAAGGAACGTGTGGGTACACTGTGATGTACAGTACGCCCAACGCCAGACTCCGAGACCCTTCAACGGATCATCGTTTGCCTTTCTCATTGCTTTTTCTCATTGCTTTTCGATTGGGCTTTAGGGTACTGACGTACAGCTGCATCGCATGACCCTGAGGCACGGCAGTGCTGGCCAAAAGCAAGTATTGAGCAGCAGCTGCAGGCCTGGCGGCACAGACAGCCCTTCTCCCCTTGGGTCGAGCAACCTGTAGGCTCTCGTGATCCGGACCTCGTGTGGGCTTGACATTACCTTATAATCAATATGCCAGGTTTAGCCTCGTGTTATGTGTCGGACTAGCTAGGGACTCTGGGGGAGGCTATACGCTTCCAAAGCCAACCATTACAATGAAGCAATGTCTTACCCGGCGGTCGCTGGAAGGGGTCGTTGAATGCTATGTCGTTGGCAGAGTGAGTGTACGAACGCTCAAGTCGGCAGCAAAGCTTGTCACTCTGGCTACGCCAAGTTGGGTGTGTGGGAAGACCCATGTCTCTCTTTTTCATCCACTAATACGACACAGTCGTCACGATAATTTTAAATAAGGGCTGGGCACGCCCACTCGATTGCTCGCTGCGCTCTTTAGGCCCCCTTGAAGTCATGACGTGTTGGAAAGTGCCAGTCCGACCGGGCGGGGATGACTGACTGGTTGGCGACTATTCCGGGTTGACGCTCGCCAAAGCCCTTTCGTCCACCGACTCAAATGCACCAGGAAGCTGGCCAAGCGCCCAGCGGCGCGAAAATCTTTACCCCTTACCAGCCAAGATTGCCGACGGGTGCTAGTGGACCAACAGAACAACATGGGTGCGCACCAGAGGAGAGGGCGGAGTCTGGGTTTCAATACTTGTCGCAGCCCATCTTGCTGTACCGTTAATGTGCATCATCCGAAGAAGGTCCAATGCCAACTATCCTCCACTAGACGGATACTCCCAGGACTGCGGTCACGTCTGAAGTCATATAGAGATTCACTTTGCAGCGCGGCCTGGACTGGCAGTCAGCCGCATGTGCGAAGGCGAGCTAGGTATGTATCCGTGTTGTGCGGGGAGCCCGATGGTCTACTCATCTCCCCTAACCCAGAGCCGCCTGTGTAGTGTAGGCAGCATAGGTACCTGGGAAATCTCTGGACAACAGACCACAAGCGGCCCCCAAAGAATGTTTCTTGCGCGCGCACAACACCAATTTGGAAAGTGTTGCGGGTCCCGTCGAAGTGGTAGGTAGTAGTATATACTACCGTAGGAGCAGCCAGTCAGCAAAGAACGAATGGATCATGAGGCGATTATGAGCAAAAACATGTTGTTAAGGTCGAGAATCCCAACAAGAGGCGGTTGCAGTCCATGTGGTTAGTGTACACTACTTCGTACCTAGTATGCGGGCGTGCATCCGCAGGTAGAGGGAGGCCGGGGGAATTGGGGCCGAGGCGAAGCGTTGGAGTTAGAGGAGAGGACGAATCGTACGGAGGGCGCAAGAAACCAACTGAGATGGAAATGTTAGATATCACGCTGCGTCGGGGGGTAGTGCGTGCGACATGGATTGACTCGAGGACGGGAAGACGCAGGGAGGAAATGGGGTTGCGGACAGGGGGCGGCGATTCCTCCGCCGACCAGTCAGTGGACGCACGATTCAATCGCGACTGCAGCGTGGGGCGGGCGGGCGGGCCACTATCTAGATTGTTCACCATCACTCGTCAGCACCCATCGTTCCTGTCCTGTCCTGTCGCTGGTCGGAGACGCGGACCAGGAAAATGGGCGGGTAAGAAAGTTGGGCGTGGGCCGACGCCGGACACCATAAGCGTATCTGTCTTCCACAGTGGGTAACCGGACCGGCCTGACTGACAGGGTACACTACCTACACGGTTCCACGCATCGATGCCTCTCTCAAACTGTTGTCTCCAACCGGCAGGCGATAAGTTCACTTAAGTGCCTAGATAGGTATCGGGCATGATGCTCATACTGTGTTTATTTGACTGTGTTAGCGTGTCATTGTGGATACCTGTGCGACCTTGAGAGGTCCCCGTCCTTATGCCTGAACCCTCCTCCCCCTCCTCAATCCCCCGAAAATCTCTTGTACTATGTAGCCACACATGGTTCCAACCTGGGCGCACCAAATTTTTACGACGTGTCCAACATGGGATTCTCCAAACTTTTCGATTCCCCCCCCTCTTGCAAACCCCACTTACGTGGCGGATCCCTGTGCTGAGTCTTGGACAACCCTTGCCTTGATTTATCCTGGTCGCTTCCTTCGCGCCTCGCTGGCGAGTCCTGGCCTCGAAATAGCATTTCTTATCCCACAAGCACACCGAATGCTCGTGGCAAAAGGATCATCACTGGCCCCAAGAAGCTTCTTCCTCGCATCCGATTGTCCAATCAATTGGTTTCGTCCCGACTCTTCATACACAAGTACCACAGCATTTCAGGATTCAAACACCGACGACCGAGCTCTGCATCTGACAGAAGACCCTTATCCATCATTGTTCCATTACAAGCTTCGGGTTTAGGTAATCAGCCGTGCTGCCTCTGATGCAGTACGTATCTACGTACAGATACCTACGTAGTAGGTAGGTAGGTAGGTACCTACCTATGTACCTACCAACATGCATTAGCCGGATCTTTTGCTCCGGATCAAGTACCTATGTACATACAAGTGCGCTTCTCTCATTTTTTACACCTCGGGCAGCTGTCCTGGAATACAACCATTAAACTGGAAGGTTGGGCTGAAGGCTTTGCCCCGGACGCCTGGGAACATGTATCCATCTCCGGGGCAGCCAGGTCAAGAATCCCGAGCCGCCGTTCGATACGTACAGGTACATTCTTCCGTACCTAGGTAGTGTATGTAGGGGCGGCCGAGGGTAGCGGCCTGTCGGCCGATATGCTTGCCTCATTGTGTCTGTCCCTGTGCGACCTCAAGAGGCACCCGGGTGACAAAAAAGATGGCCGCCTTTCCTTACCATTACTACATGGCAACCGGCCATCTTTTTTGTCGCCCGGGTGCAGAGGGACCGCCTTGCAGATGTCCCTAATTCGACATGCTCGCCACAGGCAACCAGGGGCACGCTCACTACAGCTGACCGACGCAGATCTTTAACCCTATCGGCACCGCGATCGTCGTCGCATCCTCCTACAGTCGTCACAACTTCCACATCATGATCTAGAGTGAGATCATCAAGACCCTTTTGAAGCAAACCCAGGGTCAATGAAGAGAGCAACGACCCTGCGCGGTTCAATCCAGGTTGCCAAGATAGGCAGTTGCAATGTAACCCTGGTAGATGGTGTTGACCCATGTTGCGGAGGTCACCGAGTCTACCCGGCCGGCAGGCAGAGCAGATTCTAGTGTGTATAGTGCGTGCACATTGCTATAACCACCGTGCCACATCCTCTTTCGATCCATTCTCGGGCATCTGATGGTTCCCAGCCGCGACGGAAACACCATATACTAACTAGTATTACCTAATCGCCTTGTCTAATTCAGATTCACGAAGATTGAGTAGTAGCATGCATAGCGTTCATAAGTATCCTTTCAGGGTCGGCGACTATTATGTATAATACGCTACCAAGGTAAACTACCTCGTTGTCACCCTCAATCCCTTGAGCCGAGCAACCCCGCCCCTGGTAGTTTATTCTTAGCGAGTTGGTGCGCTAGGCAATACTTGATGCCACACTCAAATGCAATGGCCAGCAACCATAGCTTACAGGCAGGCCTGTGACGTCGAATTGACGTCTGGTTCGAGGAAAATCCGCTGGCAAGTCTGGCTTGCTCCCTTGTCGTCGAAACATCGCTTGGTCGCGAGCCGGGCCCCATTCTGCCTAGTACACCAAACCCGCACGACTGCGAACGCTAGGGCTCCAGGGTGGCCGTCCAAGCAAGAGGCAGAGAGGTCATGGGAGTTGGCAAGTTCCGTGCATCGAGTCGATACCCCAGCCCCTTGTCGGCCGTGCACCACGGTGGCAACATATCAAAGTGTCGCTCTCCAAGAGCCCTACGCAATATCAGTCGCCAGGCTTTCCATGTCTGGAGACCTTGCACCATGGGATTTGCATGTCCGATCAGTACTGACGGGTACGGCACCAATCCATGCATGCATGTACTTCCAGCGGCATGTAAACCAACCATCAAACCATATGAGAAGTGCCCCTCAGCCACGTCTAGCCCGAGATGCGCAACGATTGTCTGCAAATCTCAACCCCTGGGGCATACGTAACTCTTGAAAGCACATCCGCTAACCTGCTGGTATTTGGTGTAGCCCAACAATCTTGACATGGCCGTCATGTCGGCTTCATCCCCGTTTTCGAGAGGGCTCAAATGGGACACATTGGAACGAACTCCTATACCGGTAGTGTAGGACCCTTGGGCCACCAACAACATAACTGGGCTTGCCAGGGTTCAGCTCTTCAGGCCCCCCCCTACCATCGAGCGTGTACATACACTCATACACTCGCTAGCTTTTCGGTAGTCTCTCTCTCTCTGCATTCGGGGTACGCCACCGGTGGCAAACAGACCACCTGTTTCATTCGTTGCCGAGATATTCGGCGGTGTTGTGGCTTGGTGGGGGTTCGGAGAGTAAGCTTTGACGATGATCATATCTCGAAACTTACTGGCGCACCGCGACGTCGCATTTTATGAGGACAAGCTTATGCGAGCTTTCCAAACAAGCTCTTCCGGCTGAGGCTGTTACTTACCTCTCTTCGCCTCTGGGACTCGTGAGTGCGTGCAACAATTTTGGTGGCACGAATGGATAGCTGTTGGATCGTGCAACTGTGGCAATGGCAGCCTTCACCAGCTGTTCCGGAAGGCCTTCCCGATGACCATGTTGCCGTGTTAGTGCTTGTCTCGTATACGGATAGACGCGCAGGTCATCGTCCATGCTGCCAATGACACCAAAGATCGCCCTGGGAGACGGAAGCTCCGTCAGTGGTTTGTGGCCCGCAACAGCCCCTCCATCTCCGACATGTTCTTGGCCTAGCTCCCTCGGTCAAGTCTGCAGGGTGAAGACACATGCACGCGGCAGGCACGCCACTCCGAAAAAATGTCATTACAAGTTGGTTGCTGCTACTGACGATCTAATGGACTCTTGCCAGACCCGAGCCCGAAATATCGGTTGCGCGGCTTGATGCAGAGGATCATCAACGGCAATGCCCATTCGTTTACGAGACGAACAAACCCGTGCCATGCGACACGCTGATCCGGGCCAACCCGTGGTCTGACAAGGAAGGCGGGCCGACACTGAGAAGCGTCCTGGCTGTCAGATTGTCCAGCATCACCTGCGGCCCTAACATGGTTCTGCACCCCCGTGACGGCCAAAGGGGAGACCCCCGTCCGTTACGGCAACTTCGTCGCCAGAAGTGAACGGGGTGATGCGAAAACGACGCGTAGCAGCATCTAAACGGGCAGGCTTTTGCCTCATCGCGCTTCTCGACCGTGGTTATTGATCATACCTTACATTGAGGGGCCTTCTAACTCACCCGGTGTCAAGTGCCCCCCCCGGGAATGATAACTAGCCACCCGTTCTGCACAACGCACTTATATTCGTCTCTACATTGCTGGTTCATACGTCGAGGTTCGGTATGCTTCGCGAAATATACAAAGGGCGGTTGGAATGATGCCGTTCACCGATGCGCCGTGCAAGCTGTATGCGGTCGTTTCCAGCGGCCTACCTTGCATGGATGCATGCATGTCATTTGGAAGCCCATCGGGGTGAGCGCTAACCACTCATCATAGCCTCTGGATAACACTGCTGCCTTTAAATATTAGGTGGTGTTCCGGTATCACATCATGGCCGGAGATTGGGTTGCCGTCTTGCAGCATTAATAAAAACATGAGGCCGGGGCGATGGCGAAGGATCAGATGAACAGCTGCCTCGTTGAAATTGCTACATGCCCGGTAATGTACAACATGCTCATCCTAATCATGAGACTGCCCGGCGACCTTCTAATCCTTCTTCAATGGGAGAAGAACCTCCTCGATACCATTCTTAGTAATGACCATCATCTGCAGATGGTCACCGACTTCGATATGTCTCTCGACCGCTCCGTCAAACGCATCCTTGACAAGGATCTCAGCCTCCTTGCGCTCCAAGGGAACACGGGGGCGTTCCTGCAGCTCGTGTCCGACGCCGCTACCCGGCACATGCTGGTTCTTGAAGTTGACCTGGTTGTCGAGGAACGGTGTGATGAGACTGGCGGCGGCACCGCCTGCTCGGGATTGCTCCCTCTCATAGCTGCCGACTGGGTCGTAGGAGAAGACGGCACCAACACCCTCCTCGTCGAGACCTCCAAGAATGGCATAGACATAGTAGGGGAAAAAGCGCTTTTGGTAAAGGATAGTGGAGAGGCGCTTCGCGCAGGCGGTGACGCTCATGGGCTTGCCATGGCGGTAGCGATAGATCTTGCAGATGGTATCGAGGCGGTCCTTGAGGGCCTCGCCGTCGGCGGCAAAGCCAACCACAGAGAGCAGAATCGTCGCGTCTTCTTGTGTTGAAGTGGTGCCGCCGATCTTGAAGACCTTGGGGGTGTATCTGGAGTTGATGCTGTAGCCCGAGGTGCTACGAGTGTCGCCGGCCATGATGGCGAAGTCGGCGCCGGCGATGGCCAGAGTCGAGCCGCCATTGTCAGTGTAGCTATGTTAGATATCAGGTTAGCTGAAGAATACCGCGAGAGGGCCACTCGATGGGAGGAGAGCTTCGTACGGGTTGAAGCGGTGCTGTCTGAACTCGCCGTTGGCCTTCCTGGGGGCCTCGGAGAAGGAGTAGTTGGGCCCGTTCATCAGGGGATTTTGGCTGAACATAGCCATGGCTGCGGCTTATCTGTCAAGAGAAGGGGAAAAAAAGATTATTCGTAACAGATCGTGAGGGACAATGACGGTCGTCTATGATGTTCTCGTGAGACTATGGGTTTCGTTCGTGGTGGGGTTTGGAGGACGTTGTTGCTGTGATGGGGTTTCGAGGCTGCCGACCGGTGAGATTGAGAGGTCCCGATTGCGTCGGAGCACGCGTCAAGCTGGCAGCCTTGCTGAGCTAGGTGGGATGGGCAAGGGTAGCTAACCGGGCTGATGACTAAGGCGATTGACAGTTGAGGAAAGGGGAGGTGCGTGCAGGGGTGTTGTTGCTTTTAGATGGGAAATTCGTAGGGGGCTAAAAGGAAGTACGGGGGAAGGAAGGGATCCTATCGTCACTGCGTAGCCCCCAGCCAACACAGCCGCGAAGTCCAATTAAAGCTATCCCAATCTGCCAAATACTGCAATAGAATCGCAAAAGTTTACCAAAAACAATCTGGATCATTCACCATACCATACGTCTAGTGTTGCCGGGGCTCAGGGCCCTCTTTGCACTCTCCCAACATGACCCGCGACATTCGGCAGCGGGCGCTGGAGAAGATCGCGTCTCTCTCCGCGACCAGCTCCCAAACGTCCTTCGATCGCTCTGATCTCGACCGGTTGTGCAAGGCTACCCAGGCCGCTGGGAAGGGCGTCAACGGCTACTCGCCTAAGCAGCCGTCTTCGTCTCTTGGGAGATGCCCCATGGTACCGTTCCTCCATTATCGGTTGCCCATTACCGGCGTTTCCATGCGTCCGTTGGCATCGAGAGCCCTGGCTAACGAGCTTCTGAACACCGTAGACAATACGCGAATTTGAGGTTTTACTGTCGCTATGCAAAGCCGCGCCCGCTATCCAGACGAGCCAAAGCGCCCAGAAGCTCGCTCACCAGCTGATTCCCTACATCCTCGAGGCGCACATCCAAGTGTTTGTCCCATCACCCTTCTTCAGAAAGGTGGAGCCTTCGCCAACCGAGGCGTTGGCATTCCACGTCACGGCCGCGCTGCTATCCCTTGCCTCACAATACGATAATTTGCACGAGGTCGTTTCGGACAACATTTGGACCTTCATCAATGCTTGCAACCATGCGGCAGACCATACAGTTCCTCCTCATGCGGACGACGAGGACCCGAACCTCGAAGACGCCATCAGGACGGCCACCATTGCTGTCTCCCTGCTCGGTTTCCTTGACGCGGCGTCAGCGCAGGCGGACTTCTGGAAGGCAGGAGGCCGGATGGCTTTGCTACAACGCTTCAGGGATATCCTTTCGGAGCCGTTCTTGATTGCGGTGGAGACGGCCTTCTCTACTATCAGGAACTCACAATCCTCGGACCGTCACGCACGAGAGTGGAAGAGATATCTGCGTCACTATTCAGCTGCTGGACGACCGCTCGGAGCCATTCTGCTGCAGAGAAGCTACATGTGGCTTCTTGTTGCCGGCACGTCACTGTTGGTGACTGACGCTTCGCTTTTGCGCGGGACTCACATCCTCGACTTGCTTATGTCAGGGGATGGGGCTTTCAGGCCAGGCTCCCCACGCAGCCCCGATGCTGATTATCGGTCTCTCGACTTATACACCACTATGGCTGTTGACCAGATGAACTACCTGGAGGCTGGCGAGGATTACCTCAAACTCGGGTCTGCGTCGCAGCAGAGATTGGCCTTTGCTGTCAAGTCGGCAGCTCTAATAAGCTACCTCAACTGTTCGCTCATGAATGAGGAGGTGGCAGACATCGACGTGCTCATTACCTGGTTGGAGGAGACTCTTGCGGACCCCCTTCAGATGGCAGACGAGAACCTGGCGGCAACAGTCCTGAGGTCGATTGCGTTAGTTTGCAAGATCTCTAGAGGATACGCTGCAACTGCTAGTCGCCTTCTGCCTCGCTTCATTGTACAAAGCGTACCGAACACTCGCACGGTTGCGGTTGCGTCCAAGAGTCTCGCGTATGTGCTGCAGATGCTTTCTCACGATGCTGTGATCACTACTCTTTATACCCTTGGCAACGTCCTTAGCCCTGGCTCTGATAGATCCATGACGAACGGAACTAACGGTGACCTTGGCGCGGACGGTGCCAATGCTCTCTATTCCAACCGCCAGTCTACTGGCAGCAGCATCTCTTTAGCTATCACGGGCGAGGAAGAAACGGCCATGGTGTACGGCAATGTTGTTCAGGCCATCTGCGGTGTTGCGGCCGCTTGCAATGACGAGAAAATCACTGCCTTGGCGCAGTCCATGTTGCTGCAAAAGATCGACAAAGTCAACAGTAATGTTGACGCTCAGATCATTAGCGGTGCTGCCGCACTTGCTTTAAAGGGCGGGCAGCTTGAGTTCCGGTCTCTTCTCAAGGTGTTTTCCAGAGTTTGCCATCTTGGAGTTGTCGGCCACAAGGACTCGCTTTTGGTCGCTGTAGGGTTCTCCCAGCTGCCAGGTACAACATAGGGGATGCTAACACCCAGCAGGTAATGAAGGCACGAACACATATATCGGCAAACCTCCGTCGCGGATCGCCCCTTTATGAGATATACTGGGAGCATCTGCTTGAGAGCATCATCTCCATGGGTGATGTCCATCAGTCAAACCACACCAAGGAAGCAGACGTCCAACTGGCTGCGAGTGAGATCGCCGAGTTGCTGCATCCCATGGCTGTCTTCATGTCGACCAACGACTTGGCATTCAATTCAGTGACTGATGATGAGTCGCACTCCATGATTAGAGACGCCTGGTTCAACATTGTTGTTCATGGTTTTGCCACACAGACTGACATGGGCAAGAAATACCTTGACGAGCTTCGGATCATGGCTGTGCACTCACCTCCTTTGGTCGCAGAACAGCGGGGTGAGCAGATTGAGAGTGACATCGAGCTGAACACCGTGCTGCGTCGAGGCATGTCTTCCGATCGAGAGTCGATGCAGAAGAAGCATCTCACCGAGTTGATTCCCAACAAGGCCACAGAGATCAAGGGGTTGAGCTACCGCAAGGTCATCTTTTTGCATGCTGCTTATCTAGTCGAGAGCTTGCGCGCCGATGCTGGTGATTGCACCAAGGCGCTCTCCTACTTTTTGGAGCCCAGCATGCGTAAAGGAGAAGTCAGCAGTATTATGGAGGGTATTGCCGCCGCAGTGGTAAACAAGTATTTGCGCAAGACCTTGGGCGGTACAGATGCTACTTTTTCCGCACAGTACGCTGCGAGTCAGCTCGTCGCCATCTTCTGCGGCTGTTGTCACCGAATCGAGCGCGTCCAGCAAGCTGCCTTTACGTGTGCCGACCGTATCATTAGTCAGGTTCCCTCTGCTCTGTGCCACCGGTCCTCGCTCTTTGCTCTGTTAGAGCTCTTATCTCTGATGTGGTCGAGTTGCCTGGAAGCAGAGACTGATCTCTATGCACCTCGATCAAAGTTCACTTCTGCGCTCGGAGATGTTTCTGTCGAACTTTCTGACGACTACAACTTTCGTCGTCATACCTTGGAGGTCCTCAACCGTAGGGCCAAGCAATGGGTCTCCAGTGCGATTAGTCTGGCGCCCTCGGACATCAAGGGTCTTCTTCAGACGTACTTGTCCGAGTTTGACGACGAAGGAGCTTACGGACATCTCTCCCTGGGCCGCTCTTTTGCCATTGAGCTTGGCTCTCTCATGTCCTCCACCGACCAGAGATTACAGTCTCTAGACCAAGTCGGTGACTGCAGCATCAACACCGGCTCTGACTTTATTGCTCAATACACGACTCGCCAAGAGTACCGATACGGCGAGACCCTCCCCGAACGCGGCAACGAACTGGTGAACTTCATGCAGCTGAACCGTAGAGCGTCGTTCGTTAAGTCGTCAACCTCGATCGCTAGCGACAGCGCCAACGCGGCCACCGCTCTGGCACATGTTGAGGCCCGCATTAAAAGCAAGAAGATGACAGCTCTCGCCGAGGTTCGCGAAATCCTACGCCGAGCAGCAGCCCTGCTGTGTCGCAGCGACCGGGACGAGTCTGCCGTCGCACACTACCTAGTCTCCATTCCATTCGCCATGTTTACGAAGCAGTCCATCAAGCTGGGCGTCTCCTTGTGGCTGGGTGTGATGAACGAGAACCCACGCCTTGAGCCGAGGCTTCTCACCGAAATTGCTCAGCAGTGGGAAGTGTCCATTCAGAATGGCCTGGGGCTGTTCAGCAATGCCATGTCGTGAGTTATTTTTGAACCTTGGCCCGAGCCAGCTAACAAACATGCAGACACAACGATCCCTTCTTTCTGAAGATGGAGTTCGCACCGAGTGACCTCGAGGCTTTAGCCAAGCGCAAGCAGCAGGTGCACAACCTGCTGTCGCCACACACACGGTTGCTGCAGTTCTTTGCAAGTCACTTCAACGCCACTCGCTTGGGCAGTCCGGATGTTCAGCGGATCTTCCTGCGCATGCTCGATGTCACATTGGACGCTGTGCGCTTATCGACATCGCACCCGATGGCACGAGAACTGCGGTTTCAGATCGTGTTGTTTGGGCTGAAGGTGCTGCATGTGTGTACGACCATTGGCGCCATCGCGCAATGGCGATTCAAGGAGAAGATTCTATCGGCTGCGCTCAGCTGGTTCCGATTCGCACCAAGATGGTCCTTTGGTAGCAACATCTTGCAGCTGAAGACGGAAATCCGCCTGCTGAACGATGTCGTGGCTGCACTGAAGAACGTTGCGTTCATTGGGGCCAACGCTGCGGATACGATCAAATCTTTACAGGCTAAGGAGCAGCTTCTTGTTCTCCTTTTAGAGAGCGAGCAGGCACGTCTATCGGTATGGGTCCACCCGCTCGGCGAGCAGTCCAAACCCCACGGACAGCCGAACAAGACTGCTATCGAGGTAAGTATTCAAACTGTTCTTTCAGATTTGTCACTCACGTTTGCAGGCCGCTCTTTCGCCTCTCATCCGAGTCGCCTGGGCCGAAGACCCGTCGATTGCCATTGAGCTCGTCACAAGGTTCCCGTATCCCCGAGTCCAACGTGAGGTGAGATGGTTGTTGATCAACTTCCCGCAAAAGGCCATTTCTGAGCCGCAGGGTCTGCCCATTCTCTTGGGTGGCTCTTTGCCCAATGACGTCAGCTTCCAGCTGAAGGTGAGTTACACTTGTGATTAACTACCGCCTGATACTGACCGCAGCAGTACCTGTTATTCTGGTCGCCTGTGAACCCTATTACGGCTGTCACGTACTTCCTGCCTGCCTACCGTAATCACCCATTCCTGATGCAGTACGCGATGAGAGCTCTGGAGAGCCACTCCAGCGATGTGACTTTCTTCTACGTCCCGCAAATCGTGCAGACGCTGCGGTATGACGCACTGGGCTATGTAGAGCGGTATATCCTAGAGACGGCTCAGTTCTCGCAGCTGTTCGCCCACCAAATCATTTGGAACATGAAGGCCAATGCCTACAAGGATGATGACGCAACCATCGTAAGTTCAGTGAAGCCCGTCTCCGAGTGTGACGCTAATGTGTGCCAGCCTGATGCCATCAAACCCACACTGGACAAGGTCATGGAGAAGATGATTGCAAGCTTTAGTGAGGTGGATAGGACCTTCTACGAACGCGAATTTGCCTTTTTTGACGAGGTCACGGATATCTCGGGTAAACTAAAGCCATACGTCGGTCGTTCTAAGCCGGAGAAGGCTCAGAAGATCGAGGAAGAACTCCGCAAGATCAAGGTGGAGATTGGTGTCTACCTGCCAAGTAACCCCGATGGCGTCGTAATCGGCATCGACCGCAAGTCCGGCAAGCCTTTGCAAAGTCACGCTAAGGCGCCATACATGGCTACATTCCGCATCAAGAAGAACAAGGGCAGCCTCGAGGATGTCAATGATATGCTCGAGGATGCGCACAAGAAGGATTCGCCGCCCATGCCAGAGAACACCATTGAGGTGTGGCAGTCGGCCATTTTCAAAGTAGGTGATGATTGCAGACAAGACGTGCTTGCCCTGCAGATGATTGCGGCATTCCGCGGCATCTTCCACAACGTCGGCCTGGACGTCTATGTCAACCCGTACCGCGTCACGGCCACCGCCCCCGGGTGTGGTGTCATTGACGTGCTGCCCAACTCGGTTTCGAGAGATATGTTAGGCCGTGAGGCCGTAAATGGCCTCTACGACTATTTCATTTCCAAATACGGCAACGAAGACTCGCTTCGCTTCCAGCAAGCACGCAGCAACTTCGTCAAGAGCATGGCGGCCTACTCCATCATCTCGTTCCTACTACAATTCAAGGACCGGCACAACGGCAACATCATGATCGACGACGCGGGCCACATTTTGCACATTGATTTCGGGTTCTGCTTTGACATCGCCCCTGGCGGCATCAAGTTCGAGCGCGCACCGTTCAAGCTGACGACGGAGATGCTGGCGGTCATGGGCGGCAACCCGCACCACCAGGCCTTCAAGTGGTTCGAGGAGCTCTGCGTCAAGGCATTCCTCGCGTCGCGGCAGCACTGCGAGAAGCTTAGCCAGATCGTACTCCTCATGATGGACTCAGGTCTGCCATGCTTTAAGCCCGAGAGCGTGCAACACTTCAAGGAGCGCTTTGTGCTGGAGCGTAGCGAGCGCGAGGCAGCAGACTTTGTCAAGGACCTCATCCGCAGGAGTGCCAACAGCTACTCGACCGGCGTGTACGATCAGTTCCAGCTCCTGACCAACGGTATTCCCTATTGATCCAGGCCCAAGGCTTGTTGATAGAATGAGGTGGTGGTTATGTTGGTCATTATTGTTTTCCGTTACTTGCTTTGGGTCGTTCCTTAGCTCTTGTTTTCGTCCACTTCCCCCCGCGGCTGTTGTATTTGCCACGGAGGATCATCCTTCATCCTTTTCTGATCGCGTTCGATATCGTACTATCTGCGCTGCCGCCACCCCGATGAAGACCGAGCAATTGACAAACACCCTTCACGAAAGCCGTCTTCTTCCCTCTTTTTCTCCCTCTCCTTTTTGATAGAGCAGAACCAATAATATGATTCCACGGATGGGAGAATTTATATACTCTTTCCCTCTCTTAGCTTGCGCCGTTTTTCTCTGCTGCCCTTTTGCCAACCCCTCGTCTCTTGTTGATTCATGCCTGAAACGTAGAGGGGGTTGATTGGCCGTTCTCGGGCAAAACAACGACAACGGGGAGAGACCCCGTCGATCTCCTCCTCCTGCCTCCCACTCTCAGCCAGCCACTCTGCATAAAGGAATCGGATACCCTGAAATTATTGGCTTAAAGAAAAAGAAAAGAAAAAAGATTTCGACTCCGGCCGTTGGAGGAATACTACAAGATCCACTCCGAAACGATGCTACCCTTTTTTTCTTCTTTTTTTTTTGTGAACCGCCCATGCCGTTTCCCACCCCCTTGTTTGTACATATCTTTTGTAACCCCCTGTTTCCATTCCCTTCCCGCTTCCGCGTCCCGTCCCGTCGCCCGCGCTTCTCCCCGCTTCGACATATCTACCTGTACAAATGCTCTCCCGTCACGGAAAAGAAAGGGGAAGAAGGAAATTATCACTGGGGCTTGGAATTTACAAGACCTGCGGTGGATTTCGCTGTGGTTAGAGCGACCGTCCAGGTCATCTGTGGTACCATGAGCTACGGATGATCGGGTCATTGGTTGATGTGCGTGTCGACGTTGTACGTCGCATAGTCGACATGCACAAAGGCGCGGTCGACAATGGGCACCGATTCGAGGAAGTAGGTCAAGACCTCACTCAGGTCGTGGCTGTCCTTGAGTGGCATATTGGCGTCGAGGACGATGTCGACCTCAACGAAGAGCTTGTCGCCCGCATGGTAGGCCCGGAGGTTCTGGATCTGCCTGATGGACGTGGCGAAGCGCATGGTGAGGTAGAGCACTGTTGCAGCATGGATTGTTAGTTACAGAGTCCCCTTGCTTAGCGTTACGAGCGGCATGTAGGAGTGTGGCCACAAGCCTCAGACGCGGCGAAGGTGGTGTCGTACGCGCGTTGGGTTGAGGATCAACCAAGAGCAAGGGCATGACACGGGTGCGGCATAACAGGGTCCAATTATAATAATTGTGGGGGAGAGGCGAAACGACAGGGGAAACAAAGTGGGAAACGAAAAGGAATAGATGGTTACACTTACGGAGATTTCTCTCGTCCGATGTCGCCGAGAAACCCGTCAAGTTTCGGACGTGGTGCGCCGAGGTCTGGCTCCAGTTGACAACGACGACAAGCGACAAAAGCAGACCGCCGAGGGCGTCGAGCCACCAGACTCTGGCGAAGTAGCCGACGATGGGGAACAGGATGGAGCCAGTGTTGAAGATGACATCGGTCATGGCATCGTCGGCCCTGCGCGGAGAATGTTTTATTAGCCAAATGCGCCGATGCCGTATTGGAATTGCCGATCAGGAGACGGCAACGTAAACGCTTTGCGACGAGGGGCGATGAGGTTGCAGTGAAAGAGGAGCAGGGGGTCGGGACTACTTACAAGGCACGAACGCTCGAGTTCTTGATGAGACGACACCAAAGCCAGCATAAACCCTTGATGACCACGGTGCCCACCATGATGGAAATAGCAGGGATGCCTCTGTTGTTCCCCCAGGTTAGCATCAGAATAGCGGTTAGCAACAGCGTCGAATGCAACATACAGTTGGACAATTTCACGGTCGGGAGACATGAGACGGTTGATGGCCTCCAGGCCCACCTGGCAAAAAGATGTGACCATGATGATGGAGAAGACGAGCACGCCAAGAGGCTCGAGACTGTGACGAGTCAGCACGTCGCGCCTCCCCGGGATGCAACACAAAGAGTCAGTCGGTGGGGCGGGGGCAGTTAGTTACTCACCGTCGTCTACCCACGGGGTAAGAGTGCTGGTCATTCTGGCTAGCGGCGATGAGTCGGGTTGTAGTCCATACAATGGCGGTGCTAAGGAAGTCAAGAAGGGCGTCGACCAAACTGGCAAGCACGGAGACGGAGGGAACAGAAATGACGACGAGAATTTTTCCGAGGAGCAGGGCGGCGTTGGCAACAAAATTGACCCAGATGGCGAGGGTGACGATGGGGTCGCTACTGTCAAGGTCGCCATCCTCGAGCCAAGGGATCTCAGGCTTGGGCTGGTCGGCTAAACCTTCCTCCTCATCTGTGCCGTTGAGAAGTGGGGTGGACTCGGTGGACCGAAAAATGTCCTTGGGGTTGCGCTTCGCCTTTAGCTGTATGCTGTTTGCCGAACTATTCTGCTCCGTGCTGCTGTTCTGGACCGAGGCAGGGTTGCTGGTAGTACCGTAGGCGAGGGCACCGCGCGAGGGTGGTGAAGATGGCGTTGAAGACTCTTCGGTAATGGTCTGGGGCACGTCGACGGGACGGTAGGCCGAGGCGTCGAGAGCTTGGTGGTACTCGTTGAGCAGGTCGTGAGGCACGGATGAATCCAGCAGCTGGTCGATGTAGAGATACATGCGAATCAGATCGTTGTTTCTCTCGTAGTATTCGCGTCTTGAAGGGATTGGCAAATGGGCGTCAGCATGTCTGGTCCGTTCATTCACTGCAAGAGCTCGGATTGGCCGGCCATGCGAGTAGAGTTGGGACCTCTCGTCTCTAGCATTTGGTGGCACAGGATTCAGGAAGGATTTGCCGACGGCGCAAAACTCACATATGCTTTGGCATGGCCTCCAGCTCGGCTTCGGTCTTCCAGTAGCGCTCCCACTGGTAGCGCGGGTTGCTGTTTCCGATAAGGCGCATGCTCCTCATCTGAGGGCCGAAGATGAGTTCGCTGAGGCGGCGCTCCTCGGCGGCGGATCGGTGGTGGTGGTCGTCGTCCGAGTGATGCAGGAAGCCCAGTAGTGAGGCGTTCTCGTGGTCTTCATCGTCATGTCCCTGCTGGTGGTAGGCAGGACTCTTGAGAGACTCGCGCAATGTAACATTGGAACGGTTTCGAATGAGCGAGACCAAGGCGCCATTGCCTCTCGTAGCGAAGGGATTCGGATCGGTGTCGGAACTGAGTACTGAGGGACGCTTAAATGAGCCTACCCGAGGACTGCTCGAGTAGTGAGGTTCCTGCGGCAAGGTCATCTTGGGCCGGGAGGACTGAAAGGGACGACGGAGGTCGGATATAGGCTGGAATGGGGTGTTGGGGGAAGCAACGTCCAACCGAGGGAAGGACAGAATGTGTGGTCTGAGGAAGAGAAAGAAAAGAGGAAGAGGGAAAAAGAAAACAGTAACCGGCACGATGCGAGGGAGAAGCCAAGATAAGAGATGAGGTTGATATTGTCGTGGCTCAGCGCACGCAGACAGCTTAATGCAGTGAGTGTGCAGAGCCACCCTAACCTGGTCTTGCTAGCATGCAAAAGCAGACAGCTCCTATGTACTCCGTAGTAGTTACAGTGACAATGGACCCCGAGAGGGTCTGAGGCGACGAATGCCGGGGAGGGTCCCCCTTCGCCTATAGCTTCCCTGAGCCCCTGCATTGGGGCTCGGATTGTACGGTTGAGGAGACTCTTGGCGAGGAGGGGGGGAACGCGGTGGCACGGGCGTTGGTAGCCCGGATACTGTATCGGAGGAGTGGCTACTCGCGTTTGAAGCGGCCGGCGCGCCATGGGTGCAGTGTTTCCTGTCCATCCCATCCGTTGCAACCCATCACGTCCTCAAGAAGGTCCTACCTAGCACATTATTTAGTCTCCTGACCGAGGAAGATGGAAAATAGGGCGGACTACAGGGGAAGGCAGTTTCGACCATCCTCTCCAAACCCCCACAAAAAAAAACAAAAAAAAAAGCCCCGTTTGTCTGTACTACTCTGCACAGTCCAACATCAGTAAATCAGCTTCGTCTGGAAACGTAGGAACGGGGAGTTACCTTATGCCAAGCTGCCCACCCCATTCACATTGAGCCGGTGTCGGCCCTCCGCACTGCTCACTTGGCGAACAAATCTGTTCCATTTTGCCGTCCTGAGTGGGCGACGGTGAAGAGCTGGACCAAGAATATGCTGTGTGTTGACCCTCGAGTGTTCGACTGTTGCAGAGTCAGTGAGAGGCACATTGCCCATTACTCGGAAACTGCTGGGGTGTGTTTTTTACTTCCTCTTTTTTTGGCCTCTTAAGGACCGGGTACATGACTTCATCGCAACTCACTGTCTCGGAGCCTTTTTATTCTCTCTGTCCAACTCAACTACCCGCACGTGTGTGCGCGCGCACACACACACACACACACACACCACACACGCACACTGCATCATTACTTTCCGGTCCCATTTCTAATTGTGCCCGGTTGCAATTTTAACCGTGTCTGAAGATCGAGGGGAGGGAAGAAGGGTCCCTGAATTGGACATTGCCACTCCCGACGAGACTTGCCTTGTCCTTGCGTGGCGCTAATTCGTAACCCTCCATCTAATGTCTTGCAGCGAAACTGACTAAGTTCGCCGCAGCGGGCTAGGGGCCAGCATCCAAAGGAGGAAGCTCTACTCGAGCCAAGATTGGGTCAAACAACAACTGTTTGCCTTCTCTTACCATGACGCCTTTCCTTCAGCCTTTTGAGACTCGTCCGAGGCGCAGCACCTTCGGCTCGAATTTCAAAAGCGACAATCACGCATCTGCAGGGTCTCAAGTGACAGGAGCCGCCCGTCTCAACTCCGGCATTGAAGGCTGCGAGTTGGCATAACATAATGAGGTGAAATTCCTATTTGTGCTTGCTACGCGGGCTTGGCGTTTTTGCATACCCGAAACCTGCCCAATCCGGGCTTCGATGGTAACCTACGTAGTAGGCACTTGGCTCTGGTTCACACGAGGGGACGGCAACGACGGTTGCTTCGAGGGCTTGTTGCTGTTGTGTGAATGGAAAAAGGAAGTCGGAACCCCCCCCTGTTCAACTCTCCAACTGCTCGATTCTTTCTTAGGTAGTTTGCCTATGCCTGCCATTGGCTAATGTTCTGGCGCTTTTGGGTGCGGCTCCCTTGTCGTGGTCCTCCCAGAGCCGCAACTGCTTGACAGCAGGTGTTGGCGGTTTCTAGAAAACCCACCTTGTCTGGCCATGCCCCTACTCATATCGGATCTTGTTTCCCAATCTCTCCGGTACAATGGGAGGTTTGCCGACTGCATAAATCAATGGCCGACTGCCATGCCGGGTACTGCTCGCTAAGATGCGAGTCAGAAATTTGACAGAATTCGAGCCCATCGAGGCAAGGCTCTTCTTCCTATATCAAATGGCAGTGTATCACTGTAGCCTCTAGGCTCTGGCTCTATAGGTTTCCCCCACCCCGGAGGCTGCCTTCAAACCCAAGGCAGGTTACACAACTATCTTCCCGTTCGTCTGGTCTCCGAACTCAGAAAGTCGCCCACATCGTCGTGGACAACACGCCGAGGCTGAGGGAGTTGAGGGCCTCTTCCACTGGTGCGCCCGATGCTAACAGTCTCGAGTTTCTGGTGAGAGCCCACAACGACATGTAACACCCAGACCTATACGGGTTGTCGCTATCATGTCCTTCACCATCGGAGTGCAGGCCTCAAAGGAAACGAAGGCTACGCTGAGGAGGCGGGCCCTGGCATTGCCTTTCAAGAACCTCGGACATATCAAGAGGAGCTCAAGTAACTTGAGCCGGACAGCCGGGGCTCGAATACACCGAGTCCCCGCAAAGCCGGTGACATGCGGTTCTGTTGCCTACAGGCTCTTTGACTCGACCAATTGCTGCCATCAATGCTGCTTCTTCTTGGCCAGTATCTCCTGCACGACCTTGGCCGTGGCTTTGACGATGATCTGGTGCTCAACGCTGTGCATACGTTCTTCCAGGTCTGCCAGACTATCATCTTCGCGGACCTCAACCTCCTCGACCAGAATCTGATGAAAACGTCAGCCGCTGCACAAGCACAAGACATGTCGGGCAAGACTAACAGGCTCTCCTCTGTCTACGGCCTCGATGACGTAGTGAATCATGGCCCCGGTTCGGTTGTTCTTCAGCTTGCCGGCCTTGAAGTCGTCGTATGCCCTGCCGATGGCATTGGCGCCGTCGTAAGCACCTAACGGCAGTTGTCAGCAGACGGTCCTGTATTACTATCACTGCCGACACGGCGTCCTGCGCCGGAGGCGAACGTGGAGCAACATACCGGGCAACGCGGGATGCAGATTGATGACAGGAACTCCGGCAGAATCGAGAGGCCGCAGGAAGCTCGATGTGAAAATGGCCATCCACCCAGCCAGGATGACGAGGTCCGGCTTGTCCTGCAGAACAACCTCGGCCAAGGCGGCGTCGTAACGAGCGCGGCCCTCCTTCAGTTTGTTCTCGTCCTTCTCGCCCTTTTGCGTGAAGCCCCCGGAGACTTGATTGAAATAACTGGTGGGGATGCCGGCCTTCTCGGCCCTCTGGACCGCGAATGCGTTCTTCCTGTTAACGACAACCCTCTCGATCTTGCTGTCGGGGATCGTGCCGGCCGCGATGGCGTCAATGACGGCCTGCAGGTTCGTACCCGAGCCGGAGCAGAGGACCACGAGGCGGCAGTGCTCGCTAGCGTCCGTGGGTGCCATATCTGTAAGATGCGACTATAAGAGAGGCTTGGATGGAAGGGTATTTGGGGAGGCGGCAACGTAGTTATCCCAAGATGTGTCACAGAGCCTCGCGGTTCCCAGCCCCTCGGACCTTTGAATCTCTCTCGATCTAAACAAGGTTGTCTTGCGCCCGTTTGTGCGCCGTCACTATCGTAACACGAAGAAACTTACTTGGGGTTGTGCCTCACCGGGGGATGGCAGAATTTTAGTGTTCCAAAAAATTGCAACCTACGATCCGGAGGGGTTGTGAAAGGCTGGAGGGGTGGGAGCGGGGTGAGGGGTTCTGCAATTGGCTGATTCGTTGGTGTGATGTGGGTGCTCAGCCAACGGCAACTGCCGTGCACGCATGGAAGGCTTTTTTTCCCCTTGTTTTTTGTGCTCTTGGTTGCAGGACGTAGCAGGAGACATTAAGACACTGAGGTGACAACGGGGGGTAGCATGAGTCTTGATGCCCGAGCGAACCACGATAGTGGGCCACGAGACGCATGGGATCTTGCAGACGAAAGCCCATCAGTTGGATGTTTTACGCCGTTTCTGGGTGACGGTGCTGACTGCTTCTGGGTGTGACTGTCGATGGCCGAAAGGTATATATATACAAGTACATATGCCACATGGGTCGTGGACACCGGTGAGAGAGATTGGGGAACAAGGCTTAGAAAACGGTGGGGGGTTTTGGAAGGACTCAATGATTGGCATAGCAAGCAGATGGCTTGCGCCCCTGCTAAGGCGATGATTGGCAGTCGGTCGAATAGGTTCAGATTCCCCGGCTACACCGTCCATACTGTGTAAGTTTAGTAAGGCATGTCCATGACGGAATCATGACAGGAAGCAGGCCATTGAGGATTGAGAGTACCATGGATACAATTCATTACCTAGTAGTAGGTACCCGAAGAAGGCCATAGACAGCAATCGTCGAGGGGCCCATAATGTATATTGTATATAGTACACGACCATGTACGCTGATGACGGATGGGGCCGATTAGAGTCCAGGCCAGCGGACCAAGAGTTCCAGATCGCTCGGGGGAGAAATCGACTTTTCCACTTGCCTGATACCTGGTAGGTAGGTACTCGGGGCAACCGGGCAATGTCATTTAGTAGGCCCATAGAGCTCGTATGGGTTGAGGGCGGGAACTCGACAATGAAGGATAGCTCTAAAAAGCACCACCTTCCCGCCGCCCCCTCTTTCCTCCCATGAACTCACCGCTCCATGCAAGTACGACGTACATAGTAGTAATACGTATCCGTGCCATAACATTCTGCATCGGGTCAGCAGCACCAGATGGAGGCATTGGTTTTTTTTCCCTCTTTTTTTTTCACAAGCTTTGCTCGGCCCAGTTGCATTGTGAGGCTTGCACGCTTGTCCTGCGCTTATGTCCGGCCCCTGTTCCATTCTTCCTGCCGCGAAGGGGGCCAGTACCGAATCGGTAACGGTCCAGGTACAAAATGCACTGCTACGTACCCAAGCACTGGCTCCAGGCACAGCGCGTGTTGTTGCTGATCGCATTGCCAGGGGCGGCCTCGGGCAACCCTTGCACCAATTCACGGGTGGTGCGGCCAATGTCAACTTACCGCCCGCGCACCAGCGGCTATCGTCAGATTCCGGGTCCCCGACCCCCGCCGCCTCAGCCGCCTGAGTTTTGCCCAACAGATGCGAGAGGGAGGAAGCAGGAAGCGGTACATCCATCCAGAGGCCCGAGATCTAAATCCTTCTCCGTCCCTCCTCTACCTTTCCCCACAGCGGAGGGCTGTAAGATGCCGGCTGACCGTCCATTCATGATGTCGCAAAGAGGAGCATCGTTCTGGGCGGTCAGCCGGGGTGTGGACACTAACACTGGGGAACCAAGCCGGAGCAAACCAACAACGGGTGTTCAAAGCGATATGAGTCTTCCCCCTTTGAGCCCCGAGCTGCCATTCACCCGGTTGCAGCGCCCACCCACAGCGGAAAGAAGAGAGAGAGAAAAACAAGTATGGAGCTTTATGTCCGTCAGCTATGAACGAGGGTTAGATATACCAGCATCACTGTCACAGCCCCCCTCCCCCACTCCTCTGGAAGATTTCCTTGATCGTGGTACCATTGTCTTGATAAATCTGGGTCGTGTCACTCTCTCAGAGAACGGGTTTGGTACTCGCGTTGGATGGGCTTGTCTTGAATCGAATCTTCGGCCGTGCCCAAATTCAGGTTGTTCCACTGATCGATGGGATTTTGGCCACGTCTCTTGGGGTCTCGGTCAAGTTTTCTCCAGGTGTGGCATGTCGCCCGCCTGTGCAGAGAAACCCCTTCCCAATGCGCGTATAACAGTTGCAGCGCGTCAACCGGCCGACAGACGCAATGTGCTGTCGTCCCCTGGAGCGTACTTGTACAGACGGCGGATGGGCGGATACCTCGCGTCCCTGCCGGAGGAGGATCCAGTGTATCGATATACGCTCATTTTCGCTGCAAGGTGGTAGGAGCAAATGGCAAGTGAGGGCAAGTCAGATCATGTCTCGTTTCCTTCTTCGTCTCCTTACTGACTTTGACAAGGCCACTCTGGCTGGAAGGCTCCCGTTGTTTACTCGCATCATTTGTGTACAATCCCCGATGCACCGAGACAGCCGACACCCGGGGACACGAGACAAAATTCGGTCCGGCAGCGAGCGAGGATCTTGCTTGTAGTCCGGGCTTGGCTTCCTGTCAGACCACCAGAGGATGTGAATCCCTCTTCTCCGCAAGTTTTTCTCCTGCGTGGCCGAGGATCAGCCCAAGGCGGACTTGGGGCGATACGAGGCATGCGTTACGGAAAACATTATCAACTAGGTAGGTAGAAACGGGAGGAAAGTGATTGACAGTATTTTTCCCTGGAATCCAGTGGAGAGGTGAGTTGGTCCGTTCCAGGTTGAAGGCTGCCCCGGTCCCCCCACCCCTACACATCAGCAGCCACTTCCAGGTTCGCTGGGCTCGATTACCGCTACAGACCTTGCGGCGGAGTCAGCCCGTCGGGACGTCCCTTCTCATCGCGTTGAACGTTGACTATTAGTTTTTATTCCGCATGTTTCGGTCTGTTCTTGATACGTTGCAGAGACTCGAGAGCAAGCTGTGGCCCTCCCTCGCTCGTTTGTTGAGCTGAACAACCCGAAGACGTACGCCGACTCGAAGCCTGATGTTGCCCCACCAGCACCACCAGTATGGGTTCACCACAGGTGGGCACGTGAAGCTGCAACCCGACTCGATGGTAACTATGCGTGTTCCACACAAATCACTTGTCGGCCAGTTAAGCTCACGCGCAGAGTCGGTGGGTGGATGAATTGGACTGATATAGGTATCCGTATGTATATGCACTAACTATCTACGGACACTGTGCGGAGTAACGAATGTAGTTTATGGATGGAGAGGGCCACCCACTATTCAAGCTTCCACGATTGTCTTTGATGTTCGTGAAGACCTTCTGGGGCTACGAGGACTCGAGGAGGGTAGCGTTCCACTAAGAGGCCCCCCCTCCCCCCCGGGGACTTTCTTGCGTCTTCTTCTCCTTCGCTTTTGATTCTCTAAAACATCTACCCCTTGGTTCGTGTTCGGGGGTGTTAATTGTATGTGGGATTTGACTCGAGACGAAGACAAGAACAATCTCCGTGCAGAAAGAAGGAGAGCGTCCAATTATTTACAGAGATGGGAGGCGACTTCCAGAAAATCAGACCCCTAGGTATCTAGGCGTCATCCGCTCCCGTATTTTGCGTGATTGCGGGAAAAGCATCAAAAACATGTGGAATCCCGGGTTATGAACACTCTGCAAATCGATTGCCCTACAAGCGTCGTTGATCGGGACGGATGGTGCCTTGCAGTATCCATCCTTCCTTTCTCCCCTCTCTCCATCCGTCCATTCATGCACATGCTCTTACCCTCCACTCTGAGCCTCCAGCCTTTATCCCACTCACTAGCTGGCTCTCTGATTGCTTTCTTCGTTCACGCCCCCCCTGTCAATCCCATAATCGCAGCTCTCGATTTCGCCTTTCCTCCAGCGCAGCGAATCGGCTTCCGACTTGTCGCCCACGCGGTCTCGGAGCGTCTTCTCAATCGTCTCTGAAGGTATGCAAGCCTGGGGCTGCCGATGGAACGGCATCTCGCCTGCGCTCGTGTGCCAACGGCCATCCGCGAACCGTCCTTGTTCTTCGTGGCCCCTCCCCGTTCTTGCTCAGCGTCGCCTCTCTGCCAAGCCATGTGCTTCCTCGACATCACCCTCGATACGGTCAAACACGCCGGAAGAGACGACCCTACCCACAGTCTTTGGTGCTCTTGACCTCTATCCAGTGCCCGGATTCGGCGCACGGTACCCTTCGGTCTGAGCATCTGAAGTTTTCGCGACGTACCCAACAAGAAACAGACACCGAACGTATTACGAATACGCTATTCACCAGGAAATGGGACAGACATGCTGCTCGGCCCTACTACACTAGTTTGGATCGCTCACCGTGGGATGAACACATTACCCTGACGACAGGGAGACACTCGTCCCCATCTGTCTACCTCCAGCCGGGTTATTTGGGCTTGTCTTCAAACCAGCGCCCCAGACTTCAAGCCGCCATGGATGGGAAACGACTGACCTCATGTCTAACCACGTCCAACCATTCCACCATGACGGGCCTGGTAGACTGAACATGCCCAAGTCTCGCGCGCCATGGTGAGCACAGCAAAACTAGGACATTCGTTTGGGCAGCCCAAGCAGATTGGCTTGTGGTGGCAGGAGCATTAGTATCTGTCCCCAGAAGTGATCCACTTCACACGATACCGACCCTACTACAGCCACTTCTTGAAGCCACGGCCCGCCTGTGTAAAAGGAAGTATGAAATACAGTATGGATTCAACGGGCGCTTTCGTGGCTGGAAACAGTCGTCCTGGCTGGCCGATATAAGGACGTCTTGTCCAGCGTTCATCTCTAAATGCGATGGCGGCGGCTCCGAGGTTAAATTAGAACCCCAAGACTGCACTGTGCCTGGCGGCCATGAAGGGTTGTCCAGGCCTCGCAGCGGGCCAGCATACATTTTCACCCTATGCGGTACCCAGTTCACACAGTTTCTTGCTGGACTGCATACAAATTACTCGTCTGTCCGTTGAAGCTGCCTGCCTCTCAGAAGTCTAATCCGCCCGATCCCGTGCGGAAGCACGTTCGGTCCGCGGCACCACTCATATGACATGCCAAAGCTTGCTTGTATTTCCCCCAAAGCTTTGTGTGGTGTATTTCAGCGGAAGTCGAGGCGTCGCGAGCCTGGATCGGCAAAGACCTACAGGCTGCAGGGCGAGAGGTTGGGCCGGAAGCCCTAGTGCTGCAGCTGGGTGGCGGGTGTAGGGTAACGGGAACCTTGACGGCGGGCGACGCAGTGCAAGGTCCAAGTAGCCCATACCACCCGACGCTACTCTGCATGAAGAAAGAAACAAGCCGCTGCGAGGATTGTTGCCGCCGACGGTGGTGGCAGAGTAAGGGGCAATGGACAATTGTGTCAGCGCCACTCAACCATGCTAGACCGGGTGGGTGAGTCCTCCAAAGGACATGAATCCTCCGAAATGCCACCCAAGACCGCAGTCTAGAAACAAGACGAGGGCGAAATTCCCCGGTGTGGGCAAAATGCGTAACCTTCATCATCAAGCATCATCACCGTTGTCGTCGTCGTCGTCGGCGGCGGCAAGGCTTCGGGCCCCATCTCCGATTTTCATGCGCGTCCGATCTTTTGGGTTCACACGACATGCGCATGGGCTATGGTTCAGCAGAACAGCAAGCAGCACGCCAACGGACTACCTATACTATTACTGAATCCAGTACGGGCGGCGGTGCAGGCTGTCTCTCTGGGCCATCCCATCCCAAGTCTGCTCATCCAAAATCCATGCCACGCCACCAAGCATCTTCCCCCCCCCCTCGTCCCTTCTTCGCACCCCCCCTCCCCCTTTGCCTTTGGTCCCTGATCCAGGCCCCCCGGGCCTAGAGAAGTCCGACTTCTAGCAGAGCGGAGAAAAGCGAAGAAGTGGTGTACATACCCCAGTACACGTACGAACAGACACAAAGCACAGAAGAGGGAAGACAGGGCAGGCATCTCGTCAGCTGGGCCAGTTTGGCCAGGCTGTGTGGGCTGGCCGATGGACGACGTTGGTGAGAAGTGCATCAAGCCCACCTTTCCTAGCAACCATTGCCTGGTCTCTCCACTCCTTCCGAACGAGAATAGGCCCTCCGAATGGGTGCGTTGAGGGGGCCCAGGGCAGTGTGTCGAGGAAAGAGCTGAACCGAAGACGTAGTGGGGGAAGAAGCAGCGACAACCGCCTTTGAGATTTTCCTTCCTTCTCTCTTTCCCTTCCTCTCTCTTGTTCACGCTCCCGACATAGGTGGGTACCCCATCCCCCCCTTCCCCCCTGCTCGGCCTTTACCCTGACCTGCCTTAGCCGTTGCTAAATCACTTTTCCTACACACACCAGTACTTACTGGTCCGATCGCCTCCTCCTTTCCACATTCCCACCCGTTCACTCCAACCTCTCCCATCGACTGCTTCGCCGGCCCTGGTTCTTGCTGTCATCATTTGTTGCGTATCCTTTCGTGTTGTGTCTATCCCGACCCACGGCTCGGTCATATTTTGTTCATTCGTTTATTCTTCATATTCTAATACCCCAATCACTACCTATCCTACCTACCCGGTTCACAGCCCCGTAGTCCTCCTGTCCTCTTGCTTGTCCATGATCATCGGGTTCTGTCGCCTTGTACAGCCCAGCTCCAGCTTGCTGCATCTTTTTTGCTTTGGGTCAAAAGTTGAATGAGATCATACAGCTTCTGTTTTCACGCCCTCGCATACGTTCTATAGACTAATAGCCGTCACATCATCTTTTGGGTCACCATCGACGTCGTTGTCGTCGCCTCATCCCATTCTATCTCGTCTTGTTCGACAGATCCCCCTCCGGTAAGTCATAGAGCCCAATTCTCTCGTCATCTTCATTCCTCGGCCCATCCGCCCAAACCTATACATAGCTGCATTCCCTCCATTTCGTTTCGCGACACCGCGGCGCGCGTCGCAGAAAGTATTGCACTGTTAGGTCAACTCCATCGCTAAGGCTGCTGGCGGGCTCCCTTGCCCGAATACCTTCATTCCCCCGTCTGTCGGGTCCCCACGGGTGGCCACATAGCCCCGACACGCATACCCGTACCGCGTACAGTCTCACGACACCTCGCGCAGGCTCTTCCGCACACCACGATTCACAGTCGCAGCAGCTGACACTTGTGGTTCTACCGCTACGCAGAACCGCTTCGCTTACCGCACTTTTGTACCACGCTCCGCACCGCACGCTGACACGAGCCACAAACAAAGCCCGTTCGAGTCTGGGCTTCCTGTCGGCATAACGCATCGGCTGACCCGCCTCGTATCGCCTTTTTTTTTTTTTTTCGGCCCCAACCCAAGGCCAAGAATAAACCCCCGGGTTTAATCTTCACGAAGCCCGCTCTACGAATTGCTGCGTGTAAAATCGCGTACCGAACCCATCCCGCTGGGGGGCATCTATTTACCGGTACTCCACATGCCTAGGTTCTCTGTCTCTTTCGGCAGGCGGCGATCCACCGTCGACTCGGACGAGTTCCATGAAGAGCCGGTAGCGACAAAGGAAAGGCCAACGTCTTTCCGTGTCTTGGAAAGGACCGAGGTTGTAGGCCAAAAGTCTTTCGACGGTGGACACAGACTCGTCAAGTCGATCACGACGGCAATTCCTCCCAAGAACAATTACTCGGACCTGTCTCTCGAAGACAACAACAATAACAACAGCAACATGTTCGCGGACGTCAAGAACAACCGGTATGTGCATCCTACCATTCTCCTTGAATCACTCTTCTTTCCCCATTTCAAAACACATTCTCGGCCATAGACAAAGGGGTAGATGAAAGTGGAATCTGGTGAGAGCAGGAGAGACCTGGAAAGCAAGAGTACATGGGAGAAAGAAAAGGAAAAAAGAAAAGAGGGTGGCCTGGCATTCCACAGCGGCATGTCTCGGACTCAGCGGTCTATTGCTGCCCTGTTTGGTGGTGGTCGATCCTCTTTCTCTCGGTGGCCGACACTATTTCCCCCCTAGCCTGCAATTCATTTCAGGTCCACGGCAAGGATTGTGTCTAACGTCGACTGACTCAGCTTTAGGGGAAGTGGGTCATCTAATACCACCAAAACAACCTCGACAGATACTTCATCGCGCCACAGCAACGTCTCAACCACACCGTCTTCGGCTGACCTTGGCCACCAAGGGGCTCAGGAAGAATGGAAATCATCGATTAGGAAATCACACACTGACGTGCCAGCTTCCAAGCACAGTTCCGGTGGATTCCTTAGCAAAGCCGGCAGGACCTTTTCCTTCGGCGGTCAGAAGAAGCACCAAGCCGCAGCATCCTCCGTTGACGATCATCCTCTTCCTCCGCCGCCTCCGCCGCCCAAGGCGTCATCGGACGACGACTACAACAGGAGACCGCGAGGCTTGACAGACTCCACTGACAGGACTGTCACGCCCCCGAAGCTCAGCGAGGAGGACTTTGCCCTCGACTTTGGTAGCAATTTCGGTACTATGTTCAAGGGTTCCGGATTTGACAAGAGAGCCAGCCAAATGACGCTTCCCGGTAACGATAAGTCCAACCTGGGACCTCGGTCCCTTACGTCGAACAGGGTAAACCAGCCTCAACCCTCGCCCATCAAGATTGATCACTCCGCCAAAGTGGAGGCATCGCCCTATTCGTGGAGCAGCCAACACTCTCACGACAACCTGCTGCATGACTCCGGTTCCAACTCCCCTACCACCACTGAACGCACATCTGTCCCACCACCTGTGCCTCGACACGGCTCGCCGCTGGTATTTCGCAACAATGTGCCATCCGACATCATTGAAGATGAGGATGCGACCCTTTTAAAGGACTCACTGGCAGCCAGCCGCTTCCTGGGTGGTTCGGGTCAATCCAACAACCCGCACCCACCTGGCAGGTTTCGCCGAAATGAAGACACGTTCTCGACAGCGTGGGAGGCAACTGACGGGAAGAAAGAAGAGGAGAACATGTTTGACAACGGGAGGGCACAACAGCCGAAGCCGCCCACAAACCACAACCGCTACACGTCTAACAGCAACCAAAGTCCGCCTCGCAACAAAGTCATGACTCCCGCCGAGTTTGAAAAGTATCGCCGAGACAAGGAACGCGATGACAACACTAGCGGGACAGCCAAGGCCTCCAACGACAGCCGCGATGATGACGAAGATCAGTATGACGATGATGAGGATGACATTGAGAAGGCGAAGCTGGCTGCCAAGCAGAGGAGGAAGCAGGAGGCACACATGGCTGTCTACCGTCAGCAGATGATGAAGGTTACGGGCGAGTCCCCAATGTCCGGTCCTTCCGGTCATGCCACCCGGCCCAATCTTTCTGTATCACTCAGCACGCCGAACCTAGCCGTACCTTCAGGTCCGATGACGGGTAGGTCTGACGGTTCCGAAGGAGAGGAGGACGAAGAAGTCCCGCTTGCCATCTTGGCCGCACACGGCTTCCCGAATAAGAACAAACCCCCAGCCCGGGTCATGAACATGGCATCGAACCCTGACCTGCGGTCGTCGGTCCATTTGCAATCTGGTCAGCCTGCCAGGCCCGGGTCCAGCATGGGCGAGGGAACTGGACCCAGAGGAACTAGTGGCGGACACCTGCCCGCCTTTGCGAGAAAGCTGCCGCAAGACCCATTCTTGGGTGCTGGCCTCATCAACGCCCCTCCCCGAGAGTCTCTGACGTTCGGCGGAGGCTCACCGGCACCCGGTGCCCAGGCGCCCGCCGTCCCCGTGGGTGGTTTAGTCGGCGTGATCGCCAGCGAGGAACGATCTCGAGCCATGCGCAGAGGCAGCCCTAACATGGAGGCACAGAATGTCAACCCTTTCACAGGGGCCCCGGTCGACCCCATCACCGGAATCCCGCCGCAGATGATGTACAACAACATGAACGGAATGAACGCCATGGGCGGTGGTATGGGAGGCATGCCGCAAATGCCCCAGATGCAACCCCAAATACCCCAGATGATGCTTACACCGGGAGATCAGGCACAAATCCAGATGACACAGCAGATGCAGCAGTTCATGCAAATGCAGATGCAGTTCATGCAGATGATGGCGACGCCGGGTCAGAACATGAACGGCATGCAACGACCCATGAGCCACGTCGGTACCCCCACGGTCCACGACAGCCAAAGACAGTCGTACTTTGGCGACTCGATGCTGGACCTTCCACGACTCGACCTCCGAACGAGAACGATGAGCATGGTGCAGCCCAGCTCTTCGTCCTGGATCCAACCTGGAGGAGGATTTGCCCCATCCATTCATGGAGGCATGGGCGGTGGCGGCGGGTACGCACCCAGCATCCACGCCCAAGGTGCCGGGTATGCCCCCTCGATCGCACCCTCGGAACGGAGCAACGTGGGCTTACCAGGCCGTTACAGACCCGTAACGCAAGCGCCCCAACTGGATTCTAGCCGACACATGTCAATTATGTCGGGAGCCATGGGATGGGACCAGCCGCCCAAGATCATACAACAACATGAGACGAAGGCGCCTAACAAACCAGGCACCCACTCGGACGACGATGATGAGGAGGGCTGGGCCGCGATGAAGGCCAAGAAGGAGAAGAAGAGGGGTCTGTGGAGAACGAAGAAGAGCATTGGCAGCGAGATTGGCGCATTGATCTCGTAGGGCGAAGGAAATGGCATTTACGTTTGAAGAAGTGCTGGGGTGTAGAGGGACGATTGGGATGCAAAAACAACGAGACTGGACATATCGAAAAAAGAAAAAAGGAACAAAGACTCCACGCCCATACAGACGTTGTGTTGGCCTTTTCGACTATGGGGTTGGGTTGGCCATTTTCTCTTTTTTTTTTTTCCCTTGAATAACCCTGCATGCCCTGTGTACATTCTAGCAGACATTGTTTACTGGGCGTCGCTACGAGAGTGAAAGAGCAAGGCGGAACGGCTTGGTTATTAGTTGCAAAGTCCTGATAGACAGCTCTTGGTGCAATAATCTACTAATTGTTGGAGAAAGAGAGGGGAAAAAACACGAACATGAGCGCGTTGCTTTTGTCTAGTCGGAAGCTCTTTGTTCCCCGCGCTTGCTTGCTGGTATGTGCCGGTTCCATGTCACAAATGAAGCTTGGGTCAGGTCGCTGTGACAGTCCCTCCTCGGTTTTGAGATTCATTGTGCGGGCCTCTATCAGTCCATCCTAGATAGATTACCCCTAGTATAATTTTTTGATAAAAAAAAATCCGGACTTTTCTCCCTTCTTTTGATTTGTCCATCCCTTTTCCCAGGGTCTAGGTATCGTCTCCCTTTCCATCTGCGCGTTCTCGGGCTAGGGCCTGACCTACTCACTCGATCTTGCCCGCAGCCCAGGCCTTACGCTTGACGCCAAGCTCGACGGCAGCGAGGCCCCAGTCCTCGCCATGATTATGGCCTCCGGAAGTGAGGCCGGCGCGAGCCTGGGCTTGCTCGTCGTTAAGAACGGTCAAGACGCCGAAGACGACGGGGACGCCCGTGTCGAGGCCGACCCGCATGAGGCCGTGGGAGACGGCGTCGGCAATGTATTCAAAGTGCATAGTCTCGCCCTTGATGAGGACGCCAACGGCGATGATCGCGTCGAACGGGTCTTGAGACTCGACGGGGAGGGAGGTCAGATCCGTGGTTGAGGAGCCGAGAAGGTCCCCGGCCGATGTGCCGGTGCCGGATTGTGCGGATTGGACTTGGGAGGCTTGGTAGAGTCTGTGAGGGGGGGAGGACCGGACCGGGTCAGCTCTGGCTCGCTTTGGTTTGCGGGGAGGTCATGTTCCTGGCAGGGCCGACGCAAGGAACCCAAGCGAGCTGTTACAAGTTTGGCTGCTGATTGCGCGTACTCACCTCTGTACGGCGATGGGGAGTTCCCAGGACCCCGGAACGGACTGCAGGACGATATTGGACTCCTTGACGCCGCAGGCGAGGAGCTTCTCCTTGGCGCCCTTGACGAGGGGCTCGATGATGGTAGCATTCCAGCGGGCATGGACAATGCCGATACGCAGGGCACTGCCGTCGTGCTCTTGCGGGGTCGGTCCCTTGATGCCAGACATCTTGGACGTCTTGAGGCTGTGGTGGGGAGGGGAGAGGAGGGGTATCAAAGTAACGCAATTTGGAGGGTCGCTTGTGGTGTTTGTCGCGAGGATGGTGCGCGGCGTTGTCGGCTATGTGTTGTCTCGTGGAAGGGATGAGTAAAGCTTGGAATTGAGAAGCCGGATGTTATGGACACGTCCGTCTGGCTTACGATTCGCTTAGCACAGCCTACGTTCTTTTGGTCAGGGCGGGCGGCAGTAGTGGGCTAGCTCAGGAACGAGGAACGAGGGCCTCTGCGATGCGGGGCATGCGGTTCGAGGTGTTGCGTGCTCGGAAGCAGGATAGCTGCTGCTGCGGGGCTTTGACGTCCCCTTGGATCTTGCTGTGATCCCTGCAGGGGGAAGGCTCTGAGCTGCCCTGGAAGGAAGCTTCGAGTGCGTGTGTGGCAGGCCCAACTGTCGACAGCTGGTGCCGGTTTTCAGGATGGTCGAGGTGCAGGCAGAGGGAAGGAGTTCGATGACTTACATGGCTCCTACCCAATGTTCAATGTCTGTTGCCGCCTTCTTCCATTTTCAAAAGGAATCGGACATTTTCTCGCTTCCGTGAATCTCCTAATTTACTGTGAGCTCCTCGTACTACACCATTGTTTCGTTCCCAGCCATCTCGGCTCCCTTTTTGGGGGTTTTACGGCATTGTTGATATATTTGTCGCCTCCTATTCCATCGTCACAAAAAAGTCTTCACTATACATCATGCCCATTTCTCAGCTCCCCGAGAGTACTTGCCAGCTGCTAAAGTCCACCATCGCTGTGATCTCCCCCCTATCACTCGTCAAAGAGCTCGTCGACAATGCCATCGATGCCAATGCCACCACCATTGAAGTTGGCGTCTCGGCCAACACAGTAGACAAGATTCAGGTACGAGACAATGGCCATGGCATCAGCCCCGAAGACTACCACGCCGTTGGGCGAAGGTCACATACCAGCAAGCTTCGGACCTTTGAGGAGCTCCAGTACAAGGGCGGCAAGACACTTGGTTTCCGCGGCGACGCCTTGGCAAGCATGAACACTTGCTCGAAGCTTACCATTACGACGAGAACAAGTCAGGACAAGGTTGCGGCTTTGCTGGTGCTTAAAAATGACGTGGAAGGAATCGCGGACAAGCGACTAGCTTCAGGTTCTATGGGAACAACAGTCGACGTCTCCGATTTGTTTGCCGCCGTACCGGTCCGAAGGCAGCTTGCCATCAAGGAGAGCAAAAAGTCGTGCGGGCAGATCAAAGAGCTCCTTCAAACGTATGCCCTCACTCGACCATACATCAGACTCTCGCTCAAAATTTTCAAAGACCACAAACTCTCCTGGTCATATGCTCCCGGTCAAGGGGCACATATCAGAGAAGCGGTCCTCCAAGTCTTTGGCCCCGATCTGGCCTCGCAATGCGTCTAGAAAACGTTTGACGGGGCCCTAAGTGTGATTTCGGGCACTTTCTCGACCAGACCAGACACGCCGGCACCAGTATTACGCCTCGAAGCCTTCCTTCCGAAAGCTGACGCGGATCTCTCCAAGATCTCCGGAAAAGGCTACTTCATCTCTGTCGACTCGAGGCCCATGTCTACTGTCAAAGGGACAATGAAAAAGCTTGTCAACGTATACAAGACCTATTTACGCCATGTCGGTGGAGTCGAACCACACTCCAAGTTAGTCCCCAAACCTTTCATACGACTGAATATCCAGTGCATCATCGGAAGCTACGATCTGAATGTGACAACAGCAAAAGACGAGGTTCTTTTTGCTAATGAATCCAAAGTATTGTCCCTTTTTGAGGAAATGTGCAAGGAGATGTACTTGCCAACGGAGCCCAGGGTTGTGACCGAGGTTGTGGAAGAGCGTGTCCAAATGGGAAAGTCGCAGAATAGAGACACAAGCCCTCATATACATTCAGACGATGATGGAGAGCAACTCAACGAGTCCCTGGATCTGCTCATACCAGACAGCACGGTCAGGGGAGAAAGTTCCGACTTCCTGCCACATGGCAATGAACCGTATTTTGCCGAAGTTATCCAGGAGCCCACGCCAAACTACCCGGACAGAGTGGTCGCCTGCCCGCCGTCATCTATTAACGGAACCTATATTGCAGCCCCTATTGACAAAGAGGGCTTTGGTGGTCCTGTCTACAGCCACGTTGAAACACGTCAACAGAACAAAACCGTCCCTATTGGCAACGAAGAGGCACTTTACGGAAGCTCCGCGATACCCATAGATGATCCCAACCAGGCACCGCGCCAATACACCGGTGGGGAGGCGACGGGGGCCCGTTACCCGGAGCGACATCGCCAGTCTTTCCCCAGAAATGCAGAGCTGCAATACACCACCGAACCGACTCAATATCTACTTCGGACCGGCTGGGAAGTAGATATGGCAAGAGACAAAACTGCAAGTCCGGAAGGAAATACTCAGCCAATTTTTCTCGATCCACCCCGGATAGATCTTATTCAATATCTGCAGTCACAGCGCCTTGATCAAGAACATCGCGAGAAGCCAAATCCCTGGACCATTGCCAAAAACGCAGCAGACAAACGTGGCGCTCATGAACATAGCATTTCTAGCTATCTGAGTCGCGTTACACAGCGTGATGACACCCCAGCTACCACAATTTCCTGTGGACGGCTGCCACTTCCAAGGGCGGAAGATTTTGTGCAGAGAGGCTCTGATATGGCTCACTTGAGATCTGAAGACCAAGACCACATCCAGCCCCAGCATGACAGGCCTCAGCGAGAACCTGTCGTACAAAGGGAGGACGTGTACGAGGCGAGTGATCTTGAACCCTCCATACTACAATATCCCACTGCCCCACAAGGTGATTTTTACGGGCTGAGACATCAAGGCCAGCGAAGAATTGCTAGAGATGACGAGCCATTCCGGTCGGCTGGTAAGGGACATGACGTTGACAAGCTAGGTATCCAACCTGCCAGGGGTCCTGGTGTTTGTCAGCATGCGTACTTCAAAACGCCACATTCGTTTGCCAATTTCGACCAAGAGAGTGTATTAGGCACACCGCCCCCTTCCTCTAGCCCATTGCATAAACCGTTCCGTGGACCTGCTCATGTTGAACCAAGAAAAAAGCAGCAGCACGGAGGAAGACCTCGTGGCGCTCCACGAAGGGCTACACGAGCTGTGGACCCCAGAGCAGATGGATTGAGACAGGGCAAGATTGTCCTCAACGCGAGAAGGTGCCAGGAGCCGCTGACGCCCAAACGCGCCAAAGGCGATTGTTTTGCTACAATGGAAGCGGACCATAATGGTTTTCGAGATAACTATGTTGCTCAAGAAACATTGACACACGCCCATCGGCACGACAATGGTGATCTGCCGTCGAAGGAGATGGAGGAGGCTCTAGAGAGGCTCAACGCGCTCCGCCCAAGAACACGGAACACTGACTACTCAGAAGACCAAGGAAAGGGCGAGGAACGTGGCAGAGCTCCAAGCCAAAAACCGGCATCAACTGCGCCTGACACGTCGCCTCGAAGCTACCTGAGACAAAGACTGGCATCCAGGCCCCGGTCGAGGAGCAAAACACATAAGCGTATGAAGTCGGAGATGCTGCCGTTTGAGAATCAATTCTCCGAGGCCTACACGCATATACAGTTACTCAGACTCGATTTAAACAAGATGAAAAAGCAGGTTTTTAGTGCATCCGACTACGATCTTTACGTTCTAAGAGGTCAACAGGAGGCCGCATTTCCACTGGAGCCAGTCGAGATGGAAGATATCAGTAGCAGGCTTCAAGCGGTTCTCGGGGCATGGGCGTATAAGGAGCATGGTGTGGAGCTGGAGCTTGAGATCGATATTGGCGCACTGTTCGAAGGAAGCGATATGGGTTGCATGATGGAATGAGTGCAGTCTGGGCGGGCATATTGGGACGAATAGACTTGATTCTATCAAGCAAATACTGCTGCACTTAGGCGAAAGAGATCAGAAGACCCAAGTATATTGCACATATGTTGGCTTTTATGAGTGGACTCACATAGACTCACATAACTATTTGCTCGATGCATCCGCCGCCTCGTCGTCGAGCCTCTTGCGCGTCTGGTGTCCAATCCACGCCTCTATGACCATGCCATCCGAGATCTCCCACCAGCCATCATCCCTTTCGAGTTACGAGAGCGGCATCGAGCCGGTTTCTGTTCAACTTCACGCAGGTGGATGGTGGAGAGAAGGCCGTATATCCAGCCGCGATACCTGCAAGACCTCTGGGACTTGGCAATTTTTCACACAAGGTAACGAAGTCGGCGTATCTGGTTCAACGTGTGTACCCCACCAACCGTTTAGGGGCGGGGTTGATGGCAGCCGGGGGAGAGGAGACGGGATTTGAGGAGCTTCCCACGCTGTTCCTACCCGCTCGACATTGAGACAGCATGCGATGCAGCAAAACTACAAAACCACGGGGTAACGGACAGACATACAGGTACATTGTGGTGACTGGGTCTCCACGTGTGCCGCCTGCAAGACGAAGAGCGCGGGCGGCTGTGGTGGCTACACCTGCCATCAGGGAGGCATACGGTATGCGGCGATCGTCTTTGGGTCTTCGCGTTGTAGTGTTGTCTTCACGTTCTGGATGGACGGGGAATCGTGGAAGTATTGAAAAGAGGGGCTAGCTGGGGATGGCAACACACCATGACGCAGGAGCGCGAACCAACATGGCAACGGGTGGGGGGTCAAAGAGGGCGCATCGTATTCGTGCTGCACCGGCCTAATAGCTGCTTACGAGGGCCGCTGTACCCGATCACTTTCCGCACCGCGACCGGCGCCCTATCAGGCAGCCTTCCTGGCGCGTTTTCGCGCAGGACAAGTGGTTGCCATTGACTCGGCGGCAGACAGTAGCTCTGCCGTTAATGATAGCGGTACCCGTACGGAGACGACGGGGTGTGGTGACGGTTGAGCGCCGGCATTGCATAGCTGTACATTCTCGACTACTGTTTCTATCTTTTTCTGCCGGACCATCGGACTTGCGCCTGATGCTGAAAATAGCTGCGTCAGTCGGGACCTGAGAAGCATGGCGATTGGCTCGTGCTGCAGTTCGTATTAGGGACGCGAAGGAATCCGATCCTCATTGTTCGCGGGAGGGGCAGTGTGACTGGGCTATTAGTCAACGATCGAGAGAGACACGAGTAACTTTTGTCGCTGTCGATGATGGACGACAGTGCCTGACACCATTAGTGATGTCGAAAGAGACAACGTGTCGCGGGCGAAGTTTGAGCAACATCTGCCTTTGCTAGGTACTTGCACGAAAGTCGTTGGGCTAGCAATGCAACAGTAGGTAGTAAGTAGTACAGGTAGTGAGTGTATTGTCAACGTCGAGCGTATACGCGAGAAGGTTCAATGGACTTTCCGGGATGCGGATAGACTCTGCTGCAATAGCACCCGATGGTTTAGAGCTGACTATGGCAATGGTCTGGGTATGTGTTGTCCGGATGAAGTGTCAAGTGGTACAAAAAAAAAGAATAAAAAAAGGAGGAGGGTATAAGAAATCATGTGGTATACATGAGGAACCCATCAATCACAATTGAAAGCTGGTCCTTGCCGTCAGGTTTTTCTTGCTGGCCTTTCGGGTTTCTATGGTTCGGGTAGCAGAAACATAACATCGACAGGACCTCCTGGTCGGCGGTGATGCGAGCCTGCCTCTGGGGCCTGGGCTCGGGGCGTCGCACGCGGTGACACGGTCGGGCGATCCTTTTGTAATGCGCGCGGGCTGGCTGCTTGGTGCCTTGGAAGTGGGACGTGCCGGAGACACAGGGCGATGTATCGATTCGGTTCTTTGGCCGTTTCTGCAATCCGTTGCCTACGGTCATTGTTGCTCTAGTTCTTGTGGTTGATGCTTAGGTTTATGAGGATAGCCCGGCCATTTGCTGCTGGATGCTTCCCTTCCCCCTTCCCAGAAGTCAACACAAGCCAGATAGAGAAGTTGGCAGTCATTGATTGTATCGATCGGTGATCCAGGGTTTGTCTGAGGTCATAGCTCTTGTAATGCCACTCACATCAGTTGATTGATCATCCCTGTCGGTTGGCCAATGCGGGTCTGTCTTTGTTTTTGAGGCAGAGTAACGACATCGACTCAATGGCCGAGAGCGCACGAACGATAGCGAGAGTGTGGTGTTGTTGGACGTTTGATGTCTCGACAAGCACGCGATCGATTTAGCTATCGTCAACGATTGTGGCCTTCGGAGCGATCGTCGCGAGGTGGTGCCTTGCTAGGTAGTTTCGAGGTTGGCGTGTTCTTCGTCCGTGTGAGACGTCGCAAGCGAAAGGCGCGACAGATGGCACTAGGTACTATGGACAATTATCGAGAGCAGAGACATAGGTCTTAAGCCAGTTGATGGGGCGGTATACCTGAATAGTACCTGGCGGTAATCACCTACTCGTAGGTACATACATAGGATAGGTACTTGGAGGTCGGCTCATGCGGAATACCATCGGCACGTCATAAGGTAGCAGTACCTACTGGGGTTTCAGGGCGTTAGACGAGTTCCCCCCCCTACCACCCCTTTGGACGACGACGACGAGGCATCCCGTCATCCACCGTGATTCGAGGTTCTGCACTGACAGGTTGCGTGTCCTATTTGAATATTACTTTGGGCTGGATTGACAAAGAAGGGTCCAGCATCCAAGGTGCAAGACGCATGCTACGTACCTATTGCTACGGACCGACCGCGACTGGGCTTGGCTAGGCCAAATAAAAGTCGGCTGCCATGGGCGACAAGACTGCACTGAAGGGTGGCACCCACCTCATCCCATCTGGGCCGAAACCTTTTTTTCGTGCAGGATAACATAGCTACGTAGGCAAGTAGGTAGGTAACCTGAGGGTGACTTGGGCCCTGCGGGCAACGACGGGAGGGGGGGCTCGGCTGCGCCTTACTGGGTGGAGACAAGCAAATCCAACTGGGGATGTCCAACGGGCAGCCAACCGGCAACTCTGAATACGCCCGGGGGGGACTGGAGAGAGAGAAGGAAACGGAACCCGGAGCAGGTACCCAGCGAGCTGGCAGTCAGTGGGCAGGTCCACGGGAGGAGTTATATGCTTCAATGTATATCTATCTACCTTACCTACCTACCGAGGTAGGTACCCAGGTTTAGGACTTGGGAACTTTCGTGCAGCGCTGGGAGGCGCAATTTGAGGCACCTCCTGTCCGTACCGCCGACTGCTGCTGAGTCGCTCCCAGCAACCGGTCAACGCACTGATCAGTGGTCCATGGCCGACCAGCGCCGAGGACCGAAGGGATTCGATTCATGCTGGATACGGATGATGTGCGGTCTGTAAGCTATCCGTGGTGCCGGACGGGATGGCATGTCATGGAGAACGGGTCCCAAAAGCTCGAGCGCAGAGTACTCTGTACAGTAGTACAATTCCTGCGCTAGTCTATTTCGGAACATGTAGTGAGTGATGCGGAGAGGTTTCTGGTGCACCTCCAGAGCTTCCCAAGTTTCCCGGAAACAGGCCCCGAGAGCTAGACCCTGCTGTTACGGGTAGGTACCTATGTAGGTACTATGCTGTGCTGTGCTATGCTTACCTACCTATGCTGAGTTGGGCGACCGGGTCCGCATGGACAGGGCCCTGCAAGGCAAGTAGATACCTACCTACATGTAGGTGTGTGCATCCCCTCGCAAAAACGGCACGGAACTCAGAGGTACCGGTACTTTTGCTCCAAGTCTACACGTACTTTTCCGCATCGTTGTTCCCTGACCCTGTCCTGCCCTCTTTCGCGCGACAACATACCATATACCGTCTTTCATGCCTGCCTCCCTGCTGCACCACCGCCTGCACCGCCAAACACCACCACCATCAGAACCACACGCATACGCCGCTCGCTCAGTCAGACACACACACACACACACACACACACAATATTTCTCCCTTTCCCCTCCTCAAGTTTCTTCCCTCTTTCATAGTAGACGTTATCCCACTGCCCATCAATCCCGCCGGCAGTCACCGGCCAGATATACGCAGGAAGAAAAGCCAAACAGTACATCATCGCGTCACGACACAATCCTTGCCGAGACGAATCGAAGGAAGGCAGACAGGCAACAGCATCAGAAACCAGGTGCCTGCTGCAGTTTCCCCAAGATGCCGGCATTCTAGCACAAGACACCCGTGCTTGTCTTCTTTTCCTCTGTGCATCGCTCACCTACCACCACCCACCGCGCCGCGAGCCTTTCATCGACAGCGCTTCTCGACTACGCTACAACGATACGTCGGTTCGAAACATGCGAATGCCTCCTTCCGATCCTTCACAAGACCTACCCCCTCCCGAAACTCTCGCAAGACATGCAGTCGCCGCTTACCTTGAACATGGAAAACGCGCCCTTTCGCTGCCATCCCAATTCATGAAGTCTTCGTCCCCGATGGAGAGGCCCGCCACTCGCTCGCTCCATCAAGGACACCGATCTCTTTCAACGCAACCGCTCACCATGGATTGTGGCCGCTCCTCTCGAATGCGGCCACTGCCATCTTTTAAACACCCGTCACCCTCCAGCTCGTTCACCACACTTCTCGTTCTTCTCGCTTGCCTGCTGATACAGCCTGTGTCCGCCGTTTTGATCCCTTTCGACAACTGCCTCCCCGACAGCTACAGGAACTACGAACCGTTGCCTTTGCAATGGAGCCCTGTTTATATTGACGCTCGATTCGACACCGAAAACCCGAATCACTCACTTCAAATTATTGTATGGGGCAACGTGTCGGGCTCGTACTATAACGTCAGTCTACCGCCTGCTGGCGACCCGCGCTGGAACGATCCTAGTCAGCATGATGGCAAGATTCTCCGTTCCACCAAAGAGGGCAACAAAGTCACTACCCTCGCGAGCAAAGTCAACTTCTTGACATACGAGCCTTTCAGCAATATCTCCAGCTTCTGCAACTACAGCCTCGTCAACGGCTCCTGCCCCCTCAGCCCGGTCTTCAACTCTACGCCCATGTAAGACTGACTTTTTTCTTTCTCTTTCTTCTTCTTCGTGTAACCTGAGTCCGGCTAACCTTACTGCAGCACGAACCCGTATGGCAACTTACCTTCAGTGAATATTACAACCGATATGGGTTCGTCATATGCCTTCGCCTCGCTTGCCGCGACTCTTCAGGTCATCTATGGAGACGACTTGGCAAAGCATATCGGCTGTGCTTCTGCTACCATAACCCCTGATTTGGGTGGTACTCGCGATCTTTTACGTTACTTGCCGCTCGTCGTGCTCCTTTTTGTTGGGTTCGCGACCATGTTCGCCTCCGTGTTCAGCCCGTGGGGGTCGACGGACATCTTTCAGTGGACAACCAACTATGGCCGGGATGCCGATTTGCTGCGCTTGGTGACGCCAGGATTCGGGGATTGCCTTCAGTACATACAGTTTGTGGCCCTTACTGGTGGGCTTACTCTCAACTACCCGGGATTTTATCAGCCTGTTGTCAGCCAGGTGAGCTGGTCCGCATTGATGTTTAACGAGAGCTTCGTGAGCAGGTCTCCGGGCTGGCAGCCCATCCAAGATGGTATCTATATAACCAACGGCTCCTATGGATTACACCGCTACGCGCAAATGGTGGGCATGACCGATGTCGAGGATATCTGGGCCGGGACCATGATTTGGGTTTGCGCCATCGTTGTCGCGCTGCTTGTCCTCACTCAGATCGGATTCTTCTGTCGCTGGGTCCTGCGATTTATTAGCGATACCCCCGAGGAGGACCTTCGAGCCAAGAACATCCCCTTCTCCGTGGGCAATGTTGTGCGGATAGTATTTAACTACCTGCTGCTGCCTATCGTTGCACTATCGACGTTTCAACTGGTCGTTGCCAGTCAGTCTCGAGACTTTGCGGTGGCATTGGCTGTCATTACCCTTCTCATCTTGGTATGCTTTGCTGCATGGCTCTTATACTTGATTTTTAGGACGAGACCGAGAGCCGTTCTCTTCGATGATCTGCCGACTGTGTTGCTCTACGGAGCTCTTTACAATACCTACTCAGATGAGGAAGCAGCCTTTGCACTCGTCCCAGTTACGCTCACATTCATCCGCGGCATTGCGATTGGCGCGGTGCAGCCTGTTGGGATTGCACAAATTGTCCTGCTCGCCATTTGCGAGGTCATTCACGTGTTGACCCTCCATGCGTTCCGGCCTTTTCAGTCTCCGACCTCCATGAACGCTTACCACACTCTTTTCTCGGTTTTGCGGTTCACCACCGTCATGCTCATGGTCGCTTTCGTGCCACAGATGGGCGTGACCGAAGGCCCCAAAGGGTGGATCGGCTATACAATTTTGTTAATACACGCCTGCGTTTTGGTTCTCGGATTCCTTCTGAATGCGCTGATTACGATTATTGAAGTCACTGCACGACTCCTTGGCGCCGGAGGCGACGATGCCCGCGGTCTCACTCGTGGTGGTTTGTCAAAGATCTTTGGCATGCGCCAGCTGCAGCGCCGTACTTCCCGGAGAGGCCATGGGGCCCTGTCCCGGACCAGCCACCTGTCTACCACGGGGATGCTCGATGCCGAAGAAACGTCAAAGACCGGCTATGTGATGCGCGGTGGCAGGTTAAGGAGCGAGTCGGCAGGTAGTGGGTTTCTCCTCCGGAGTCAACAGCGCAGCTCCTCCGCCCTCGACAGCATCGACCCATATACCGGACAGGTTCGTAACTTCGACAGTGGCAGCAACTTTACCCCGACGACTCCCGGTGAAGTTAGCACGTTCTCCTTCCTGCCATCCCCTGCTGCCGCCACTCGGCCTCCTGCGGCTGTGACTGTTGAATCTGCAGATCCATATTACCGGCCTCCAAGACGCCGTGGTGACACCCTTAACGGCTCGTCCACGTCTTTGCAGCATCGAGCCTCCGTCGCCGATTCCCGTCGTTACAGCCAGCCCGGTGCACATCTTGGCGATGCTGCGGCGGACTTGGAGGCACAGTTATCAAGGGGCCCAACACCAGCTCCTCAGGCCATAAACCTCGCACCCAGAGCAGACTACTCGACCAGAGAGGTTGACTTTTACTATGGAGTTCGAGGCCCCGCTCTCAATTCGGAGGGGGTTGGCCGTAAGCTCAGGACAGGCCCCGCTGACCCGACAAAACCCATGGCCACAGCTGCAGGGTGGTTCCGTACCATGTTCGGTGGTAAGAGTAAGGAGAAGGGAAAGGGATTCGAGGTGGTGCGAAGCTCGCGGATGCCGCCAGCCATGCGTGCCGCAGCCGATGCGGAGTACGATGCCGAGCTTCCACCGGAAGGCATCCCGGTAGCTATGGGTGTCTTGAGGAACGGGCCAATTGATTCCGACGATGACAAACCGAACAACAAGGCGGCACGGAAACAACCAGGTAATGGGGAGAACTCGGAAAATCTGCTCGGCGACGGTGTCTCGGTCGTATCTTCCGAATCGGAGATTGAAGAGATTGGCATACCGAAAGTTTCTGATGCACCGCCAACCCTGCCGGGGATAGCAAGCTCGGGCAGCTTCAAGTTATCAAGTCGAGGCCCGTCAAAAGCAAGTCGATCTGCTTCACAGAAACACAGGCGTCAGTCCACGAAACCTGACATTCCAGAAATTCCGCGGAAGAGCTCTAAGAGGGACTCTGTGACAGCACGTGGGCACTCACCAGCCCCTTCGTTGAATCTGATCCCACCGATTTCACCCACGGGTCCTCTGAGCGGCGAGCCATCCAGAGACATTCCTGCTCCGGATGGTCTTGCGTCGTCGCCAAACACTGAACGACTCCCCTTCCAGCGGTCAGACTCGCATCAGAAACGCTTGTCTTCCAGTGGATCCTCTCTAGAGGAATTCAACATTCGCAGGACGCCGAGCACCGAAAGGCCAACCAGTTATGGCGTTGTTGCTCAGCACAGCATCAGCAGAGTTGATCCTGGCTCCGATCAGCAGGTCGATCTTTTGGGGGCTTCCGCTGAGCTCGTTGATGAGCAAGGGCCTCCCAGCAGGAGTTCTTCGGCTAGAGGTCAAGCTTACTGAGAGAGGCTGGATCGCTCGCCAATACACATGCCCTTTTTCGATTCCTCATCTCAGCAAGGCAAGGGTTTTTTCCTAATTAATGTACGCGATGTATAGACTCACAAACGCGAAATACTCGAATTTCCCAGGGCTAAATAACGCATACTGGGTTGGGGATGGAGTTTTGGTTATTATACTTTATGATTGGATTTTTGTTAGCGATGGCGTCTGAAAACGGGACCAGTCTGGTATCAGATGGGCGGCCTGTTGTCACCTATACAGGAATTTTGCTGTTTGTGGACAGCTCTGGCCCTGTCGGCCAGAGCTGTAGTTAGTCACGGCACTAACTTTACGAGGCTGATCAGTCTCCAATCAATACCTTTAATGAGCGAAGCCTCTATCATTTGCGGCAGTCCAAACACGACGTATGTCCCCACATTAAAGCATCACAAGCATTTAGGTTCGAACTGCTGGCCAATGCTTCATCATCGGCGGCACCGGAATGGATGATTACAAAACACATCGTATGTTTTGCCTTTGTGTGAAGCAGAGCCATACAAGTTGACATCTCCCCAATCATGTTGCTGAAGACAGCGTTCAGTCATGTCGGATTCGCCCTCCGAGATATTAGGATACTGATGTGACATTCCGGCCATGTTTAGAAAAACAGTCCGCCCCCTCCCCCACCCCTTTCCCCTAACAACCACAGATAGTCAAGTGGTGGCAAGACGGAAAGAAGCTGACCGTACAACAAGGAAATGGTCCAAGGTGGAGTTGCGGGATCGGTGAGCACGGCTGGCGTCGTCGGTGTAGGAGTCTACAGACAAGCTGATATTGTCCCCCCCCTGTCAACCCGAGAGTACTGTGCACAATAACAGCAATAAACCTCATATCCTAAAGGCTGCAGGTTTAAATCCAGTTCAAATCCAGTTTTCTTAGATTTTTATAGTTCCAAAACGGCTCCGCCGGGGAGGGTTAGAATAGTACTAACCCACCCTGCTTCCTACGCTGCGCTCTAGGTCAGGATGGGCCAAGACTATCCCTTTTGCCTCTAAGATAGTTGTGTTATTACTAAATCCACTGTCTACTGGACTCTGCACAGACTAGTGTGCACGGTACTCTCGGGTTGACAGGGGGGGGACAATATCAGCTTGTCTGATTCCTCGAACCCCGCCATTGATATCACCTGTATCTTATCGATAAGATCACAGTAGTGCGATAAGATTTTTTTCTTTCATAACCCAGTTGGAACCCACCACCACGGGCGAGCGCAAGCACAACTCATATCTCACTCTCTTATTCTTGTCGCTCACTTCAACAGCCCTCGTTTAGCCAATAAATTTCTATGAAATCTCTTCCAGAGATCAGACGGCGCATACATAATCAAGCACATAACATAGAGTAGGAATCACAATGGCGCCAACTCGCCCCAACAAGAAGGCGAAGAAGAGAACGCAGAAGAAGCCCGCCAACCCGGCCCTGCTTCTCGTCGAGGCCGCGACAAAACTGCAAGAGGGTGACCTGGAGAACGCCGTCTCAGCTGCCAAGAAGGCACTTGACGGCACGGGCGTGGGTGGCGACCATGAGCTGGCGGCGGTGAACCTCCTGGGTCTCATCGCCATTGAGATGGGCGAGGTCGACGAGGCGCGGGCCTACTTCCTGCGGGCCGTCGAGCTCGACATTGACGGAACCCTCGACGAACGTATAGGAGGTGGACCGGAGAAGTTCCTTTGGCTCGCACAGCTCAGCGAGGAAGGCGGGCAGGACAGCGTCAACTGGTTCGACAAAGGCGCACAGTCACTCAGGGGCCAGATCCAGCTGCTCGCGGACCTGCCGAAGCGAAGCGCCGAGCAGGAGACGCAGCTGGAGGATCGTAAGAGGAAGCTTGGCGGGGCGCTGTGCGCCGTGGCCGAGGTGTACATGACGGATTTGTCGTGGGAGGCGGACGCGGAGCAGCGGTGTGAGGCGCTCATCACCGAGGCGGGTCTGGTCGCGCCAGAATCAGCGGAGACATGGCAGACAGTGGCGAACGTGAGAATATCACAGGAAAAGGTAGAAGAGGCGCGGGCGGCGCTGGCGAGAAGCCTGGAGCTGTGGGTGAACCTACCGCCGCTGGATCCGAACGTGCCGGATTTCCCGACGAGAATCAGTCTAGTGCGCTTGCTTCTCGAGGTGGAGATGGAGAAGGAGGCGATCGAGGTACTCGAGAGGCTCGTGGGCGACGACGACCAGAGCGTGGAGGCGTGGTACCTGGGCGGCTGGGCCTTGTTCATCATCGGCGAGAAGGTCAAGGGCAAGGACGAGAGCCAGCTAGACGAGGACGATGAGGACTGGAAGTCAACATGGGACACGTCGAGGCGGTGGCTGATGCGATGTCAAAAGCTTTACCGGGAGCAGGAGTACGAGGACGAGCGGCTGGGCGAGCACGCCAAGGAGCTCCTCGCCTCCATCAATAAGGAGCTCGGCGACCCACCAGCGGAGGATGAGGATGACGGCTGGGAAGATGCCGGCAGCGACGAGGATGAGGCGATGGAAGGGTGAATTGGGGGCAACTGTGTTTAGAGACAAATCGTGGCAGGATCATGACCATTGGGAGGCTCGGCTGACAGAATTAAGATCACGGAGTTTTGGGAGTCCGGAATCGGGATTGAAAAGAGAAAAAGACGTCCAAAAGTCATAAAAGTTGCTCCTTCTCCCCCCATTGTCGTCGTCACGGGTTCGTTTGTGGCAGCATATAGATGAGGTACATATACCATGAGAACCACAGTCGTTCCTTCTTTAAAATCCAAAATCAAACGCTAACGGAACGGATGCATTTCTTGCCCTCCCTTTTCCCATGAAAATACTAGAAGCCGACATCTCACGCAGCCTCGACCTTGAGTCTGTCGACGCTCTCTGCCAAGCCCGCGCCATCTTCCTCGTCTTCGTCAACAACCTTGCCAACCAGGCCGCGCTCCCACAGCTGCTTACCTGTCAGCTTGACGGGCTCCTTGATCTTGGCCTTCTTCAGCTCAGCGAGACGCTCCTCCTCTTCCCGCTGCTTCTGCTCCTCCATCTCCTTGATGAAGCCAGCACGCCACTTAAGGAACGTCTCGGGCGTGACGGGAGTGCCGTGAAACTTCTTGTTCTCCTCGCGCTCCAGTGCTGCGGCGCGCTCCTCGTGTTCCTTCTCCCGCGCCTGCTTGCGCTCCTCGATGAGCGCCTCGGCTGCCTCCTTGAGTGCCGAGACGAGCGAGAAGACCATGGCCATTCCGAGGTTCTCTTGGATCGTCTCCTCGATCCCCTCTAGCAGGCGCTCTCGGTCTTCCGACACGTTGAACCACTCGTACGGCGCGGCGTTGGGTACGGACTGTAGGTCCAGCGTGGGCGGCTCGTCGGGATAGGCTTCCGGATAGCGAACCTGTAGGAACATTGTAGGAGGGTCGTCTTCCTCTCCCGGGACATCGAGGGCAATTTGTATTCTGAACTCAGTCTCTGAGATATCTATGATGGCGCCAGTGGTTAGTGATGGTGTTGCTTGAGGTGGCATGGCGTGGTGGGGTAACGGATCTCAATACTCACCTGTGATCTCTTCCGGGAAGATGGACTCGAGCACCTCGCGCTCCTCGACCTGTTCTTCGCGCCCCATATCTCCAAATTTTTCAGCTCTTGATACCTGTTATCCTTTTGGTAGATCAAAAGAAAGTCGCGATGGTGCTGTTTATAGGCCCAAGGTCGTTGCTAAAGAGGCAGCTTGTGGTTGAAAGATGCCATCGATGGCATAGGTACGTACTTGCGCCGTGGTGGGGTCATGCGCTCAATACAGCCTAGCTCACTGCTGACCGCCCGGCAATTGAAATAAAAATTTCTGAATTTCCCAGGCAATTCTGCTACCGCTGTAAGTTCCCACCCACCGTCGGCCGCCCTCTCTTTGTACCCTCTGAGAGAAGTTTACGCATTGCGATTCTGCGGCTGTCCACAACCGCAACTTGCCCCCTCTCCAAACAGCCACGCATACGCTTCTCTGCACCATGGCATTCTCCAACGGTGTCAAGAGAAAGAGTGCTCCCGCCGGCAAGGGTGCTTCTGATGGAAAGTTCTCCAAGAAGGCCAAGATTAACTCACAGAAGAAGGCGGAGCCTGTCAAGGCCCCCGAGAGCGACAATGAGGACGACCTCGACAAATCCCCTTCGGACTCGGATTCGGATGATGGGGGTGTTCAGCTGAACCCTCGTGACAGGGCGCAGCAGGCTCAAGCCAAAGGCAAAAAGGAAGGCATCAATGGTGCTGAGAAGAACAAGATCTTCGAGAGAGGTAAAGAAACCCCGGGGGAATGATGCGCTTGCTGCAAGCTCTCAATTGCAAACGCTTACATACAGTTGCAACAGGCCAAAACTCAAAAGAGTCTCATGCCATCCAGAAGAAGCTGGCCCTCGAGCGCAAGGCCGCGAAGCCCCTCGCCGATGAGCTGGCACGAACCAAGAAGATCTGGGAGCGATTGCGGAGGAAATCTCATGTGCCATCCGAGGAACGGAAGCAGCTGGTTGATGAGCTTTTCACCATCATCACCGGCCGGGTCAAGGATTTCGTTATGAAGCACGACGCCACGCGCGCTGTCCAGACCGCTCTCAAGTATGCCACCGCCGCGCAACGGAAACAGATCACCCGTGAACTGCAGGGAACCTACACTCAGCTAGCTGAGAGTCGATACGCCAAGTTTCTCATTGCCAAGATGGTGGTACAGGCCGACGGCGAGATCAAGGACCTCATCATCCCCGAGTTCTACGGCAAGGTGCGCAAGCTGATTAACCACCCGGAGGCGTCATGGATTCTCGACGACATCTACCGACAGATTGCGACAAAGGAGCAAAAGGCCATTCTCCTGAGAGAATGGTATGGACCCGAGTTCGCTCTCCTTGAGCGCAGCAAGGACGAGAAGCCGACCTCGGACCTAGCCGAGATCCTTGAGAAGAATCCCAACAAGAAACAGCCCATCCTGAAAAGTCTGCACGACATGATCAACTCGCTCGTTCAGAAGAAGATGACCGGTTTCACCATGCTGCACGACGCTATGCTGCAATACTTCTTAAACATCAAGCCTGGCACAGAAGATTTCAATCTCTTCATCGAGATGATCAAGGACGACGAGGAGGGCGATTTGCTGAAGAACATGGCATTTACCCGCTCAGGATCCCGGCTGGTGGCGTTGCTATTGGCCAACGGCACCTCCAAGGACCGTAGAAACCTGCTCAAGGCTTACAAGGACAACTTTGTTCTGATGTCAGGCGACCCGTTTGCCCACATCGTTATCCTCACCGCTTTCGACGTGATCGATGACACAAAGATGTCGTCAAAGGCTATCTTCCCTGAGCTGATTGGCGATGACAAGGAGAAGGCGACAGAAAACATTGTTGTCTCTACAACAAATCCCTATGCGAGGGCTACCCTTCTCTATCTTTTGGAAGGCCAGTCTAGAGCCCTCTTCCCTGCGAACATGAGTGAGGACTTGGCCATCCTCAAAGAGGTCCACGAGATCCGTCAAACAACCAGTAAGAAAGACGCCGAGGTGCGGAGAAAAGAGTTGGTTGCTGTTATATCACCGGCGCTTTTGGAGGCTGTTGCTTCTGCTGCGCCGACTTTGGTGGCAGACCCCTTTGGCTGCCAGCTGGTTGCGGACGTTCTCCTCTGTGCTGTGGGTGATAAGACAGCTGCTCTTGAGGCCGTAGCTGCGGTTGCTGAGGGTGATCCAAGCGCGGAGCCCATGGAGGTGGAGGGCGTCACGACCCCTATCCACGTCTCGCGGACACCATTTGGAGGTCGGTTAATCAAAACGCTCATCGCCGGTGGCAAGTTCAATAAGGAGACCGGCAAGGTTGAGCCCATTGAGCCACCACTAAAGTTCGCCGACGTCCTGTACCCGGTCATCAAGGATTATATTCTGGACTGGGCAACGGGACCGAGCTCGTTCGTTGTGCTCAACATGCTGGAAGCTGAAGACTTTAGCCACGCACCTGAATTGAAGAAGATGCTCAAGAAGCACAAGAAGGCTCTTGAGAAAGCAGCCACAGAGGAGACGGCCGAGCAGAAGGAGGCCAAGGAAGCTAAGGCCCAGAAGGAAAGCGAAAAGAGCGACAAGGGCGCGAAGAGGAGCAAGAAGGGTACTGCCAAATCGGACAAGCCCGTGGGCAACCTTGGTAGCAAGCTTCTGCTGGAGAAGCTGTAGGGCCGTTTCTGTACAAAAATGAACTCGGATTGGTGAGCAAAAAGTTCTTCGTAATGTTTTCAAATACCCACACACGCGTGGCAGTATGTGTGCCGACAATGGCGTGCAACACGGTTGGTCTTGGGGGGTAGGCATCGAATAAATTAAGTTTGGTGATTTAAACGTATAGCATCGAGACAAGATCGCAGGTGAAGCGCTACCATGGTGGAATCTTACATTTCGCAACCGTTTTTGGATGTAGCCGAGCGGTGGGGCTTAGCCATCGGGTCGATAGCCATTGTCTCGGCCCGTGACATGGTGGCAAATACAACGGGTCTGCTGCATTTGGTCTCGTCCTACCGTGTCCGTTTCCGTCATTGTAGCTCGGCTCTTGCGTTATCGAATCGTGAGGGGTGGTGACACAGCTTTTGCTACTTGTCCATGGACAGCATTCATCCGAGAGCAAACACCGTAGGGCGGTCCTCCCCCGGATACGGCCAAACGGACAAGCATCAAAGATAGAAGACTGGCCACCCTTCTCTATAGTATAGGTTAGCGTCCAGTGTGTTGTCTCGTCTGGTATGGAGGTCGGCTCTAGACTGATCTACGAGTGCTCACTGGTGACTGTAGTACTGCCTTGGGGTGATCATCAGCCCAAATTCGAGAGTTCTCAGTAACTGCCCGTAGGAGGAGAGAGAAGAGAAGAGAAGAAAGAGTTGATCGAGCTAGAGGCCGAAGGTCTACCCAGGCGAGAAGACTAGAATTGGGAGAAGATGAAGACACTGCATGCATGTAGGGGAGGCAGGCAACGCCCATCGCCCCTTCCCTTCCTTCACTCCTTCCTTCCGTCCATTTCTTTCCAAGCTACCAGCTACCAATTTACTACCCACTTACTTAGATACTTTGAAAGCCTTTTCTCTTTCCCTTGGCCTTTTCTTTGGAATACAATTTTTTCGGCTTGTCGAAGAGGTGCCTTGCAGACGCCGCGGTTCTTCTGAATCACCTTGGGAAATTCATTTTCCTTCAACTCTGCCTATTTGACCCCCATCATCGCTCTTTGGTTTACCTCACTTCAACCTCGCTTGTATCCATTGCCATACGGTTCTGACAGTGACGCGCAAATCGTCAAGCTATTGACGACGTCGATCTTCTTACGTCGCCTCTTGCCGCACACCTATAACGATTATACGCCAAGAACAACCTTCTGCCGCCGTCATGCGTATCTCAATTATCGCAAGAGGCAAGGACACCTGCGACGCCGGCTTCACCTACTTCGAATGCGAAGAGGGCTATCGCGGTTGCTGCCACTTCAACCCTTGCCCTGGCAACACCTGCCCGCGTGACTCTCCCGGAGACCAGCCAGGCAAGACTATCGCATCCGTTGCTGCGCCTGTTCTCATCCCTGCCACGTCGCTGGCGAAGAAGTCTATTGTCACCAGGACCTTGACCATCACAACACACCAGTCTCAGTCGATGAACATCGTGACCACCACCGTATTCCTGGCTGATTCTACTGGCCCGGGGGGCGCCTGGTACACTGACCCAAAGGGTCGACCCGTCTCATCCATAACTTCTCTGGGACCATCTATGGACCCTACAGATACTCCGGCCTTTAACATCCCGTTCACCTCTGTCAAGCCTCAGGTGTTTATTACTTCGACATCAACCGCTTCTCCTCAGCCCGATTCTGAGAAGAACAGCCTCTCCACTGCTGTACAGGCCGTGATCGCTGTCTCCATCTTAGTCGTGCTTGTGGCAGTAATTGCCGCCTGGTTTCTCTGTACCAAGCAAAGAAGGAAGCTCCGAGGTTCGCGGGAGTCCATCAGCTCCATCAGCGGAGATGTCAACAGCACAGATGGAAGCAGGAATGGCTCGAAGGAGGACCAGAGCAAAATACCCACGACTGCCAATCCAATCCGATCCGATGATGGTTTTTCTCCCTTTGGAGGTAAGTGGCCTCCAACATTTTGTCTTTGAGTTTCATGGAGCTAACCAGTCACAGGATTCTATGAGGAGCCTCAGATTCGCTTCAACCGAACCAGCAACACAGGCTCAGACAGAATGATGAACCACCCGACCAGTCCTGATACTCGTGACTCTGCTATTCCGCAGCCGCCATTGACTGAGATCCTGAGACCCAACACGGCCAGTCCTGATCCCATTCCCTTCACTGCTAGTGCGACTCCTGACTTCGTTTGCCGCACTGCCAATGCGACGCCCGACTTCATCTGTCGTACTGCCAACGCAACGCCTGACTTCATATCTCGCCTTGGCACGGCCACCCCTGAGCTTCACGGCCCTCCCCAGCAGGCGGCCATCGCCGAGCTGGCTTCGCCAGGTCTGCCCAGGGTTATCGAGATTTGCAGTACTCGCAGCGGCGTGCAGATGTACAAGCCGTACCGCCCGGGTACCGGTTTGTACCCTGTCGCTGAGATCACCCCGAGACTCCTCACCGGAACGCTGAAGCCCACTGTGGACGAGCGCCTTGAAGGTCGATACGTGAACAGCTGGACTAAGTGGGATCCTATCGCTTGAGGGGCATCATCCGATGCTTCTCGAGGATATTCGGTCGATGCTGCGTGGAATTGAGGGAGTTGGAGGCTAGGTTAAGGGGAGGTAGTTTAGAACTTCGGCAGGCGTTGGACGATACCCAGGACTGCTTTTCGCATACATGATTTGCCTGATATTGCTGGTTCTTGTCAGGGTTATTTCAAACCGGCACGGATGGAAAAATATGAAAACAGCAACAAAGTTGGAGACAGAGCCGTCATGGTCACCCATAGCTAGACCAACTAATTGACATTTCTACTCCAATCAATAATAAAAAGTGACGTCGATGCTGTCTGTTGTTTAAGTTACGCCTATAATGGCCACTGTAGATAGGTGAGAGTGACCCAGTTTGCGAGAACGCATGTGCATGGCCTTATTGTGCCGAATTCATGGGTATTTTGGTATTCAACACATACTTAAAAAGACATTCTGATCCCCTCCCTCCTGTGTACGCCAATCATGCAGTATGCTTCTTGTGCAGAAGCGTTTTCGTGACCTTTCCATTTTTCTTCTTCTTTTTGCCCTGCCACGGATATTGAAAATTTCCCACTTCTCTCATCGGTTTGCTGTATGTGCTGGCAACACGAGACCTGTTCGCCTCCCCAGTGCCGCCGCGAGTGTTTGCTGTAGATGTGTCCCTCTCGGCTACTGCCAATTTGAGGGACTAAGGATCGAGCAGTGTGAGCGCATCATCGGCTCTGGAGCTTGCTGATCTCATCGAGGAGTATTTGCAAGTCATCGTCGCTGATCTTGTCTTGTAGGGAAGGAATGAGTGTCTTTGCTTCCTCCGCGGTTTCGCAGCAAAGGGATCCTGCATTCGGTTAGCGAATGATGCTTTTGAGCGAAGGCTGTCAGGCGGTGCCGGATTTAAGGTGGTGTTCTGCTTACCTATTTGTGCTCGCTCGAACTTGGCAAGCTGCTTGTGTGCGCTGAGCAATCGCTCGACGGCCTCGACATTCTCCTTCTGGCGGAACCGAGAGAAGGCATCAAGGTAGTTGAGAGTCTGCGTCAACATTCTGAAGGAGTGCAAAAGTTTAGCTATTTGTATCCTCGAAGGGTGCCTGCTTCAACTATGGCAACAAGTGTCGCGTGACGATAGGTGGGTGCATCACGGCTTACTCGGTTTCGTTGATGTTCTTGCGGTCCATCTTCCGCTTCGTCACAAGCGCATTGATGACCAGAGACGCCTCCGATAGGGTGAGGGTATCTACATGTTGGAATTCACCGAGATTTAGGATGGTCGAGGCTTCCTCGCTGCCCGGGGGAGGAGGCTTTGGGCGCGAAGTAGGAGCATGATGCGACATGGTGGTCTGTGTTGTTTTTTTTTGTTTTTTTTTTTGTTTTTTTTGCGATTGATCGAGGGATAGGGCCGATTTGAGGGTAGGGGGGCAAGAATCGAGGTCGGAGAGATTTACGAGCTGACTGGGCTGGAGATATTGTGCAGGTGGATGGTGGAAAGGGAAGAGGGATCTCGTGAAGCGACCGTTGTCGGCGGAAGCTACAACGGGCAACGGTAGGTGAGTTGTGGATGAGGCTGAGGATAATGTTCCAATGGAAGCCTACCTCTGTCGACGTCCTTCCAAGTCCCTTCCGCCGGGGGGGCGGAAGAGAGAATGTGTCCGTTAAGTGTGTCCCTCGGGACTAGCGCAGGCACCTGTAGGGGGGGAGGGGGGTGGCGTCGACCCAGCGATATTGGTGTGTATTTAGCGACCCATGCTCGCTGGGCGGGAAAGTATGCAACTGGAAGAGTAAGAGCGCAGCTTAACCACGTATCCTGCCCGAACCTGAGGCCAAGCGGGATATCGACATCAAGTTTATGAGTGTGGTATTCAAAGATTGATGAGAATATCCAGAAGGGATTCCCATATCTCGCGTTCAACTCGTCATCAGCCGTGAGCTGGTTTGACGTAGGAAGCCATGTATGTTGTCCCCTCTTCCTGCATAGTCAGACATCTCACTGACCTCGACAACAGGACTGTCTTTGCGCTCATTGTCATCAACAAGGCTGGAGGCTTGATCTACAATCGCACATTCCATGAGGGCGGCCTCAATCAGCTGAGCACAAATGATTACCTCGTCCTAGCAGGCACATTTCACGGGTAAGCGAGAACCTCACTCACTTCACCCAGCCCTTTTGAGTCGAGGATCGGACAGACACTCACACACCCATCACCAGTGTCCACGCCATCACCGCCCGTCTGAATCCTTTGATGAGCCGGCAAGATGCTGCGGCGGCAGCGACAGCGGCCAGCGTGACAGCGGCGGGTGGCATTCCTTCGCGACCCGAACCGCCAACGGGGCTAGAGGTCATGGAGTCGGAGAACTTCCGGATGCAGTGTTTCAACACCATGACGGGCACCAAGTTTCTGCTATTCACCGATACGACACAAACCAATATCGATGTCACCCTGCGGAGGATATACGACCTATACAGCGACTACGTCATGAAAAATCCCTTCTACCAGTTGGAGATGCCCATCCGTTGCGAAATGTTTGAGCGCAAGCTGTTATCGTACATCCGGGAGATCAACAATCGTTAGGTTTCGAGGACAATCGCTTTGAATAGCGAATGCGGGGGAAGGAATTCAGTAATCGGGTCTGGCTTCGTTTGGGTTGGGAAACAATCTTCATCGTGAAATGGCGTTTATAGGAGTACCAAGCCTTTCTATTGAGCCGCATGTGCCTTTGGGACTGTGCCAATGTTCTATTTTACATACTCGAGGTAGTGGTCAATCAGAAGGATGGGCCGTGCCCACCGCCTTACGAGGTGTCCATCGTGTCATCGTCTTTCTTGTCGTTCTTCTTGCTTGGCTCCCCGTCTTTGTTGAGGAGGGGTGCATTCTCACCCTCTTCCTTGATGTCCTCAAGCGATCCCTTCTGCCCGGCCTCGGCCTCCTCCCGCGCCTTCTTCTCCTGCCTTGCCTTCTCGTCCTCCATACTCATGCGCAGCGCAAGAGCGAGCTCTGGGTCCATGGCAGGGTCAAAGTCAAACTCGCCAAAGTTACCGCCGCTGCTCTCGCCGCCGCCGCTTCCGCCACCACCGCCACCACTTCCACCAGCAGAGTCACCGAGAAGGATCGGACTCGAGATGAGCTGGTCGCTAAGAAGCTTGCTGCTCGGGGGAATAACGACCAGGTTAGAGCCTTCGCCACCCTTGACGCTCTCATTGAACGCCTGCAGTTTCTTCTGCGTATCGTCATCGTCCAAATCGCCGAAAAGCACGAAGTCGACCGAGACATTGCCCTTCTTCATCTTCTTGGCCAGCTGGACCAATTTCTTCTCTTCCTCCTCGATGGGCGAGCAGACGAAGACGATTATCCGTTGCCGTTGGGATTTGTTCTGACGGTGCTTCAGGGCAAGCTGAAAGGGGCCAAGCACGTCAGCAGAGCTAATTAAAAAAGGGCTAAGGAAGTATCTGAACTCACTCCGGCGACTTGGATACCCGTAGCCAGGTGTGATGTTCCCTTGATCTTGGTCTTCGTGCGGTGCAGACCATCCAGGATCTTGCCCTGATCTGTCGTGAGAGTGACCAACACCTCAGGGCCTTTACCCCCCATGCTCATTAAGCCGACTGAGGACTCGGGGTTGCCGTTGGTAATGGTCTGGAAAATTACGTTGACGGCATCGGCCTGGGCGTCGTATCTCGTGGGTTGGTAGTCGCCATTGCGACTGCTTTCGCTGTTGTCGACAACGACCATGACCGCTTCGAGGACCATCTTGACGGTTTAGGCGGTGAGCCGGGCAATGAACTGGGCAAATGAACACTTCTGAGTTTGATGCAGTCCCTCTTTGGTCAACGTCGTTGTGACTGTTCGGGATATGTAGAGGAGAACGTGGTGGAACGAGAGGTTGGATGAGCGAGCTTCGGATGGGGGAGGGAAGCTTGGTGGGCGGGAGCTCCTGCGTAAGGCAGTTCAGCCTGGTGACGCTGGTTGCGTACATGTAGCAGTACCTAGACTGCTACTTTTATCTTGCAGATTCAGCACGTACCGGAACTTAAGATCGGTTTCTCGAATAAATTCCCAGATAGGCAAGCACGCCTGTGGGGATCCAACAGCGGGTTATGTATCGGGCTGCTTGTAAGTCATGAGGTGCAGCTTGATTAGTCTCATATTAATTAACCCAAGTGTAAGTTCAGCTTGATCAGTGGTATGGTTTATTATACCAATAATAAAGTGATAGTCAGGTCAACCAGTGCAACATGTCTGGTAGCAGTACACAGGGTCAGCCCATTCAGTGCCCTTGTAACGAGTTTGTAGCGGAACCCCTTGCTGCACTGGGAGTGGTCTAGGCAGGATTATGTAAGATACTTAACCGCTGTTAGGTTTGTTTACTTTCTGGAGTACTAGCCACTCACAACAGAGCCTCCACCCTATCATCCTTAGCTTTCAACAACCTTCACGCCTTCGTCGCGATTAGGCACGTTACTCCAGCGCCAACTACCATCGCACATTACCATTTGCAAATCCCAAAAACAGACACTAAGACACTATGGCTTCCTCACGAACGAAGAAGAGAGTTTCAGACGAAGTCGATGAGCCGCCCGCAATGTCAGAAAGACAGGCAGTTCCTACAAAGGCCGGCACACCTTTGCTGAGCAGCAGTCCCAGCAAGCGGCAAAGGCTTGGAATCAGCTTAGAGCAGAAACAAGCGATCATCGATAACCTGCAATTAGAGAGTGAGTGTACAAGTCGCGATGATACCAGACGTGTCGTCTAATGGTCTGGCAGTTACCGATCGTGCCAGGCGACTTCGCGCACAATACAACCAGCAGGCACAAACCCTTCGATCACGTATACAGATGCGCGTCAACCGCGTTCCCAGATCCATGCTCAAGATGACTATGGCCGACTTAGTTGCCAGGGCCGTCGAGCAACAAAAGCGGCTTGAGGCAGCTTCGCGGCCACCTCCAGTGCCTGAAAAGGACTTTGCTTTCCGGACGAGCCCTTACAAGCTAGCACCTCCAGCGCGTTCTACCAAGCGTCTGAGGTATGTTATTATCGAGAGCGATTACGTGAATGCACACTGATGGTGGACGGTAGTGATGCTATGGCAGGCGGAGACAAGGAAAATGAGCAGATTCTCAATCCCAAGAAAAAACATCGTGCTGCTCCGGCACCTCTGAGCTCCTCTCAGATACTGTCGCCAACATCATCAAACACTAGGTCGCTGGCACGTGAGCGACCGCCTTCCTCGCCATCAAAGTCCTCTCAAATCGCTAGGCCCACCTCATCCCCCACGAAGCAGCACACGAGTGCTCGATCGGCTCTCTCGAACATGGTTGAGAAAGCCAAGAAGACCGGCCGCGCAGCCCCGTCGCATCCTCTGAATGCCTCGACAACCAGCTCCAACGCATCTGCACCAGCACCTGCTACAGGTACCGCACCTCCAACAAGAACGCGACGCGCCAATACCACAACTGCAGCCAAAGCACCATCGCGACCTGGAACGCGAACAGGCAAACGAATTAGCGACTCTAGCGAAGACAGCACAGGAACCGTTGTAAAGAAGACGGCAGCGTCAGCTTCCGCGAAAAGAACTGTCATGGGCACAATCAGGAAGGGCGTTGGCGCAGCAACTAGGAAGCCAGCAGCACCCAATTCTGCACCAGCATCTGCAGCAGGAACTACGAGAGTCCTGCGGAAAAGGGGTTAGCTTCTTCTGTATGAATCGAGCGAGGGATTATTGGGTATACGGCATTGCTAGGGTGGGCGGAGGGTGCACAGTGCGCTTGAATGTGATCACCTGTGGTGTGGGATTTAAACGGCGTTTTGGGAATCATGACAGAAATGACGACAGCCAGGCATACTCATAATCAATTGATAGACTACGTCAACTCCTTTTTCCAAATGGTCTAAGCCGGCGCGCTGGCCTTCTTCTTCTTGTCTTCCACCAGCTCTATGTTGTCCTCGGGTATCTCCTTATACTTCTCCAACAAAAACTCCTCAATCTCGTCACTGACATCGCCTTGTACTACAATCTCCTCGCCACCGCTCGGGGTCTTGGTAACAGATGAGCCAGTAGCAAACTTCTTTCCAAACTCCTTGGCGACCTTCTTGTTTTCCAGCCCGAACGACTCAAGACCGGAGACGGACGTGACGAACTTTCTTTTGTTGCGCTCGATCCTCTTAATTGTGACGACACTCTTGGCCAACTTGTCGGCTTGTTTGGCTTCGGCAGCCTCGGCCTTGGCCGCCTTCTTCTGTGCGTCTTTGGCAGCTCGCTTCTGTGCGTCGACGGAGAGGGATGCAGTCGCTGCCTCCAGAGCCTCTATAGATGGCTTATAAGTATCTCGGCAACACCGAGGAAATAAACATGGTGCGGAGTCCATACCTTGCGACCATATTCTGGCATATAGGTCGGGATGGTGCTTTTCAAGCCAGTCCTGACACTTTTTGACAGTGCCGCCATATTCGCAGTACTGTATCATAAACACGACTAAGCACTAATGGTTTCCGGTGAGGTTTTTGAGTGATTATAACATACCTCTGGGGGAAGGGTGCAGACTATACATGGGGTAATAAGTCAGAATTCGCTCCTTGAATATGCTTGGGTTCATGCGCCGCAATGTCAGAAACTTACCGCCGCAGTAGATTACATGGCGGCCTTGAGGCTCACCAGAGGTTTCTGACTTGTCATTGTCGGCCATGACGATTTGGAAGGGCCGGTTTTGACAGTGGAGGGGTCGCTTGCAAAAAGATGTCAAGCGAAGGATTCAAGGAAGTAGGAGACGCGTGCCTGTCTCTTGTCTTCTCTGTTCCAAGGACGGCCGACTGCGGGGTTGATTGAGTTGATGGCGGGGCATGCATGAACTGCCACAGCAGACCACCCCCAGTTGGAGCGCTTAAGTAATCAGTTGTGGCTGGAGCTTGGTGGTTAGGCAATTCGACCGCCATCGACCCGCCCTCCCTGATCTGCTTCCCTCCAGCCTCTGTCTCCACAAACATCACCAACGCATTCACTAGACCTGCAAAGTGATTCAACCTGCACGTTGTGTACAGGCTCGGCGCGCTCAGCTCGACCACTTCAACAATATGCGCATGCTTCCAAACTGAAGGCGCTGTGATTTCCACTTGCTTTGAATTCGGGCGCCACGACCATCGGACCACTGACATCTCCATGTTGTGCGTGCTTGGCCCAAATTGAATCACGGATTGAGCAATCAAGGCCGATAGTCCATTGAAGTCTTGCATGCTGAGTCTTGATGAAGTTTATGCGACACTCAATAGTCTTCTCTCCACGAGGCCAACTCAGGGACCTGTTCAACTTGGCGACAGAGCTAGGTCAAGTGGCCAGTCGTCCAATCGATGTCGCTTTTAAGCGCCCAACTTGCGTTAGCCATCGTCATTGGCGGGTGGCTTGACAGCAATGCATTCCCAATCAGGATTTGTTCCCACCCCCTCACCTCTCGTCTTCGCGCGCGCCAGCCACTCGCCGCTCACCCAGACCATGCTCGACTTCTGTATCCCAAAATTAGATACGCTTCTGCGAATGCCCATTGGGCAGAGGTCTCGCTCATGAACCGATGGCATAACCTTTTGGGGTGGAGATGGGCCCTTCGTCTTTCCATCACGGTCTCTCACGCGCCGGCAGCACATCCCCATTCGGGCCAATGCAGTCTTTGCAGCAGGCGCGCTGCATGATGGGTGCTGCCGAGTGAATGCATCTGGTGTGCGATGCTATACTGTCTTCTCTCTCTCGGGTGCGCTCAGTTCACCGTCCCATCGTGCGTGGTGCGGACAGCGTAGTTTGCAACCCACTCATGCGGCCACCACCAGGTTAGCCGCCTTCCGTCGTGGAAGAGCAGGGTCTCGCGAGATTATATCACTCGCTCCTGGCCAACCGCCAGGCCTTCTTTCCTCTCTTCTTCTTCTTCCCCATCTCTTTCGCTGTGTCCTTGTTATTGCAAACCCTCCTCTTGAAGGCTTCGTTGATCGAAGCAGCCTGTCGTTTACACGAATTTTCTTTCTGCCCTTCATATCCAGACTCAGACGCTGGTCGTCCCTGGAGAGACGTTTATCTAGACGCAACGTCGTATTTTGCCTATACTTATACTGTTACAGCACATTCAACCGCAAGTCTATATCAGGATATCTGACTTGCATAGGGGAATATGGCTGAAATTACTCACTTACCCTCGTCAACATACAGACCTCCCTCCCCTTCGCAGGCTAGAAGGCTGGGGAGGTCACTTAATACTATAATGGAGGAGGAGAGCGAGGATACACAATACGCCATCGACAACAGGCAGCTCCGGAGCCAAACGTCGAACCTCAAAATTGAAGCCTGGTTATCACCGCTGAGCGACCACTTTCCCACACCAAGAGGCTTCCACTTCCTCTCTGCCCCGATCTTGCCGTCCTCACCATCGACCATCTCGGCCGACGAGAGTAGCTCACCTTCTACATCCTCAAACCCATGGAACAACAACAGGTCAAGCGTAATGACCGACGTCACCGAGTTCGATGACCTATACGATGTCACGGATGAGGATGAGCCCCCCGAGTTGCGTCGAGTACCGTCGCGCAAAGCATCAGTGAGGAGACGCAAATCTGGTCGTAATGGGGTGTCAAAGAAGACTGCGGCTGGCGTTCGCAGAGCTTTGCCCCCTCTAGTCATCCCCGGCGGTCGAAACACATCAACAGAAGACTGGTCTGCTGCCAGCCTCAAAAAGACTCTCGCATCGCCAGTGCCTCCTACACCACCAACCCGTGTCGAGATGTCTCCCCAAGTCTTCTCCTTCATGCAGGCGAAGCAGGCTCAGGAGGTGCCCACAATTTCGGCCCCGCCGTCCCTCGATGGGAGCTTGAGTTCAGAGCAGTTGGCTCAAATGTCCGCGCCTCCTACCCCTATCATCGGTAGCGACAACGGCAAGGAGGCAGACTGGTCCGGCGTGCGACTTCAACCAGGCGCTTTGGCGACTCTGCAAGCTCTATCTGGCGATAACGATAGCCTACACGAACATGATCATGAACACTCCAATCAGGTTCTTGAGATTCCTCAAGAACCTGTGCCTGAAATGCGTCAACAACCTCTGCGTCTCCTCACAAATCTCTTTCCCCAGCCGGTTCGTGTTGCCGAGCTCACCCCCAGCTCTCACCGTCGGTCTCTTGCCGATCTCACCAAGCTTGATATTCCTTCACCTGGCGGCTTCTTTTCTGGCCTCTCGCCCAGGACAAGGACAACATGGCACATGCCGACGAGATCCCCCGAAGACATGGTGCCCCCAACGTCAACCACCGCAGAACAGTTCTACCGCTGCCCCTGGAACGTGGACGTCTCGGTACCTCCAGTCCCGGCTGCACCCGCTAAGCTCATTCTCAACGATGCTGCCGAGCAGTACTACCGCAGCTCAGTATCGTCTACTTCTGCAATCGTAGAGCAGGTTGTTGAGGTTGATGACAAGGAGATGGACGAGGATGACATGCCAACTGCCAGGCCGATTGTTCCAGCAAATGGCTCAAGCTCTTCCGTGACGCTGGCTGAGCCAACCTCCCCCGAGGTTGAAGATGCTCCAACTGAGATCGTCACGGTTTACGACCCCGAGTATGCGCGCAAGCAACAGGAGGTCGCCCTCTCCAATCTCGACCGCACAGAGCTTTGGCTCATGGCCCAGCGCGCCTACTTAAAACCTGTCGAGGCCAACCAAATAGAGGAGCATGACCACAACCTTGGCACAATCCTGGAAGCCGCTGACGAGGAAGTCGAGAGCTTCCCGGAGCAGGAAGTCCCGTCAGCACCGAGGAAGAAGACGGTCCGCTTTTCCGAAATCATCACCAAGACCGACATCCCCCGTCGCCTGCCTTCCAAGCTTTCTAGACAGGAGTCCGCCTACTACCGCGCCTTCCAAGACTACGTCATCCGCTCCAGTAAGCAGGACGTCTTCGTACACCAGCTCCCCCGATTCGAGGCCCTCCAGGCCCAGCGTGTCTGCCTGCGTGAGTTCCACCGCAACCAGCTTCTCGGCAAGTACCAGCTCAGCGTCGTGCCGCAATCCGCCAAGAAGCGCCTCAGCGCCAACGTCGCTCGCGGTGACGACATCCTTGTCGATGACCCGGAGAAGCTGCGCCGCGAGAAGGAGTGTGAGGCCATGTCCCAGATGGCCATGCCGACCTGGCATGTCGCCGCTATTAAGATGCTCAACGGCGGCAAGCTCATCTCGGCGCCCGTCGCCAAACGCCTTAGTCGCCTGTCCCGCATGGCCCCCGGCCGCGACGGCGTCGCCCGCGACAGGGCGCGCATCCTCGACATTGGCGGCCAGTCGGCGTGCGACTGGGCTTGGCACTGCGCTCTGCAGTATCCCAACACCAAGATCTACACCGTCACCACAAAGGCCATCCGCCAACTGTCCAACTCCAATGTCCGTGGCCCGCCCAACCACCGCCAGGTTGCCGTTGAGCGCCTTACTCGCCTGCCCTTCAAGGACGACCAGTTCGACCTCATCTCGGCGCGCGAGCTGCACAGTATCCTCAAGTTCATCGGTGAGAACGGCGAAGACGAGTGGGAAACGTGCCTGAGGGAGTGCCTGCGCGTACTCAAGCCGGGCGGCTACCTTGAGTTCTCCCTCCTTGACTCGGACATCATGAACGCGGGCCCTCTCGGCCTTGCAAAGAGCGTCGAGTTCGGTTTCGACCTCAAGACCCTAGGTTATGATCCCAACCCAACAAAGATGTTTCTGGGCCGCCTCTCGCGCGCAGGCTTCGACGAGGTTCGGCGCGCGTGGGTGTGCCTGCCCATGGGCGCGCGCCCGCCCTCCCAGCAACAAGAGAAGCCTCTTCCTTCACTTCCCGCCGTCCGGCCCAATCCGACGGGTGAGGAAGTCAGAACGGTAACGATGGAGGCCATGGTCACCGGTAGCACAGACGGCGTGGCCAACGTCACAGGCATCGTTGGTGGCTGGAGCTGGGAGCGCTGGCTGCTGAGATGCGAGATGGAGAAGGTCAGCGGCGAGTTACGACTCGCAGACACAGTGACGGCAGGTCCCGCAATGAGGGAGGCCGGTAAGAGCATCGAGGGTGTCGCAGCCATCGTGGAGGAGGGACGAGGCTGCGGCGCCGGGTGGAGGATGTTGAGCGGGTACGCAAGAAAGCCAAAGACCGGCACAGGGCTCATCTCTGTCGGTTTCGAGGTTTAAAGGAGTTCCCACGAAGAACAGATAATTTCCTTATATTCTTCCTTTTCGTTTCTCTATATCTTCCCTCCTCCCCTCAGTTTCACTCTGTCCCAATTTCTTTTGTACGAGCAATCGATGATGAACATAAGATGGGATGAGCAAAGTATCTACGGGTAACGGACGCACATGTAAATATGGATGATGAAGTATCGAGGGGTGTAATTCAGGTGTCTAGTATTGCGTGGCTGGTGTTTTACAGGTGCTAGAGGTTTATCGATGGAAGCTATCGAGAGTTGCTTCCAATTACTATATATCCAACACCCGTCAAGTGCTTTCTGTCCCTGTCTGCAAATCAAGAGTGATTTAAATTGGAAGAAGGCAGAGATCGAAAAGAAGGGTAATTATAACGCCACTTCGAACTTCCAACGCCCAGAGACGTACCTACTGGAGGTCGATGAGCGAGTATCCTTACTAGCTCCACACACCAACAGCTCACAATGACATACCTGAGAAGACCGAATGCAATTATTTATGGCAAGAAAGGGAAGTAAGGCCACTGTGAACAAGTGGTATCGTATCATTAACGGGTTACGCTATGTCATATGGTATTGCAAAATTGTAAACAATGGGGGTATTCGGGAGAAGAATAATCATCTTACACATGGGGCATATGTAATAAAACTTTCTCGGCATTTACTTAGCGACCAACCCGCCCTTTATGTCAGGAATTAGTATCCATCTTTTCGCCTACAAGCGACCCGGCTTTGACGTTGATATTCTCGCTATCGCCTAGTCGGTCCCTCTCGTCCAGCCCCGACGTTGAGGGTAATACAGAAGTTTCTCTGGGTGTTTTGGCTGACGCCGGCACAATCACGTTGAGAACGCAGTCATCCAGATGCTCATAGAACTCTTGAGCCGTGCCAAAGTAGCTTTGGCAAATTGAGCACTTCGCGCCATCGCCGCGGACGTTGCCGGATCCGCTGATAATGAGCTTCCGGCTGTTGGGGGGTGTCTGTTCAACGTTGTGGACCGACGTTAGATGGCGCTTGAAAACATCGGCTCGATTAAACGCTTTCTCGTACGCCGTTCCCACTCCAGGACAAAAGGGACAGATCATTGTCCCTTTGTAATGTGTCAAAGCGTGCCTATTTTTGTCGTACTTCCGCGCGAACCCCTTGGTGTGATACTCACACGTTTCTATAGGGCACTTCTCCGGCCGTTCTTCTTGATGGGTGAGCATGTGAGCCGCGAGATCCTTGAACACCCGGCCACAATCTGGATGAGGGCAGCGTGTGCGATTGTCCAGTGTTTTGCTCGATGGGCTGCTTATCTGGGACGAGACCATTGCTTCAGCGGGAGCGATCATTAAGGGAGCGTTTGGCGGCACTGCTGCCAGCATCGATGGTCCAAAAGTGGGAGAACGGGCCGGCGCGGGGGGCAGTGGCGGTGCTTGGGTAAAATATTCTAGCGGTGGTTTGTAGTCGACCTCTTCCCCTCCACTGGAATCGTCCTGGTCCTGAATGTCGACAGATTGCCGCACTTCTTTCATCCAGTCCTTCAGAATGGTCATGGGGGGCCAGTCTCCACTAGCCTTTCCGCCCCTATGCGGATTGAAGTGTGCCCTCCTGAGGTGTGCCGCTGCATTGTAATACGCCCCATACCGTTTCTGCGTGACGCAAGCTTTGCATTTCGATAATGGAATCACTGGCTGTGGCAGAGTCGGACTGTAGCTTTCTGGTTCGGTGCACACCCAACGCCTGACTAACGAGGCATGCTTCGCGTCGGTATGCCTTCGTAGTTCGTGCTCACCCCTAAATCCTTCTGGGTATTCATTACATTTGATGCAGTAGACCCGACGCAAGGGCGGCCGCTGGTATGTAGGTCGCCCTCTTCCGCCTGGAAGCGGAGACTCCAATGACCGCATGGGTCCCCGGGGTAAGGTTGGACTCTCTCCAACTGTGTGCCTGCGACCTAAATGGTCCAGTCCCTGAGGGGAGGTAAGGTAGTCAAGGCCACCAGTCGCACCAAAAGGGTCTCGGTCCAGAAGCGAGGCCGGGTGCGGGACCCAGGGATCGCCCAAAGCCCGGGGGTCATACATGGGACGCCTTGGTTCTTCCCCAGGTTTAACAATGGGTGGTAGGACGAACATACCGGTCCGCGGAGGAATTCTCTGCCTGAGAAAGCCATTGAATGTGGTTGTGCCTTCCGTATCACCATCTCCCAGGCGCATCAGAAACTCCTTGGAGGACGCAAAACCCTGCTGGGTCCAAATGCCTTTTCGGACAACTACATGAAGCGATTCCATTGCAGCCCTGTCCCGGTCATCCAAGTCGAATACTTGCTCTTCGAGGAGCATTGGTCCGGAACTCGCGAATATCGTGACCAAGAGCTTATAGAGGCCGTGCATTGCATGCGCACCTCCTGTCCCTCTCCAAGCCGGTGGCAGCTGGGATGACGGGCGTCTTGGCAGGTAAGACGCATGACCCGCCAGTATCGTGCGAACAACGCTGAAAATGCACAATGCGATAAATACGGCAATCCAGCTTTTGGGGTCTTGTGGGACTTTTTTGATAGTTGCCCGTTCAAAAGCCTGAAGAAACTGCGCCATGCAGTTGCAAACCAGGCGATGATGTGCATCTTGGTCAACCTCGTCGATGAATAGGGGTCGGTGCTGAGGCCCGCTCTCTAGGCAGATCGAAGGTTCCGGTTGTTCGAGGTCCCAAAATATGATTTCTCGCAAGAGCACTTTCGCTCGATACAAGACTGGGAAAACGGCCTCTTCCATGTCTCTCGTTGCTGCAATCAGCCCACTGGTCTTCAGAAGATGGAGAAAGTTGTACGTAGTCCCACCGCCGTTCCAACTCGCTGTAAGTACGCTTAGACTCGGTGGCGGTCGCTCGACTGCTTCCCTAGAGTAGGCTGAAGTTGTAGTATTGGCCAGGGGAAGGTTCGCGAGCTCTTCTGTCCACCAGAAGCCGTCATCAAAGTCGAGGTTCGACTTGACAGCATGTAGTATGTCTGGAGAAATTCGATAATAGTTTTCCAGGTGGTCATTCATATTTCTCCGCTGAGTGAGTGGTGATGTGATCGGGGTATGGGTTTGTCTCGGGGATATTGGCGCTACACCTATTAGCTCAACCCAGCACGTCTCTCAAGCCACTAAAGACTCACCTGGAAGCATGATGTCTGAAAAAGCACCCAGAGAACCACGATGGCACCCAATTACTTTCCAAAAGTCATTGCCAGGGCTTAGAGGGTAGTCTATGCAATAGTGACAAGGATCATTGGAGTCGCACTGTCAGCATCGGTTAGCAGCCACAACAAGCGCTGTCACGAATGAATGTCTTACTGGTTGCTTTTCTACCAAGCAGCGCAAACAAGGCCCAGAGTCTTGGAGCAACCTGAGCTCGCCAATGGACTGTAGTCGAGACTGGCCAACCCTACTACGCTTGAGAGGGGGGAGCAAAGGGTCGACCTCGGAATCGACAGAGCCTCGCCCAGGGCCGGAATGCTCGCTGGCCATTGAATAGGACTGCGAAGTGTCCCGACGGTCCCTGAGCTGGCTTGTTGCCAACGGAGCGAGTTGGGTGCCAGAGGATAGTTTCGGAAGTTGAAACGCCAGAGGCTGCTTTCCAGCATCGGAACCCCACGGCCGAGATACCGTATGCTCAGGAAAGGGGAGAGGCGGAGTGTTGCCAACGGACATACCCGAATCACGATGGGCGTGGACATTATGCTCTCGGGCGTGGCTGTCTCGGTCATCCTTATTGTAAAAGCCGTAAATGAAGTGTATACAACGCTCGTCCCAGCATTTGAAGGATGAAGGGGTCCGAGATGACGGCGACAAACTTTCTCTTATTTTCCACCCACGGACAACTGGATCATAACTAGCAAGATTACGATCCAACCAGGCTGCGTATCCCGACGGCGCTTCGTCGTAAAGTAATCGCTTAAGGGCGTCTACCATGCTGGGGTCTGACAGATCGTGACCTAAATGAGATATTAGGTACCTGTCAAGTGGCGTCGCACTTCAGACATGCTGTGTTTCGCAAAACGGCAACTCACCTTGTTCCAGAAAAGCAACCTCGATGCACTCGCACCGATGTTGCAACGATCTAGCCTCCTCAAGCTCAGATATGACGGGGACAGTGGAAGAAAGGCCTGTACGGACAAAGCAAGTCGTCAGGACCGGATCGCATAAGCATCAGGAGGGGCAGCAAGCTTACGATGAGTTTCGGAGTAGGCTTGCAAAACTCGCAATTTGTGGCGGAGCATATCGAGCTCCAGCTTGACATTAGGACCATACTTTACGGGCAGCAAGGCGGCAAGCCTAGCTTGAATATCGGCCTGCTGGTCGAGAAGTTGGCGAATGGCGCCGTCGAGGCCCGGATCGGGGATGGTGTGAGGATCGGCCGCCATTCCTCCCGGACCTCGAGGGCGTCCTCCTCCAGCCGACGACACTTTGAGCGTTCTTCGAGTCGGTAATAGAACGAGGCGTATATGAAGCAGAGAAAATCCACATGAACTTTGTCCTTTGGTCTTTCGAGGCTCGCCCGTCTACACGTCGCTTCGACTTGTACGCATCAGAGGAAAGCTTGAAGCGGCGGGACCATGTTGTTTTTTTCAGAGGAGTTCTGGGTGCACACGAGCTGCGCATGCCATCAGCTTTTGAAACCGGTGGTGGTGGTTTTGGTGGTGCTGTATTTGTTGTTGCTTCTGCTTCTGCTGGTGGTACTGGGGGCGTGGGGTGGCTGGGTTCATCGCTTTTCTAATGTCAGATGCGTATGCGTATTCTTGCCCCCCTCGCTTGTTTTTCTCCCCTTCTCTCGCAGATCCTCTCCTGTCTTTGGCGAATTACAAAAATTTCACCCTTCAGTTGGTTACCAACTTTTTTTTTTTTTTGCCTCTTTTGCACCAGGGAAGGCCCGTCAGGGTCCAGCGAGACGAGGTGATGTAAGGTACAGCAGACGAAACTGGACACCGCTTGCTTGTTGGGCTAGACCTGGTCCGTCGGGATTCTTTTTCAGGTCCAGTTCCAGTGCAGACAGACTCCCAGTCAGAAGCGTCTTGCTTCCGATGCGAGCTCGGTTCTCTGCACCAGGTTGTATGCCGTCTCTACTCTGAGCAGAATTCGAGAGAAGCAAGGGTACGGACGGCCATCGACGAGGCCAAAGGAAGGGCGAAATTCATAAATTTCTCGAGAGGCAAATTGCTGTGCAGCGCGAAGGCAGTGTTGGTGGCAGTCGGGGGGTTCGGCGGTCTTGGATAGAATAGCGAGCGAAAGCACGATACCCGATCGGACTACTGATCTCCTCCCTCTTTGGGGTGATAGCTCTTCTTATTACCTTAATAACCAGACAGGGTTGATTTGGGGAAGTGGGGCGCGTGGTTAACGGCGTTGATTAGGTAGGTAGATAGCTAGGTATGGAGAGCACGCTCCATGGAAGGCAAGGCCGAGAGACATTGAGAGCCTGCACCGGCGACAAGGTCGGGGTCGGGGTGGAGTGTGGTGAATGATGAGAAAGAGAGGCAAAGAGGGCGCAGCCTGAAATTGAGAGAGGGACCCCCAAATGGGCTTTTGGACTTGTTGGTAACCGGAGGGAGGGGGTGTGTTGATCTGAGGATGGAAGCCTGACGGTTGGAGTGTAAATCGATGGTACATTGCCTACCGGTACTGTGTGCTGGGAGAGGCGAACTACCTACCTAGGTAGGTGGGATGGGACGGAGGGACCTTACAAAGCGGCGACAGACCCGGCCGGGATCTGGGAAGGTTTCTCTGGTTTGCGCAAAAAGCATTGGATGGATTAGATACGCAGTACCCGCAGGCAAGGTAAGGTAAGGCAAGGCAAGGCAAGGCAAAGCAAGGCATGGCAGGACAGGTAGGTAGGTACGTACGGTTATAGATGACCAACAAGAAATAAGAAAAGAAGGACGCCAGGGTACGTTCATACCGGCCGTCCTCTCTGTTGAAACATACGAATGCCGCCGGTTGACCAGGTAAGGTCGTACCTCCCCTCCCCTCTTCCTTCTCATCGTGGGGCTGGATAGTGTAGATTTCGGCCAACAGTAAAGTGACAATACCCGCGCAACCAAAATCTTCATCTGCCATACATATCAGGAATGTGTGCATGTCGGGCCTGATTCCGTCAAGAAGTCGCTTCTCATCCCATTCACCCCGGTTTCGCTAGTTCCAAGCGACCTAAAGCAGGAACCTACACCCCCTTGCCTTCGTAGGAGGTGTTTCCAACTTTGCCCTCCCCATTGATGCCCTCGCCTGCCGGCGTCATTCTCCTTGTATCCGTAGGTGTCTTGCTCTGTGCGGAAAACCAGCATTAGCCTTAAGCAGCTGCGAACGGAGTTTCCCATCGCCCCCTCCCGGGCCGGTTCATCGACATATGCCTCTCGTGCGGACGACCATCATAAGGGACTCAGTCTCTCTCCCTCCCTCTCTCTTTCTCTCCAAAACATGGCCGGTACCCTGTGGGGAGAGCTCGGCCGCCACCCGACCGACAGGCACATCCAAGGGTCCTGTACTCTCGCCTCACCTCGCCTTGCCTTGCCTGCATCGTCCACCAGCTCTCAGCTAGCTTATCTCTCGACTTCCTTCACGAATTGGCCTCTCCACTTCTATACAATACAATCGCTTTTCAGTCTACGAAAATCGACCAGAAGCTTACTCACCTGCCAAGGGTTTCGACTACTTTGTAATCGACCTGTTCGAACCTGGCAGGCACGCGATGTAGGCTCGTAATAGGCAATTACCTCACACACCTTGGGATTCTTATCAGCTCTCCTTCGGCCCTACCTCGCTCGTCTTGGACAGTCCTACCCCCCAACTCGCACAGGTCATGGGGTATAGGCACTGTGCCCTCTCTACTCCGTACAGCCCCTATCAACTGGTAGTGTATTCTACGCCCCCGGCCCATCCTTGCTTCCCTGCCTGGTTACATGAGCCACTTGCTTGGCCAGGCCACTCTTAGATCCCTTATGAACCCGTAAATGAGGAGACTGTTTACACGCTGCGTGCCGCTGTCGTGGCCGCAGCGAAATCTCGAACTGCCTCCATGGTGACTGCTACATCACAAAATATCGGCCTACTGCAGACGGAGGCGCAAAAGGAGCAACAGAAGGGGGGGGGGGGTAAATGACAACGGATTGTAAGTGGGTGGGGTGGTCAGCGGTCGCTCTGTCTGCGTATTGGCCACAGCCAGCCTCGCTTCCAGCCCCCTTCGGCATGTATCTGCACATCTCAGCCCACCCTCGTCGCTACTGGGTAGGGCTTTCTTGCAGGGCCTCGTCGTTTACCGCTTTATTTCCCGTCCTCCGTGGCGGATGCCCTGAGAAGGGGCCGTTTGGTTTATGTCTCCACGACTTTCACTCGTTCATCCTCGTCCTGGTGTAGAGAACCCAGAGTCTCATTTATAAGCGATATGGGGGGAAGGGGGTAGTTCGACGTGGGGCCGCTTGCTCCTTCTCCGACTCTGCGACGATTGGCCCCCAAGTTGAACAAAAACCGATCGAGGCAAAGGGAACATGAGACGAGACCAAACGGACGCTTGCTTAGCCTTATTGCCATTGCCCGCCCGTCTTGCCTGTATTAAATTCCGGCTACAGTCTCGAGAGGTTACGTCTAATACTCCTCGCTCAACCCTTGACGTCTGCAAGCTGCTGCATCGGCAACACAATGAACCGCGCGCACTGTCCCCTCCTCTACAACCAGGGCTTCGGTTAGCTACTTTCAAATCAACACATCAACTGCCAGCGCCTGGACACTGATTGTGCAGCATTCATGTACCGCTGGGCTTGGGTGTGCTCTCCGTTATGCTGCTACACTGTGTGCTTCCTCTTCCAGGTTCGGGGGCGGTTCTTGAAGCATCACGCAAATGCAGGGGAATCCTCCCGTAGGCGAGAGATTGCGACATTTCCGCCTCGCCCGCCTGCCTACGCAACCGTGTAACCTATGCAACAGCTCTCCGCAATTGAGTCTGAAAGGCCGCCGACTGGTCTTCTCCCCGACTCTCATTTCGCTTTTGTTGCCCTTTCCCTTGGGAATTCCCCGTGCAGACGCGCCAAGAAAGCGATTGGAGCCGTATCCATGGCCGATATACCCACGCCCACACGGACCAAATCTCCACGTGGGTCCCAGAGTCCGTGGCACTTGTAGCATGCTGGGGGCCAGTCCCGGCAGAAATAAGCATGTGCCGAGTCACCGTTACAATCTGCAGATAGCTGCAGCAGGTGAGCGCGAGGAGGAGCCATAGCTGCGGCTTGGAGCTCCCTAGTTGAGAGCAAGCTGCCGTTAAAGCGGCGTAAGACGTGCGATACCTGCATCGACCGTCGCATGGCAAATGGGGTTGGTCGAGCCAGGCGGCGTGGCATGCAGCCGCTCAAGATCGAGGCATCACCAATGGTAGGACCATGTTCTTGGAGCCCTTTCCTCGCCTCCCCTCCCCCCCCCCTGCTGTGCCGTGTTCCCCTCGAGCAAGGAAGTCAAAAGCCAACCAATTGATCGAGAAACAGAAGATACAGGATCAGCGCTGTTAGGATAAGGTCTTCTCACACGCGGCACGGTCGTGACGACATATTATTATACCATTACAGTTCAACCCGCAGCCTTCATTCATGCATTTCAATATATCCTTCATCATTATTTAACCCAAAAGATACCCAAAAACTTTCGATGAAAAGGCTGCTCTAAGCGATCTAATGCCACGTGAACCGTAGTTCCGCCCAAGGGGTGGGGATTCGACAATATACAGATGCTGGCGGCATGAACTGCATTCTCTTTGGGTATTCCATAGTAGCCTTGCACGCGTGCTAGTCACTTAATCGCTATTCTACATGAGCCATGTCCTGCTGAACTGTCAGAAGCTCCTCGAGGTAAGGATATTGCTGAGATGGGTGTTGAGGGCTCATGGGTGGTGGCATGAGGGGTTAGGGGAGAAATAGTGTACGTCTATCCGTACATCCCCGGTGGTGACTCCGCCTGGTGTCAACGACCAATCAGCATCCTCCACCAGTCCAGGGTAAGTACACGCACACTCGATTCGACACCTGCCCCGATAACACCCCCTCGAGACCTTTTGCTGGCTTGGGTCCGGTTCGGTGCAGTGTGGGAGTTCGTCCTCCTGGCGAGGCAAATCGTCCAGGTTTCGGCAGCCGGTATCTTGATTCTCGGATCCGGAACCGAACAAAAGAACACCATCTTACAATGCAGCCAAGTTACCCAGTTCGATAACCATCATGGACAGAAGAAATGTCACAAGCCGGATGGCAAGCTGATGGCCAAGCAAGTTCCGCCTGCCATGACCCCTTTTCGATCGACCAGTCCGCGCCCGCCAGGAGCAGCACGGTTGGCTCAGCGGCTCATGCTCACGAAACGAAACCTTTGTAGTGTAAGGGGAGGGGTGGATGGAACTACCTGGATTGCTGCTCCATTCCTGGCCTTCCTAGCCATCGGGCTTCTCGTCAATCTCGACCACCTGCTCGCGGCCCAGGACACGAGAGAGCTCGATCCATTGATGAACGACTCATTGTTGTTCGTACCACTGCACTGCGTGAAGATTCGTCCAGTCGCTATTGCTATGCCGGTTCATCCTCAGCCCTAGGGGGGGTCGGTGGCCTTGGGAGCCAATTTGGAAGCTATTTTACCTGGATCGTGCGGGACAAGGATACGGCCGGCGCCGCCACTAAGTGAAAGTGTGGTGCGGGAAGTTGAAGTTGAAGTTGTCACCCTCACCCTCTTCCCCGGTGCCATTCAATCTCAGCAAGCTCAGCTTCTCCTCGACTGGAGACCATTTAGCCTCTGTGCCGGCAGGCAGCGCACGGATGATCAAAGGGCAGAAAAAGAACATGACCAGGCTAGACCAGACCAACCCTTGCCCCCCTCCCAATTGTTCGTCGAAGGGGTGGTCAATGCAGGGGCTGAAAGTGGACGGCATACGAGAGGGGACTGATGGAGACGACGAACGCAATTCTTTTTCTCCGTTTCCTTTTCTCGTGTCTTGCAGCTGCATCGGAGCACGCAAACGATCGCGGCATGCGCACAATTGTCCATGGTATTATAGCGCCGCCCCCAACCCGACCGGACGGTAATTAGAAAGGAAATCAGGGACTACGACCGTATGCCGGCACATGGGCCTTACCTCACCTTTCACCTTGGCTTCGCTGGAAAGTGTCCAATTCTTGAGGACGGGTTTCTTGCCGAGCAAATCAGAGGTCGGTCGTGATTTGGATCGTCCCTCCCCCATTCCCCCGCCCCCCTCCCGGATGTCTCTTGTTTTTCGGACTGTGCAACGAGTGAGAGTTCCTGTACATTCTTGTGAGGTCACTTCGCTTAAAGTATGTTGAAGTGCACACAAAGTATCGCGTTGGTTCTGTCATCCATCGTCCCCTCTTCCTCTCTCTTCGTAGCAAGTTCTTGGGATTATCTCTCATCGTAGTAATAAAAGCCGCAGTGTAATAGAAGCCCCGTCTAAGAACCCTCCCCAAAACGCCCCAGAGCTCTTTCCCGGCCTTCGTCGAGCTCATGTTGAATGACGCCGGCCCGTGTCGATATTATGCTTCGCTCCCGTCAATCCATTTCTGTTTCGCAGTTGAAGTTTATGTACAGAAATCCTTGCCAAACTCCCGCGACATGTGTTTGTTTTCTCGGTTCTTATGTTTTCGCTTGTTTGCCGTCATCAAAGCCTCCGTCCAAAGCGAAATCCCGGTTAGTCTGGTTGTATACCTACCGGTCATTTTACTCCGCCTGCTCCCATCGTCTCTCGCGCAGGGGCATTTCTTTGCCAGCAGCGGCCCGGCTGCCTTGTTTCTCATCTTTCCACGCCCAGTACTCGGCGAGGCGCGTCTCTGCGTATGAGGCATAGTCAAAGTCAATCTCCGAGATGACGGCCTGTATCAGTGCCCAGATACCCCAATAGAACCCCGGCACACCGCGGAAGAGATCAACCTCGTCGTCGAGTTTCCTGACCTCGGCCTCGATGTCGACACCCGCGTTACCTTGGTAGTATTTGAAGTATGAGCGGACATACTCGTCGATGAATTCTCGGCGCTGGGACTTTGTGGGCAGCACATTGTAGTCGCAATCGAAGCCACCCCACTCGGCAAAGTGGTTGGCGATGTCAAATGCCGCTGGGGAGGGCGTGGCGTATTCGTAGTCGATAAAGGTGACCGTGGCTTCCTTTCTGCCACCCTTCGCGGACAAGCTGCTCGGTAACACAATCACGTTGCCGCTCAGAAGATCGCAGTGGGCAAACACGAGCTATCGGAGGGCAGCAATCAGCATTCTATTTTAAGTTAGGTTTGCGGTTTATGTGAGTGCGACTTACACCATCAACACCAAGGCCGGGGCGCTGACTGAACTCTTTGATAATGTATTCGAGCTCTTTTTGAAGCTTGTCTTGCCTATCCCTTTGAACCTGCGTGTTTGTAGGCAGGGCCAGTATCCACTTCTGCATCACAGTCCACAGGTTCGGGACCGGCTTGCCTGGAGCGGCGTTGTCGATGATGGCCTCCGGATCTTCGTGGCCATCGGCACCGTTCTCCTTGGCGTGGCCATCCGTTGGTGTCGGCTGAGTAATGCAGGGCACAGTCGCGTGCCACTGGGCCAACCTGCTGGCGACAGCCCTGTAGATGGTAGGCTTTCTGAGGTCCTCGGGGGCTGTCACGCTGCCCTTGATGAAGCGGTACAGCATACCATTCTGAAAGCGAGCAAGTAGCTCGGGGGCCAGCCCATACTTCATAAGAAGCTCATGGTTCTGGGCCTCGCGCTCGCGGTCAATGAGAACGGCAGTTCCATTGCCGTACGCTCGCAACAGGATAGCCTCCCTGTCTATATCCTCCTTGGACCAGCCCTTCCGCTTGTTGATCGCCTTGAGCAGGGTATTGGTGATGCCGTCGGTAAATCGAACGAATTCTATGTTGGAGTCGTCGGAGTCCCAGTCTGGTCGAACAGTCAGGATTAGACGAGTTGCAGATTGCTGAGAATCTTCGCTGTCGTAGAAAAGGGGAAGTGTTCGGACATGTGGCAGCACCAGCCCGTTAGGGTGGCCGTTGCTTACACCTTGGGTCATGATTTGACCGAAGGGAACTGAACGGGGAAGGGGTATATGTGCGTGTGCGTTGTGTCGAGAGGGTAGGAACAATACCGAGAGGTCAATTGTTGGATTGGAAATTGCCCTGGTGGATTTTGAAGACAGCGGCGACGTGTTCTTCAAGCGGGAAAGTCGCGTGCCTCCGGGCTGGTGTGGAAAGGGGGCAGCGGAAGGCGGTCTGCGAAAGCTAGGGGGGAGGAAAGGGAGAGAGTCGGAGCAGAAGGTATTTTAGGGAGGGGCAGGAGGTGGTGGCAATTACGGCGTCTGTGGTTCTAGAGCAAGTGGCAAGAGAAAGTAGAGACGGCGGGCGGAATGGTGTGAGCGGGTGTTGGAGGATTGATATACAAGAGGTTTTGAGGAGCTAGGTACGCCTAGTCATCGGGGGAATTTTTTTTCTCTCCCTTTCATTTTGGCGCCGTTGACAATGGAGTCGAGCACGAGACCTTTTTCCCTGCTCGTGCGGATCCAAAAGCCGCGGGGGGGGGCAGGGGGGGAATCGGTTGCTAAGGTATGGCGGCAGCCAATATGAGATTGTCGTTGGGGAAATTGCAGGCGGTGCGTTGTGCCTATTCCTCCTTTTGCCGTCGGTCAACGAAGAGAAAGCAGGAAGAGGACAGGGTAAGATAGAGACGGGAAGAAAGAGCAGAGCATGTGAATGTGCAGAGCAAGCCACTAGTATCCTACGGTGTACGGATACACTGACTGCACTGACTCTACCTGTACACATGTGGATTGGCCGGCGAAATGGGGTGGGAGGAGGCGGGGCTCTGGGACACTCTTCCCCAACACCTTTACCACGTACACCGCGACTGCCTTGCCTTGCCTAGGTAGGTAGGTAGCTTGGATGCTTGCTGGCCTTGTCTGTTTACACGGAGCGCGTGGAACCGGCGTCACGGCGTGAGCACCGAGGGAATGGACCAACTGAAGAGCACTGAGGGATGCAGTAGTGAAGACTACTCCGTATGTACTGTACAACAATAGGTAGGTAGGTAGGTACCTGTAATGGACTGGTAGCCGGATAAAAGTCCGATATATTCATTGTTGTTAGTTCCCTACACCGCATTCTGCCCTCGTTCTTGGGGTTTCTCCCTCCTTCCCATCTGCTTTGACTCGCGTGCTCATTGCTATAGTTACATCCCATCCACCATCACAGCTACATCCGTACAACTTACAATATACATAGATACGTTGCGTAGTGTTCTGCCGTGCCACATCCTTGTCACCTGTAAAAAGCCCTTGAGCATCCACATCTCAGGGTCTTGCAGCTGCCGGCTTATGCAGTGTGACCGCCATCACTGCGTGGCCTACACAGATACCTAGGTAGGTACGTAGGTAGGTAGGTGGGTAGGTAGATAACCCCAACAACGTCCGGGCGAATAGGAAAATCTGCGATCGCCATCTACAGGGCTCTCTATCATCTTTTGGCCCATCTCAAGTACTATGGAGGGCAAGCCCGGTTTAAGGCGAACTGGGTCATGGCCAACGTAACCCAGCGCTGTACCGGAGAGTTTATCTTAAACGTGCCTCCTGCCTAGAAGCACGCGTCCAGCGCCTCCCCGCGCCTTAGATGCATATGCCTTCGAGTCGTCCTCCTCTTGTTGCATTGCCCACGCCGGCGCCCCAGTGTCTCTTTCTCGATAAAATTTGGGGGTTGGAAAGTTCTCACCGATATGTCATGTCTTTCATTTTCATGGGGTCTAATCAAGCCGCCTTGCCTAAGCGTCCGGGTGAACTCCAAAGCCCATGTCTTACCTCAAACCAACCAAGATACGTAGCCAAGTGGGCTTCCCTCAACCTTGAGGTGTACTTTGTAGTGTAAAGGCATGTGACGGACGTAGCTTTGTGCCTTGTGCTGGTGCGGCTAGCAGTAGTTTATCTAGGTACGGATACCTAGTTAGGTAAGTAGGTATCTACCTGACCTAGGTATGTGTACAAACTTCGTTCTTGAGAGCCTCGATCCCACTACACTGCAAAAGTTGCCGAACCAGCTGTGCTCGGATCACTTTGCGCTTCCACCGCCTTGGGGGCCCCACGCTGCAGTAACGCCATAACTCGACGTCCATTGGTCGACCATGTTCCCTCTGTCCTCGGCTGCCATCCTCATGATCCAGTGCTATCAAGGTATCCTGCCACTTCTCCTCAGACATCAGACTACCTAGATCGATCCCATCGACGGAACCGAGGACCCCATAGCCGCCTGTTCCGCACTTGCGCCCAAGTTCAATTTCGGAGAATGTAGGGTGCTGGCCTGCCTAGCGCTAATTGGACAGATTGCTTTCCTTACCTGGGCTTTCGGCACGGGAAGAGGCCCGAACATGACCGTTGAAGCACGGCTTAACTGAGGAACCGGGCCTAGTCGCCGCCCATTCATGTACTTGAGCTCATACATTTGTCTTCTCTTGTCGCTCCCGAGATGGCGCCGCCTGTGCTCCCGAACCCGTCCAACTTCCTGGCTGTGGCACTGGTGATCAACAGATCCCGTGACGGGCCCAACTTCGTCTTCCACTATCCACCACACGTCCTACCGCCCAATACCCAATCTAACAATCACGAGCAAGCCGATGTGTCGGCTGAATATGACGACATCCTCCTGCAGCGTCTCAACCAGCCCGGATTGCTAGATGCCGATAACAACGGCGACGACCTCCAGCAATGGACCGCTGGAGATGACCACCTGATTACAGACGAGGGCACACAAATTGTGCCTTGGGAATATGTCGCTGGATTTCCCACAAAGGACCTCGCCAGCATCCTGACTCCGGGGAGAGCCTACCACAAAAAGCTCTTTCAACTCTCTCTGGACCCCCTGTACTGCGTCTCTTATCCCATACACGTCCCAGAAAGCGGAACGTGGAAGAAGAAGAAAAAGAAAAATGGCAGGACGGGGGGAGCCAAATCTGTACGGACAGAGGAGTCCGCGGTGCTGGTCGATTTAGACCCCAACGAGGACAGCCAAGATGCGCCCAATGGTGCAGATGCGTTGCAGGCCGAGTCGAAGGAGGAAGAAGAGTGTCTGCAAGATGAGGCTGACGACAAGCGCGCCTCCATGACGATGTTCAATCTGGTGTTCATTCTGAATCCGAAGAAGCACGAGGCCAAGGAACTCATTGCTACCCTGTATCTGAACATCATCAAGAAGGTCAACAAGGCCTACAAGTACTGTCAACAACACAGCGAGTTCGTGTGGAAGGAGTCGAAGCGCATATCGGCTTTGAAAGACAAGGGCCGAGAAGACAGTGAGTCGTGTTTCTGGTCAGCTTCCCTGCTGTACTAACATGGATGTAGAACGTAAAATGAGCTCACTATGGAACGAGATCCTGGCGACGTCTTCACTAGCAGCCTCTGTCCAGGACATCTACGAGGCCGTCTCTCAGAACAAGATTGCCGCTCTACAGCTCGATACGGCTGCTGGGCCGATAACCCCATCAGTCCAGATCCCAGTGCCGTTCTACATTACGGACCTGCACAACTATGGGCAGACGGAACAGAAGGGTCTCTGGCTGACAACGGCCAATTCTTTCATTGGCGAAGACACTATCGATGAGCCCGGATTTCTGGACCGCAATTTTGCGTTGCTCCTGATGGGTGATGAGAAGAAGATCATTGCCGAACTGCAAGCAGATCCGGATCCTAGCACCGTTGCTATGGTTGAGTTTGCACGGCTATCGAAGCCAACGCAATCGTAAGTGCCGCCAGTATTCCTGATATCACCGGGAGCTACGCTAAGCGATCTAGCTTCTACCAAGTTGGCCAGAGTAACGTCTTGACGTTGAGTCAGGTACGCAAATACGCCCAGCACTTCATCTTCTGGCGCCGTGCCATTGCCATACCCCCTCTCCACGCCCGGGACATCTACATCATGTCACCTAACTGCGATACACGCAACCTCCCCAAGGCAAGCTTTGAGTGGCAAAAGGCATTCCCCTTGGCACCGCCACTTACAAACTTCCTCGCCGAGCTGTCATACGCCCCGCGACCATACAAGCACTTCTGCCCAAGCAAGGCCCACCGCCCGACTTACCTCGACATGCTAGCTTGGCTCATGCGCGGTGCCTGGGTGACGCAGCTATGCACGTTCGCCTACGTGGTAGTCTGGCCGGAGATCATCTACGAAGTCGAGCATAAGATCGAAAGCGACGAGCTTCGCAATGCCGAGGATGCGTCCTCCCTCAGCACCAGCAACAACACCTTGGCCAGCCCGGGCCCCGATACAGCTGACGAGCATTCCGAGGTCGATGGTGACACTAGTGGCGGTATGGGTGGCAGCGGCAGCAGCAGCGGCGGCGACGGCAACAACGGCGGCGGTATAGGGGCGCACGTGCCGACGCAAATCGAGCAAGCGGCAGAAAAGGCGCGTCTGGAGCGCATCGCGGAGAAGACCCAGCGCGAGGCCGCGGAGAAGGCGACAGCACACGCGCGCAAGATGCCGCCATCGGCGACTGACCACCCGTCGACCAACGACGCGCCGCACCTGGCGCGCGTGTCGCCATACATCATCGTGGACGCCAAGAAGGCGACGGGCAAGGAGTCGCTGTACCTTGCGGCCATCACCAGGCGGCTCGGCAGGGATCCCAAGGTCGCCAAGGCATGGCAGGCCTTTTGGAAGTACTTCAACGGGCAGACGGCGCTGGAGAGGATTGCGTTGCAAGAGGACATGAAACGTAAGGAGGCATGGAATCTGCTGACGGCCATGAGCGAGCATCTTCTCTGCGTGCGACACTGGTAGTGATGGGTCGGTTCTATATAATGAATGTCACCTCGCCACGGAAAGAGTGTCGTCCCGTTCTGTAGGTGGCACCGACATTGAAAAGAAGTGTTTGGGTATCAAAAGAAAACGAGAAAAAACCTATCACCTCCGACTCAGTGCCGCCTGGTCCTCTTTGTCACTATTGTAGTCTATTGTAGTATTGTCACTCGGAGAAGCTTCTTTTGAAGGTACAAGGGACTCAAAGCCTGGAATCTATCGGCGAGATGATGGATAGTTGTCATGATATGGAGTAGGCTATGGGAGGGAGCAAGCACCGTAAACAAGAAGGGGAGGGTATCAACGTACATGTGCTGGAAACGAGGAGGGGCAGCAACAGATGGTACCGCTATGAATGCCGAGAGGAATAGCAAAAGAATCACGCCAAAGGGTCGTATGATGGATAAGACGGGATGGGTTGATGGGTAGGTAAAGGAAAAATGCAGATCTGGACAAAATATGATTGAGACGCACGAAGGCGCTTAGGCATAAGAGCATTAAGAGAGAAGAAACAGAAAGATGAAGCATAATTGCATAAAACAAAAGGATGGAGCCCATGAAAGAAAACAGTTGTCCTGTGGAGATGATAACCCGCGAAACTGCCCTTATAGATGTGGTGAAAGGTGAAAAGAAATCCAGTGCAAATGCCCATCCCACCCCGCCAAAGGTATCACGTCTGCCGATAGATGAATGCTCGATAAGAAACCGACACCAGAAAAACCAGAATGAGACCTGAAACGGAAAGAAGCAAAACCCCATGAGAACAACCCGCTCACGAACGCACGCACCCACGAGTCCCCTTCCTCCACAATGTGCTGCACTGCCCAGCTGGCAAGCCTCCATCCCACCAGGTAAATGTCCCTGCAACGCCGTTCCCAACCGAAATCCTTAAAACCCTCAACGACCAGATGGATGCAAGAAAGGAAACTTGCCTGCGCGAATGCAAAGAAGAGAGAGCAGGGGAACTAAACGAGAACTGTCCCTCTGCAACGATAAACAAGGCCTAGGTGGCGCCAGCGTCACTGCTGGAACAGAGGGAAGTTGATATGGACGCCATAGTCCTATTGCGTCAGATCCATGCCGAACTCATCCTCTTCCTTGAAGTTTAGCGACGCCGGGCCACTGTCATCATCATCCGGGTCGTTCCAAAATTCATTGGTAGCCCCTAGGTCGTTGGTCAGGCCCGTGCCATTGTTGTCGCCGGGGCTAACGGAGACACCCTCGACCGGATTGCCCGAACCGTTGATGGGTTCGCCGCGGAAGTCGGTGTGATGGGGTACTCTAAGACCGGATCCACTTGTGCGCGAGTAACCCATGGCGTCGTTTTTGGAGATGGCCTCCACCAGCTCGGTCTGCATGCGCTTCTCGTCCTCGGTCAACTCGAATGGGAAGTGGCCACCGAGTTCCGCAATGACGTTCATCAGCTCCTCCTGCTGTTGGAGCTTGAGGTGCAGCATCCACATCAGGTCTCTTGTCCAGCTGACAGCGCCGTTGAGGATGTCCCCCTTATTGGGGCCCTTGTCTTTGTCCTCAAGAGGAAGGCCGGTCGTAATGTTGCCTGTTGCGCCAGCTGCGCGACGGGCGCCTGGCCCGGCTAGACCCGAGGTAGCCTGGGAGGGGTTGGAAATTCCCGACAGCGTAGGCGACAAAGGAGTGCCGTTCTGGATCATCTTACGTATCTTCTCATCCTCCAAGCGATGCGCAGGCACCAAACGGCTAAGATCCTGGATTCTCTCGTTGATGTTGTCTCGTCGACGTCGCTCGACGAGGTTATGGGACTCTCTGCGCCGCTTGCGCTTCATCTCCTGAGACGAGACCGCACTTCCGGGCTGGACACCCAGCTTTGCAGGCATCGAAGTGCCGCCCTTCATCATGACTTCGTTGAGCTGAGCAAGCCCAGGCTGAATAGGTGAAGAGAAGCCGGAGCCGTACGATGCCGCCATACTGCCCGCAGGGGTCTGCATCCACTGGCCACCAGATGGTGACTTCTCGTGGATAGCCTGGGTTCGAATGGACTGAGGGCCAAAGCCAGAGGATTCCTGCGTTGCCATGGGCACAGAGTGCATCGCTGACTTTGGGGTCATGGGGCTGCGGGTGTTGGTCGAGGAGCTCTTTCGTTGCATCGCTTGAGCCATCCTAGCTCTGTTTTTGGCGTTGAGATAGTTGGCATCAGCCGCCTCGCCAGTCAAGTCAGAACCAGTCAGGGGTGAGCCAGAGTAGGAGATGGGAGACTGGAGCGATGTGCCAAGCGTCTGGCGGTGGTGCATCTGACTGAACTGCGAGTTGTTGAAACTGTGAACGAAAGGGCTCTGAATCGGATCGCCGTCCGGAGTATTGGAGTAACCGTTGATGTGATTTTGGTCCAGACCATGGTGGGAACCGTAAATTGTCTGGTTGAAGCCCATGCCCATGTCTGACATCCCACCACCACCACCACCACCACCGCCGCCGCCACCGAAGTCATGGCCATGGCCATGCATACCAGGCGGAGCCTCGGTCGGGCTTCCAAGACCATCAAGGAGCTCGTCGTCGCCAAAGAGAGCGGAGCCACTCGAGAAGCCGTTCGAGTTGCTTGCAGAGTTCGAGTTGTAGTTGTTCGAATAGGATGATCCATAGTTTCCTCCCATGGCCAGGTCGTTGGGGTCGATGCTTCCACCGCCGTGGCCACCATTGAACTGGCCGAAGCCGTGTTGTGCCATTATGTGCACTACTCACACGGGGTTGAGCGAGGTGTGTTGTAGAGGTAGTTTGAGGTTCCGCAATTGTTGAGGGCCGCGCAGACCCGGTGATATTCACACCGCTTCTCTCGGGCGAGAATCAGATCAAAGTCGGATCTGCGACGCTTGGAAAAAAGAGTCGGACAAGGTTTAGATCGAGGTGGTGACTCTAAAAAGCGACGAGTCAGCAATGCGACGACGTATTGCAGTAGTGATGGGGCAAAAGTCAGAGTTGTGCTGCCTTTCAGAACGCGCAGGTGGCAGTTCCCTCTGTTGCGCGCGCGCGCACACACACACACACACACACACACACACACAATTCGGCGGTTAGACATGCAAGTGTGCTCCAAAGGCACAGGCAGCTCCAAACGCCACCAAGGCAAGAAAGGGAAGTGCAGAGAGGAAAACGCAACCAAATCAGGACTGACTCACCGAGAGGGAGAGGGAGGGAGAAAGGGGGAGAGAAAAGAGTCGGAACTATGCAATGTTGACCGACAGCACACACAGCCGTTGTTACACAGCCATTCAACGCAGTGCGATGGATGTGCGGGGGGATGGCGCCCTAAGTAATAAAGGCGGCGTTGGGGACCGGAGAGAGGCGCAAATGAGAAGAAGGCTGTCGGTCAGTCGCACAAGGTGTAGGTATGCAGAATGGATGGCTGGCTGGTTTTACTGGAACAGAGAGAATGAGGAGTGAGTATTGGTGGGAGGTGGAAGAAGGAGAGTTGCCTCGTTTTTTGCTGTGACGAGATGGAAATGCGGTGTCGGGGAGCCGGGTAAGAGTGTGAGTAAGAGGAAGTGGAAATGGTGGTGTAGGAGCCTCGGGGCTGGGCTGGCTGGCTGGCGAATAATTAGTTTGGTACTTTGCGTTTTACGGGCAGACTAGTGTGGTGTCAAGTATTCGTTAAATGCACGACGCCCAAGTGCGAAAGTAGCCTATGCGGGACACCGACACCGAGGGCGATGAGGGGATGACACGGGGGGAGGCGAGGGGTACCAAGGTACTCGCTGTCTTGTATCTTGGGGGATGACTGGGGGTGGGAAAATGGGGCACAAAGTGCCTGTGGAGATGGAAAAGGGTTTAAAGCTCGTGTTGGGTTTGGGCTGGGGTTTTGGTAGAAAGTCCCTTTGGGGTAAAGATAGGCGGGCAGTGACAACCGCCGTTCACTCGGTCTAGAGTGGAAACTGGGGGGGCTGTCTCTGCTGTGCTGCAAGGGAGGGAAACGGGTCAGGACTAACACTCACTCCGGTCTCTGGAATGTGGAATAAGAGAGCCAGGCCTGCGGATGAAGCAGGTTCCAGGCTCAAAAAGTAGGGGTCATGAAGGGATTTGGGGAAGAGGAGGGGGGGAGGAGGGGGAGGAGGGTAGGGCCGGTTAGGATGCGACAAGACAGGACTTTAAGATGTTGTCGGGTGTGCCAAGGGCATGAAAAGTCCCCGAACTGGGGACAGAACATGCACCAGAATGAGAGGACAGCGGAAGGGGAACGGGGGATGGGCCAGTCGAAGCGACATGGAAGGAAAGGAGCTGACTGACTTACGGGACAAGAATGTGGGTGGTGGGTAGCAATGTAGGTAGGTGCACGGCGGCTGGCGTTCCTTTCGCTCGCAAATGGTAACGAGAACGCTTTGGCTCGGCTTGCGCCTGACGCTTGACGTTGCACAAGAAGTAAGAAACCGATGGTGACAGCGGTGGAGAACGAATAGAGCGAAGAACGAGAGAGCAAGCAGCTCTTTTTTTCGCCTCTTGCCCGGTGGAAGAAGGGAGGGATGCAGTCCAATAGAGGGCAAGGCGGTGTGCTTCTCCTGTGTGGGTGGTCTTGGTCCTGCTGCTGTACTTTAGTTGGCGCTGATGCTGTTTGTGACGAGCTAGAGAAAGGCGGGATAATCGACTGAGGTGAGGGTGGGCAAGGACGGGCAAGAGGAGTAGGAGGAGGGAATATGTTTGGGGGCGATGAAGGTGACGGACTTAGGTGGAGTGGTGGTTCGGACGGGTCGGGGACTCACGATTGTGTCTGCGCAGGTCGGCGCGGTGGCTGTCGGTCCTTGGGGCTTCGGTACCTCAACCTACTAGACTTGCTAACTTTGAGGAATGTACTTGTGACTTTGGATGAGACGACGTAGCGTTGTGTGATGCGCGGACACCAAAACGGAACGTGCAACCAAGCCGAAGCTGACGGCTGTCTTTTACACCAGTCAGAGATGAGATCCGTCGCACAAGTGGCAGAGTCAAGGGAAAAGAATGGAAGGAAACCAATGTGAGAGGGAGCAGGGCCAGACCGCCATGTATAAAACCGGTGGCGGAAGAGGCGGTTGCTTGAGGCTGAGTCGCGAGAAGCAGGGAGAGAGGAAGAGAGGGATGGTGGGGCACTAACCTTAATGATAATGTGCCTCTGGGACGAAGAGTCCGGGGAGGTGCAGTGCAGCGGCCGTGTGGGCAGACGAGAGTGAATATTCACCCTGAGTCGACGTGGTCGAGATGTTCCGGAAGAGCGGTTCGGCTGACGTGCAGTAGGTTCTACGGTCGGGCGGGCGGGTTGGGGATTCTTTGGAGAAGCGTATAAGATAAAATGATTCCTCCGTGGGGAACACAGACTGGCTGCGACTCTGGAGGGTTTGGCGAGAGAGAGAGACGAGACTGGGGATAGATGGGGCCAAGATCGGGGTCGGAAGTCGGCTCGGGGTTGCAAAGTGTGATGATCCCTGCCGATCGCCGGTTGTGCGTCTTTCCAAGGTTGTCTTTGAGATTGTTGTTTGCATGCGCCAGGGGGAGGGGGCAGGTTGCGAAAGAAACTCCAAGTTGAGTAAGCTGAAATAGGCAGGTAAGACGAGATTAAAAAGGCAGACGTAAGTATGATAGGTAGCTTGGGTAATTACCTACGTAGGTAGCAAAGGCCTTGCCGGCGCGCGATAATATATATGGTGAGGCGTAGTAGCAGCTCGCGAGTCGAGCGAGGCAAGCGCCAAATTTGACTTTCGACCTGCCGAAGGCTGGAGCAGAAACCCCGGTGGTGCCCAAGTGGGCCAGTTGGCCAGCGGAGTATGGAGATGTGTGAGGGTGAGTCGGGAACGAGGGGGTTTGCCTGTCCTGAATCGCACACGTCGATGTGATGCGACAAAAAGGCAGCCTTAAAGGGACAGCGTGTGGTGTTGTTGAGGTCGAAAAGACAGCTTTCAATAAACAAATGGATGGATGGATGTCACTGTTGCTGTTTGCCGTTTGATGTTTGGTGCTTGATGCTGCCGCTGTAGTGCAGGGGCTTCGGAGCCTGCGGGTATGAATCTTGGACAGCCTACGCAAGAGTGTCGGTAATCACCAGGTCGTGATCGAGCTCTGGACCGGGGTGTTCCGGCTTTCTCCCTGAAGATCCGGCCAAGTTTGTCCGGCCAAGTGTCTCTTCCCTTGTCTTCTGCTTGATCTCGCGATCCTGTCCCGGCGCCTGCGTTGGTGTGGGCGATGTGGGTGCGCGCTTCCCTTCAGCGGTTGTCTCTGTGGTCGGTGCGTCGACGAATTCAAGTACTTGTAAGTTGTAGTAGCTCTCTGATGCATTGGATCAGGAAGTAGCCGTCCAGTTGGTGTTTCTGTCCTTCCATGTCAACAACTCTGTGCGCCCTTTTTCCTTTCCTATTCTTCCTTCCCCGGAGCCAGGAAGGACAGCTTCACCTACCTCCTCTTGCTTGACCTGTATGCCCCAAATCAGCGTAGATGCAGTCTGTCGTCTCGGGATTTGTTTCTGTCCTTTCTAGCTTCTCTTCTCTCCTCCTTTGCCTCCGTGGCAAAGGGAAACGCGCTAGCATTTATATCAGGGAAGCATCCTACTAATAGAAACACTATATCATCTGGTCAAGGCTTGTCACTTCCACCTGCGTCTCCTGACTCGTCTCATATTCTGGAGGGGGTGGTCACCCCCGGTTGCTCCTCGCCGGAGTGTTCTGGCAGCCTTTCCGACAAGGTCGGGATTTGATGGAGGGCATCGGCCGGGCCCCGTGATGCCTCCAACCAGCCAACTAAGACACCAACCCACCTCTTGGACCCGCGCCGGCCACGACGACTCACCACCCTCATCGGGACCTGCTTAACGATCGGCCAGAGTAAGCTGGTCATGCACTTCCTAATGTCTGGCTCGCCCTCAAAAAAGAACATCACGAACGGATTCGAACTGGGCTGTCCATGGCTCCAAAACAGGCCAGCCAGGAACCCGAAGCCAGAAACGCCCCAGACTGCCCTTGGCTCGACACATGGGATTCTGTCTCATCCGCATCGCCTTGTTGGAAAAACCAGTTTTCCCTGCTGCAAGAACACCTTACCCATGGCATGCGTGACGGGCTCGGCCGCTGGTTGGACGAGAGCCTGCGCGATTACGGCCAGCACTTCCCATTCCTACCAGGGAAGGCGCTGTCGTCGCCCAAGCTGTCGGTTTGTTGGCATAAAGTATGAAAGGGACAGCCTGTAAAACCGAAATACTGAATACCTTCAGTGTCGTCGTGGCAATCGGCCCGCTTCGCGTGTCGCGGCGTTAAAGCCTTGGGCGATACTGATCAGACACGACATCCTTCACCGCCTGGATCTCGTTGCTCCTGGTCTCCTCCCTCTCCCGCGGTTCTCCAACAACAACAATGTGGTGCCTAACCGCTGTATCGTTGCGTTTGTCGATGCTGCGGGCGTGCACAAGTTGGGGTGATGCACACCCACCCGCACAGTTAGGTAAGCACATTAGACACTCAAGAGGCCAATATGATGTAAGGCATCCTACCATAACCCGTACCGTGTGTGACCTTATCTCCTCGGATGACATCGCTGAGGCGATTGGTGGTGTAGCTCTTGTTTTTCGCCCAGTCTTCTCGCCCCGACACAGCACCCTTCATGTCGGCTGTCTACGGGTAACCGCCCTCGGCGGAGACGTGATCATCGGCACATCAACTGAAATGCCGGGAGAGAATGCTACCCCGACTGGCCTCGCCTTCTCGATACGGCTTCGACTTCCCCATTATGCACGGCTACCAGCAGCGGGTCTCAGAGCTGCAGCCGCACTGTATCAACTGAACAGCAGGCGTTAACCCCATTGCAGCTAACATCCCCATGTACAGTCTCCTGAAGGTTGCAAAGTGCCTCTGGGAGGAGGGGTCTGCTTGGGGGTGGGGAGAACGAGATGCCTCCAATCGTGTCTCGTCGATTAGGTGATAAGAATGAACTGCAGGCCCAGAGAGAGAAGTGGAACCAAGCCGCCATCAACTTTGGTTGGACGGCTGCCAAAAACGGTACGGGCTGTGACTTGACATTACAATGAGCACGTACCTACCCACCCGGGGGAGGGAAGGCAGAGTTGATTGGCCAGGCCCAACCGCACCTGGTGCACCTACTGTGAGACATTCTCAAGCTTTAACCCTGCCTAGCACTTTCAATCTCCATTCAGTTCCATCAACTCCATCCTCCATCAGCCAGCCCTTTCGGCTTCGTGTCCAGCAGCTGCCTTAGCGACCCTCCTTTCTCCTTCGGTTCGCAGTCTTGCGCCTTCGCCTTCGCCTTCGCCCCCGCCCTCTGCCTCGACGACAGACTTACGTCGCAACTACGCAGTGCGGTACGCGCGGACACTAGGCCGTTGCTACCAGAACGACCACCAGCCTACGTCGTATCACAAACGGAACAGGTGGTCACCGAACAGTCCGCCCTCTTGGCACATTTCACTGTACGTGGTTTCCGAACAAACCCCCCTCCCTCCTCCCATAAAAATCACAGTCATGGCCCTGTGTACCGACCAAGCTGACCGTTTTAGCTGTGGAGAAGAAGCTCGGCGCCCGTTTCCCTAACGCTTCCTCCCCGTGCCCTTGCAATAACCAGCGACGGAGATCCTACCGGCTTCGCCCTGGGCCCAATTACGTCCCCTCCGCAAGTCGACCGCGAGCGAGACCCCCTTTTCGACGCCGTCGAAATCTGTCACTTGACCATAATATTGTCGACCCGAAGGAAACGATCCCGCGCTTGCTCCCACCTTTGCTATATTCTAAGGCTCCCCGAAGGCCCGAAGAGACGATAACTACGCACAACTACGTCATTGATATATCTCGCCACTTTCAGTCCCCATCGACGACATGGCGTCTACTTCCTTTAGAGATTCGATGAACTCCCTGGGTTGGTCACGGCGAGATCAAGATGTGCCAGTCAATACGGCGCAGCAGAGCGGTCTCATGTCGTCCATCAAGTCGCTCAATCCATTCCAGAACAACAGTTACATCCAGCTCCCGACTACTGAGGGCGCCGGTGCGCCTCTGCCTGCTGTCAACAGGAGGGAAGAGGAGGAGGGGTTCGCGACCCGTGAGTCATCCTGCTTTCGTTCATGTCCTAGTCTACCACTTCTAGAAGCTCCATGAGCTCCGACCCAGCTCCAGACTTCTCAGGCCCCCTGCAGCTGGTACACTCTCTAGCTTCGTCTTCATGTCTCGGTTTGCCATGTGAGCAGGCGGACTTGTGAGGTGGTGGTGTCGTGTCCGCTTTCTCTACTCCGTAACAGCCGCGCTGACGTATAATCTATCCATTTAGTCAGTCGGTGGGACCGTCTGCTCATTTTCGGTGCCTGCAACCTAGGCGCCCTTGCCTGCTTCGTCCTCTGCTTCGTCTTTCTCCCAGTGCTATCTGTGCGGCCGCGCAAGTTTGTCATTCTGTAAGTTCCTTTTTGTCTTTGGCTCTGCCCCCGTCGCCTGGAGTTTCCGCTCTCTCTCCCCCTTTCCCCCTTCCAAAACGGGTGCTTCCGGGCCTGGCTAGTTGCCGGCACGGCAGATCGACGAGAACAAGGTTGGATCGGGCAACGAGGCGACATACCGCAGAGCTCCGCCCCTGTACACCTACATGCCAGATGATCTCGCATGGTCCATTAGCCATGAACACCTCATCCGGTGACAGACCGGCGTGATTAGTCCCCACGGCCAGCAAGAACTAAATTTCGGTCCGACGGTCGTTTCTTAAGATACCCATTAGCTGCTAACGTTATTGCTCTTTCCCCCTTCAGCTGGACACTCGGCTCCCTCCTGTTCCTGGCGTCCTTCGCGGCCGTAATGGGCCCGATGGCTTACGCGAGACATCTCACGTCTGGCACACGTCTGCCATTCACTGCGGCCTACTTTGGATCGCTCGCGCTGTCCATGTACTTTTCGCTCGGTGTAAGTTCGACTATGACTGGACTGAAGCTGACGGTATTTCTAACCTTATACGCCACAGCTCCACAGCACCATTCTCACCTTAATTTCGGCTGTCATCCAGCTCGCTTGTCTGGTGTGGTACCTTGTCAGCTACTTCCCCATGGGCTCGAGTGGCTTGCGGTTGGCCACCACCTTCGGAGCCAGAAGAGCGGCTGCTTGGATGACTGGGTAAGGTTATGAAGTCAGCTGTACAGCGTATGTATCACTAGAAAAGGAGTATAGCAGCTTTTGTGACAATCGACTCATGATAAAATAGATTAAAAGGTTGGATCGAGTCATGTAATAAAACCTGAGAGGGGGGTTGTTTCTTGCGGTTGTACAGAATACCGGGTGGGTGGGGGAGGGGGCTCGAGGAAGAGTTGCGAAAACAGACAAATCCGGCGTATATTATCTTTGCTTTCGGTGGTGTTCTACCGTTGCCGTATCTTTCGTTAAAGGCGCATCCTGTCAGCCAACGAGGTATCACGAATGAATCCAACCATGTTTCTTGCTCAGCAATACCGTGCTTCTGAATGGGTGAACGAAACTACCCGGGTCAAATATGGGCTTTGAGAGGCAACTCCTCCTCGGGCAATTGTGTATTTTTGGTTCTCTAGCGCGTGCGATCTTGCTTTTCACACTTCAGCATCAAGGGGCGCAACCAGAGAGAAGATCGACAGGAGTTGTACGGCTAGTCAAGAGGGCATGGACGGTAGAGTAAGGTCTTCCGGCCTGTTGCTCAGTTTCGTACTCTTCTTCACGTGGCCTTCGGAATCAGACACGAGGCGGACTAGTTTCGTGATGCGGCTTAATCTTTGGAGCATCTAGCCTTCTGGTCGTCCCTTGTAAAATAACAAGGTACCCGCTTGATGGATACAAAGAAACACGCCCATCAAGTCAAACATGAACATGACTGATAGTCGAGCCGTGGCGATAGTGTGGCATAGAGAGGTCATGGCTGTTGGACGCTATAGAAGTCTCCGTCAAACAGCGAACCCTAGCTGAGAAGGACTGTGCCCGCGCCTGCTTCATGCATCGAAATCAAATCGATGCCAGCGGAGCGGAGCACATACGTTGCCGAGAACGGCGACAGGAGAAATGCCGATGCGGCTTTCTCTCTCTTTCTCTCCCGCATGCGCTGTCTATACTTTTCTTTTTGCACAAGCCTCTCACCGAGTCAGGCTAGATTGGGTCATGTCCCCACAATGATCGACATGCAGTTGCCGTGTGTACGTGCAGGCTGAGAGGGAAAAGGAATTATAAATATACATGTTGTCTTGGAGACACCTGACGCTCTCTTCTGCCCATCTCAGTCAACCTACAGTTTCCGGCAATCTTCAATGTCGCACTCGCAGATGGAGACCACAGAAGGACTCTGGGGGGACGAAGGTAGGGCTCTGTCCCACAAAGCGGACGGTCGAGTCCGGCACAGCCAAGAAACGAGTCAGTCGATTGTGCCCCAAATAGAAAAGAAAAAAAGGAAAAAAAATGAAAGTTGACGAATCCCAGGGATCTCTGGTGGGGAATTAATGGCTGTGGGTAAAGATCCTAGGAGCGCAACCAAAGATGAGGTTGAAGAAACGGTGCCGTTCGATACCATTTTCCCTGGCCCTGCGACTTGCCTAGGCTACCAATGCTTTCCTTCAGGTTATTTAGCCACAGATCCAAGTATTATCTTTCAGTACGTTACTTCATTATTACAAGTTCCTAGTTTTCCGAAAGACGCCGGCGCAGGCTTCTGGGCGTTTAGTGATGCATGGAGAGCCATCCAGCTTTCCGCAACGACACGCCATGCAGCCAATCAGGTCGCCCTTCCTTGCGTAGCTTGGGAAGAGGATAGAAGGAGAGAGGCCGCGTGGCGGATTCTCGTCTTTTTGTTCTTTCACCCCTTCGCTTTCCTTGCTAGCCCGGCTTTTTTGGTTGTTCTTCTATTAAAAAATAGTTAATATATATATATATATATATATATATATAACGTATATGCATAACGAGTCGGCGCAAGCTTGCAGGTCTTGCCCGCTTTCAGTCGGTCAGCAATCTATTGCAGGCAAAGCCGTGCTATTCATATTCTTGGAAAACATTACATCCGGGTCTGTTTATCCGCATACAGATAACAAAAAATAAAAAGTGGTCGGCGTATCGGGTATCGGACGACAAAGCCAGCCCGGCATCGGGGATTGCCCCACTACGCAAGCCAGGCATGGAAAATCGTTCTACACTATCCGTACATGCCCAGATAGGAAATGCCCCTGTCGCCGTCAGTATACGTGATGACTAAGACGGTGCTCCGAGGCGGACTTGGCCGCGCTTTCCTTGTTGACAGATTAGATAGGGACAATGCCGAGTCTATGCATGAAGCTGTCGGAAGGGCGATCCTCAAACGCAGAGAGCGAAAGCCCGTGGCGGTGTGCTTGTAGTTTACGTGTGTGTGTGGTGTGTGTGTGTGTGTGTGGCACTAAATGACGTGAAAGCACAATCAATACTCGCACAGCGTTGCCGTCATGACGGATACTTTCCAAATGTGGCCTGGTGACAATTCCCTCTGATGACCTGGATACCTGGATAGGAATTTTCCATCCTTTTGAGTCACGCAATGAGAGCAGGATCAAGCAGTATTGTCAAGGAGGATCTGTCTTGGTCGTTGGATAGCCGCGGTTACCCTCGCCGCCAGCCAAATTGGAGTAAACCAGGCAGGTAGGGGTAAGGTTAGGTTGGTGACCCCCCTCTGAAAGCCAAAGTTGCAGAGCTGCGGCGTTTCGGAGCGTGGCTGCAATGCGGGCTGCAAAGATAGGATCCAGCCCTCAAGCCCTCAGCCCTTAGCCCTCAGCCCTGCATTACAAACAAATAGGAAAGGAATTGTGCGTGTGTGATTCATATCTGCAGGCGTAGGTAGGGAGGTTGTGCAGTCAGTACTGCGCTCTGTACGCTGTGTATGCTCTGTACGCTTTGTACCTATGTAGGTCTGTACTACGACGGTATCACGTAGGCAGCCATTGTCTCGGACAGAAAACCAGCGAGCGAGCTTTGGGGTGGATTGTGCATCCTGTCCTTGGTAGGTACGTACCAAGAGACAGCACCGCTGCCCGTAACCCGTAAGGTTTGGTGAGCAAACGGACATTTTTGTCCAACAATATCAGACGAGACCTCCTAGAAGGAGACGTGTTGCCGATGGTTTCCTGTTCCGACAAGGCAAGGACTTGAGGCAGGCAGTCAGGACTTGAGGCAGGCAGTCGGAAGGGAACGTGGCGCGATTAGTTGCGTACAGAATGGAAGGAAGGGACGAAGGAGGGAGGCCCGGGGCACAAGGTCCGTTTGATCGAAATCCGACCATTTACCATACCCGCTCGAGGGAGTAGGGGAGCGTGGTGCGGTGCGGTGCGTTATGTTGCGTTGCGTTGCGTTGAGTTATAGTGCGATACGTCTGTAAGTCGGCAACACTCGCCATCACATCGCAAAATTCCATGACAGACGACGCGAGCGAACAAGACCCAGGCAGAAACCATCGTCCACAAACAAGAGCACATGAAATGAGTACAAAAAATGCCTTGGCCTACCTATTAACTAGCCGGCTTATATTCGCGCAACCCCACCAAAGCCGGCGAGCAGACCTGTACCAATGCATATGTAATGCAGAAGGTTACAGCGGCTTAGGTATGTCAGTCGAGGGCAAGAGGAACTGCAGCCTCAAGGAGTCAGGAAACCTTGCAGGGCCGGTCCGACTCCTCAGGATAGGACTGGTGCAAAGCGAAGGTGGTGAGCGTGTGAAAACAGTATCGTAGTGGAGGCAATTAAGCACTTTATCCAGAGAGGGGAACGAGAGGAGGGGTAATACCTCAGTGGTTTCCCCCTCCCTACTGGGTTTTATCTTTCTTCTTGGGGTTTCTTTCTTCGCTTTAAGATTCTTTCTTTGCTTCAAGATTTTTACGGGCCTCCAGTTCCACGTAGTTCGAGGCCCAAGACTAATGATGAGTGTGCCAATGGCATTGAACCGTCTGCTACCTTGCCGCCCGTGGTTCCGCTCAGTCTCCAGCCCTGAGCAGCTTGTCGAAGTGCCAGTACTGGCTATGGTGCTCTTGATTCTGCCGTTGCGTGTTTTGCTGGTGCCCTGCCGGAGAGATGGACGATTTCTGCCGTTACTACAGTACAAATGCCTCTAGGGTAGCCGCTTTACTTGCCCGAGGCCATCAGTATCCATGTTTCCTGACTGGTCAAGGCATTTGGTCGACCCTGCCTCATGGCCTCAGGTCGGAAATAAGTTAGTCACCGCCCGGCGCCCGCCCACTAACCCCCCAACGGGACGGACGGACGGGATGGGGACACTGAATCCCCCTCCCCAAGGGCAGGGCTACTCATTTTCTCTCACCCCTCCTCCATCCAATGCCCAATACCCGGCATGGCGTGCCCCAAGACACCTGCGTGAACGCACTTGCTTTCCGTTAATTGCCTTCCATTAGTTACCTACCCCCTATAAGGTACCCGCGTCTTCGCTAACCAGTAACCACGAATTCGCACTTTCTTACCATCACTGTAAGCATTCCAATGCATCTCGTTTCAGGCGCATGCTTCATCGTAATCCTCCTGCCTAATGCTGAGCGATGTGCCCTGGAATTGATTTACCAAGTGTCGAATGAAGCACTTTTCCCATCTACATGCACTGGGCCTTCCTCAACTTGCCTGGCTGCCTGCCCGCCTCAAACATCGCAGTTACCGTCACAGCCAGAGATTGCCAGTCCACCACTACCCTCCCCTCCCCGCTAAAAAAAGTCAGGTCGACGCCTCCACCTTTACCTCAAGTACCAACCTGGTAGCGGCTTTCCGAGAGGGAAAAAAAATTCATTCACAAGAAAAAAAAAAAAAAAAAAAAAAAAAAAAAAAAAAAAAAAAAAAACCTCGGGCCTCAGATTTTATTCCTGCAACATTTCTCTCCTCCTCTCCCACAACCGCACAATCTCCTCTCTTTCTCCCTCCCCTCCGCAGACCTACCTTTACCCTGCATCTTTGTGGTCATTCTTCAGTTCTCTCGTCTTGCTCCGGCCGAATTCTCTTTCGCCATATACACAGCGGGCATTTCGTACACGAAGACCCCTTAAGCCCAACAATAAAGTCGTCCAATCGAAACTTTGCGTTTATCGTCGTTCACATTTTCCTTAGATCGCCGCAACCCGAGCATCTCCGGAACGCCACGCTTCTCAACCCAACCCTTCTCCTTGACTTGCCTTCCACCCAACGCTGCTACATCGTTACGAGGAACACAGCTTCCACAACCCCTCGGACTCCCTCGTCGTGCTCGCCCTTGCTGAATTTCAGTACTTGCGTGCCCCCGTCGGATTTCTCGTCCCCGCATTTCGCCCAACAGAAGCCTCCACGTCGGCTTCACTGGACCAGCATCTCCCGCTCGTCTTGTCACCTTTGGGCCTCCCAAATCAATTCGCGACTTCTGACGACGTCAATACATACTTGATTCTCTTGACGGCTCCCAAAGCCGCCCGACCGAATTCATTCTCACGCTCCACGGAGAGGTTACTTCGCTCTCTCCGATCTGTCTCCGCTCGGGGAGTTGCTGGTAGACCTCGGTTTACCCTCTAGCAGGATCCAACACAGCCCGTCCGTGGCTATCTACTTCGGGGCCTGGCAGGATTGGATCCGTTGATCGTCTTTCCTGGTCCAATATACCCCCGATAGTCTTTTCGACGCATGCATATTTCTGCATCAGACCTAGCATCAGACACGATGGCTACTGCATTCTCCTACGCTCAAGCCGCCAAGGGCCAGGCGGCCACCACATCGGCAACCCAGCCCACTGAGAACGGCAAGGATGCCGCCAACTCAGTAAACGGTGAGCAGACCACTGTCGAGACCAACGCCGTCAAGAGCGGCGACCCCATTGACGACGAGACTTCGAGAAATACCCCTCTCAAGGCCCAAATCGCCTCCACACAGGACGCTCCTTCTGTCCCTGCTGAGGCCAACACCAACAACACATCCGCTGCCGCCTCCGTCACCGATTCTCGACGCGATGACGAGGACGCGGTCACCGAGGGCTCCGCTCGCCGAAGCGAGAAGAGCGTAAGGTCAGCAAGTGCGTCCACGCGCGTGACCGATGATGCTGAGCCGAAGAAGGGCTCTAGGAAGCCAAGAAAGGGCAAGGCAGGAAAAGAGTCGGGCGAGGATGCCAAGAAGGATAAGCAGGCAGAGCAGGAGAAGGAGCAACCCAAGATCGAGCTGGTCGAGGCACCGCTCCCTTCGGTCAACATCTGGACCCAACGGAAGGAGACACAGGCTGCAAAGACATCCGTCACCCTGCCCGTCAACGGTGCTTCCGGCGCATCCAGCTCCGCTGACGCCTGGCCCAATAGTCAGGAGTCCAAGAAGAAGAGCAAGGCCGCCGACGCCACTGAAGCGGCGAACGGTGTTCCCGCCTCCAGCAAGTCTCAGCGCAAGGCTGGCGATGGCGAAGTGGCCGTCCGCAGGAACGGTGCTCGCGGTTCTAGAGTAATCGACAGAGACAGCCGACCTACTGAGGTGCCCCCTCCCGTCGGTGATGTCCAGTCATGGCCTACGCCCGAGACGGCGGTCAAGGAGACCGTCAAGGAGGATAAGCGCAAGCCCTCCGACAAGACGGAGCGGCCAGACGCTGACGCCCAGGACGACGCCGCCTCAAAAGGACGTTCCAAGGAGAAGTGGGAGCGCATGGACTTCGTACCCACTGTTCAGTTCTCCACCCCCATTCCCTCAGTGAGAGGATCTCGAGGAGGACGCGGTGGCGCTCGTGGCGGACGCGACGTCACCTCTCGCGGTGGACACGGTGCTTCGGCCGCCGCCGCTGCTGCCGACAAGCCTGCCGCTGCTGCCGTCCCTTCTAGCAAGTCAGGGAGCGAGGCTCGTGAGCGTGCCCGAGATGGCAACGCCCCGACCAGAACCAACTCTCAGCCCCCTGCTGCAAACAAGCGCGCTTCCATGGAGGCGTCCAGCAAGGAGCAGCGCAAGCCTTCCGCACCCAGCTCGGGCGAACGTAATAAGGAGCCGCAGTCCAATGCCACCAACGTAAGTTGCCTCGTGCTGCTCTTGTCCCGTGATTCCAACCAACGATGGCACTAACCACAAAGCAGGAACAGGCCGGACCTGTGAGAGAGAGAGGCGAGGGTCGCGGTGATAGGGGTCGTGGCGGATACCGGGGCCGCGGAGGCCACCCTGGAAACGTGCCCATGCACTCTCAGCAATCTTCCTACATGGGCAACGGCAACTCTTTCGGCTCCCAAGGCCCGCGCCAATTTACTAGCCCCCCTCTGCACCAGAACGGTAGCTTTGCTTCATCATACGGCGGTTCCCAGTCTCGGGGCGGTCGCGGTGGCCGTGGCCAGTCCAACGGTTCCGGTGCTTTCCGTGGAGCCGGTGGCCCTTCGAACTCTGGTCGCATCCGTCAGGTTCAGACAAACATGAGTCAGGTTTCCTGGGACTACGGCATGCCCATGACCCCTGGTTCTTACCCTGCTTTCTACGAGCAGACCAGACACCTCATGATTCCTCAGTTTGAGTACTACTTCTCTGTCGAAAATCTCTTGAAGGACGAGTTCTTGCGTAAGCACATGGACAGCCAGGGTTTCGTGCCCTTGGAGCTCGTACTTGGTTTCTCCAGGGTCCGTACCGTCGCCGACCCTCAAACTCTGCGCGCAATCTGTGCCGAGTGCCCCCAATTGGACTATGTCATTGGAGATGATGGTATCGAGAGACTGCGCTCTCGCACGCATTGGCAGAAATTCGTCTACTCCAAGATGGAGCTGCGCTTCGAGTCCGCGCGCAACGCTGGGCCTCAGTACTTTTACCCGCGCTCGCTTCACGCCATGGCTCCCTACGACCATGGGATGTTGGGCGACTACCCTGTTGTTTCGCCGTCCGCATACCCCAACGGCACTGAGAACGGCTACGTTGCCTACCCTACCGAGCTGCCTGCGGGGCAGATGAATGGTCTGGTGAACGGTGCCGGACCCGAGACGCAGCTTTCAGCTCAGGTTCCCGAATTCCAGCCGGGAACGTCTGAGCAGGCTGGTGCCCACTCGGAATCCGGGTCCAAGATTGAACAACTTCTCAATGGCTCTGCCGAGTCTCACGCGGAGAGCGCGCCCTTGATCAATGGAAAGCACGCCCAGTCCGCCGAGGTCCTCCAGTCCTAGTTGGATGAAGGCATTGTAGCCTGTGGTGATGAGACAATGTCTGGTGGCTACGGCGGCGGCGGCGGCGGCAGCAGCAGCAGGAGCAGCAGCGACATGTCGAGTCCGTCCCAACGCGCACATCTAGTGATGCGTGTCCGAGGCGAGGACTCGGCTACAGAGTCTCGCATTGACAACATCCCGTATCCTGAATTTCGTACACGTGCGCTCTCCAAACGGATGAACGCTTTGGCTGGGGAGATCCCTGGCGACATGATATCCCTCTATCGGTTCTGGTCTCATTTCTTGGCCCGGCATTTTGATTTGGAGATGTTTGAGGAGTTCCGGGCATGTGCAGTGGCGGATGCCACGGGGGCGACGGTCAACATAACTGGCCTCGAGAACTTGATTGCATACTACGAGGCAGTCATCCAAGGCGACAAGGAAATACTTCTGGACAACATTGAGTTCCTTTACAAAGAAGCGAAAAAGCTGGCCACGAAGGCCCAAATATCCTGAGGGCAGAGCGCCACAAGACAAGAATGTTTTTACGAATTACGCAGCTCGTGTGGGATTTCCCCCCCCCCCCCCCGACAGCTGCCAGGCTCTGAAGGTTGCGGAATGACGCGGCCTGATCTTGGGCAATCTTCCACTCTTAGTGCCGTTGAGTTTACAACGTTTATTAGGATCAGGCGAAATGGGCCCGCTAGTACTGTCGCCATTGGATGATTGTAAAAGTTCCTTGCTTCTCGTCAAGGAAGGGACACGGCAAATAGATGCTGCCAGGTGGCCGGCGATATACGTCCATGGGCGGGAGCCGGATCGGAAATAATCGAGAGAGCGCGGATTAATCAGAGACGAACACGATGGGGTAAGAAGGTCGAGTTGAGGATTGAAGTGAGAGCAAGTTGCTCTTCCTCGGGAAGAGGCTTTGGGCATGGGTTGATGAAAGTCTCTTCTCCGGCGTAATCGGCAAAGGACCGATATGACAATCATCGGCCTACTTTTTTTCTTTGGCGGGGTTATTTTATTTCATGGATGGATTCATCTTCTTCCTCTCACCTCTTGCTGCTAGACGAAGAAAAAAGTTCTCTTCACTTATTTCCTTTTCTGTTTTCTTTTTGCACATAGTTTCTGCATGCTCTTTTTCCGGGGGATTAAGGGGGAGGGGGTGGTCATGAAATGCATTCGAGCGGTCACAAAGAAGAAATTTCGGGGGCGGTGGCTCAGGGTTCTGCTAGACTTATTTATTTTTTCATCTGGCTCATAGGTACAAAAACGCACGAGAAAAGGATGAAAACAGAGTATCACCACGTTGGACGAGTCATGCTGGTGTTGGATTTTGTACGAGTAGTATCTCACGCAACCATAACAATAACAACAACAAAAAAAGGAACAAACATGGAGCGTTCATATTAGGTGACCATTTGTGCTTCATGCTCTCATGCATTTGTGATAAGCCTCCATAATGGTCCGAGCTGATCGTTTGGTTCCCGGCCAGTCGGGTCTAGACCCATCATGAGTTTATGTATTGCTCTCTGCAAGAGCAGAATATCGACTCTGGACGGAGCCTGGCTGGTCCATGGAAGGAACATATGTGCTGCCCGTTCGGCCATGGACCCCCTTTTCCTTTTGTTCTTATTTTTTTTCTCTGGTTTTTTGAGATGCCGACTGCGCCCCCCTTTCGACAAAGTCCGGTCCGTTGCCAGGCTCATTCCTAAACCTGGGACGAGACGCAAAGCCTTCTGCTGTTGTAGGCTGCCTCTCATCCTCGCCTCTCTCCCCGCATCATCGTGTCTGCATAAAGCTGTGCTCTCTGGTGCTTAATTGGTCCCTGGACAGAATTATGCATCCCCTGGCGCGGATATGCAGCGGAGAAATAAGCCCGATGTTACGAGGCTCGCCGTGCCAGCCAGCGATGGCGCACCTCGCCTCGGTTCACGAGCCGGGGATGGAAATTTTGGTCTCCGGGTGAGGCTCCCGAGATGGAGGCAGAGCAGCTCGATGCCGCGCTGCTCACTTACGAAGTCAATGATGTTGGGATAAGTTTGCCCACATCGTATTGGAACAGGAGCGTGCGTCTTTTACCCGGAGATGTAGTTGCCTCACATTATTAGTCATTATTACATTGTAACCCATGGCAGACAGTCGCTTCGCAACTGCGACAATAGGGCCTCGTATACTGATCGAAGGGCTGATGTCAATCCAAGCAGTCATTATCTACAAGAAGCATACCATTTCCTCATTATTCCAAACTTTGACGCTGGGTAAGGAGTACCACCCCTGCTAATCGTCAGGTCCCTTAGAGGGTCATGACCAAACCGACGATGGCGGCAAACCCGGCAAAGGCGTTGACCATGACAGTCGGCGCAGCGTTGGGGGCATCAGTGGATGCAGGGGCGGTGCCGGAGGCGTCAGTGCCAGTAGGCTCAGGAGACTCAGTCGCGGAAGCGGTGCCGGTCGCGGTCTCTGTCTCGGTGGTAGCAGTCTCGGTAGCAGTCGCGGTGCTACGGAGAGGAGTGTTAGTGGTACGACGGCCGAGATGAAAGATTAGGTAGAGAAAAGAGGGCGCCGAGAAGCAACTTACGCGGTGGTGTCACCCTCATTGCTGGTGTTCAGAACAGTCGAGGTGAAGGCACTGCCGGCGGCGTCGGTGCCGGTAACAACACTGGGGGAAAGCGTGGGCACCAGGTCAGTAGTGATGGTGGTCGGGACGGGCGTGATGGTAGCAGAGAGGCTGGTGGTGATGGTGTTGCCCTCGCTGTCGGTGGTGGTGACGGCGATGACGGTGGGTACGGGAGTAGCAGCGGCGGCAGTAGGGCGGAGGCTCTCAATGGCAGACTCCAATGCGGCGTACTGACTGACGTAGGCAGTGGGGATGGCGGCGAGGAACCAGTTCGGGGTGCTGGTGGCCTTGAGGACAGAGAAGACGTAGGACTTGACGTCCCCAGTGACGCCGGCCGCGCTGGCGGCGGAACCGAAGGCCGAGGTCAAGGAGCTCCACTGGCCCTCCGGGATGTAGGCCGAGATGAGAGCGTCGGCAGCCTGGGTGAAGGCAGGTGCGTCCGGGCTTAGTCTTGTGTCAGTTTACGGCCCAGTGGCGTTGAGGGTCTCGCCTCTTGAGCTCCAGTGACTTACGCTTGACGAGCCTCGATGGGGTTGGCAGCGGCGAGGTTGGTGGCGAGAGCCAGGGAGAATATGGCAGACTTCATGTTGACTACGGGCTGGTCTTTGGAGGAATATCCGAGACCGAAGGTTGGGTATCACAGGTATTTCAGTATGAGGACGGCAGGGCTTCCCTTGAGGATATCGCTGACTGGCTGAAGCAAACAAGGTGGATGGGGAGAGAGAGAGGGGAGAGAGAGCGGTGTGGGAGTAAATGACTACTGGGAGAAGCATCAACCGGTTGCCTGTTCATTTATATAATAAGCAAAGCTCGGTGATGCGGTCAAGAAGCAGATGACGCCGTATGCGGTCGAACAGGCCGGGTGCGACCAGGCCAGCACAAATTGGGAAGCATGGCGAAAGTGGTGGTGGAAGCGAGAGCTGGGAATTGCGCGTCGCTGTGTTTGCGAGGGACGGCACAGGAGGAAAGTGGGCAGAAATCTTGGTGTTGACCCCAGCCGTTAATCCTGGAAAAGCGGAGGTTGGGTAGAGATGCTCAATACAGAGAGTACAGATACCTAGGGCCATGATCCATCGGATGCCCTTGCAGCCGCAGAGCCAGCAGAAAGAGGGCGACAGCTGCAGGTCGCAGACGAGGCAAGGAAAAGTGACATTTTGAAAAAAGCAGGGCAGGGCAACAGCTGAGGCCGGGCTGAGCTCTCTGGCGTGACGTTGGCGGTTGGCCCGTTTGCTTGCGCGTGCCACGCAGGCCATCGAATGAGACGCAAAGGTTTTGATGGCGTACCTCGCACAGAACGTATGAAGGCATCAAACGGATGCACGGGTGATGGCATCGTGGTGTTGGCTCATTCAAACGGGCAGGGGATTTGATTGGCGCGGGGTTGCGAGTTTGCCGGCCACGATCGTGAAATGGGGTTGACGCGAGGTTGGGGGGAAACACAACGACAAGGATCAGAATACAAGGCCGTCGAAGAAACAATTTACGTCAGCCTTTTTCTTGTGCCTCTCTTGGCTGTCCTACCCCAATTCTCGACTGGACCAATGCTCAAGAGCACAAGATACAGAGACTGCTCTCGCGATATGTGACTCGAAATAGAGAGAGAGAGAGAGAGAGAGAGAGAGAGAGAGAGAGAGCTTGTACCAAGGGCGGACGGCCTTGTGGTGCTGCAGCGGTGATAGATGGGGGTTGTTATTCGTGAGAATGTGGGATTCCGATTACAACAGGGAACACTGTAGCAAGATACGTACCATGTGGAGGAATGTGGTTGGCGGGTAGGACCATTGCGTCGGTTACGGTTACGGTATGCTGCCAGGGTGGCCGTTGGACGAATGACACAATAGGATTGTTTACTGTACTGAGTAGAGCCAGGGACAAGGAAGCCCCCACCATCGGCCGTGTTCCATTTCGTCGTTTGCTGACAACGGTGAGCCAACAAGCTTTCATTCCTTCCTGAACTGAGATGGCCTTCGACTCCGCCCAAGCACGTGACCCGTACACCAGCGGCGGGCGTCGCGCAGCGATAATAGCCAGAAGCCCAGGTGCGCCACCACAATAGTACACCCATCCACAGAGGAGGGAGGTACGATGTAGTTCACACGTGTGTACGCTACGTCACCGGCTCTCAAGTAGGTAAGCAGCCCACTTATCCGCACTGCAGGCTTCCCCTCTTCAAATCCTTCGCCGCGGGGCATTCCACTTCCACTTCGACTCTCGTCCACGCCCGCCCAGCTCGTCACCATGACACTATTACCCACACCTGGGTTTTCCGTCTGCCACTTTCAGCCATTTATATTTATCCCTCTACCTTGTCCGGGCAGGCGTGCAATCTACCTGATGAATGTGCATGATGAAATACTTTTATTCCCAATGCCACAAGGGTGTTGAAGCCATGGCGCAATCATAGTGATCACAATACTTAATACTCGCCCGATTCATTTTCGGCCGCTAGAATACTACCTGCCTAGTGTATATGGCTGCAGCAGATGACCTGTCGAGTGGAAACTGTCCCTCTCCGGGAAGATATGTAGGAACCCAATGAATCTAATTTACAGCATCAGTGCCGGGCAGACATGGTGCGTTCAGAGAGAGTGTAACGGGAACTCTCGCGGACTCGCCGAGCATCTTGCAGCAGAGCCCCTCGCACCAGCACAAGAAGTGCCGGTGCCGCCCCTTGGAGGCCCCTCTGTCGGCGCTCGGCCACAGGGCAAGGCTTAGGCCCAACTTCCATATTCCATTGGTCGACATGCCTGCCCTTATGAGGTCATTTCCACGGCTGCCTCGTTCCCCCCTCCTTTTTGCACAGGTCACAGGTCACAAGGGATGCTACATGCACTTCTGCCAGTGCTGCATGCTGCGTACATGATTATCCCTAGTATTCAATACGGTCTGGCTCTCAACTCGACCCGGAGGGGTTTCAAAGAATGCAGCTCTTGGTCCCGAGAGCTGGCATCAGCCACGAATTCCCACCGCCTAACGCAAGACGTTACTTCTGTCACCCTTAATGTAGCTCGGGTGTGGCATCGGGCTGTTGCAGGGAACACCCATCCTCGAAGGCCACTTGTAAGCACACCAGCACAGTATTCGGGGCGCACGCACCGGAAGCCTGACCACATCTTTTGTGTCTTTTGGAGCCCAGCCAATCGATCTGGCAAGGACTAAATGGAAAATTGGACGACCAGAAAACAAGGGTATACGCACATTATTTTCGGTCTAGCCTGGGGGATAACGGTATGTTCAAGTGACCTGTTCTTATCTTCATTTTCATTCCGAGTAATGTTGTGTTGTATAGATGACCATCTTCCAGGTTAAGATATGGTCCATTTAGCCCTGGTTCACAAGTCCCCGTCGCCGAAAATACGGTCATCAGATACATTTGTTGGCTAGGCAGGCTGAGCATACCGAGCGCAAAGACCGTTCATCGTTAACATACTCAGGTGGCTAGGTAGTCAAGGTACGCATCCCTGAATCCCGCACCCTCCGCCTCTCTTCCTGCAGCCGCACCTCTGGAAGCAATGCTGAGTCGTCAAGATGCTACATCCATGTCTTTGGCCACCCAACCCTGTCCTGTCCTGCCCTGCCCTGCCCAGTTGTTCCAGTTTAGGCCTGGAGGGGACTGTCTGTCTAGCTGGCTGCTCTGCCTGAACTGTCCACCTCATGCCCGACACCCACACTGATTTGCCTTTCCCTCCCGTCTCCGTCTTGTTGGACCCTGGCCTCCCCACCCACTACTTCCAGCCCTGGGCACCCCCGGTCTGCGGTCATCATTTCTTCCCCCTCTTCCCTCTCTTCTGGGACTGACTGTTCTTCATTCTTCTACCCTCTGAACAGCTCACAGACATTACGACGTTTGTAGTTATAGACGTCTCATCACACAACCACCACAACTTCATAACACTCACCAGACGTTTCTGTGCCTGGTGCTGCACACCATATAGACGACACTCTATCGCCTCACTCGGAGACTTACAACACCCCGCTTCCCACAACATAACCCCCAAGCCATTTCACCGGTTCTTGCGCATACTCTTTATCGACCGGCATGAGCTACGACTACGAAACCCCGCGCACTCGTCGCTACGTGCGCGAGGAGCGTCGGGAGGAGAGGGTCGACCCCCGGTACGCAGACGATGGATACCTGAAGGTCTACCAGTCCCGCGAGATCATTCCCAAGGCCCGAGAGAACAGCGATCTCTCCATCGAAGAAGTTCGTCGTGATTTTCCTCCTCCGGGATACAGAGACAGAGATTCCCGCAGAACCCGTTCAGCAGAGCCGGGCTATTACGATGACTACCGAGGCTACGATGACCGAGATCGATACTATGACCGCGACTATGATCGTCGAAGCAGGAAGGCCGGAAGTGTCCTCTATGCCGAGGAGGAGAGGTCCCGTAAGCGTGTGCTCAACCAACAAGAAAAGATCATAGCTGCCGTTGCCGGTGCAGCTTTGGCTTTCGGTGGCAAGGAACTTTACGACAGAAAGGAAGCCAAGGAGCATGGCGGCGAAATCGAGCGCAACTACCTGAGCTCTGCAGCCTTGGGCGCTGCTGGAGCACTCGCAGGCTACCAGGGTGCAGAGTTCTACAGCAAGCGTAAGGAAAAGGAGGAAGACAAAGCCACATATGTCGTCCACCGCGGCCGTGACGGCAGGGTCACTGAGTACTACTCCGACGAAGAGGGGGAGAGGGAGAAGAAGAGCAACAAGTCTTTCCTAGAGAACGCCCTGGCGGCTTCTGGCCTGGGAGTTGCGGTCAAGGCTCTCACGGGAGCAGGCGGTGGTGATGACAGGCGCAGCGACACTCGCAGCCGACGAGGCAGCCCTGACTCGAGGGGCTCTCGGTCCAAATCTCGGGGACCGGGCGGGGACGCTGCCAGCAAGATGCAGAAGGCGGCTATGGCTTCCTTAATTGCCGGAGCCACCGAGGCCTTCCGCGTTGCCAAGGAGCCTGGCGGCTGGAAGGGCGAGAAGACCAAGCGCATCATCACTGCAGCTGCCGGTGCTGCCACCATCGATGCTGCTCAGGGCGGCGAGAAGCAAAGCAAACTGGGTCTGGCTGAGTCCGTCATCGGTGGTTTGCTGGGGAACCGTGTTATCAACGGATCCAAGCGCAACATCGAAGAAGACCGGAGCACCGGTCGAAGCCGATCCCGGTCGCGCGCTCGTTCTGATGGCGGAGGTGGCGGGCCGGGCTTGGCCGCTCTGGCTACGGCTGGACTCGGTGCTTTCGGCGCAAAGAAGGCAATTGAAAATGTCCGGTCTCGCAGCCGAGGCCGCAGTGCCGACTCTTATGATAGCCGGGCTTCTAGCCGCAGCCGCGACGGCCGACGCCAGCGGAGCAGGAGCCGCAGCGTTGTTGATTCGGCCCGGAAGAAGCTCGCCAAGATCGGTCTTGGTAGTGACCCCGAGGAAAAGGAGAGGGATAAGTATGCCCGAGATGACAGCTACTATGACGACCGTAGCTCCCGCCGTGGCACAAGCCGAAGATATTCTGATGAATATGACGACGGATATACCCGCGGTGGACGCGATGCCGCCTACGAAGACGACAGGTCCTCGTACACGAGCCACCGTCGCGACCGTTCCCGTCGTAGAGGAGGAAAATCGGATGCGAGTTCGGACTCGGACCTTGGTGACTCGGACGACGACGCGAAACGTGCTAGGAAAATGAGAGGTAAGCAAGTCATTACAACGGGCCTCGCGGCAGTTGCCACCATTCACGCAGCACATGGAGTCTATCAGAGTATGGAGAAGCGCAATGCACGGCATAAGGCTGTGAGAGAAGGACGGCTCAGTCCAGAAGAAGCGAAGAAGCTCAAGACGAAGGCTATTGTGCAAGACGCCGCTTCTGTTGGGATCGCTGCCCTCGGCATCAAGGGTGCTTGGTCTGAACTCAAGGAGGCCAAAGAGATGACCCACGAATGCAAGCAGTTCCAGCAAGAAAAGGCCATTCGACATCAGAAACGGCTTGAGAGACAGAGGAGACTCAACAGCGGCCATGACCGCAGAAGGAGCAGGGCGGATGACTGGTACTCTTCTGCGTCTCCCCAAGAAGAGCGATACGATTACAGGTCAACATATTATGACGACAACCCGTACTCTGCCGGCCGCTTGCCTGCTCCTCCTGCTAGCTATGACGACGGGAGGTACAGAAACTGAGGAGGTGGTGCAACGGGAGCCAAGTCCTCCCAATCGCCATGTTTCTGATCCTCACCGCACACCTGAACCGCGGCGTTTTCTGCATCTTGCCCCTCTTTGCCCTCGACACACTGGATTTGCGGTTTTCTATGTCTGTATCAGGTTTTACGACGCCACGACATTTGCACGGATTATTGTTGCAGCACCAGCCGCGACTATTCTAAGCACCAAATGAATTAGAGAGACCGAATAATGAGGGGGATGTAGAACTGGCGTTCCGCATTTGCCTTTCACTTTCAAACTTGCCTTTCAACAAGCAGCCGTCTTGCATTGCGTTACTCAGATAGATGGATTCTCCCCCTTTCTCCCCTGTTGCCAAATCTACACGCATTCTTTCTTATCGTACTATAAGCCAAACAGATTCTAATTGGATTGTGATAGACCATCGCCGCCGTTACTAATCGGCCACGCCGTCATCCATAGCCAGATGGATCGGCAACTGGTTGGACCATGTCTCGTTGCCGACGGGGTCATGCGAATGATGGCCCTACCGACCCGCGGCAATCCGGCAACATGCAGCTCAGACAGAATGAGCGCACGATGGGGCCAGGGTCGGAGCTGATCGCCAGGGTCCGATTGGAACGATGAGGTTTTCTTTTCTTTCGTTTCGGAATTGTAGGGAGGAGGCGAGAAAGAAGAGAGAGGCCTGGCCAACAACTGATCGAACCTCGCAGCCAAGCGAAACCCGATGGGAAAGGAACCCCTGTTCCTGAGACAGACAGGATATTTTTTTCACTAGCGCGAGAACGGACAAGCGGCGGTGAAGGGGCGACCAACTTCTCTGGGTGGTACTCTATCTTTTCTTTTTTGGTAGTAAAGATCGGGGACAAGTCGGGAAGGGAGGGAACCGATATGCGGGATGATGATATACGGCGGAATAGACGGCGTACGTCGTCGCTATGGGTCTCGTAGCTCACACTAGCGCCTGATCAGCAGCGATGGGGTGATGGAGGAAGACATCCTCTCGAGTACTTGTCACTCGCCGACTGAAGAGTCATATCTTTTTACTGATTTGGTGTGCAGTTTGCCAGTTGTATCCCTCTTTAGTATTTTCCTTTGGATGTTAGTATTCTCTGTGGATGGGACGGGCGTTTGATTCTCAATGTTATACTAGGCAGGCCATGCAGTTGTCAACCACTATGACATATGAAGTTTTGCGCAAGCTTGCCTCCCCACATGCACCTGCACTATGTGCGTGCCGGCCGTTTGTTCGCTTCGCTATCTGACACCACCGAGTGTGGTTCCTCGGCGAGGCGGTTGACTCCGAAGCCAGTCCCGCGCTCCCTTCCTCTCCCTTTCCGCCCTGACTGGGTCAATGGCCTGACGAATAGGAATCAATGCAAACTCAACGCCGGCAAACTGTCTCGTTGTTGTGCACATGCCGCATGTGATTATATATGGCAAACGTGGCACAGCTTCGTCATTTCATGTTTAGCTCGTCTTTGGGAATCAAGTAGAATAACATGGTGGGAAGAGACGCCGATACAGAGCAAAGTACAGAGCAGGCCGATGTGATGTGATATGTCGGATGGGAAGGGTGGAGGGGGTTGGGAACCTGGGCTCATCGGTAAGCCCGTTTTGCATCTCTTGTTTCTCGATCTGTGGGCCACCCTGCGGAGCGAAGCACATGTGCAAACCCCGGCATCCTCAGTTGTTGGTTCAACATCGACTTTGAGGGTCTGGGACCAATCTTTTCAAGTGGTGGCTCTGGTTGCCTGGCGGTGACAAGCGGCTAAGTGATCAGGAGCAGAATGACATCATTTCACACCTCGATGGGGCGCCTGTGGCCATGATTGGTGAGGCATCGTCAGATGACTGATTTGACATGTCTCGTCTCTCGGTGCCACCCATCTCAATGGCAAGATTCTCGTGTGCCTGGATTTGTATTTGGCATCCCATTTCGGTGCCGAGTGCCAGCTCGGCGTCCTGTCGTCAAGTGGACATACCGGACGCTGGAGGCTCCAATGTGGGTTCGCCCGCACACCATTTAGCGGAAGCTTCGGATGGCTGACAGCATCCGGGATGTTCTTTTGATAAAAACTGTTTTCGTAAAATCGCACCACTGATCCGAACCGAGATTGGGTTTTCTTCTTCTCTCTGGCTAGGAAACTTGGATTGAACATGATCTAATACCTATGGTATGATATAATAACTAAAATGACAAACATTCTGCCATGCGGATGGGGATGTTGTCTATGACGCTGCATCTCCTCCCTGCTTCTTCCAAGCCTGTGCCATGGCCAGCAGATTGGACAAGTTCTGGGTCTGCTTATCGTCGGCTGGGAAAACGTAGTCGATGTACTCCTCGAAGCTGTCATCGTCGAGGCGCCTCCTACGCTTCGTCTTACGCGGCATCAACTTCTGTACCTTCTCCACATCGTCGCCGGCGCCGTGCGTTCTCTCAAACGACAACCAAGCATTGAGCAGCGTGACGGCCTCCTCCTTGAGATCCTTGTCGCGCATGCTCTTGTGTGCGCGCTCGAATACCTTGCGCGCGCGCGCCTTGGCCTCATTGCTAATCGGCGCTTCCTCCTCCGCCTCCTCCTCGTCCTCTGGTATGTTGAGCTCGAAGTGCGCGAAGCTGATCCAAACCTTGACATGGTCTGTCTTTTCGAGAAGACGCTCGTAGAGCTCTCTTGTCCTTTCGTACTCTCCCTCTTCTTCCTCGAAGTCGATATACGCCTTCCACAACAGTTCGGGCATGTCGAGAACCGGTTGACTCACAGCCAGCTCGAAAATTGCTCTGGTACGTTCGAGATCATCAAGACCGCGCTCGAGCTCGGCGAATTTGATCCAGGTCTGGCAGTTGGACGGGTTCCACTCGATGTGCTTCTCGTACAGTGTTCGGCACCGTAAAAACTCAAAGAGCTTGAGCTCCAATTCAATGTAACCCCTAAAGAGCTTGTCCTTGGGGCACATACCGATGCCCTGGCCCAGAGTCTTACGGGCCGCGGTGAGCTCGCCTTGCCGGATCTCGAACTGCGCCTTCAGCAACCAAATCTTCGCGAATGTAAACTTCTTATGCGGTATCAGCTCCAAGCATACCCTGTAGACCTGCCGTGAGCGCTCGACATCCTTTGCTTGGAGCTCCTCAAAAATGGCATAGTTAATCCAGAGATAAATATAACGCCTCCAGAATCTCTTCTCCTGCGCCGGCGGTACCTGGGCAACTGCTCTTTCGTATACATCTCGAACTCTGTCAAGATCGCCAGCGGTTTCCTCGAGACGCGTGTAGTCGAACCAAATATCGTAGTTCTTCGGGTTCTCCTTGACCTGTGCTTCGTAAAAGACGCGGCGCTTTGAAAGAACAACATCCTCAACACCGTCTTTATCTCCAAACTGCTTCTCGAACGTCGTATAGGCTTTATGTAGAGCCATGGACCGGGAACGAGGTAAACGGTCTAGGGCATACTTATAGATTGCCCTGGCTCGTTCGTACTCCTTCAATTTCGCCTCATATCTTGCATAGGCAATGAAGAGCTTCTCGTCCACAAATTCGTCGCCCAACTCTTCAATGGCAGTCCCAAATATGTCACGAACCATGTCGCTGGTGCCAAACTCCTCTTCAAAACGTGCCCATTTGATCCAGTTTCTGGGTTCCGGGTGGACAATGGTGAAGGCTCTGAATATGTCTCTAGCTCGGTCGTATTCGCCATATCGCTTTTCAAGCTTGATGTAGGCACTCCATGCGGCTTCATCGGGCTGCCATTGCATCCATCGGTCAAAGACTTGGCGGGTTCCCGGGACGTTGCCCAGCATCTCTTCCATATAGACGTATTTGTACCACAGCTTATCAACACGGGGTAGCCGCGTGACGGCTCTGTCGAGGAGATTTCGCGCATGATTGATGTTTCGGCATTTCACTGTAACGATGTTAGCGTTCTGGCCCAGTATCTAGTCTGGCACGGCTTCCTTACTCTCCGACTCGATGTATCTGATCCAGAGGCGGATATCATTAGGATGCACATCGAGCGCGCGCTCAAAGACTGATCGAGCGCGCGCAAACTCCTTCTGCTCTAACTCCCATTGCGCATATCGCATCCAGTTGTTAAGGTTCACTCTGTTGCGCCGGACGTAATCCTCAAACTCTCTACGTTTTCTGCCCTGGAATTCGTGCAGCTCCTCCAAATCGGCAAAGCGCTGGGTTGGTGCCTGCAGCGCAACCTCTTGACGGTCAACTGCCTCGCGAAGAAGCTGCTCGGCAGAGATTTGAACAGGCGCGGCGGCCTTGTTCTTGACCTTGGGCGGTCCTCGCGATGCCTCCATTATCGCGACTTGTTGGTGGAAGGTAGGATTCTCGGCAACTGCGCAATCGTCACGTTCTCCGGCTTCGATACTTGATGTCGTGGTCTATGAGGCAGGTGGCGTGGTCGACAGTAAAGTTGGTTCGCGTAACCCCGCGGCTTTTGTTAATCGTCAATGGCTAGAGGTGTCGATCGTGGGTTGTTGATTCCACTCAAGGCTGGGCTGAGCTGTGGTTGGAAAAAAGCAGCTCTTATCGGGGCTCCAGCCACTCCGATAACGAGCTGATGTGGCTGAGGGCCCACCTGCCACGGGAAAAGCGACGCAGCCTCGCAAGGCTTCCCAGGAACAGAAAGATAACTTTTTGTCACACAAGCTTCCTTTCTTCGTTGCGCCGTTTCTCATCACATACGATACTACGATCAAGCGCGCACTGCAACATCTGCGACCGGCACGATGGCGACTCTTGCGGACGAGCTTCTTCAGGACTTCGAGGACTCTGGCTCCGAAGCTGAAGACACCCAGCAAGACAATGATCCCCTCGGGCTTTTCGACAATGCGCCCGAAGCAAATGGTAACAAGGCCTTGCACGACATGGACCTCGATGGAGACCAAAGCGACCCTGAGGATGGAGACCATGAAATGGGAGGCGTATCAAAAGGCGCCGTCGACCCTGTCGAAGATGCCGAGGATGCTAAAGCAAAGGTCGAGAAGATGCAGTTGGGCAGCGTCAACGATGTTCGCAGCGTCGCCAGTCTTATGCAGACTTTACAACCCATACTAGAGGTTAGCCAAGCCCCCGGAAACACGTATGGCTATCGTTTAGCAGTGTTTACATCCTCTCTTGGGAGAACTAGCCCTGACATCGTGACTCGAATATTACAGAAAATCGCACACTACCAGTCTCAACCTACGCCAACGCAGCTCCTTGGCAATATCGAAGACCATCCTGAATACCACCTCCTTACTCAGTCAAACAGTCTATCTACGCTAATCGACAGTGAGATAGTCTTGGTGCACAAATACATCCGAGACCATTACTCGATACGGTTTCCAGAGCTCGAGACCCTTATTACCAACCCGCTGGAATACGCAAAGGTTGTCGCGATACTGGGAAATGGACCTCTGGATTCGGAAAACATCAAGAAGCTACAGTATGCAACGGAAAATCCTCTAAAGGCGTCTTTGCGTTCAGTTCTCGACGGCCCATCCCTGATGATTGTGACGGTGGAAGCCACGACAACAAAGGGACGAGAAATGTCAGAAGATGAACTGGAGCGTGTGTACAGAGCATGCGAAATGGTCATCTCCCTCGACAAGGCGAAGAAGACCCTTACGGAATATGTCCAGTCGCGGATGAACCTATTTGCGCCGAACCTGACCGCTTTGATCGGCTCGTTGACGGCGGCGCAGCTGTTGAACGCTGCTGGTGGCCTCACGGGTCTAGCCAAGACACCCTCTTGTAACATCCCAGCGTGGGGCTCGAAGAAGGGCGCTGGTGCCGCGGGCTTGGCTACGAATATCGGTGTTAGACAACAAGGGTTCCTCTATCATTCTCCCATCATCCAGGGCATTCCCAACGACCTCAAGAAGCAGGCCATGCGCATCGTAGCCGCCAAACTCGTGCTTTCAGCGCGTGTCGACCGTATACACTCCAGTCCTGACGGCTCTACAGGCGAAGATCTCAAGGAGCAGTGTCTTACACGGCTTGAGAAGCTCACAGAGCCGCCTCCGAACAAGGGTCCACGAGCGCTGCCGGTGCCGGACGACAAGCCATCTCGCAAGCGTGGTGGAAGAAGGGCAAGAAAGGCCAAGGAGGCGACAGCCATGACAGAGCTGCGCAAGGCACAAAACAGAATGGTCTTTGGCCAGGAGGAGAAGGAGGTGGGCTACGGCACGGGGGACAGCACCGCAGGCATGGGCATGATCGGCCAGGGTAACGACGGTAGGATTCGCAACTTGCAAATCGACCAGCGCACGAGGGCGAAACTCAGCCAGAAGAATAAGGGCTGGGGCGGTGCTACGCCTATGAATGGAGCCGCATCGTCGCTCAAAGGGTTCGGACAATCTGCAAACTCCAACATTGACCTCCGAGGCAAGGGCCTGAGGACGTCAGGTGTCGGCACGTCTCTGGGTGCGGGAACGGGCACAGCATCGTCACTGGCTTTCACACCTGTGCAGGGTTTGGAGCTCGTCGATCCCAAGGTCCAGGCTGAACTCAGTCGCAAGCGGAAAGCGGAAGAGGACCGGTGGTTCAAGGGTGGCACTTTCACGCAGGTGGCCGGCTCTTCGTCCAATAGCGGAGGTTTCAAGAAACCCGACCTGCCCCCCAACAAAAAGGTAGATACCGGCGCAGGCAAGATGGGACCCCCACCCCCGCGAAGCGGCTGAAAAGCCCAACTGGACAGGGGAAGGCGGGCCCCTTCGCTTCATCAAGTAGGGTGCAGTGCGGACTGGGGGGCAGTAAAGGATCATGAAATGCACTGCGTATTTTATCCCACCCGAACAGCTAGACCTGGTAGAGGGAATGGCACGATCTCATCACTCGAGAAGGGTCAGCGGCAGACATAGCTCTCAGCCGGCATAATTGGCGTGTGGCGTTTTGGGAGGGTTCATGTATGTACAACATTTTCTTCAGTTCAGGTCAAAATCGGGTAATCAGCATATCCCCGGGACTGGGGAGGGAATGGAATGAGACGATATCGTTGCTCCGGAGTGGTATACTGAAATAAGGGGACCAAGTCGTCGTGATGCAACACCCTTCCCGCTTCCCACCTGCCGGCAGCGATGCAGCGTAAGGGTACCGCCTTCCCTTTCGGCAGTTCTGCTTCCTGCTTCTCATCTCGGCCTTCCGATTTAGAAACCTTGAGACGAAGAGTCGACGAAGAGTCGAAATCCTCATGTATGGAATGGTCCAACGCCGTCAACGGTCGTGTCGATCAAACGTCTACTTCATAGCGTCGAAGGTAGCATGGCGTTTCTGTTGGCAGTAAACCGCCATGTGCTTCGTCTGCAGCCTTGACGTTTTTTCTTTCTTTCCATGAGCGTCCTTGCGGTCCATGCCAAGTCTAGTACCTCGCCACGCCTCCACCCCTTCCTGTGGAAACTTTCCCTCCTTTTGTTTCCCCTCAATGTTCTCGTGACTTTGGGGGAAGGAGGGGGCGTAACGGCGTGATCATCCATGTTTTGTGCTGGAAGTGAGTTGGGGTGCACAAGAGAACGGACACAGCAAACGCTCGTCCCTCCGGTTGGGGACAGGCAGCGAGGAGAGGAGATAGCTGAGGGAAAACGTTGACCGCTCGAGAGTCTATTCAGGGCCTGGAAGGGTCCGTGATGACCATTTCTTTCTTTTTCTGTCCCTGTGGCCATATCTGCCCTCGTTGAGGCCAGCCAACGGTTCGGTTCCTTCTGTGCGTTCGTTCCTCACCCCTCAATGGCGTCCTATCCGCAGCGCGCAAGGTCTCTCTTTAACCTAATATTGTCTGATGGTGTAACTAGGGGGGGGGGGGGGGAGGGGGTAGATATCTTGGTGGATTCCAAGGTTTAGCTATTGTTAGGTTTTGCGGAGAACCTTACTTTCCACCGCCTTTTGCTTGTCCAAACCCCTCTCTACGTACTGGGCCAGGTCGAACAACTCTGCAAAGTTTGATGACACAGGAGCGTTGCAAGCGCGAACAGGGCGGAGCGGACGAGACAGCAGGTCGAGTGCGAGGACACAAATCGCAAAGGTTGAGTTCAAAGCCCAGAGCTCAAAACCGTCGCTGTCCCCAGCCTATGTCGACGTCGTGCATTGGACCTTCAGGCCGCCACGCGACCGAACGCCACGGTACCCGTCGTTGCCAGTGACTAGAACCCGGGAGGGTTTCCGGGGTACGCAATTCCATGAAACAAAGAGACCCTCGAGCCTTTGCCTCCCCCTCATCTTTTCCTTTTCTCCATCCTCCACCTTCTATTGGACCCCGAGCAGATCGGAGTAGATTCCGGGAACGAAGAGACATCACACCAATAGAAAAGGGAATGGATCGACATTGAACAATAGGTTCGAAAATCCTGACGCGGAGGGCTCCTAGGAGTGTTCACTGGCGTTGTCTTCCTATATTCCGCATATCACTGGTCCCTGGGTCGCCGTCAGCAGAGATCTCGTCACACGGTGCACGATACCTATCGTATGATAGGTATTCTACCAGTAGTTGTTCCTGCTGCTCAATCAGTTTGGGCCACCAGGGCGCAGATCCCCATCGGTGCGCACACCTTTATACGTGTAGACATGCACAGTCGTCCTCTTTTTAAACCGTTTCTTTGACCTTGTTTGATGACGCTACCTAGGATCGTGGGCCAAATCGGAAAGCTGAAACCCCCCCCCCCCCTTTTTATTGTTAAAATTATATATCTTGGCCCGGCATCGAGGACGGGCTGTCGGCGATTTCGTCCACGACCGAACGAGAAGTGGGGCCGAGGATGCATTTCCCCTTTGGCACAATGACGTACGGAGCATAGGACTCAAGAGCTGCAGCCGAGTCCCGTGGTCTTTTGAGAATTTGCAAGGTGGAGCGGGTATCGGGGGACGGTGCTAAACAGGGTGGATTCCTTGCCCCAATGAGGATGACTTCTGCTGAGGTCCCTGGTAGGTATTTAGTAGAGGTTGGTCCCATTACCTCTGGCACCATGGACGGCTTATGTTGTAGCAGCAAGGGCCTCGGATCCTGATGCTATGGCAGTGCGCTTTGATGACAGCTCCAAGGTTCAACTTTGTGGCTGCAGCTCAACCCATGTCGAATTGACGGTCCAGAACGTCAGGGACCAAAAGATCGTCCAGATATCCACAAGGGCTACCCCAGTTGATTCGGAGTACCTTACACTTCGGAGCAGGGGAAGGGGGAGGGGGGCTAAAAGCAAGGAATACCTACCTACCTGCCTATCTAGGTACAGAGACAGGTACGTACAACACACAATGAAAGGGCGAGGGGTAGTGGTGTTCGGTTGGATGAGTAGAATACCGGTATCTGTCTGTCAAAAGCGTCCATTGAGTGCGCAATCCCATCCTCACCGAATGCTATGTACATACCTAGTTGCAAAGCATCGGAGGGAATAGATTTGTTGCGAAGAAGAAAATGGTAGATGGCGTCGTGATGTTTACCGAATAAGTGAGAATGAATGGGCCTCGATGTTGACAAAACCGAACTCAGGTACTTATGTCACAGAACCCACTTGGTATTGGTCGGGGAAAATGCAGGGATAAAATACCAATGACGTATGGACGATGCCTAGTTGTTTTGGCCCGGTTGCCAGCTTGGTGGGCCGCGGGGAGAGAACACTTTCCTCTCGCCGATGGACAAGCCACAGCACAAAGGGACGCAAGCTACGTGATGTGGCGTAAGGGGACAGCCCCTTTGAAGAGAAGCCAGACAAACAATCAGGAGATATACGCAGCAGTATGTGGAAGAAACAAGAATAGAAATTGGCCAGACAACAGCGGGTAGCTCGTCTGCCGAGGTTGGCATAGAAAGTTGAGCACAAAAGTGGCAAGTCCAAGGGATCTGAGCAGCAGACACAAATCCACAATATATACATACCTCTACTAACTAAATCAAGAGCTTGAGGCGATGGAGTGTGATTAAAATGGTTTAAAATCTCTTGGGTGAGAAATCGGCACCTGCAATTGCTGTCGAGCCACTGGCGCGATTGGAAGCGCGCATGGCGGGCTTTTGCTGTCTGGGCAACGAATACAATAGGTATCCGTACATAGTTTGCTTAACAACACGCATTAGGCACGGCGAAGTCTGATCCGGGTCCGTCAGCAACGAAGCTCCATTTCGAGGTGGAGAGAAGGGGATGCTTTCGTAGTTTGAGGTGGGGAAGAATTGAGTTGCGGGCCAGTCCAGGCCCTGCCCAGGTGTACCGGTGTATCTGCCCGGCACGGCAGATTGGCGGAGCTAGGTACCTACTGTGCTGCGCCGGGGGGTTCGAGGAGGCCAGGGTGCCTGGGGGTGATGTCGTATGCTTTGGGGACGAGGGTACGAGTGGGGTTGTCAGAATCACGCGAGCGGGAGACTTGAAAACCACCTGAACCATAATAGCAGTGTAGGTGCAATGGCATACCAGTACAACAATCACGTCTTCTGGGCTCCCAAATGTGTCGCCAAATGATATGGACGCCACCGAGCCCCAAGTCCGATCGAGCAATGGGATTGGAGACGGGCGAATATCGTGACACCGATTGCTGAAGGCACCTTACGACTGAGGATGGCCGGCCGAGGCACAAGCCCAACTTTGACGGGATTCAGCTTTTCTTCGGCGGACACGCGGGGCGAGATTGGGAACCGATACCCTGTTTTACCTCTCAGCGCGGGACCACATGTATAATCCCGGGTGTGCGTAGGTGTACGGTAATGTGCAGCAGGTCCATCAAGCAACTAACATGCGATGGCAGGCGTTGCCGGAAGAAGTACTCCGGGCTGCGTACATTGCGTACCTGCCAATCGCGATCGGTGATCAGTTGTGATCAGGGTTGTAAAAAATACTACTAGTATTTAGTATACTAATACTAGACTTAAGTATACTTAGTATTAGTATAAGAAAACTATACTAACCTTAGTATTAGTAAGTATTAGTATAGCCTTTGTTAGTATTAGTATTACTTAGGTATACTTAAGTATACTAATTAGTATATAAAAATAAGTAAAAATAAATAAAAATATAGATAATATATTTTTAGTTATTAATATACTATATATAAAAGTATATATATACTAGTATAAATATATATATATACTATTAATACTTTTTATAGTATTTTTTTACTTTTTTTACTTTATAATTATAATTAATTCATAATTTATACTAGTTTTTAAGTATTAAGTTAATTATTACTAAGATACTAGATTAGTAAGCAAGAAGTTTTACTTACTAAAGTAATTAAAAATAGTAATTATTTATTTAAAATATTAATTTATTATTTTTATTTATTTTTATTTATTTTTACTTATTTTTACTTACTAATTAGTATACTTAAGTATACTAATACTAAACTAGCCTAGTATTAGTATACCCCTATACTAGACTAGCCTAGTATTAGTATAGGCTTAAAAATACTATTAGTATTAGTATAGGCCAATACTAGACTTAAGTATACTAATTTACAACCCTGGTTGTGATCAGGTGGGAATATTTGGCGGCTGGCACGTTGTCTTCAGGGTCTAAAGTTGGCACTGAGGGTGTGGGTTGGGCTCCGTTGACAGCGAAGAATCCTGGTGCCATAGGGGTCGCGATCGTCGATCTATCTGATGGAGGGGAAACGAGAAGGGAGACCGAGTCGACAGTTGCCGAGAGGGGTACGAGTCCGCGTTGCGCCAGACGTTCTCCGAGAAGAATGGGAAAGTCAAAGAAGGAGGGGGGGGGGGTGCGTGCATGGCTCGCGGTTTACTCCGGACTGGGATAGGTAGTTTTGTTTGCACATACACTACATGGCGCGACAGATACCGCCTAGCAGGCTCAAGCGGATGGGTACAAGTGAGCCCACAGGAGTCGCCGAATGTTGCTGAGATAACCGTTCATGTATGCAATAAAGAACTGCAATTTACGGATGCCGAGGGAGCAGAGCGTAAGAAGGAGCCTCGGTCTTCATCATGGGGCGAGGTGACCAACGCTGCAGAACGTCACCCGATACGGAGGGACGAAAAAAGGAGGAGGGAAGAGGGTAAAGAAGACGAAAAGAAAATAAGAACTCAAGAACGAGGGTCAAAACACGGCGAAATCTCAGCAGGATCCGTATCTGTACGTATGCTATGGGATTCCCAGCCCAGGGATGGAGAATTGGTTCGGGGGACGCATGATTGACTTTGACTTTGACTGGAGACGGAACCGGTGGGTGTTCCGTATGTGATTTAGTTGAACGGTACTGGCTCGGCGGGAGCTAGGACCCCTGGAGATCGAAAAAATCAACGATGCGCCATAGACATCGGCGATGGAGAGGGGAGACAAGTAGCCACCACATGGGAGCGGGGCACTCTCGTTCTCAGTAAAAGAGGGGATAGCTCTGGAGCATATGTGGAGCTCTGCCATTGGGGTAAGGGAATAGAGGGTAAGAAGTATGTACTTAGCGGCCAGAGATGTGCCAACTCCAAGGGAGTGGGGGGGCGGGAACGAGAAAGAAAGACGGAGATGAAGGGGAAAGAAAGTAAACAGAAGGGGAGAGGGGACCATGGCAACTTGGGAAGGATTGAAGTGGGGTTCTGGGTACGTACCTACTACTGCTACTACTGCTGGAACAGTCCAGAGCCGAAGAAGAAAAGAGGAAGGGCAATTTATTTGCCTTGACGCCATCGGCACGAAGGGGGGGTGAGATTAGTAGTACCATAGACTGAGGTACTTGCGGTACGGATACGACAGGGACCAAAGGTCCGGAGGCAAGGGACCCCAGGTCGCGAGTGGCAGCTGAGGGGATCGGCACACCAACACTCGGTGGGGCATCAGACCGTTTTGGGGGCAGTGGGCGCAGGCTTGTCATACCGATTCACTGCCATTCTCAAGATCTCCACGATAACTAGGTAGGCAGTAGGTGGCCGGCCGCAGGACCCTTCTTCTCCGTGACACGCTTTGCTCAAGTTTTTTTTTTTCTTCGCCGGAAATCAAAGAAAGACGCAGAGGAGCGAGGGGGGGATCCTTGCTTTGCCAGCCCGCCGACTCATTCCTTGGAAATGCGAAGCATTAGCGCTGCCGACCCGACCCTCTCTGAAGCTGAAGACCCAATCCCTCCCGCTCCGAAGCCCCTTGGGCGCGAAACCTCCATCGCGATTGCAGATTGATGACTGTTTCCCGCCCAGTCTGCTGAGTCGCCGACTCGGATGCCAGAGGTGACGACTTGACTTGGTCGCGCCTCGGGAGCCCGCCTCAATTCCAGTGTCCCTTCTCCGAACTCACCTCTCAACCGAGTTTGCACTACCTTACCTCGCAGGGTTTTGTTCCTATCCGAAAGGTACTAAATACCTATATACAGATGGTTGCCTTGAGGTTTGTATCTAAGCTCGAGCAGCCCGTGCGCCCACCGCCCAAAGTAGTGTAGTGTAGGTAGTTTTATTTTCTTCAATGCTGTTTCGAGCTCCCCAAGTACCCAGGTACAGTGCTCACTACCTACCTACCTACTTACTGGAGAGGCCGGTCCTTGCCTTAGGTAGTCACCGGCAGGGTGGCTCCTGTGATCCACCTCCCACAAGTCGGCCATCCACTGGGTGCCATTGGTTCGCGATACATACAGGTACATTCCAATAACGGAACTACCATCCATCCATTACGGGACGCTGCCGCGCCGCGTGCACTGCACCCGCGCGTGAGGGTAGCGCCGCCCGGCCATGTCACTCGGTCGGAGAAGACTCCGCTACCAAGCCAGAGGGAGTTGCGTCGGCCTTGGCCCATGCAGCGATGATGATTCAATTTCGGTGAATCCACTACCAACACCACAAGGGAGGAGCAGAGACTCACCATTGCTTGCTGGGCAATGTGTCTTACCGGTGCTCCTGTACCTGGAAACATGGCGACGGTTCTCTCGGTAACAGTGACTACCTCTCTGCCGCCGGCAAACCACTTTCAATGTCACTGTCATGGCCATTGGAAAAGCGCCTGTCTTGAGCCGGGTTCTGAGGCCACGGGAGCTGCGGATGACCCAGCTGGTGCAGCAAAGGGACCGACAAATGGGTGGGTATACATACCTGTACGTCGTACGCACGCTTCAGTGCGCATACCCGAGCAACTTGGACTGTGAGGGAGGTGGTTGAGACAGGCGGGGGACGTCGAAGAGAGTTATCAATAAACTTTGGACATGGACGAATGGCTGAGTATGCATTTGTGGGAGAATCTCATATCAATAGCCTCGAATTCAATACGGGCAAAATCGAGATTGGCTGGGCTGCCAGCACGATGTAGGCTCAGTGTAGCTTCGCATGGGTGGAGAGAGAACTTTGATGTATCTATGTCTAGGAGTAGTAGTAGTAGTAATAGTAGTGCATTGTCTGGTTGCCGGTATCTCCTCGTGGCCTGTCTGTGGTACATACTACATACGGAATAGGTGGTGGGAGCAGTGAAGCGTTGATGGTGACAACCCGCTCTGCAGATCATCAAGTACCTACCCACGCGCCTTGCAAAAAAAAAAGTGCACACTTCAGCATAACAAGACAAGGGGCTACCAGCAGTAACGTATACACAATAGTTACGTAAATCTAGTACAAAAGAAAAATAGCTATCAGAAGTGCAAAAAGCCTATATTTATTTCTTATCAATTCATAAGAGAATTTTTAACATTCTGATTCTTATATGATTGCTATAAAATAGGTGGACTAATAGCCTCTATGGTAGTAGGCTCTAAAGTGTGCACTTTTTTTGCAAGGCGCGTGCTACCTAGGCTGCCTTGGGGAGTTCTCCAGATGGCGCAACGCCAAGTGATCAGCGACAGGAAAACCATCCAAAATCAGGATGGAATTTAGGATATGTATCGCCCTGTTGGTGTGTGTAAAAACGGCGGTACACTTCGACGTGACCAGACGGACGGGAATAATATCCCACCAAAACGGCAAGGCGCGTTGCAGGAACTTTTTGAGTCTCCAGAGCAGGTTGTGTGACTGTACGTATATTTCGTACTAGCTAGGTATCTGGGCACTCGGGGGACAAAAAAGATCTGCTACTATGACCACCACCACCACTACTACCACGAGTATTACAATGAGAAATACAGCCTTCAATACTTCAAAAAAATTGGATTTATAGACGCGCCTAAAGTCCTTGAAGTTAATTTCATGATATATAAGAAGAGGGGCTTTTTTTTCTCTATTTCAAAGGTATCTAAAAGGTAGTGCCATAGGTTTTTGAAAACCGGTTCTCTTTTTTGTCCCCCGAATGCTAGGTTGGTAGGTATTCATTCATATCCCTCTAACCCGCGCACGGTAGCCAAGACACGTGTCAGCAGGTACCGCTGTGTTCTTTTTCTTTTTCTTTCCTGTGACCGCCAATCGTCCGAGGCAGGGGCTCCCTCTTTCTTCTACCTGCCTTGAGTCAAAGTGCAGCAAGATCTCGATCGAGGCCGATTCTTTCTCTTCTCGGCCTGGTACGTAAGCAAGGCAGAGTAAGCTAAACGACCCTTCAACGCCACACCAAGACCAGTCCTTTCCACTTCCTCGGGAACCTTTCCGGTCGAATATGCGCTGGCCGATTGAACTTGGTCCTCGATCCGTACTTCCTTTTATGCTTCCCTATCCTGCGTTCCGTCCCTAAGTTACCCCCTGGTGCCGTTTCTGCCACAAGGCCGCCCCAAAAGACAGACCCCTTGTGTGACCTTTGTCAAACCCTTGAAGCAGGCTTTTGTCTACCTACTGCGCATACCCTACCTACCTACCTATCTCAGTCCCTCTTTATAGACTGGCTGCTTTGGAACTCGGGAGAAATACCTCGTTTCCTGGCAGTCCAAGCGCGACAATAATCTCATACATCCAGGATGTCGACTCGCCCCGTCTCCATCGCAACGAACCACGCACGCAATCGTATACTTGGACGTGTTTCTCGCCGTTATGGCAAGGCCGATCCCTCTAGGAGCTGATATCATGTTGGTGTCAAACTGGACGGAGAGAGACGTCCCCGACTCAGATCCGATGAGGGAGTAACGTACCATGTACACTACTGGGTATCCAAAGGCGCGGTATCCGTTACAGCATCCTTGAAAACTACCCGCTGCCCCAGCGCAAATTTCCACTTCGGGCAAGCTGGCCGGTGACACCTGCACTGGGACGAGTTCGGGCCCAGCAAATCGTCCCAAGTCGAAGCAACTCACGCTACGTGCCTCTCTCAGATGGCCACCGTTCCCATGCGCGATAGGGGCCACAAGGCCCCTACTCGATGGAATCGCATAGACTAAAGTCGTTAAAGCATAAAGACAACGGCTTTAGACTTCCCAGCCTCTTTTACAGAGTTGATTTGCGGATGGGCCGGCAAGAGCTGAGTCGAATCCAACTTCAAAGCGCCACAATTCAAGCCGGCAACGGGCAACGGGACGGGCAACACTCGGTCAGCTCTGTTGAAACGATGAAAGTCTCTCGCAACCCGAGGACCAACGTTGCGAAACAAACCTGTCGCCTGTCTCCAGCTGGGCCAGGTTTGGCCTAGGGTAAGGTATCGACTACCGCTTGCCTCCTCCAGTCATTTCTCGGCTTCTGTACGGTAGTGGCATGTACTGTCTGTGTCTCTCCGGCAGGCGCAGGGCGGTGCAATGTAGTTTCGGTACATAGTTGATCAGCCTGACCTGCCTATGACGACATTGGCAGGGAAATCTCCCTCCCAGAGCATGCACTGCGGCGCCCTGCAGGGCGTGCGTAGGGTCGGGGACTGGGACCGGGAGGGTGTGTGTCCAAGACCGGTGACCCCTTCTTTACACTACTACTTGCCTACTTGTAGGTTAGGTACCTACCTCACGCCAGCCTGGGCAAGGTAGGGGTGCAGCTGCGGTATCTGCCTCGCGGTGCCGCATGCAATTCAGGTACCCTCTTACCCCCCAAGCCGAGTTCTGGAGTTTCTCTCTCTCTCTTCCCGTCTCCTCGAGGAAACCACCACCGCCCAAGACTGACGATGCATGGCACAACAACAAGAAGTAGCCAATGGCATGACAAGTCGGGCAGTTTCCAGAGTCATGAGTAATCCTTCCAGTAAATCTGATCACTGTGTTTTCCCGCCTGGCTGGATCGATCAGAGTCCCTTCGTAACCCAAGTCCCACCACTTAGGAGGCTAAGGGACAACCTCGAACGCCTGGTTCGGCACCGCCATGCCTCGAGGGTACCACCTCTGTCGGATTTTCGCAACATTGTTGGAACCCTGACCGGATACTGACGTCATACTCGCGGACCCTCGGTTTGTGCAGGGTCTCACTCGTTATTATCTGGGGCCAATAGCACTACGGCCGAGTCAGGTGGGCGTCCACTTTCATTCGAGATCGCGATCTGTCTCTTGTGATGTGTGCGATAACAATACTGGGCGATTCGTCTCCGGAGACACCGCCCAGGCACTACGTTTTGCAGGCTCAACGAACAGACAACGGTGAAAGCACGTATACAACTCAAGTCAGCTAGACGGTTGGCAAACACCTTCGCCACAGATGCGACTGACGCCCAATTTGTAGAAAGGCAATAGTCGCGGTGTCTCACTCCAGGACAACCACTATGTTTCCCGAAAAGCCGGGAAGCGTTGGGGACGACCCTGGAAACGGGGTGCAAGAGGGCTGTTCCAGGGTTCATGAACGACCATGCGAGTCGCGTAGACGGACGGGGTAGCTGTCGACGTGTCAATGTGCCGACGTGCCCCGATGTTCGGTTGCCATGTTGAAGTCGCGAAAATACATAATAGTGGACGCAGTCCTGCGGTACGCATTCGGTGCGCACCTGGCCGGAGCTTCAGCTCCTGTGTTTCGAACTCGCACAAGTAGTAGATATTCCACCATCTCGATGACCAAGAAGGATACCATGATATAGGGTTTTCCACCTCCCCAGACGAGTGGAGTCGGTAGTATCCCAGAGAGGGAAATGACGGTCTGCAAGTCGAAAGTAAGGAAGTCGGCAAAAAGAATGCGCAATCCGTGATTGACAACGGCGGTAGAACGGGCCCAGAACCGAATGGAACGACTAGGGAAAACCAGGCTTGCCAAATACGCAACAAGAACGAGTATGGGCTGGTCCCGGGAACCGTCTTAGTATTGTCAGTCTGCGTCTGCATGTGCGTACAGATGAGGTGGGTACATCGTCAGAGTGAGAGGGGAACCCCGATCGATTGACGGGGAACATATGGAGGGCAAGTCAGAAAAAGAAGAAGGAAGAAAACAAGATGAAGAGGGGGGGGGGGACAAAAAAGGGGGGGGATACAAGGTACTTCACAACACAATAACAGGATGATGTATCGGTATTGTAGAGAATAACATTGCTAGACGTACAATATCAAATGACGGGACTTGGGGATTCAGCAATGGGGGCATGTCAGATTAAGAGACTACATTAAGAAATTTGGTTGAAGATCGCCAACTCAACTCACATAGTATTCATTATCATTGATGGCCATGTGTGATCGTAATTCCTAGCTAACTGCAAAGGATATTCTCCCTCGTTTTCTCTCTCTCTCTCTCTCTCTCTCTCTCTTCTCTTGAAGTTTTACTACATCGAGGCCAGACACTGAGTGGGCGTGTAGTAAGGTTTGGAAGAAACTGCGGCAACCGGATGGGTTGTGTGCTGTGTGCGTGTGCGTGTGCGTGTTCGCCGTTCCTTCCAGTGGAAAACAAAAGAAAAAAAGGCCCCCCAATGCTCAGGCGCCCTGAATCCACCTTCTCCTCACCCCCGGGGTACGTAGCCACCCGCCGCAAATAATTGGGGGGCTACCCTGCAGAGCATGGAGGTTGGAACCAGGGGTGGGTGCAACATAGACAGTGTGTGACCCCCAGGTGTCGTGAGAGTGAAGTGAGAGTGAGGTCTGATGGGTGGAGACTGGAGGGGACTGAGGTGGAAGAGGCCAGTCAGCGGGGCGGGGCGAGGGTGAGCAAGCGTGGTGTGTCTCACGCCTCGGCCGGACCCTCAATCCTAAAGGTACCGGTCTTTCCTTGCTGCTCAATGCTTGACCCCTGTTTGTCTACATTGCAGCACATACCACAACTGGTCAGCGACTTGACAGATGTACCTTTTTCTTCTTAGCGTTGTTTAAACCTTGGACAACTCAGGCCGGGTACCTTCCCGCCCACGTACCTTTTACGGCATCCCGGTGAACAACGAAAAGGTGCGCAATTCTCCTTTCCCATGCCCATGCCCATGCCCATGCCCTTACCCAATTCTTTCATCCACCCCATCCAGCTTTTCTCTCTTCTGCACAGTTCCCGACGACTACCTAGTCCTTCTATACCAGCCGGCCCTAGTTATCCTCGTTGCGGTACTTCGCTTCCGCCCACCCCTCCCCTTCCAACCCGCTGACCCTTCCGAGCTTTTCTCTCTTTCGCTCTTTCTGCGTCTGTCAAGGAGCTACCAACCTGGTATAATACTTGACTTGCGCCTCACCCTCTCGCGCCTCATCCGCTCCCCCATTGCTCCTACTCTCTCCCCTCTCTCTCCTACCAACGTCCAACCTCATTAGCCAACACCATTCTTCACACACATAAACCTATACCAATCCAGGGGACATCCTTCAGCACACTAACATCGCCGACCCTTATGCTGAACGCGTAGTGGGAATAGACATCGCCGTCCGTCACTACCCCATAGCCAACCACCATCACCACCGCCACCACCACTGGTGCTATCCGTTGAAGACGAGGCTCCGTCTGCAATTTAGCCTTACCTACTCGCTTTTTGTCGATTTATGATCAACCTGGTCAAAATGCACGCTCGAGATGCCACCGGCCGCCAGGTCTCCCTCCTTAATGATGAACCCACTGTCCAGCCCATGCCTCAGCGCATCAGCTATCACACAGCAAACCAGATCATCTCTCAACCGTTTCATCCGGCGCCGCGCAGCAATTCTTCCTCTCCACACACACCCGAGCTCCTTCGCTCAGACTCATACGACTCCAACGCGAGCAGCGATCCTTTGTCGCCCATGACTCCCACCACATACGACCCAAGTAGAGTCGGCGCCTTCCCTGGACAGTCCATCTACGACGAGTACGAAATGCCTCCGAAGCGCCCTGCCTACGCCAACACCAGCCGCGCGAACTCATATGAGGAGGATAGCTCAGCGACGTCACCTCTGCCCGAGCGCCCCGGAAAGCGTTACCCTTGCCGTTACCGCGACAGCCATGGGTGTGAAAAGACCTTCACCACCTCGGGACACGCTTCTCGTCACTCCAAGATCCACACTGCTGAGAAGGCCGTGCAATGTACTTTCCACGGTTGTCAGAAGAAGTTTACAAGAGCCGACAACATGAAGCAACATTTGGAGACTCACTATAAAGACAAGTCTCGCTCTACTGCCTCCGCAAAGGCCGCAGCTCGCTCTTCGCTTGGCGGGCTGGCATCTTCAGGCCGCCGATCTTCGTCATCTTCAGCGAAGGCCGCTGCCAGCAGCCGCCCTCGCGACCAGCCCATGTGGGAAGGGGAATCACCGTACGGGTACCCTCCCGGTCAGGCGCCGCTCCCGTCACCTGCTGCCAACGGCGCATGGGATATGCGTGGCCTCAACCTACCTCTTCTCAGCCGCCCCAGCGCGGCGAGGACACCCAGCAGTGGCCTTGATGCATTAGCTATGGCTGTTGCGTGTCAAGAGGGTGCATAAGAGGTTCCTGGTAATGTCTATTGGGCAGACCATTGCGCACTCCCCCCGTACAGTTTCAACACGACCACTGGGCGAGGACGCAGCACAGCCCGCTTTTTTTGAAGAGCGTCACGTTTTACACCCTACTTTTTCTGACATGATCCTCCCGCTTCTTTTACATGACTGATGAAGCAATTGGACTTCGTAGGGCTGGCGTTTGGGCACATTTGACGATACCTCTTACGTCGGAGGCCATGTGGGAGCTTCCACTTTTCTATCGTTATCTTTTTTTATCCTCTTTTATTGTTACTACTCACTTGGGTTTTGGGATAGAAGGTCGCAAAGCATACGAATGGCGCACCTGCACGCACATACACGAGGTGGATTCAAAGGCAACAAAACGGGAATGGCGTTAATGCTTTGAATATTATTTGAAGGCTACTACCCCGGGGCGGATTTCTCTCTTGGTTGGCGTTACTTTTCTCGCGGTTTCGTATACATACCCGAATCCTCGATTCAACCAGCTACTACTCGAGGGGCAGACGCATCACTGCGATTGTTTATTTATTGTGTGGGACAGGAAACTTCTGGGCTGGAGTGTGGGTATACATGACGGTTGTCTCGGAGAGGAAGACGAGGCGGTGGGGGGTTCTCTTTGAAGTCAAAAAGCGATGACAGCGGGCAGTTGGCCATTGAAGGATGCGCTCACGACGCAGTAGACGACCCTTCGCAAACACGATGTCGGGTTTACTATGATGTGGACAAGAGTCGTTTACAAATTTGGCACCATACAGGTGTCCAAGACAACCAAACAAAATACCTACTTTTCAAAACATGCATGTGCAGTCCCTTTCAAAACTTGCCTAATTGGAATGTCTCGATGCCACGCCTGGCACCTCACGAAGAATTCCAAGCAGTCAGCCTCAGCGGTTGGCCATGAGCTTGGAAGAATTCCATCGTAACCTGCATGGCGGATCCTCCGACCTGATCGACCTCCCGATCGGGTTGCGGTCGCAGAGGCCGGCAAAGGAGGAGGGGGCAGGGTGTGAGAGTCACATGAGCTGACCAGATGGTTGGGTGAGGGGGAAACAGGTCTCCCCTTGCATAGAGAGTATGGAGGGATTGTTGTTCAGGGCCGTCTCGGATCTTTCTTCGAGATCGAGATCTCCCCCCCAGCCCTTGTTTTATTCTCAGCTTTGGCTGGTAATTTCCCTACATGTATCCGTACTTGGGACATGCACACACGTATTCGTACAGCCACATGGCAGAGCTTTGCAGAAGCCTCTCCGGACCGAGCATTGGGGTCGACGTCTACGGCGGGCCACTATCAGCCCCCCCCCCCTCTCCCCCCCCCAAACTCTCCCCCCCCCAAAAAAGCTCAGTTGGGGGGAAGGCTTGTCTCCCTTTTTTTCTTTTTTCTTCTTTTCTCCGCCCCCCCCCCCCCCTTCTCAACGCCGAGGGCGGGAGAAGAATGCCCGGTAGCTTGGGTTCATCGTGCCTCGCCATGCTGTAATGGATCACGATCGAAAATCCGCTCCTGCTCCATCCCCTACTTCGGGGCGTTGCTGGGGAACAAGGGCGACACAAAGATGTTGTCCGCCCACCCGCTCACTGCTGGGGCATCCCTTGGTGCTTGTTGGTCCGAATACGCTGGATTATGGTGCAAACGGTCGTCGCATTCCCAAGAGGCGCCATCGCACGATTGTACGGCTTGGTCTTGGGGATGGGGAAGGTGTCAAAGTGTCTGTTGGGGCGTGGCTCCTTGTATGGTATTGGCATTAGCTCATTTTTGATGCATCCGCGTCCCTTTTCATATCCTTCTTTTTCAAAGACGCTAGGATCTAGGTATTATTCCCCACCTAGTCCAACATTGGCAGCTCGTCCCACCCGTCCTTGGCCAGCGCCGTTCTGCTAACCCATATACCGGTGGCTTTAATGGCATGTGCGGAAATAAAAACCCGCGGTCTCGAGTTGTCATCGCGATCCCGCCGGGAATCGTTCGTCTCCCCTTGCGACTCAAGACCTACTCTTGCCAGAGCGCTTCATTTTCGGTGCAGAGCCTTGCCATCTCGTATTGCTCGTCTGTCTGGCAGACCAACGTACGACGTTTGGTGTCTTTGCCAACCTCCTGGACCGTATCTACGATTTTCTTGCTGTTCAGAGCATCATCGATGGTGAAGCCCAAGCATGCGCATTGCTCGGCGACCCGCTTCCGCAGCTTGTCGCTCTTTTCGCCAATGCCCCCTGCAAAGACCAACGCGTCTACGTTGCCGTTGAGAGTAACAAAGTAAGAGCCAATAAAGGCACATATTCTGTCGACAAAAATGTCGAACGCAAGCTTATGGGCCGGCTCATCCGAATTAGCAATTACTCCAAAATCGGTTGTTCCTGTAAGCGACTTCCATCCACTACGCTTGTTGAGAATATCTTCGGCCTTGGTGAGGTGCAGCTGTGATGTCGAGTTGGGGGATAGCTTGCCGACGTCACTTGCGTAATGGAAGACGAGACTGTACGCATACAAGTAAGCTTTTGAGAGATTGGACAAGGTGAGAATGGCGACCGCAATCACTGACCTGGGATCTACACTGCCGCTTCTGGTGGCTCCAGGCAAGCCAGCAACAGGAGTCAAGCCCATACTGGTATCCCAGCTCTGACCGTTGCGGATGGCGCATGCGCTTGCTCCGCTTCCCAGATGAAGGGCGATGATATTGAGATCTTTGGTCTCCTTGCCGAGAAACTCGGAGACGGCTCGAGTGATGAAGGAGTAGCTGACGCCATGAAACCCATATTTTTTTAGGTGATTCTTTCTGGCAACATCTTGGTTGATGGGGTACGTATGAACGTGCGCGGGAATCGTCGTGTGGAATTGCGTGTCAAAGCAGGCGACATTGACAGCGTCGGGGAGCTGCTTCACGCACGAGTTGACAATGTCGAGAGCGGGACCATTGTGTAAGGGCGCAAGGTCACTCAGCTCTTCAAGGTGATGGTATGTGTCCCGGGTGATTATTTGAGAGCTAGGATAGTCGCCCCCGTGGACGATGCGGTGGCAGGTGAGGGCAATATCGCCCTTTTTCTTGATCTGCGGCAATTCCGAGTCCTCAATCAGTAGCTTGAGAAGAACCTTGAAGGCGTCGGCCTGAGCTGATAGATCATCCTCGAGATCTTCCTTCGTCTTGACCTCAACCCCGCCACGCATGTATGTGACCTGTGCGGGTGGGGCCGTCAAACCACTGACGGCTGCCTCTGCGATCTGAAGAGGTGACCGATTAGGTTCGGCGGAGTAAACCGAGATCTTTACAGAGCTAGATCCCGAGTTGATGGCAAGAATGACCTTCATGCTGGGCACTTTGGGGGGTGTAGAAATGGCGATGCCAAGAGTTCGTCCCAAAACCCAAGCGGGTGATAATAACGTTGTCGTAGGAAAGCTGTGTCTCGGTTCGTGGCCTCGATGCAGCCCGTGGAGTTAGCTTTATCTACCGTCGTTACAATGACCGCCTGACAAGGGTGTCAAGGCTGCAATTGAACTTCGAGTCCGATGCCGCTGAGTAGAGAGCTGACCGAGTGATTTGGAATGGCATGACCTTCACGATAGGGATCATCAGCAGATGTTGGTAGTGGGATGATTTTGGAGCAAGGTGTGTGCAGGCAGGCTCCCGAGCTGCGGAGCTGCAGTATGAAGCCATGGTGACGTTAATACCACCACCACATTGGTTTGCTGAAGCCCCACCTCAGCTCAGCTCAGCACCGGAACCCCGCGCCGGGCCTTATCGGTATATCCCTGAAAGCGCGTTTTAGTGGGCCCATGTGTACATACACAGCCCTGTCAATCCTGTCATCCTGTCAACGCCCGGACCAGAAACTCAAAGGAGTGACTTCGTCCCATGCACACCACCACTGCCCGCTTTAAGCCAGGCCAGTGCTCCCCTCCCCACAATAGCTTGACACGATATTTCCAGCCTGTTCCCTCGACCCATCCTGGACTCTGCTGGGCTTGCTCGTCGTCGTACAATTCGGGCCTGGAAGATCCAAACCTGAAGTGATGGGCATTGCATGACAACGCCACCCCAAAGGCGAACCAGTCGTTCACGAACTCGTTACGTCCGTCTCATCTGACTCTCGGTCCGTACTCTGGAGCATCATGGATATTGGAGCTTGTCGTTTTTCAGGCTGACGAGTCGGAATCGTATGAATCTGGCGGCTCAACGACTGGCTCTAGGCCTCTCGAGATATCTGGTGATGAAAGCTCCGACATATCCCCTGGCAGTATTTGCGGTGACGGTAGCTCGACGTGATGTGGTGGGAACGGTATACCATTGAACTCGCTGTCGCAGCTGTGCGCCACGGCCCAACTTCCAAGGAACCTACGATAGTCTGTTGATTGCAGATGAGATCAGCCTTTGACTGAATGATGGGTAGGAATAAAACAGGATGATCCAAGCTGTATGGATTGCTCAGTTCGTACCTTCACGCTTGCTGAATTGGATACCCAAATACCGAAAATCAAAAGTGCCAGGCGACGAGCCGGCTTCCGAGATTGGCTGCCCTCCTTGAGGGCCTGACCGTACGCGCAGACGCATACGATGCGAAAACGTGAAGCGCGAACGGGACGAGCCGCTGCTGTCCGGGGCACTGCTGCGCCGGCTTCCGCGCACCGTGAGGCGGACTTGGCGATGCCGATCGTCGCGGTTGCGAAGCTCGCCGTCGAAGTTATGCATTTCATATTCCCGGTATTGGCGACCTTCCGCGCGATTGGCGAATACGGTCAGCGAGTGGTAGGTCGAATAGCGGTCCCTCCAAAGCTTTAGCCTTTGTACCAGTCCCATGCCTCTGATGTTGCCAAAGCCGTCTGTTCTTCCGTGAACGTCAGACCACACAACATCGACATCATAGTAGTCTACCAAATCCTTCCGACGTACGTCTCCTTGGAACCGGATCGAACTCTCGACAGTAGTGAACTCATACTTGACCTCCATAAGATGGTCGTGGATTACCACGCCTTCGCCTGTGGTATACCGGACCCGGTGTGGCTCACGAAAGCTGACGAAAAGTTCGAGCTCGCATGGGTCTGTGTAGGGGCGATGACGGGCATGGAGAGTATGAGGGAAGATATCGGCCGGAACGTCGGATGGAACTGGATTGCGGTCAGACTGGCGGCAAGCGTTCTGTTGGAAAATGGAGGCAAAGTACGGAAATGCTCTAGAAGCTCGCTCTGGTAGCTGCATTGCCAGAGAACGCGGCGTTGTTCAGAGCCTACCACTTCCCAGGGGCCCAGGTAGACGGTTCGTTCGTTTGGTGTGTTTTCAAATAGAGTTCTGGAATATAGGGCGTGTCAGAAAGGGAAACATGAATTGTCTTGGCGACGACGGAGAGAAATGTGCCCGCAGTGCGTATCTGGAGACAAGCACGAGTGACGGGCGGGTAGATCGTACATGGTGGCTTGGTAACCAGGAGGGCCGAGATCAAGAGGATGGAGAGAGGCCTGGGGCGCCGAGGCCTCGGATGTGAGAGCTGAGATTGTCGAGGCACCCGAAGTCGGTGTCCAAGTCGCGTCGAGGGGGCTCGCGTATGGTTGGTCGTAGGAGGGTGGGCGGCCTAGGGAAGAGGAAGTGAAGGAAGAGCCAGAGGAGGACGAGGCGGCCATGCTTGGGAGGCCTCTATCTGTTCCTTGTTTTCAACTCTCGGCTATGGTCAACAAATCAAAGTAAGCTGTGCAAAGTTGAAAGTACAATCATGGCATAGTATGTGCTGGTTGGGTATATGACCGGTCCGTCTCGTCGTGGGTATCGCAGGCGGGGAGAAACCTTGGAATGAATGCATTCACACGGTGAGGCGTCGGATAGCCTGCATTGGCAACAGACGTGCCGCTTGGCATGAACAACGTGTAACTTGGAAGCCCTGGGACGGAGGGCGATGTGGGATGAGTTCGGACAGGGAAGAAGGAAAACCTGAGAGGAGCAGGATCGCCGAGACACAGGACGGATGGTAGTCAGAACTCTGAATTTAAGACGCGGTGCGCGGGGAGCCGTCGTTTGCTCTATAGCTGATGGGCCTCAGTTCTCGGTGCCGTCGCGACCTCCGGTAAAGACTAACGCGGCGCCGTATGAACGCGACATGGAGGTCGAAGGCGTAGAGTACCTAGGATATTATCTCGAGACAGGGCAGCATACGGCAGACAGCGAGCGACATTCAAAAGTCAAGCGAGGACGGGAAGGGCTGGCCAGACCAACGGAGCGGGGCCACAATGCAGCGGTGGCGGTGATGGAGGTGCGGAGAGTAGGAACGGGAATTCTACAAGACAGACCTTTGATTGAGTAGGTACAGTGGAAAAAGGTCTGAATTGGCCAAAGTCCACGTCCGTCTAGGTCTCGACTCCCAAGTTACCTTGGGTACGAGGGAGGAGGAGGTACCTTGTAGTGCTCCAAGCAAAAACGGTTGGGTGGGGTTCCTGTCAGCCGTCTAGGAGACGCTAACGGTCGGTGCCATGGCTTGACTTGGCCGCGGCCGCCAGCGGACTGGGCCAGCCAATGACAGTGCTAACAATGACTGCATGCTCAAGCGACTGGCGACTGCGCTTCTCGTCGCGGATTTCAGCTCTCTGTCCACCCAAGCAACCTGCAAGCATCAATCACCTTCTGGTCTGTCTTGGCTATCGCAACCAAGGCCTTGGATTCATCAGGGATACTCGTGCGAAAACGCTTGAAAAGTACCTACGTACACGTCTCCTGCGCATTTGATCCATGCGGGTGCTTCCAAGTAGAGACAGACCCTTCAATAACAAGACTATATTCCAACGAAACTCAGTGGTCTGGTTTTAATGTGGGAGGGTTGCAACATCGAAGAGCGAACCAGCCTTGCCGCCTCCACTCCCAGACTGGGCTGGGCTGGGCTGTGCATGACCTCCTCCCTGCTGAATTGGGAACATCCAATCCAACACCAGATATTGGGTCAAGGTGTTCAACCAGGCAAAAGGAGGGAGACGCGGAGGCTCGATTCAGTTGCGGTAAGGAATAACCCACCGGATTTTTCTAGTCAGTCTGCACTTGACGATCCCCGGGCTGCTTTTGGCGTCCCTTCTGCGCCTGGCTGAGTGTGCTATCTCTTCCTTCTTTGCTTTGCTCTGGCAATAATCTCTGTCCCGAACTCGACTTTTTCTCGCCCGGCCAGGATACCTACCTACCTACCACCCGACCTAGGTCGGTACCTTACCTGGGTACCTCCTATAGATCTGCGCGTGTTTCGTCCTGTCTTTGTCCTTCTTTCGAACTACAAACCATCCCACACACTGCACGTCAATTGCCCAATGGTTTCCCTTATCCGCATATAACCAACCCTTGGAAACGCGTATTGGCGAAGCGACCATTTTCTCCGACTGCCCAAACCTTCTCACCTGTGTCTGCACATACCTCATTGCTCGAGGACTTTTATTTCGTCTTGCCATACGGAAACGCAGCTCCTGTCAGCTTCGGTCCCATGTGGGTTACATGTCCTCCTGCGTCTTTTCATACCATAGTTTCTCACCCGACGAAGCGACTCCCTGCCTAACGTAACCGGCTTTACCCAAGGTACCTGATCTGGTGAGCAGAGCTTAGGGCCGTTGCGCCGGAGCCATGTCGGCTCTGCCCGACCCTCTAGTGAGGAGGAATCGAGGCTTCCTAGGCAGTGATAGCTCTGCTTTGTCCGCCCGAGACCGCCAGGTACGTCCGTCCGCTCGCCTCCGTCAATGATATATCCTCAACTCCGTCCTATGTATGTGACTCGACGGCTCCGCTCCGTGCGCCGCGGCCCGCCTTTGACGAGCCGCATCTCGGCCCTCGCCCTACATCTTCTTGTCGCTTTCATCTCATCTCGTCATAATCCTGCCTTGGTCCTCTTGTCTCGAAGCTGGCCCCTAGACGTATCATCTGCTCATCAGCCCTCCAGGACCGCGACCAACTGCGTTATGAGCTCGATCTCAACTCATGGAATCTTCGTATTTGGGGGGTGGCCGCCTCTGGCTTCCTGACAGACTCGTAGGCCTGTCCCCTTGTCATCCTCAACGCCCTCCACTCACGACTGACCACCCTCTCAAGCTATAACCTGTTTTCTACAAATGTCATTCTTGCCTCCATAGCCTTTGTATACTGGCCATCGCCCGATGCAAGATGGCAAGGCTTGCTTATCAACTTCTTCACCCTGCTTGGCTCTGTCATTGGCCAGTTGCTGTTTGGGTTCCTCGCCGACTTTTATGGCCGAACCCGTCTCTACGGTATCGAGCTCGTACTGGTAATTGTATCGACCATTGGTGTGGCTACTAGCAGCTATGGCTTCGACGATATGAGCTTTTTGGGGCTGTTCACCTGGGTACGAGTTCGTCCGTCCACTACGGAGCTGCCGCATTCGCATCCTGCAACGCTTGCTAACCAGTACTGGCACCTAATAGTGGCGTTTCGTGATGGGGATTGGTTAGTAATTGTTACTGGATGCAGGTCTTGTACCTGGATGACACGACTAATGATATATAATAGGCATCGGCGCAGAATACCCCCTCAGCGCTGTAATCACATCGGAATGGTCAAGCACCCAGTCGAGGGGAACCATGATCTCTTCCGTAAGCTACCTAGCTAGTCGGC